CTGTACGTTGATGTGGAGTATCACTTTTGTGGTGTTGAGATGCGGATTACCTCGTGCATTGACCGATGGCGTGCAGCCCGTGCACGAAAACTGTATATAGTGCATCGCCCAACCTCCTGCTGAAGAAAGCACCAATGCTCTTACTCGTGCACTCCCACGAACAACCACATACAGACATGTTCTGTCGAAACATCATCTAGTTGTTTCATATTCAAGAATCTGTTCAAGTCACTTATCTTCGTGTATATCGATGTCTCAGCGCTTTGCTCGAACCGCACCGACGGCACTTTTGCAACCGGCCACAAGGGTACGGAGTAAAAGTATTAGTCTAAACATAATTCTACGGTAATTGTGGTACAAGAGTCTGGTAGTCTCCAGCTACCAGAATGGAATAGAGGCTGAACCCGCCAGCCCCTTGTTAAAGCTGCTCAACAGCCCTCCTAACCATTTAGTGCTTGCGGGCAAGCTCCATGCGCTTCTTCAGCCTGTAAGCAATGGCACGCTTCCTGGCGGCAGCACCTTGAGTGAAAGCGACACTACCACCGAAGGGACCAGCGGCGGCACCGTTGCGGACGCGCATGACACAAACGTTGGGAGTTCCGGCAACGGTAGCATCGCAGGTCATACCTGCGGGCATCTGAACCTTCATCTCGAACTCGGTGCTGGTAGCCAGAGAGATACCCTGAACACCAAGACCGGGAACGTCCTTGGTAACAGTTGCAGGCTGCATAGCTGCTTCGTCGGTCTGGGTCATGTCAGCGTATGCAGAGATTAGAAGATTTAGGTCAACTTACTCCTCCGCTGGTGCCATCAACATCGGCAGTGAATGGACCGGCACCATCTTGATTGATCTGACGGAGTGTCATGGTGACTGTGCCATCGTCTGCGCAAGTAGGAAGACCGCTGGTAGCACCTGTTCCCTGAGCAGCAGCAACGCGAGCCTCTGGTGGGCCTTCGGCCTTGGTGCCACCTCCACCAAGAAGACCTGCAATGCCGGTTGCGCCACCAGCACCGCCAGCCCCTCCACCGGCACCTCCGCCGAAGAGTCCGAACAGCTGACGCCTACGAGCACCGGCACCAGCACGACCTTGACCGTTCTGAGGGATGTTGTCCTCGACACCAACGCTGCCGGAAGCGCCTTGGTTAGTAGGCGGTGCTGCGCCAGCTCCCATGAAGGCCGCGACCATGATAGAGGCGTCTACAGGGCCATTGCCTTGTGTGCGTCCGAGAGGAGTCGCCTTGCCGCTTGCGATCTCGCGGTCACGAATGATGGCGGTATCTGCCTGAGAACCGCAGCCGCTAGAGACAGTCAGTATCATTAAATGAATACCAAACAAAAGCAACATACTTGGAAGAGCAGTCACGAGGTGTACCGTCGGCGACTGTAAGACCAGGCATGTTGACACCGTTGGCTCCCTGGATCTCAGTGACGACACCATGGGCCAAAACCGAGGCTGTCAGAGCAGCGATAAGTGCAAACTGTGTGATGTACATGATTGCTGATTATATATCGAGCTCAACTCGAGTTGTTAGGAAATGAGATTGGTTAGGAAATAAGATTATGAGAAAGCACCAGGCTGAAGAAGAGAAGTAAAAAGTATAGAAGTTGCTTGCTGATTATCAAGGATAGCCGCCGTTTACACATACTCTTATACCTGCCTCAGAGCCTCACTACATTCTACCAAGACTTCGCTACGCCTACATCCACCGACCAATGACTTCACTACTCCACTCGACAAGCACACGACAAGCTTCATCTTCCCTGTCTTCAACAGCGGCACACCAAGATCACCGCGGCCACAAAGCAGGACATGCTTCAGAAACGCCTTTTCGATTTTATTTCTATAAGGCCAAACGTGCTTGGCTACGAGAAAGCGTTTCCCTACTCGCTTGGCTAGGGTGGATGATGACTTTCCAGACTTTTGACAGGTGCCGACGTCCGACACAAGGTTTCATTGCGTGCCTGGTGAACATTTCTGAAGGCGCCAAGGCAGGCAAGATCAATGCTCGTTGCCGAAACACAGAAGCACATCCACGGCATCGCACTACGCTACTGTTCAGAACATCGAATCGCTCAGACACTATTGTGCAACTCCCACCATATCAAAGCACAACCGTTTGAGTAGTGACTGAGAAGAGCACCGGACGCTGCTGCTACTCCCACCTGCAGCCTTTCTCTTGCACCGTCATCGCGACAGACGACAGCGCCACACAGCCATCACTCAAACTTTGCATTAAGCCATCAGATCTGCCACAGCCAAGTTCAGACAAGCAAAACAGCCAAAATCCCTTCTCTTCACCTCGCTTACCACAGCTCCACAACACAGCGCCTCCCAAGACGCCCCCAAGACGCCTCCCTACCGCAAATCAAGCAAAACTCAAATTTCCGAATTTCACGTTCCAGAAACCGGGGTAATATTCCTTTTCGTTTTCGCTCGTTTTCGTAGATGGAGTTGTTGTGGTGTTGCAGCTTCGTCACTCTAGCGTTTCAGCAAACACCCAACCCTGGAATTTTGACGATCTCAAACATCTTATGCGTAAGATCTGAAGTTTTGACTGAGGTTTTCGGCGCCTGCGCTCCTCAAAACCGCGGCAAACGTGATTGCCGAGGTAGGCAGGGATCGTGCATGTGGCTATGCTGCGGAAGAGGTGGAGTCGAGTAAGACTTGGGGAAAAGTTGTGTGTGTGTGATGCGTGGACTTGGCCTACATCGAATCTCTGATTTTAAAGCCTAGCGGGCTAGAATGGGAAGTATGCACATTGTGCAGTAAGGACGATTCTGATAACTCATGGCAGTGACCATGGTTGTCTTATTACTACCAATAGTATGCACTGTTACATTCACGAATGATGTAGGGATCACACCAAAATTCTCACCCAGATTACTTTCTAAGGGCGACTACCAGAGTTTTCACTCTGCTGTCACCAAGTACCAGATCAATTCACTGATGTTATCATCTCCATTCTTCAACGACTACCTCCGGAACGTCGCAGCTCTGCTCCCTCACCACACTACGCATGCTGATGCAGAAAACACGGTTTGCAAGTACATGCGCAATCAGGAATCATCAAATCAGGCATACACGGCATTCGATTTCTGCTAGAGACAGTCCTTTACCATCACCACGTTCCAAATATGGATACATCACCCCCTTCCATCTTCATCCCATCGCTAACAACTCCCACCATCTCTCCTCCAAACCTCCCCTGCATCATGTGCCCGCTACAATCCCCACTCAAGTACATCCACCATACTCCTCACAACTCCCCACACTCTGCGTCACCTCCTGCACAACCGCCACCTCGCCCTCCAGCTGACCCGCACATACACCAGCCTCACCGCAGCTCCCTGTATAGTTCTCCCCAACCTTGAAGGACACCTCGCCCTCAAACTGTCGATAAAAGTAGTTGTTTGCCAAAATCGTCGTCTCCCTCCTCTCCACGATCTTCAACCCGAAATCGAGCACCGTCTCCCCTCCACTACCCGGAGTCAGCGTGACGCTAAAATTGCCGGACGGATACTCCGCAGCAGGCGTGCAGAGAATCTCCTGCTCAAACGGAGGCTGGCCGTCAGGAAAGGGCCACGAGATGGTGCAGTCGGCAGTCAAAGCGCCGAAGACGCCGAAACCGAAGCGCGAGGCGCGCATTAGGTAGATGGTGTTGGGATCCTCGATGCGCACGAAGATGCGGGAGTTTTTGTCCGGACCGGGTTGGGAGGAGGGCTTGTAGGAGTAGAGACTAGTGATCTTCCATGGGGAAAGGGGCGCGCCGATCTGGCGGGGAGCGAGGGGGGAGGCAGCGGAGAAGCTGGTTAGAGCGAGGGTGCTGAGGATGGTGGTGAAGAGCATGGTGATAGTGGGATTGGTTATGCTGGTTGGTTGTGCGGAGAGAGTTGGATCGAATGGCTGATCTGACCTGCTGCGATGATGGTTTTCAATGGCTTTCTGATGTTTATATACCATCTGTACTTCGTAATTACTTTGCAGTTACTGTTTACCGGCGCGTTTATCCGCTCCACATAGGGTGATGTTCAAGCTGCGTTGCAACAGTCCATTCTATCAGCAACCGTAGATGGCTAGACTGTGTTTGTACGAAGTCAGTGGCAGTTTTTATGATTAATTTTGGCGACACTGTAGACAGGACAGAGGGCGAGGTCCATATGAAGTTGCACGAGGTTGCTGACGCAGCACATCGATCCTTGTCAACACGAGGCGACGCCCCGGTTTTCATTGCCGTCGATACTGTCTGTAAGCAGGTACGAGGCATGTGGCTTTTGGTGGGGCGGACCGCAGCGCGTGGCGTGACGATGTGGAAAGGAACCGCTGTGTGCCTGCCGTTGTGGGTTGGTATTCGGAAAAGGTAATCGAAAGGTCGCAGGATGCGAGATATGAGGTACTGGTGGACGGGAGGCAGGCGAGGCGGATCAGTAGCTGAGATGGAGAAGAGAACTGTAATGAGTTGACTATGAGTAAATCTTTCGCAACTATTGCATCTCAAGCGCTGGAGCTATGACAAGCTATGCGATATGCAACTTTGCAGGGACCAGACAGCAGTCAGAGTGAGGTGGGTGCTGGTGGAGTCGGGATCACCATAGTTCCCACAAACTCTTGGTATCCATATACGTTGAACGTTAAATATGCCAAGTGTCCGGCCGCCTTTGCCTCCGCATGGAATTGAACATCCGAGGGTAAATGCGGTGGCATGAAGTCGAGGAAACTGATCGTCGAGCCGCGCTCCACAAGAAATGTCATGATTTGTTCAGCAACTTGAGCATAACGCCGTTGGCGCTCCAAGAGCGTATGGTTTGCAGCACTCAGCAGTGGGTGCAACTCGGTCAGTGTGACTGATTCCTCAACAGACTCCCAGAATGGTTCTGTTGACTACAAACATCTCGCTTCGAAACGCAGTCAGGCAATCTTTTGGGAGAGCGCACAGTAGTCCAAGTAGATTCGCGGTGGCCATTTGTCGAATGGCGGAAGATGTACTCGCTCCTTCAGTGATCGACAGCTTTCTTGATGTTGTGGAGCGTCCCGGAGGGCGTCATGCCAAGCACGTGTTCGAATTTTCGCGCGGTCGTATCGATGAGGCTGATATTCTCGTCTGCGACCAGAGCACTTTTGCTACTTCCGCGTTCCATTGCTTGTTGACAAGTCGAGCGTCGCTTAGTGACTGGTGCATGCACAGCCGGCAGACTGGCATGAAAGTCGCTGTTCATCATAAGAGGAGCGACCACTCGGCTGCCTTCACCTTAACCTTCACCTTCACCTTCACTTCGAACTGGCTTGCATGACCCCCACCTTTACCCCTGACATTGCAGCGCTAGTGTAGACGGCAGGGACGATGCGTGTGGGTGAGGGGCGGTGCAGCAGCGATTAGGGGGTAAAGGGTGCTGGGCTCGGAGAAAGGTAGTCGAGGCCTGTAGACAGGACGTGACTGTACAATGCAAGTATTTACTAGTTGGTACACATACATTGCGCTCTCTAAGAATGCTATTTCATCAAATCGAACTCCGTCCCAAATGCTCGGGGGTATCAATCATACCAGATGCTTTTAGATCGTCTGCCAGATAGCCAGACGCAGTGCCGCCGCCTGAGAGAACGCCAAAAGTGGGCCAAAGCCCAAGCCAATCATGCTATCGTTACACTGAGACCAACGGGCCATGGAAGTCGCGTAGGGTAGCGACTAGATCGTCCTCTCTGAAAAGCTGTAACGACAGCTTCTCTTGCACCTCCTTCCACTTTCGTAAGGCGTCCAACTCGCCTTTGCTGAGCCACTTCTCTTCGTTGCCGACGACGTCTGAGCGCTCGGCTTTGCTGAGGAGGGGCTGGACTTTCTCTCGCTCGAATTGGATGCGCTGGAGTATGCGCACCATGCCTTTGTATGTGTCGTGCAGGAGCTTCTCTCGTGCACGTTGTCGATCGTACCAGATAAGATGTAAAGAGTGTTTTGCTTCTCGCCTTTCAACCTTTGGGACCTCCTGAGTCTGAACCAAGCCCTGCACGGTCAAGTCATTAACGATGCCACGGAGGTCGTTTGCAGACATCATCATGGCGTTGCAGGTTGCGCGCTCGTCGAGCTTGCCCTTCTTCCTCAGAGCACGGATCAGTTTGACACCGAGTGTACCCTTCCTTGCGGAAATGGTGTTCTCAATCTCGGTCTGGATGAGCTGCTTCGCAATCTCTTCGAACTCGATATGCCATTGCGAGAAGCCTGCACGAGAATGCCATGTGACGAAATGTGTAGGATCCTCGGACAGCAGCTGGATATGCTTGTCGATGATCCTTGTCTTCTCGTCCATGCTGAGGGTGGATGGATCGGTAGGCTGACTGAGTATATTGGCGCTGCGAACATGGCCTTTCCTAGTAATCTGGACGATTGCATTGGGATCTAGGCCCTCGCAGATATCGAGATCACGACTGATTTTCTTTGCGACATCGCGCGCCGTGACGAGGTTCTTGGGATCGATCTGGTTGTCTCCACCTTCGTCGCCGGCTGTTGGTGGCTCTGGGTATTCTTCGTAGCATCGAGCGGTGTTTGCCTCAAGCATACGAAGCATGGTCTGGTAGATGTGAGCAGTGACATGCCCTAAGCGCTGTTCAACCAGCTGCACTAGCTGTTCTGTGCGCATAGCAACGGCAATCTTCTCAGGGTTCACCCGAATGACAAGCTTATCCTCTGGAGACGCAGCGCCCGCACTCGAGTATCCGTTCGCACCATTGATCTTTACACGCTTAGTCGGGTTGCTGTAGTCTTGGTCTGGCTTCCCTCGTCGCGAGAACCTTGGAACATTTAACCACTTGTCGCGCATGTTGCGTTTGCGCTCGAGTGTGTTCTTGTGGCAGACGGCCTTGTCTTTCGTACCGGTCGGCTGCTGACCACCAAGATCCTGGTCGATGGTCTCCTGCTGAAGCATATCGTGCATATCTCCTGGTGACAGATACTGGGACTCTGTCATGGTTCGCACCCAACCGCGCTGAATGAGTCGCTCAATGATCTCGTAAAGCTCGTCGACCGACGCAATTTCGCCATCATCCTCCTCTGCGTGCTCTTGCTCAGACTGCTCGACGGGTCCACCGTTCATCGTACCGCTGTGGGCATGATCGCCGCTTACCACAGGCTTGACATCGTCGCCGTTGACTACGCCATTCGTCTTTGCGGACCCATTGGGCTCGTTGCCACCGCCTCTTTTCCTCTTCATGCCGGCGCCGTTCACAGTGCCGTCGTCTGAGTCATCGTCGCTGTCGGTTTCGGTAGGGAAATAAGCTTCCTTCAGGTCTGCGATGCGCGTGTGCCCTAGTCGTAACAGGTTGGTCATGACATTGGCGGCCTTCCTGCCAAATCGATCCTCGACCAGTTTGGTGACCTTGCCGAGACGGACGAGAGCGTACGAGTTCAGCCAGTCGATCTCATAGTACGTGGGTTGCGAATCATTGCCGGAGTGGAAGACGAGGTGCTGCTGAAGCAAAATGACGAGACCATACTTGATCTGCCGACCGTTCAAGTAGGAAGCGCGAGCGACCGCTGCGAGAGTCTGCCGTCCATGGCGTGCAAGCACCGAGTAGACGCGCTGGGGGGTGTTAGACGTGTGCGCAAGCCAGGAAGTACACCACATTGTTTTCTATGCGCAAGCACAGTTTTTCTGGGAGCGCACGTGATGCTGTGTCGCTGCACGTACCGCTGCAAGCTCGCCGTAGACATCCTCGACGAGAAAGGTGCAGAGCTCCGCAAGGACCTGGAGTGATGTTGGCTATGATTCATGGCGAGGGACAAGTTGCGCTGCAGCGGCGCAACGGCTTACCGGAGTCTCGCGCTGGGTGTAAGACATGTTATTGCCTAGATATTTGCCAGATATCTAGGTGACTTCGGGGCTACCGGAGAGACATTGGGCGGGTTGCTGGGTGAGAGCAGGCTTGGGGTGTGTGCTGCTGGTGAGGGCAGAATTTCCAAGTCGCCCAGGCGGCGGGGACTGGCAGCTGGCCGCTGGCCAACCAGGGCCGGCAGAAGGAGGATGACGGCCTTGGCGCTTCGCAACATCTTTGCAGGACTGTCTATCCATCAATTCACCATCAATTGCCCTCCACCTCCAGCTCCACCGCCCCCCGATCGGTGCCCTCCCCACGATGCTGTCCCGCACAACCGCCTGCCGGGGCGCGCAACGAGCTGCCCGCCAGCTGTCGTCGACACAGAAGCGCGGGCTCGCAGCCCCGGCCTCAGGATCCTTCCAGTACCAGTCCGGCGAGGCCAAGGGCGTCAAGTTCGCCAGCAGAGACTTTGCTGGTCCTACGACGACACTGGCTCTGGTCGCAAAGGCAGGAACGCGATACCAGCCCCTGCCCGGCCTGACCGAGGGTCTCGCCAACTTCGCTTTCCGGGTATGCATCCCAGTATCGAAGCACGACGATGCGCTGCACGCACGTATCAGCACACAGGAGCTCTGCTGACACCCAATTGCATCACAGGCCACCGAGCGAAGGTCGACACTGCGCATTGTCCGCGAATCCGAGCTTCTGGGAGCTACCCTGACCGCCCACCACTCGCGCGAGAACCTCGTGCTCGAGGCCAAGTTTCTCCGTGATGACCTGCCCTACTTCGTCGAGCTCTTCGGCGAGGTCGCCAGCCAGACCAAGTACCAGCGTAGGCCAATGCACTGCATCAGCAGCAGGACGGTATACTGACGAGAGCAGCCCACGTCTACAACGAGGAGGTCCTTCCCATGATCCACTTCGCCCACACCCGCTTCGTCAACAGCCCCGTCGACATGGCCATCAACTCGGCCCACAGCCTCGCCTTCCACCGTGGCCTCGGCAACTCGACCGCCTCGGCCTCGCAGACACCGTACACCAAGTACCTCGACGCCGAGACCATCGAGCAGTTCTCCAAGAGCGCATACGCCAAGTCCAACTTCGCCGTCGTCGCCAACGGTGCTGACCACGGCGAGTTCTCCAAGTGGGTCGGCCAGTTCTTCAACGAGGTCCCTGCCACTCCCCTCCAGCAGCTCAGCCAGGGCACCGAGCAGACCAAGTACCACGGTGGTGAGGAGCGCCTTGCCCACGACGGTGGCAACGCCATCGTCATTGCCTTCCCCGGCTCCAGCTCGTTCACCGGCCAGTTCTACAAGCCTGAGATTGCTGTCCTCGGCTCCCTTCTTGGCGGCCAGTCTGCTGTCAAGTGGTCGCCCGGTTTCACCATCCTCGGCCAGGCCAAGGCTACTCCCAGCACCTTGGTCCAGACCACCAGCGCCATCTACTCCGACGCTGGTCTTCTGTACACTTCCATCACCGGCTCTGCCCAGGCCGTCGCTGAGACCGCCAAGGCTGCCGTTGACGCCATCAAGAAGATCGCCGCTGGCGAGATCTCCAGCGAGCAGATCTCCAAGGCGAAGGCCGCTGCCAAGTTCAAGGAGCTCGAGAACGGTCAGGACATCCGCGCCGGTCTCCAGCTCTCTGGAAACGGCCTTGTGAACAACTCCCAGGCATACCAGATCGACGAGGTTGCCAAGGCTATCGACGGTGTATCAGAGGAGGCCGTCAAGTCGGTGAGTACTCCAAATCTTAGGCAAACGCTTATCTACAACATGCTAATGTATCACTTCAGGCTGCCAAGACATTACTCGAGAACAGGGCTTCCGTCTCTGCGGTCGGTGACCTCTTCGTTCTGCCGTACGCTGAGGAGCTGGGTCTCAAGGTGTAAATACAGTCATGTTGGAGAGCGCGTTAGATGCAAAATCTCGTTTGGCTCGGGGCTTGTGTAACATTATCTTGTGATAGTCCCATTTCCAGATAGAGTGTCATATATGGATTCTCGTTTGTTCACATTCATATCTTCTTGCAGTGATCGACGGCTATTCGCAGGTCATACGTTGCGAGAGCAGCGAGCCAGGGCTCCATCCGGTAGGCAGTGTTTACATCGCCGAGTCAGCTTGAGTTGGGAAGTCAGTCGTTGCAGTATAGTTTCGCAGTTCGCGAATGCACCCACAAATCGAACGGCTGTTCTCACGTGCCAACGCGCAACAACTCGCAGCTCAACGCGCACGTCCCGCATCGACGTCAACACCAAACACTCGACACCAGCACCGCAAAGCCTCGCACGCGCCGGCGCGAACCACCCACACAGCTCCATACCCTCTCCAATCGCCAATTCCTCATCATGGCGCAGACGCTCTACCCCCGCGGCACGCTCAAGAAGATCGTCAAAGCGCACGCGAACCGCCCGTTGAGCAAGAACGTGGACATCTTGGTGCGGAATCTTTCTTCCCCTCTCCATCTCCTACCCCTTCATTCCCTCTCCTCTCTCCTTCTCCGATGTCTCTCGGAAGCGCAGCGGGCTGACGATAGGACAGATCTACCTCAACTACGTCCTCTTCATGCAGGAGCTGATGAAGGAGACGTCGATCAAAGCGAAGCAGTCCGGCGAACGCGGGATTAGCGCGAAGAGTATTAGAAGGGTGAGGGAGGGCTGTTTGAGGAGGTGTAAGGGCTGAGTGCGGGTGCGTTATGCAGAGGCACAAAATGATGGGGGTGCAAGCCAGGTGTTTCGGCGTTTGGGATGTGAGGTTTTTGAGGATTGTGATACCCAGGATACAGACAGGCGTACGGTTCGACTGTCCAAAGACAGGCTGCATGGAAACACATTTGATGATGCATACTGTCTGTGTGGTCCAAAGAGCGATGTGAGATCGAGAAGGATCTCATGCTTCCTTCACGATCTTGACCACGATCCACCCCTCCGCATACCTCTTCTTCGCCCCGCTGTCCGGAATCTCAGCCCTGATATCCAATCCCTTCGGATCTCCAGCGTCCCCAGCTTTCCGAACTGCGTCCTTGACCCCCGCACTCGCAACTCCAAGCGCAACACAACTCGCCAACAGGTTCTGTACCTCCTTTCCCCACGCCTTCTCCACGCCCTGGCTCTTCGCAGCTCCTGCACCGAGCCTCTTAAGCTCAGTGAACGCATCCTTCGCCGCTTTCACATTCCCATCGACTTCCGCCCACAACTCACTCCTCTCGTTCCGCAAATCAGCCGCGAACCCAGGGTCTGGCGAGGTGTAGGGGCCGTAGGGCTGCGTGTGTGCTTTGAAGTCCTCGAATGGTGGGACTTCGGGTGGCTGGACAGCAAGGAATGGTTTCATGCGCAGTTCGTAACGCAAGCTCTCCGTGCTGAATGGCCGTTTGGGAACGGGGAGGAGGCCGCAGTACGCTGCTATCATGTAGAACCTTGCCAACGCGAGACTCAGCGCTGCGGTGCCTGTCGCTTCGGCAGCCAAGCTGTCGAGGTATGGCGCCGCTTCCGCGACTTCGTTAGCGAGCCGGAGTTTCCGCTCGCGCAGGAGTTGTGTGTGCCGTGTGCGGTGGTGGGTTTGGATGCGGGTGAGGAGTTCACGGCGGCGGGTGACAATGAGCGAGAGGAAGAGGTGCATTCCTGAGAACTCGTCGGGGAGGTAGATGTCCTGCTCGAAGCCGAGGAGGATGACTTTCTCGATCATCCAGAGCTTCTTGTGGTAGACCCATGTCGAGAGGGAGAATTCAAGGATTTGGTCAGTGATGGAGAGTTCGGAGGCGGCGGAGGCGAGGTCGGTGTCGACGAGACTGGCGTCGGCTTGGAGGAGGTCCCAGGCGGTGATTACGTGGCTGAGCATGCGCCGGAGACGGCAGCGGTTCTGGCTCAGTGCGACCCAGAGGTCGAGATACGGTTGTCCAGAGCGGTCTACAAATTCGTCAATAAGCATGGCCAGTTGTAGTCGAGGTGGTTTGGGGAGAAGAGGGTTTCGAGGTGGAGGTAGTGTCCAGTTGATGGGATCTAGTACAAGCGAAGCTGGGAAGACAAGCGTCTTGACGTCCGCCAATGGTAACGATACTGCTGTATTCAGGATCTCTGGATGGAACATCAGCGTTGAAAGATACGATCTTGAGTAAACCAGTGGTGCAGGCAATCGTGACGCAAAGGTCCAGAGAAACGATTGGTATTCCAGAGGATCTTGTGGAAGATCGATGAACCGAGTCGCTTCTTCGCAATCAACACAGATGTGCTCCAACAGGTCCAGTGCGTCTTTAAAGTCAAACTCGACGATGGGCCGGGGCGGCACCGTCGATGCGAGTCTACGTTGCATCTTCGTACTGAAGGCTCCGGGCACGGACTGCCCGAGCTGGTGTGTAGCTTTGATCGTGGTTATGCCCGAAAGCACTGGTGACCACGAAGACGACATGTGCTCTAACGGATGGTCCAAGTCCAGAGCTCTGAGGAAATCTTGTCTGAACTTCAGTCTAGAAATGATGGCTGACCGAAGTGCATCCTTTATTTCGAAGTTGGTGCTGCAATTTGTGAGCATGTTCACAAGCTTATTAGACAGGTGTGATGCGTACTCTTCCATAACCTCCACAGCTGCGTCGAGCTCCCTCAAGAAGACGTCCATCGGCGTACTGACAAACAACACTCGATTATAAGTCTGAGTACAGAAGTCCTCCTCTTCGAAGTAATCTCGACTAGTGATCTTCAGTATCACATAATCGCAACCTTTGATGAGTGCTAGACAGTAAGCTCTTAGTACTTGCAGTAATGATTGCGCCGAAGGTCCATGTGCGCTTTCACCATTCGGGAAGAACTGGGATTGCTCGAGGGTCTTAGGTTCAGGCCATAACAGCTTGTCGATGTAGACTGATGTGAAGAGTGTTTGGGAGAGAGGATAACCTGTGTGCCACGCCATCTCGTAGCAGAGTAGTTGGTCCATGATGCCAATTATCTCCTCTGGTAGTAGCGATCTCGATGTGTCGTAGTCGTCCTCAAGCGTTTCTCCAGGCTTCAGGAAGCCGCTGTCCATCTTGGGATCCAAAATCTGAGGTGATCAGTGTTGTCGAAATCTCACTTTGCAGCGGGGTCATGCATACCTCGATAGCCCCAATGGACTCGAAAAGAGTGAAGTAATCATCTTTGACAAGCTGTCCGACTTCCAGAGCTACAGCAAGTTAGTGTTTGTGTTCAAAATTTCATTATACAATCATGCATGCTCAACGTTTGTGGAAGGCACGACATGGCAGCCATGTGACAGCAGTAACCCCACCATCCTCCTCTTGCAGTACACTTGGGTATCTGCTTGATTGAGGAAGAGATCATACCATTACTAGCTTTCAAGAATTTCTCTGTGATGTCATGGATCTTTGGTTCCGGCGCACAGATGGGTTGTCTGAACGCCTGCCTCAACGGCAAGTTGGTTTGCGGGGTGGCATTGGTGATATTCACGTGGAAGGGGCCTGCTCAAATCAACATCAACAATCTTAAACAGGAAGCAATATGGTTACCAGCTCCATCATGACTCGAGACAGCATCAGCATCTTGGGGCGAGGCGGTGCTGTGGCGGTGAAAGCTGTCTGCCATGGTCGTGGAGGAGTAGTCCCGCGCCGAAGCGGCTGGCGGGAAAGTTTGATGCACCTGCATGGCTCCATCACCTCAAGCTGGTACCTGAACGTCACTCTCTCCCTCCCTAGCAACTTCACATTGGAGGCACATCACGGTTACAAATGGTATATGGGTGCGTGCAGTGAACTCAAATCAGGTTATGCATTGGCTTTTGCCCGTCCTCCAGAAAGCTTCCTTCGGCATTGATAGTACATCTATACATTCACACCTCTGCCCTCTTCTCCCAGACTATGCGCAACGCATTTAAGCAGAAGCCTCAGCCTTGGCCGCAGCCTGAGCCGCAAGAGCAGCGTCGTTCAGCTCCTTGATATCGCCCTGCTTGCCGTTCTGCCCATCATTAGCCCCCATCACCCTGTATCCTGCGCGTCCATCCATTGTAGACTCACCTCCCACTTGGCGAACCTGAGCTCGCTCACACCCCTGCGCTCAGCAGCGATGCGCTTGTCTTCCTTGAGGGATCGGCGAACGACGCGCGATGCGACCGAGATGTAACGGTTGTAGCTGCCAGGCATTGTTAATTGCGGTGGCCCCGGGACGATTGGAGCGGAGCGGAGCGTACGAGAGACCGGCGACTTTCCATGCGGCTGCCATTGTGATGGTTAGATGCGGGTTGACGGGGTTGGAGGTGGGCTTGCGGGTTGCGGATGGGGTTGGAGGTGTTGAATCGAAAGTTGCGGATGCCGCTCGGAGCTGCAGCTCGGCCAAACACGTGACTGGCTACGAACATATAGCTGCACAACTTGACCCTGACGAATACAAGCCACGTCGAGGAATTTAGAGTTATCACGAAATGAACGACAGCAATTTCCCAGCGAAGTTGGTATCTTAGTGCTTGCAGTTCTGGGGTCCATGTGGCATCCTGGAGGCCTTCACGACCCTGTTATCAACAAGTGCACAGCACCGTCGAAGATTCAGCATTTACAACTCTCACAAGAAATCCTGGAGTTACTCAGTACATTGAAGTCGTGTTCATCGTATTTTCGTAGCTAGGTTGCTTCTATCGTGGCAACTGGGGCTTAATCACCGCTTCTACGAAGACACAGAGCGGCGCCTGTGTGGGATACTACTGAAGTCAAGACGCCCTCTAGCCTGCAGTTCATCTAGGCGAGCCTCGTACGCGTCCTTGTCCTACGAATCGGTCTCCATAGCCTCACCACCCTCCTCGTTGCCACCTTCCGCATTCTCGAATGTGGTTGACAGCCACTCTGCAATATCCTGACCCTCGTACAGCGCGAAGTTCTCGCCAACACCTCCAATACCAACGCTGGTGTTGTCAACTGTGAGTTCCTTGTCCTGGGACAGCGACTCCTTGAGTGCCCTCAGCGCGTGCTTGATCAGGTCCTCCCTGCTAGCACTGTCGAACTCGTCGAGGTGTCTCTCCAGGTACGTCCTCGCCATCTGACTCCTGGCGCCGATTCCGCAAGCAACCATCTCCTGTGTGACACCGCTGGGCTGGAACTCGAAGAGATGAGGACCCTTTGCGTCGACACCTGCAATGAGCAGGCCAACACCGTATGGTCTCTTGCCGTACTGCTGTGTGTTTGTCTGTGCACGGTCTGCAATGCGTGATACGATCTCGGACAGGGGAATAGCGCGGTCGTAAGTCAGGCGGGAGGCGAGCGATTGCTGCTTCATGAAGTTGGAGAGGACGCGGGCATCGGAGGCGAGACCGGCGAGGGCGACACCGAAGTGCGAGTCGATTGGGATGACCTTCTTCTGGTATGATGACAGCTCTTCTGCGTTACGCTGCAATGACTATCAGTGATCATGTCCTCATAAGCGACCCAAACTGTATATTGCTTCACGCACCTTGATTGCTGCAAGCACAGCATGTGTCTTGGAGACGATACCGACGACGACAGAACCCTGCTTCACGGCTTCTTGTGCATATTCGACTTGGAATATACGGCCTTGCGGTGAGAAGGTCACCGAATCGTTGTCGTAGTTGTTGCGAAACATGTTGGAGGCGCGACTTGCGGGGATGAAGTCAACCTAGGTGGGGTTGAACGGTATTGTCCAAGGTTCAGATATCTGAAGGCTTCCTGGCGACAGGACTATGGGTGCGATTCGGAGACGTTGCGCTATTGAGAAGCTTGGTGGTGGAAGCTGTTGATTACTGTAGGCAACTGGGTGACGATAGCTCGGTAGCTCTTACCTTCGATACCGCGCTAAGTGGTGAGTGCCAAGATGAGCTTCAACCTCGCGCCAGCATCCAGGCCATGGTTCGAAGCAGGCAGCACCATCAACAACAGCGAGCACCGGCCTTCTCGAGCATTCCGTACTGGACCCTGTTGCTTGACGCTGCAAATCCGAAACTACCAATACTCCGCACCCCGCACAAGGAATAAGTCATGGCCGGCATCAAGACGATCATCGGGCTGTCCTTCGTAAGTTACCCTCTGGCGCATAGCCACGCAATATATTGGGGGAACCCTAAATGTCTAACAATCGTCTTCAGGTCCTTGCGATAGGCTTCCTCCTTGTCATTCTCTCCGCAGCGCTGTTTCAAAATTACCTCACGCTCCTCGTCGTCGCGACCTACGTAATCGCACCACTACCCAACTGGATTTGCGGGCGCGCGTCGAACCAGGATGATTTTATGGAGAGCTCAGGGAATGGAGTAATCGATTTTGGCAGGTTTCTCACTGGGTTTTTTGTCGTTATGGGTATCGCGCTTCCCACGCTGCTCTGGCACTCGGAGCAGATCGCAGGCGGCGCAGCAGCCATGTCCATCATTGGCGGTCTGACGATTTACTCCACGATCATCAGCTTCACGCTGTTCTTCCACGAAGATCAAGACTTCTGACTAGCCGGCGGTAACGAGCGATGAGATGATGCTGCAAGATGAGCATACGATGCGGACTGGGAGAGCGCCGGGTATGGATGGCCTTGGCATGTGATCAGGCGGCATGGGTTTGTACGTGACAAGAGCAAAGAGATCTGCTACTTGGATCTGCTAGATACTTTGAGCGTTTTTGTACTGTCATGTTGGGTATGTTAGGAAGACCGCATGCTATTGACTGGCTTACGCCGGAATTATCGTTAATTGAATCGACAGTGTGGCCTGATACCACGTCCTGGTATCGGTAACATAGAAACGCGCCAAATGTATGCATACAGCAATAACAAGACATCAACCCTGCATACCCGCTATCATAAACATCCAAACTCTCTTCAACGTCCTCAGCCTCGCATGCTATGTCATGCTCGCGTGTGCCACTCGTTTGCCGAACGCTCTCAAAGCGCCAAGTTGTACGTGTACTCGTCCTCCATATTCTGCGCAATCCAAAGCACCGCAGAGCTGCCACGAGTTAGCCTTATCACCCCCACACAATCCCCAGCAACACATACCTTAGCATAACCAGTGCATTTGCAACCACATTCCCAACGCCCATCCAGATCGTTGGCCAAACATAGCCCGGCACAATGTATTTCATAACCAGCACCACCACGCTCCCCGCCAGCCCGCCCGCCAGCAGCGCAAAGCCCAAGAACAGCACCAGCCTCGCCTTCCACGCAACACCGTTACCGCTGTAACTGAAGCTGTCGGCAGACAACCGCGACTTGTCGATCGAATTGATGACGAGCATGCCCAGGACGGAGCAGATGCCGGGTATCCAGTCGATGAACGTGACGTGAACGGGCGGGTCGGAGGGGTTCTTGATCGACCTGGACCAGACTGCAACGTCGATGAGGGAGTAGAAACCGAGCGCAAACTACAGCATGTTGTTAGGGTGTATTGGTTGTGTATGCGTGTGGTGCTGCCTACCATAGCTCCTGCAGTGTAGACGCCGAAGGTTCGTGTGTTTGCGCTGTTCAGCCACGCTGGCTTAGGGAAGCGGAAAAGGCGGTTCTCCTCCATCATTTCGATAGTGTCTCTGTTTATGCGCTCGCGTGCGTGGTGTCGTGATGTGCTTGCAGCCTGCTGTAAGAGCTGCGGTCGCGCCTGCTGCAAGGTTGGAACGACTTGGCGCTTGACGTTGCGTCGGCAAGTGGGTCCCAGCATTCGCCGATCGAAAAAGTTCCAGGGCTCGAACACTGACTTGCAACCCTCACAACTCCACACACGACACAATGGCGCCCACAAAACCCAGCAGCAAGGGCAAGTCCGGCCTCAAAGGGAAAAGCAGCGGCGCATCGAAATCGAAAGCGCGCGGCAAAGAACCCGAAGGCATTTCCAAACGCAAGCAAAAGTCGCTCTCTCTCGCCAAGCCTGGCGGCGCGCAAAAGACAAAATCGTTCAAGACCAAGGACGGCAAGAAGAAGAAGCGCGTCTACACCGAAGCCGAGCTCGATATTCCTAAATTGAACTCGATTGTACCCGCGGGCATTGCGAAGCCAAAGGGCCAGAAGAAGGGAAAAGTGTTTGTGGATGATCCGGCGAGCATGATGGCGATTATGAGCGTGGTGAATGCGCAGAAGGAGGGGCATATTGAGAGCAAGATCATGCGCGCCAGGCAGTTGGAGGAGATTCGGGAGGCGAAGAGGAAGGAGGCTGAGGGGCGGGCGGAGGATAAGAAGGCAGACTTTGTGAGTCCACGTGCTGTTGAGGTGGTAAGTGGAGCTTGTGCTAATGTATAACAGGAGGAGAGGAAACAGAACCTCAAGAAGAAGAGGAAGAGGAATTCCGAGCCTGCGCGCACCGAGGACGCTGAGACCGGAGAACCAAAGAAGTCGGTGAAGAAGGATGGCAAGTTCAAGCCCAAGAAGAGAGTGAGCTTTGGTTGAAGACGGGGGTGATGAACTGGTCTAAAGAGTCTACGATGTCTACAGGTCTATGATACCCGAGTCCGCGCAATGCAAGTCTATATCGCCATCTACGCATCCGGGAGGATCAGTCGTCTATGGTTGGGGTCGAAGATGGGATACACTTTGTTAGGAGCGTCGACCTTGTCCTCCTGACGTTCGACTTTGGACGCTTGGTGGTCGATAGTCTCGTGTATCTTGGTTAGGAAGGAGGCAGTAGCTGTTGCAAACCATCGACCGCCACCAAGCTGGAAAGACCCTAGGTGGCCACCCCAGTTGGTGGTGCACAGCAGCGTGTACGGGTTCTGCTTAAACTCTTCGTACGGTATGGCCACCTTGGAAGAGATCTATACGATAAAGTCAGCACAACAGCTCAATACATCAGATACACTGCAAAGACTGCGTACCGGGTCGTCCTCAGCATTGATCCCCAGAAAAGGTATCCTTATCGCAGCCAAAGCATCCACACTCTGCGCATCCCGATAATACGCCCCTTCTGTCGGATACCCCCATGTGGGGCACTGTACATGCCTGTCGAACTCATACAAGTACTTGCACTTCTCAACCACCTCCGCTTGGATATCCGGGTTCTGCAACATCTGCCCCTTATGCCTTTCATACAACCCTATCAAGTTCTTCCCCATTGTGCGCGAGTACACTTCAACGCCCAACCACGTCCTATTCAATTCCACATTACACAGCTCCAGATTCCAGGGATTGGAATTCGCAACCGCGGCTTTCAAAACACACTTGTATCCCTCCTCGCCACAGTAGTTTGTGAGGATGTTTGCGCCAAGCGAGTAGCCGACGGCGTATAGCGGTCTGTTGGGGAACAAGATGCGCAGCTCTTTGATCGCTTGTCGGACGTCCCATGTAGCCCTCGCGTTGAACAGTTGCGGTGTCGTGATCTTGGATAGAGCGCAGCCGCGCCCGTTGACCACACAAGCTTCCCATCCAGATGCTGTGAGAGGTGCGAGGGTTTCGCGGAGGTACACTTCGTGGCTTCCACCAGTCAGGCCGTGGAGGGCGACGAGCATAGGCTTGTTATCGTCACTACCAACATTTCCCCACTCTTTACTAGAGTAGACGCTGATGCGCTCAGGTAGTTCGGGATCCGCGGTGGCAGCTGATCCTTCTTCTTTGGTGACTACGAAGTCGACGGCGAAGGTCCCGGGGTACACGGTGTGGTTGGATGTGTAGATGTGGCGCTTGTAGTAGATTGGTGGTCCGGGGTCTTTCCAGGCGGTGAACATCGTTTGAAGGTGTCCATTGAAGAGGAATGGGTTTAGGCGGCATGGCGGTATTGAGGATCGGGCGAGATCTGGTAGTGAGGTCTTGGATCCAGATTTTGTTGCCAGTGGGATGGGGGAGGTGTGGTGCGTGTAGGATGTTTTGGCATGACCGAATAGCCAAGACATGTTGACTAGTTGCAGGATCGTCTTGTAGATTCGATTCTTTTCAATTAATCGTGTTGGTTTTTCTCTGGGTCTTTATTTAGAATTGCTCTTAAGTCCGGAGGGCGTTTGTTGGTGAGAGTTGTGAAGTCCTAGCTCTTTCTCCTCCTTTGTCTCTAGAGACCGTTTGGAGCTCCTAGGTATGGTTATGCTGCTGCCTGAAAATAGAAGATTACAACTTTGTGGAAAGAAAGAAGGAAAATGTTGCCAGATGATGCTTGAACGAGACATGCCTCGGCTCATGCAGGGATCTTGTAATCGATATACGCGCGCGAATTGGGCCAATCAGCATGTGATCGCCTGCGGGCGCGAGTCGCGACTGCCCGTTACATCGCGACTTTCGAGGCTGCTTTCACAACCCCACAAACACTCACAATGTCATGATACTCCACGATGTCCGGTGATTTCACCATATCAAAACACGCATAGCGACCATGGATCCACGGTACAACCACCAGTACGGCTACCCCAATGGGTCGAACGCCCAGTATCCTCCACAGCAGCCGCAGAATGGCTACCAGCAATATGGCCAAGCTCCCCAGTACCCGCAGCAATATCAGCAACAGTACCCTCCGGCGCAGATGCAGATGCATCATGGGTATCCACAGCAACCACAGCAAAGGCAGTCCCAAGTAGTTATACCACGACCGCAGAGCCAGCAGTATATGCCAATGCCTCAGCATCAGCAACCATACTCGCCACAGCAACAGTACCAGCAGCGACCATACCAGCCGCCACAGTACCAACAATTGCCACAACAACAGCTGCAGTACCAGCTGTCACCGCAGCAGCAACCGCAGTACAGGCAAGCTTCACAATCGCAGCCTCGACCACAACCTCAACCGCAGTCCCGAGCGCAACCACAGGTTATGATACCTCAGCAAGCCCCTAGCTCGATTCCATACCCTCAGATGTCAAGTCCCCAGACGCCAAGCCCGAACATAAGACAAGCGCAGGTGCCAGTACAGCGCGCAAGCAATGCCGGGGTTTCACAGGTCGATGGTGCCAAGGACATGTATCGAAGGCAAAGTGCGCAGCAAATCCCTACGCCACCTATGTCGAAGCCAGTACAGCGGACAGTGCCACGCCCAGAGAGCATGCAGCGACCACAGCAGATGCCTCCAAGCACGCCAGTTCAAGTCCAAGTTCAGCAGCAGTGGGTTTCGAGCAGTCAGGCCCAGGTCAAGATTGAGCAGCAGCAGCCGCGCCCTACACCGCAGGTACAAGTCACACCTCAACGCACACCGTCACAGTCGTACACGCCGTCGAAGCCGGTTCAGACCACTCCAACACAACAGACACCTTCACAGCAGACCTCTTCACAGCAGACCTCTTCACAGCAGACATCTTCGCAACCGAGATCTCATCCCAAAGTCGTAATTCCTCGGCCTCCGTCCCATCAGCTTACATCCCCTACGAAAGCCGCCCACACACAATTACCACAGAAGGCATTGCCAGCCGATCTGTCAGTGATGCTGCTATCGGCAGCGGACGAATACATCACTGCGGCACGTGGTATGGGATCGATAATTGCACGACAAAAGAAAAATGGTGATGTACAGCAATACTACAAGCTTATGTCGACTGCGATGGGGTGTATGGACGCTGTTCTGAGGAAATACAACATGCAGCCACGAGACGAGGCGAAGCTGAGACTCAGGTATGCGAGTCTGCTCATTGAGGAAACAGACAACACGGCGGAAATCGATGAGATATTGTCGAAAGGAATCTCGTTGTGCGCTCGCTGTCGCCTCCAAGATCTGAGATACAGCATGTTGCACCTTCAGGCTCGTTATCAGTTCCAGACCAACCACCGAGCTGCATTTAAGGCCCTGGACAAGGACATCTCAGAGGCCGAGACGTTTCAGCAAATCGCTTGGGTATACGCATTTCGATTCTTGAAGGTCTCTCTTCTGTTACAAAGCACCGACCGTATTGAGGCAATACCTGCGCTCCAGCAATTGCATGCTATCAATGCTTATGCAGAGAGACGCGGCGACACCGCAATAGCCTTTGCCTGCAACACACTCGAGGCGATGGTTCATCTACGATCTAGTGCTCAAGACCGCCTAACCGAAGCCCAGCGAGCCATTGCGCAAGCTCGAAGCCTGCAACTCACGATGTCGGCGAAGCAGCAGGGTTCGTTTGGTACCCTTTTCAGCGTCATCGACCTCGCTTGTAGCGTGCACCAGAACGCACCTGACACCGCGAAGTCAACAGCTCTGATACAAGCCACTGCAGATGAGAATGACAACAGTCTTGGGACCGAGGATGGCTTCTTCACTGTATTACTGGATCGAACTTCCGGAGGCAGCTTGACCACAGACACAGGTGGCATCTTCAGGAAGAACGATGAGGGTCGCGATGAGCTAATGTTCACCTGGCTGCCAAGGGAAGATGTCAAGGCACTGTGTTTCCACATCTGTGCTTTAGACCAGAGCGTCCATGAAAAGGCACTTCAGCTAGTCCAAGAAGCCCGTTCTCGAACCAACGATTCATTGCGCAAGCAATCTCCATATGGCTTGCCCATCTCGACCGCGTGTGCGCAAACCCAGTGGCGCAAGATACTAGACTGGCACGCCACGTTCACACTTGGACTCATAGCAACCCATCGAGAACAACAATCGACAGCCAATGATGCTTTGAATTCGCTCACAAGGCGAGTCGCATCTCCCCCGTACGCCAACCAGCAAAACTACACTCAGTCCCTGTCATACCTGGAAGCTATTACCGATCAGACCAATGGTCGTTTCAACGCCGCGCTTGCCACATACTCATCGAGTGCATATGCATTTACCGACAAGGGCCATGCACCAACATTGACAAGCGACCTTGGTATACTCGCAGCATTCAACCGCTTGCTCATCGCAAGGGATCCGGCTCACCCAGATCACAAGAACGTTGGCACATTACTCGTACAACTACGACTAGCCTGCGAAGAGCATCCCAGTCAGTACGTTCGCATGGCTTTCACTCTCGTCAATGCCCTCTCGACCCTCGACCCATCCATCAACCGCCTGAAAACCCTAATGAACAACGCAACACAAAAGTCCCACGACCTCTTCAAACGCACACACAACCGCGAGTTCGTTGTCATGTCCCTCTGTTACTTCACAGCACGCTTCTTCATCGAGCCCATCACCGATAAATCTTCGTCAGCTGCCAACGCTGTGCGGCAACATGCGAAGCAGAGTAACAGGCCGTTGTGGATGGCGGTGGCTTGTGGTCTTATGATCAAGGTTTTTGAGCATCACAATAGTGTTGCAGAGAAGCAAAAATATGAGGAGATCTATGAGAAGGTCAGGGTGAAGTTGCCAGCGCCATTAAGGGGTGACGATGTTGATGCTGAGGGCGAGGATGATGATGAGGACATCAATCTGGTGGGATAGGGCTCGTTGTAAGACATCAAGGGAACACGGTGCATGTGCTGGCGTTATATGATGTGCTGTGTATGAATGGGTATACCAAGGGGACATCGAAAGTGCGGCGCAATTCATTTTGTATGAAAAGAGATTTGTTCTCACGGTTACCTTCGAAGGTTTGTGGTTTTCAGAATTTCGCAAAATGCTTCAGCAGCCATTCTGAAGTGTTACAAAACAAACCTCAGATTCCCAGCGACTACGATGGTCGCATTGCGAAGCATTTGGCTGCTGTCGTGCCAGCTTCCACCATATCCATCGATCTCAGTCATTCGTCCGAGCCTCCTGCATGCCGTGTCTTGTTCATCGTTAAAGTTAATTCAGACACGACCATCTATGTGCTCGCTTTGTGTAGGGCACTGCCGCTGTCCTGACAATCTTCGTTGTTCCATTGGTCTCGACTGACACAGTGCCTCTCTTGTAGAAATAGCGAGGCCAAGTGCTTCCGTCTTCGTCCACAGGGCTCTGGGACTTATATTGGGGTGGGAAGCCCAGGAAACGGATTTTGGAATCATGCTTGGCCAAGTACTGCATAATTTGCTCAGCAATCTGAGCGTATCGTCACCGGCGTTCCAGTATGGTGTGATATCCGCGCAACAGCGGATGGCTCGCTAGTTCGGGACTTTCGAGCGTTGGGTGTTGTGCAAGTACTGCCTACGTCGTGTGTTAGAACGTCAAGTCAGAGCCTGTGGGTTCTCAGACTTACTATTGACTCCTCCAAACTGTCGGAATCAGACAAGTTGCAAGGTTCGAGGATTCCCATGCTGTCGATGACGGAGCTAAAGTCCCCAAGACTCAGCCGTAGTCTGGTAAGACGCTGACAACTGCTAACAAGCTGCTTCAGCTCAGATGCAGAGTAGACTCGATCATGCACGGCAGCATAGAGCTCGAGATACTTCAATGATTTGCCAGTGCGTTCGAGGCTCCTCAGAATTGGAAGGTCACCTTCTGTAGCGCCTAGCGTGATGTGTCTGAGGCCTTCGATCGTTTCAAAGAGCGTTTCGGTGGTTCTGCGAATGTCTTCGGGCACTCGAGCAGCTGTGTAGGTAAAGTTCTTTAGCGGACAACTGCCAGCCTGCGTATCCTTTTGCAAGAGATTCCAGTAATAGACACGCTTCAACACAGTCTGAGATCTCCAGTGCGCGTAAGTGAGCAAGGTCAAGGAGGGTACCGATACAATCAGCGGAATCTGATAGGTTCAAATCGTTCAGCACAAAGGAACGTAGCTTGAGTAACGGGGCCCCTGCAGGTAAAAGCCACCCACCGAAGTGATTAGCCATGTGAAGCCTTCCTTCAACATGTAGGTCTCGCAGTACAGGCGCATGCGGAAACCAATGGGAGAGCATGCTGATATACAGACCACCTGCAATATAATTGAATGTCTGAAGAACACAGCGCGTTTCGTAAGTCTTGTACGGAGCCTGCATCTGCGCCGAAGTCCTCCAGAGGATAAAGTCATGTGCTTCAATTCTTTGTGGTCACGCCTATGAGAGAAGTATCGCCCTCTCCATTTTTGCGTCCTCATATATTTTCCAGGAACTGCTGGGAAGACATCAACTCCTTGAACTCACCGAGCATGACAGGTATCGCGGTTGCTCTTTTCGTGACGCCAATCGTACCCTCCAACAACGACTTCAAGTTAGGATCCAGTCTGAAGAAGTAGAAAGGCCAAGTATGACCGGTGAGGTCTGCGAGAACACCTTCCAGCTTCTGCCAGCCTTTGCAATGCTGAGCGCAAAATGCAAGGTGTTGAATGCGCGAATTTTCACCGACAAGTTTTCCGCGAGTCGCTCGTATTTTCGACTCAGTTCTTCTGAGTTGTCATGATATTGAAACGGCCAATGTGTGTGTGAAGATGGGGAAGACGCACCAGTGTCTCCTGCAGAATCATTAGTTACTTGAGCCTCAAAAGATGCGCATGAAACGTGGACTTACTAATGGTGCCTTGAACTGCTGTAAGTCGACTGAAGGGTCATCTTCATCCCAAAGTGCTGGATAGCCGTCCACGTCGAGTTCGTCCTCCAGTGTTGCGATGTTGATGCCCAGAGTTTGAGGCCATTACAAGTTCTAACAAGCTGCTCAATTCGGCTCGCAGGAAAGTAAGTTCCAGTAAAATCTGCCTGAAGATAGAGCACATCTAACAAGAGGTGTTCACTTAGACTTAAGAAGTTCAGAAACTCGTATTGTCTAGTATCCAGTAAATGGTGTGAAGGGATTTTCCCAATCTGATGAGTTACATGCCAAGTTCGCGACATAATTGCGTGTTTTCGTTTGTATACACAAATCTTTCAAGATCACAGTTGTCCTGACGCTTGAACGTGTGGACGAATGCCTCCAGCACCGGCTTGCACATATCGCCCCTTTGGATAGCGGTTGAGTGTTTCGTAACGGTTGAACTCTGATTTGGTAAGGATTGTTGTGATAATCTCTCTGAATAACAATAGTGAGTTCCTCCAGTTCGTTGAGGTTCCCAGAAACATGACTTGTGTCTGGCACACCACGGTTGTCCCGCTCACTCAGTGGAACATCACGGGACTGTAGACGAGTTTGAGTCGTGAGCAAAAGGCCAAAAATGCGCTGATCGAGTTTCACCTCGCTCCGGAAAGAGGCGAGAAGATTTCGTGGTAGTGCTCCAAGCACAAGAAGGAAGTTCAACCCCGATTGAGGTGAAGATTCGCGCTGATAGAGCGAATTCGGGACGTCCAAGATGTGGATATGCTTTACGTTATTTAGAAACCCCTCAGGTCATGGGTTGATGAGTGTGATGATGTCTCTTGTGTCTGTCGAGGAAGGTACTCTCAAACGTGCGCCAAAGCACGGTTGCTGCAGCGCTACTCCAGTCTTTACTAACCAGACTAAGATCCTTCAAAAAATGTATTGACAGATGCTTTCAAGTCAATGAAGCTATAGTGCGTGATGGAATATCCATCTACAAAGCTGACCACTGCAACTCTACATCTGATGGCAAGCGCGCGGATTCGTCTCTCACTCCGCTCTGATGCAAAAGTAGCCGATCTTGTAGGTATTTGGGTTGGAGCTGAATACGTAGAAGAGTGTGTAGAAGTATGTGGGTTCTTATGTGAGGTTGATGTCTTCCAGAGCACGCTGGTTCCGAGAGTGTTTGCTTTCTGCATCTTGGGCTACTGCATTTACGCAGAAGGCTGTACGACCTTGGCCTTTCCGTTTGTGGGGCTGAACCGAACGGGACCAGTCTAGGAGAAAGACGACAAGTCATCTGCAATTTGACCGGTCCGAGAGCCTCCAATGGCTGTTTTGGCCAAGGCGGGACGCAACATGTAGCGATGTGACAGCTTCCTAGGACAGCCGTGAAGTCTCAAATAGCGTAGCAGAATGACTTGTATACCTCCACAAGCGAAGTGACAATCTCGCCAATTCTCTCCTAAGACGTTGAAGCTTTTATACGGCGTTTCTATTCGGTAAGACGATCACCGGAAAGATTTGGAGGGACTCGGACGAAAGATTGATAGTCAAGTTTTGAATGTGTTACCTTCGCCTGTCCATACCCGGGATGGCTCCACGTACTCCCAGGAGCGACATGTCATCTCTTTAGCAGCAACACCTGTCTAAGATCCGAGCAGGGCGGATTGTCTTCCTCTATCGAAAAGCTGGGATGAAGTATGCCATCATTGCAAAGTTGAAGACGTCCAGGATAGCATTTGCATTGCTAGACGACCAACCAGGGCATATCGGAAGATGTGAGCAACACTGAACCTGGAAACATTTTGCAAGGTCGAACTCGACAAGATTAATCTTAATGCCTGTAGACGGAGTTGGCCATGGGAGGCTAAAAAGCTTCTATGGCTTCCAAGGTCGGGATGCAATGATGACTAAACTGCGCTAGTGCCGAACAGCATGCGGGACCACCTTGCTACACGTCGTTCGCATTAACCCGCTCTACGAGCAGTACTGGCCATGGCAACTGAGGCGCCTGATCCTCGGACCTTACAGTCATGGGAGGATGCCTTCCAATACCCGATTCCAACGGTGCAGAAGCTCGAACAGCAGCTCCGCACGACGGCAGATGACAACCGTGAGAAGCTGCGATTGCTCGTGGGGTACATACAGCTCAATAGCCGCTGGATTTGAATTGTTGTGCTAATTATGGCATAGGACGAGTTATCGCAACCTCCTCGACACTGCTGAAACGATCATCGACATGGAGGCCCAGATGGAACAGGTTGAATTGAAGCTCGGCCGCATAGGCCAGAATTGCAATTCAAGAGTCTTGGACAAGGTTTCTGGAAATGCACTCAAGATGGACACACATGCAAGAGGCAGTGGTTAGTCTTTGGTTCATCGCAGATGGAGGAGTCTATTGTTGATATGGGCCTGCAGATGTCGAGCGGTACACATTTGCATCCCAGCTCTCGGTCCTACGAAACGCACCTACGGTCAAGACACGATTGATGAGGAAGGATGACCAGCACCTTCTCATCGCAAAAGTCCTTGTGATCTCCCGCCTCGTACACAAAGCTCTCAGTCAGTCGAAGAGCAAGCCACCGATTGTGGATCAGCTATGGGAAAAGCTACTCTCAGCGCGCAGGAAGCTACTGCGAAGGATTGACAGGCGACTCGCGAGTACCACCGGCGAAGCTACGAGCTTGGTGGAGAGCATGTGCGCGTACGCGCTCGCCACAAGCTCTACGCCATCTGATGTCTTGAAGCATTTCCACAAAGTGCGCAAGGAGAAGATGGTGAACGAACTGAAGAAGGGAGGAGACGAGCTTGCCAAACGAGGAATCAATGCCCTTCAACTGTGTATCCAGACTTGCCAGGAGACACAAACGATCTTTCCGAGACGTCTGGCCGAAGCTCTCGCAAAGCTGAAGGCGCATCCTTTGATCCAAGACCAGGAAGTACGTGGCCTATATGAGCTGAATCTGGACGTACACGACCGTTGGATTGGCGACGAGGTGCGGAACTATACCCCTTGGCCACGCCATGACGAACTTCAGAGACCGGAGGCAGAAAGGATATTGTATCGTTGGTCGAAAGATACAATCATAATTTTCTTAAAAGAGGTCAAGACTGCCCTTCAAGGTGAGGACCGGTTGGCAGAGGTTGCAAGCTTGCGTCAGGAGTTGATCGAAACGTGGATGTTGTCCGGGCCACGCATGGCAGGAGTCAAGTTTGCGAACGTCTTGGACGACTTGCGTGACATGATGAACGAGAAGCTGGAGGCGATTGTGCGAGCACGTACACAAGCACTGCAGGGTGTAGTTGCAGAACTCACCACTGGTCTAGATGGGTTACCTGCCAATAACGATACGCCTGGCTTATCGCTCTGGACTACCACAACTGACGGCAAGGATCTGAGCAACGGAGCGCAGGCGTTCAAGACAACCATACTCAACACACACCAAGGACGGGACCAAGCCACTCTGGGTGTGACGGCTGCTTTCGACAACTGGATGGACTCTGTGCTCGAAGTCAAAGGCATCGTGAAGAGCATGAAGGAAGCGCGCTGGGACGATACTTTCGCAGATGAGATTGAAGAAGATTCAGATGATGACCTAGGTGATTCGAAGCAGACGCTGCTCAGCGCGGACGACCCTCGGTTACTGGAGGATGTCACACAAGAGGCCATTGGCAACTCTTTGCAGGATTTGGGTAAGAGCTTGTCCCAGATCGCGCAGAGTGTGACCGACGGCAAGGATGACGGTGCTGTACGCAAAGCTGTCTTCGTTCTTCGAATTGTTCGAGACTTCGGCGATCGGATACCGCGTCTGCGCCTCCAGGAGAGGTCATTACCGCTCCCAACGCCGTTCACATCAGACGTCTTGAAGCCGCTCCATACGACCCTTGCCGCGCATGTCGCTCAGCTGACACTATCATCTCTCGAGACTTCTCTTGCCTCCTCGATAAAGGGTAACACTCAAACACATATCCTGTGGGAAGGACATCCGCCGTTACCGAGCCAGCCCTCGCCCAATGCCTTCAGATTTTTACGAGAACTCAACAGGACCATGGCGCGCCTGGGCGACGATCTTTGGGCTCCTGCTGGTGTCGCAGTTGTCAAGGGCAAGATGTCTTTTGATGTCATACGCCTGTTGGAAAAGCACGTCGAAGCCATCAAGGACTCCAAGCCACAGAAGCCTATTGAAGCTAACACACAGGACAAAGAGTCGGATGAAGCTGATGGCAAGGAGAAAGGCAATGAGGCTGACGCAGCTGACGTGGCACCTTCAACTCAGGAAGACGATCTCAGAGATCGAAGGTTGAAGCAATTGCTGTTCGATGCGCTCTACATGCAGCGGTTCTTCAATGACGACATCAAGCCGACACAAGCCACGGACGATTTGATCAAGAAAATCGGCGTAACAGATCTGGACGATGCCGCTGTTCAAAGATTGAAGAAGAACGCAGCCGAGTACGCGAAGAAGACATACCTGCTGTTCGCTCTGCTCGCCTGAGGCGCGCTACGTCACGCACCATTACTGTAGCGGTCGAAGCAAGAGCGGCCCGATAGAACCCATTCCGAATAATCCATCATTGACGCCATGACGCATTCAGCGCCGTTGTTATTAGCTTCGTGGCAGTAAATTTCCCAAGCGACTGCCAAGGCATATGACATGCAGGAACGGAATGCTGTCAAGCCACTCCAGCTGCACAGCGCTGATTGCGAGGTTAGTGGCTGTTGGATGAGCTTATTTGGACGCATCAACCGCTCGTTGAAAGTGCATTGTATGCTTCACAGAAAGGCCTCGCCTTGCATGTAACTCGAGTGCCACACGAGGAAGCAGCCAGCAGGTCGCAGAGGGGCACGCGAGGACAGTCCGTTAGACTTTACGCATGGAAAACATGTTGGGGTGGAGGCTGATTGCCCTGGTTCAGGCTCAAATGCTACCCTATACGCCCTCCCACGACCGCCCAAACGCCGGATATGAACGGATATCTTGAAAATGCACGCTGAATCTCCCACTCCCCTCTCTTCACACTCTCAATGTCCACGTTCCTCTCTTACGTCTCATCCATCTTATCCCCACACCTCAAATCCTCTACCTCCTTCCTCAACAGCTCAATCTCCTTCTCCTGCGCCCTCATCTTCTCGAGCGCCATCTCAATCAACCGCGCCTTGTTAACCGTTCTCTTCTCCCCCGGCTTCCCCTTCCCACTCCCCTCACTCATCCCACTCAATCCACTCATCCCACTTGTCTCACTAAACACACTCTGACCATCCAGCTCCTTACTATCCTTCCCGCCATCACCTCGCATAACAACAAAACACGTCGTTCCGCTGCCAAACGTGACTTCGCCGTCAAGCAGGAATTCGGCGAGATCAACCATGGCGGTTTTCATACGGTCGCGCCGCGCTTGCTCGGCCGCCCGATGCGTGGCGCGCTTCATCATTACTCCCGTCGCCATGGCGGTGCTGAAGTGCAGACCCATTTCTAGGTGCTGGCCACTGGAGATGAGCTCGTAATTTGATTTGGAGGCGAGGAGGTCGGCTTGTGGGGTTGTTACGCCGCCGGCTGCTACAAGATTGTTAGTATGAGGTGTTTTGGTGGATATGGGTGATTTGGGGGACGGACCATTGCTGTCTGTTGTTGCTATCGAGGATGTACGGCGGGCGATTGGCACTCTTTTCGTTTGTTGGGGTGGCTGGGTTGATATCTCGCTGATTGTTGATATCGTGCTCGCAGTCTCTGCTGCCATGCTTGGGCTTCTGGTGCTTGCTGTTGAGACTGATGGGTGCTTGATTGGCCGAATCGGGACTGATGCTTGGAACTGCGGTTGTGGTTGCAGTTGAGGTTGTACCTGAGCATATTGAGGTGGTGGGTGGTTATGATGTGGTTGTTGCACAGGTTGGACTTGTGATTGTGCGCTCTCTCGTACAGGACTGTATCTCCTCCTCTTCTTGAATAGTTGCGGCCATGTTCTGCTTAGTGGGCCGCGGTGTGAGTGTGTGTCAGTTTCCACCGATTGTTGGAGCGGGTAGGGTTGCATGATGGTATCAACGTTATGGCATTGGAAAGGAACAGTCCAGTAATGGAGGGTGCAGTCCTAATCCGGCTTGTGTTGGCGATATGTTATCGAAGTTGTCCAGCTCTTTGCTCGAGTTTCAAACCCCAAGGTCCAAGTTACTAAGACGTGGACCGCGTGTTTAGCTTGTCTGACAGGCACCCACTGGTGAGACGCGTAGTACTTGGGTCGCAACTTCCATTCGCCGATTTGCCTAGACTAGCTCTTTTACTTCTTTGAATGAAGGACGGAAGATGCGGATCAATGTATCTCACGATATCTGAGACACAGATTTCGCCATTATCTATCTGACCCGCCGACACATTAAAAGCAAAGGTGGCACCTACATCCCTTCCCATAACCCCCGGAGCATGTGTCGAAGCTGATGCTTGGCGTTCGTTGCTCCGCGATAGTGCCTGCTCCAGCCAACCACATTCACTCCCAGGCCCACGTGTAGCGCCAAGGCTCAGCAACGCCGCGCAGACGAAGCGCAGCGTCAGTGTCAGAGCGCCGTGGGATTGCTGATCAGCCCATTTGAGCACCGTGGTAATGCCCAGATAAGTTTGGCCTGATTGTGGGAAGGTTGCCACTAGGTGAGGCACGGCAGGAGGAGATCGAGTGGAAGTTGCCTGGGTGGAGCAGCGTGTCTAGCTCCCGAAACCTACGGGCAGAGCCCCGGATTGCTTCTCAGAGCGGCTGGTGCAGGCAGTGAATGAATACGGGTTTACAATGGCATGTATGACGAGGGGTGGTGGGCAATGGATTCAATGGATTTCAGCACGTGTGAAATGAGAGCTAGGGTCAGACATCAGGCTGATGATGCTGGGCGGTGGCTAATAGCGACATCGATCACAGCACCGGGGAGGTCCTCAAATCGGTTACCTGGTGGAAGATAGGCAAATGGTATCAAAATTGGGTATCGAATCTTGTCGCTAATCAAATAAATCATACAACACAGCTCCTACGTCGTACTCACTCTGCTCACCATCTCGTGGCTTTCGTGACTATCTTTATACTTTGAGTGCCCGCCAGGCACATACTCCAGATCCTCATCTTCAAGATCTGTGTCCAGCGCTTCGTCGCTGAGCATCTTGGGGTTGAAGGCGAACGCACCCTTGGGTACAAAAGTACTCGTCATAACGAGCATGGCAATGATTGTGAACTGAATGCCTGCAACGTTTCGTATAGCAGGCTGAATCTGATCGTTGTTCGCATCAGATACTCGATCGATGTATGTGCCTAAGCACACTGATGCGATGGCGTAGGTGACGATGTATGAGCTGTAGAGGAAAGCCATGACTGCGCCAAGTGCTGAGACATTCTTGGTATCCGACTCGATGCGTGCGAGCGACGCTTGAATGTAAGCCGCAAGAGACACGTCGCCGGCAGCCCAACCGAAACTGATGGGAAGGAACGTCGCTGCAACGATCCATGCCTGCCCTACATCGCCCTTCGGTGGGTGCCAGAATGGCAGATACCAGACAATCAGAAGAGCTAGCGCGTCGATACGCAGCCAGGGCATCGGCGTTTGCACTAGATTTGTGAACATGAACACGAACAATGCACCCAGCAGTTCACCAAAGTTCGAGCCGCCAACCATAATCTGCGCCCAAGCTGAGTTTCCAAGGTATCGACGAGCGACTGCGGGCGCGACTGCGTTTTCGAGGTATCGGTGCCCGTAGAGGGCAACTGCATATCCGGGAAGCAGCCATACGAACTTTCTGTGCGTGAAGATGATCCTGCCGCCGGTCCAGATCGATTCGAAGAACAGGTAGAAGCCGCTTCCTACAGCCTTAACGTATGTTGGCTGGCCCTCGAGGACCAGGTTGCTTTCGACTTGAGGCCCCGCTTCTTGAATGAAGAACCAGAGGAACGATGCTGCGGCGAAGAAGATTGGTGTGATGATGAAGGAGAAGTTGTTGCCGAAGTGCGGAATCAAAGCAAGCGCTGTGCAGAATGCGCCTGCCGTGCCTGAAACCTCGTAGAAAATGTGGACGAGCGAGTCCATTTGTCGTAGCTTTTGGACATTGCCGCCTACGAGATCTCGAGGGATGACTCTTCGAATGAGCTCTACCATGCCGTATACAACACCGCACACACAGTCTGTGCATTGTCAGCATATGTTCCCTTGCGAAATGCACTGTGGAGAACACGCTCTGCCGTTGTGATGAGGTGCTGTGGGCTTTGGTGGAGCTACTTACAGATTGGGATCATGCCGTCGGTGTTGTAGTCTCCGTAGTAACTGAAATCTCCTTTTGGGTGTCCCTTCGGTACGAATTTACCACCAGTTGCTGCGTCCAGGATGAGAAGTATGCTGCTCATCACCCCAAAGACCAAGATGGCGCAAGCCAGAACATTCTTCGTTGGATACCTCTTGATCAAAGGTGCTATCAAGATCGAACCCACACACTGGAAGGCCTGGTTGAGTCCAGTCAGGATGCCCACACGCTGGAACGTGATCGAGATGTGCGTCCGTTTTTCGAGTTCATCATAGCGGTTGGTTGCAAGAGCGATGACGGAGCCATTGAATGCTTCAAGTCCAAACTTGTACATCATAATACCGGCGATGTATATAGCGATGTTTCGCCGTTCGACGGGTGTGTAGATCTTCCATGTTTCGCGAATGACCTCAATGGGTCGGAACCTGGCCATGTCGGTGTTTGTGCTACAGACAGTAACAGCGATTCCAGAAACGCGGAGACGTAGTTTATACACCACGATAGCCGGGGCGTGATGTTCGAATTACCCGGCCAATCAGGGTAATCGACTGAGCATGTGCAGATGATACACGCTACAGCCTTCCCCAAGAATGGCTGCGACGCCCGCATGAGTGACGAGAGCGCATTGTGGGAAGTGTCTGTCCTTCGTATCAATTGAAGAGGGTGTCGCAGTGATTCCACGGCCAAGGTAGCCCAGTCCAAATGCGAACTTGGCGGGTTGCTCGGTGTTGTCCAGTCAGGGTGTAGAATGCAGCACGTGGAGAACGCAAGCTAATTCCCGAGTCCTGGCCGCCAACATCAACATGGGTCTGGCGAAGTGCAGGAACGCATCTTAGACCTGGACTGTGCTCTGCAGCTGGACAAAGCTCTCTGGCAATGTCACTACGAGCTCTGGAGTTTGAACAATTGACTGTGACATCGTGAAGAACGACAAGGCCATGGACTAAGTCGATAGGATAGATAGCTGAAAGGTTCATGAAATGTGCATTGTCAGTATCAATGCGACAGTAGCGATGTTTTCCAAATAATTGCCGGCAAAGGCTGAACCGGACTTGTGCAAGTTGTTCCTCAGCTCCCCAACCCTGGCAAGCGCACCCTTTGAACGCGTCGTCTCAGAAAAGATGCGTGGTCGTGGCAGTCCTTGCAGGTGTGGGTCGGTCGATCTACCCACTTCGATGGGTTCCTGCAGTAGAACGCGCTGGTCGCAGGTGTGACCTGCCGGAGTTTGAAGTCAGGTTACAGAGTTCTGCAATCATGGAAATTTCCGAATATGAGGTTTCTATGTCGTATCAGTAACTGAGTACATACTACAGTATGGAAAGCGGAGCTGACCTCTTCGCCGTTCCGGTGGCCCAGGAGATGTTCTCTGATAGGCGTCAAAGCCTACGCTGCTCCATCCTGACGTTCATTCTGGTGTCTCAATCGCCCCAAGGGTATCAATATGCCATCATTCAGTCCAGCTCAATCAGAGTCATTCTCGTTATACCGGCGCGCATCTCTGGCTTGCTCAGCCTTCTTGTCATCTTCAGCTTCTCGCTTCGCCAGAGACTCCCGTAGTCGCTCCTCTTGCTTCCGCCAGTGGCTGCCCTCCTCGTAGTCTTCACTGATGCCCAACGCTTTTCTCATCCTGTCACTCTCCTCTGCCTTTGCTTTGGCAAGATCGTGAACCTGATGTGACTTCAGCCGCTTAGCGTTGGGACCAGCATCTTTCCCATCTTTCCGTTCCTGGTCGAGTTTTCGGCGTAGGGCTTCACATTGGTCGTCGATTTCGTCTTCGTCAACACTGCACATTGTCAGTATATACGTCGTCCCCTCGTAGACAGAAACACGTACCCTTCTTCTTCAAGCTTGTCCCTCAGTTCGAACACTTTGACTTCGATGTCACGCTTCGCCTCGTGTTCGAGTATATCTGCGTCTGGCTGGCGCGGTCGATGTCTTGCATGATCGAAATCTTTCTGGTACGGCGCAACCTTGTCGCGGGGTCGGAGGAGAGAGCGATTCTTCTGAACGTAGCCGGAAGTACCGCTACCTCTTGGTGTCGTGAGTCCAACGTTGTCAGCCATGATGTGTGATGTAGTTGTTCAGGCGTTTCGCGCATTGAAGCAAGAAGATGCGGCGCGCTCGGAGGTGCCCCGCCCAAGATTTCCCTTTGTACCAAATGACGACTCACACAAGATGAAGTCCACACATCGCGGCGCACGCCTCCCAGTGGACCGTCAATCATATCACCTACCATGAACACCCAAGAACCGCTCACTGAGCTGCCGTTTCCACCGGTCACCAAACAGCACATCCTCAACTGCTCCTACCACAGCTGGCACCCAAAGTATCGCGCAATAACACCAAAGGCGCGCCTTGTGCCCTTACCGGCCACCTTCCTAGAATACCTTCGGTCTGATGGCATCGTATTGCCCCCAGAGGATACAGACAACCCTACGTGGTCTGACGACGACAGCGGCATCTTCTCCGGCGCAGACAACAACGATGGCGGCGAGGAAGAAGAGGCAGACCCCAGCGTTCTCTGGCGCGACACTCACGAGGCGATTGAGGGGGCAATAGAAGCGCTGGGCGGCAAGGTTGCGCCTAAGCTGAACTGGAGTGCACCGAAAGACGCAACATGGATCGCTGCCACGAACAGCATGGAGTGCTCGACACCCAACGACATCTACCTGCTGCTGAATAGCAGTGACTTTATTACTCACGACCTGGCACACGCCTTCGACGACACTGCCGATCAGTCGACTTCGCCAGACCCAGAAATAGCATACCACCTCGTTCTACGAAAGTGGATTAACCTCAACCCCAGCGTGGAGTTCAGATGCTTCGTGCGGAATCGACAGGTGATTGCATTATGCCAGCGAGACTTGAATCACTTCGACTTCCTCTTCAACATGCAAGACAAGCTGCGACAGACCATACAGGACTTCTTCGATTCCAAACTGCGAGACACGTTCCCAGACCCCAACTTCACCTTCGACGTATATATTCCGCCACCGCACGATAGAGTATGGATTGTAGATTTCAATCCTTGGGCTCTGCGAACAGACCCTCTCCTCTTCTCGTGGTTGGAGCTGCTTACGATGGAGGTGCCTGATGTCAAAGATACAAATGAGAAGGAAGAGGTGGTACGCATACCTATTGCACCAGCCGGTGGTACTACAGTCATATCTTTAGACGATATCGAAAGTGCGAGCGGCTCGGACGATTCGGATGGAGATGATGTTCAGGAGATCTGGCAGCCAGAATTCAGGCTGGTACGAAGAGACGACCCAGAAGCGTATGGATTCACAACACCGCAGTATAGCGCACACAAAATGCCTAGAGATGTTGTGGACGCAGCCAGCGGCGGCGAGGGCATGATGCGCGAGTTTGCAATGCAATGGCAAGATGCGCAGAGGCTGGCTGAGCAACAGAGACGAGAAGATAGCGAAGAAGACTAGACACTAATACTTCAGTAGTTTTGCATTGATATCGAGACATAGAAATACTACCTTGACTGCTTACCAACAGCCTTTGGAGCGCGTAGCCCTCATAATGATGTCCTGACTGCCAGCAGTCTCATGCCTTCCATTGTAGCCATCATAATGCAACATCGTATCCCATATCGTATCCAAGCATGGCACCGATGCATGGTACCCAAGTATCCTACCCAAACCACTCCCTCATATCGTACCAATCCCACCTACCAACGGGGCCACCTTTCCTGTATCTTCTAGACCTCAGTCAAGAACTGGTCTAGGTCACTCAATCGCACCTCCCGTCCCCTCCCGGTCATCCTCCGCCCGTTCAGCCCCACAGGCGCCTGCTCGATCACCCGCCAATTCTCCCAACTCGTACTCACAACCCTCTTCTCCGGCTGCGGCGCCACACCCACAGTAACGCCGCACCCCAAGCTCCCGCGCTTGACCTGCATGTCGATCTTGCCACCGCATATACCGCGAAGTAGATGGCTGACGGGGCTTGATTCGTCGCTCCACACGCCGGAGTAGGACTCGGCGCCGGGGTAGAGAATGCGGGCTTGTAGGGAGATGAGCTGGGGTGGTGCGGAAGGGGTGGGTGCGGGTGTGGATGAGAAGAGGACACGTAGTGTGTCTTCCAGGGCTGCGAGGGCGGCGGAAGATGTGGACTTGTCGAAGGCGGGGAATGTGGTTGGTGATTTTGTAGGCGGTGCCTGTCGCTGTGGTGGAGGGTCGAGACGCAGTCGTGTTCGACTGGAACGCAGACACGGTGTGGGGTTCGCTGTTGCGTGGTACATTGAGCGTACGGGCGTTGCTGCGAACGAGGATTGTGGTGTGAGGCTCAGGTCTGCGTTCGAGTCGAGGGAGGCATTGACAGGTAGGTCTGACTCTTTGGCGCTCGTGTAGTATCCGGAGATGTAGACGCGACGCGCCTGCTTGAGGAGAGACGGGTAGAGGTGGTTCAGCACCAGGACGCCATGTGGGTAGGATACATAGAGAGACAAGCCTTCGGTGTCATCCGCGGCGGTGGGTGTCTCTTTTGAACGTGCGGCTTTACGCGCTTTCCTACCGCGCATGTAGTCCTTCAGCTCGTCGTTGACCATACGACACGTCCTCAGCAAGGCCAGTGGGCCTGGCAATTGCAGTTGCGGCTTGCCGCCAGTCCACGCGTCTTCCTTGTCGAGGGCGACTTCAGGCGGTGTAGCAACAGAGAGGAGCGCGGCATCATGATTGCTGCGCACAATAGGCGCGAGGTCGAGTGGGAGGCCCGGCACGTCGACTTTACGCGCTTTGTCGCGTATGCGGTGACCGAAGATAGTGGTGTAGCCAGCAGAAATTGTGATCGCGTGAGGCTCGGCGAGGAGGTAGTCGTAGATGTGACAACGCAGTTCTGTGGGGAGGGACAGAAAGCCACAATACGTGTCGACCGCTGGGAAGCATGCGGGCGCCCGTGGGGCATCCTTGACGCGCATCTTGAAGCAATTTGTTGATATCTAAATTTTGTGAGGTGATCCAAAAGTTATATCAGGTACCAAGAGCGTGATATCGATTCCAAGATAGTTCTCCAGGCACTGAGAATGGTGGATAGCTGAACTGCAGTCTGGACCTGGCTCTGTTTACGGCGTGGGGTAACGACGAGAGAAGTCCGTGTCGAATTGATGGCGGAGCAACCGATGAGGCGAACCAAGTAAACGAGTCATTGTCATGCACAATTTGCCCACCGCTCCTTCTGTGCAGTCGCGAACGCCGTGAGCCAATCAAAGCCGGTCCCCAGCACAATCTTGTTTCAACAGATGTGCATAACCGGGTTCTAGTGGGCGATCCAGTTCGTTTGCAGTGGATCTTCAGACGTTTTTCACTGTCTCGCGAACAGGTTTGCGTTTCAAGTAGTTCCATCTTGACCGGAGAAAATCTCAGGGTCCAGTGGATTGTGGCTAGTTCTCATGTTCTTAAGAAAGTCGGATACTGTAACAGACACTTTTTCTTTTTACAACACAGCTAGGAGGTCTTCAGCAGATCCTAGACAGTGTTTCTACATAAGGCAAAATATTCTATAGTCATATATCTGTGTATCAGTCTACAAGACTCGCGCCAACCTGCTCTAACTGCCTCCCAAAACTTAGAGTATTGCAATCTTGAATTCGGCTTAAAGACTGAAAGAGACTTACCAACGGTGACGAAACGGTTGCAGCAATACGAACCATGTGATGGCGCGCTTTGCACCAAGATCTTGAATCTGATTGACAAGAAGAATTCACAATAACTCCGTATCATACATTCTACCTCTGGTCTGCCACTCAATGCTGCCCAGTAGCAGGAAGGACTCCGGTCAAGGAACAATACCGTGCTTTAGCTGAGGCCTGTTGCCTCAGATTTAGATCATCTCAAAATGCAACATAAAAAGGGCAGTTAAACGCGGCAACAAGGGCAAGCCTGGTGAACATGACACCTCCTACTCACCGGTGCTAGATCTCTAAACAGCGTTCACTTTGTGGATTCTGCCTACCTACATCTTCGAAGGCCACGAGAGCAGCTAATCAGTTAGAGCAGTTGAAAGCAGAACCTCATTGTAATGATGTCCATGTCGCAACTACCTATTCCACTCCACTCATATCTCAATATCAAGTTGCGCAAGCATAACCTCTAGCGCAGAAACACAAGCAAGGACGTAGGTGTAGTGAGCGTCGGCGTTCTTGAGGAGCTTCTTGACATCAGTCTGGGCAATGAGGGCTTTCTTAAGGGTAGTCTGGAAATTGTTTGGGAGTTGTAACCTGAGATTCTGAGAAAGGTCAGCATGAGTAATCATCAGGAAAGAGCAAAAGATACTTACTAGGAGTAGCAAACTGATTGTTGACGTTAGTAGTGCTTTTGGTGAAGTTGTCGAGCACCATGTCATGCTCAGCCTTGTCTGCCTTGCTCGCGAGCTGAGAATGCTGTAAATATGTTAGCAATGTCTAGAGGTAAGCAGAAGTCAGAGTAGAACTCGTAAGCAGAGCTTTGAGCTGCACAACTTTGCAGCGCAAGACCTCAACGCAAGCATCGTCACTGTAATCAGCACCGAGGCTATGAAAGGAGCATGTGTAGACAGGGACAGGAGGCTGAGCGGGCTGAGCAAGAACTTGGAATTGAAGTTGATAGACTCAAGCTTGAGGTGGTGGGTTCCACATACCGCGGGCGCGGCTGGCGCGGCCAGGGCGGCGGGGAGGCTGTGCGTAAGAATTGAAGTGATAGTGAGGGAACATTGTGCCTCCGTGCCCAGTGTATTACCTCCGTGGTGCCAATAGTCTGACTACCTCTAGGCTGCTCCTTTGACCCCACAACTTCACTGCAACGCTGAGACCACAATCCCGAAGAACGCCTAGCCTTTCACAATCTAGCTGCGTTGTTCTCCTATCAGCATAGTTGCCTCTATAGAGTCTGCGACTCTGTAGTAGCGTCGAAATGTTCTGGGATAGGTTTAGACTTTGGCACATTATTTCTATATCTCGATACCAATGTGAGACCAAGAACCACCATACGCCTTGTCCCCGATATGCCTACATTCTCCAAATGCCTGTAATTTCTCAGCAGATCCCTCTAGCCATCACCAATTAATTGTAACCGTCGTTCCTCCTCCACTCCGCATTTCCATGGCATTAGCAAGCTTCACCCTCGCCCTATACTCCCCATCCTCCGCATACTCAACATCCATAAACACAATCCTCGCATGCTCCGGGACTTCTAAGTCCCCCTCCCCTTCCACATGCTTATCCAAACCCATCTCCTTCCGCGCAGCGCCCTGCTCCAATTCCCAAGCCACCATCCCTATCCTCCCCGCCAATCGCCCATCAAACAACCCCTCCCGCCTCGGATGCTTCAGCATAACCTCAAGCGCATTCTTGCGAAGCGCAACACACGATGAAGGTGCGCTGGTGCCGATCAGCCAGAGTGCGGAGAGTGGGCCAGGGGCGGCTGAGTAGACGGGTGTGGACGGGGGCGTAAGTGAGAGGAGATGTGTGATGTGCGGCATCATGGAGGTGAAATGCTCGGCTGCATCGTAGGGAGTGGCAGAGAGCGGGCTGGTGACGTTGAAGTGGCGGTTTAGAGGGGCGACGGAGGAGCGCAGCCAATGGTGTGTTTGTGCGTGGAGAAGGATTGTTTTGGAGGAGTTTTGGAGTGGTAGGTTGATGCTGAGTGAAGTAGCGCGGAGGGTGTCGAGGGTGTGGGAGATGCGCTGGAAGCGGGTGATGAGGGAGTCGTGCTCGTATTGTATGTTCTCTCGGTCGGTGAAGGGGCGGACTACGCAGCCGCGGTTGAAAGCGAGGGTATCGTTGAGGAGAGTCTCGATGCGGCAGTGTAGCTCGGAAAGTGCCCATGGTGAGCTGACGTCTATATCTGCAGGTTCTGACGCTTGCATTGTTGGGACGACGGGCTCCCAGTTCTGGATGTCCGACCAGTTTATGCTGCTCCGTGCTTGGATGTCCAGGCCAGTGAAGATCGATCGTAGCGAGTTGATGTTGACGGGGTGACTGTTCCTGTCGTCATAGCTCTGGAGCTTTGTCTCTTTCAGCATGCGTATACCGCTCCGTAGATGGTCGAGCGCGGCTTGTTGCTGACCCTGGAGGTTGGCCATGCTGCCAAACAGGACACAGCAAGTCATGGCTGTCAGCTTGTCCACCACACCAGTCCTACTGTTCTCGATTTGGTCTCTTACTAGTCGCTGTATGGCCTTGTTTGACTGGCTCAGTGCGAACTGGAACTGCTGGTTCGAAACATCTTTTCCAATATGTGACGATGTGCATTCGAAAAATCTCCTGTACATTGCGCCGAGAGCAATGACGCAGTGCTGAATCGAGGCATATTGATGAGCAGCTTGCAGGACTTGACGCTGCCAGAACGCTGAATTAGAGCTTCGGGCTAAAGCCGGGCCAGCGTGTTTGATGTAGAACTGGAGGTTGATACGTTCATCGTCTGATTCAAGGCGCAGTAATGGCACAAGAAAAGATGGTGCGTCGAAGGAGCGAATCTCTAAGGCAAAGTCGACAATGTCTTGACCAAGAGTCAATAAGGGTGGAGACGTGGAAGGTGTTCTTGTAGGCGGGGACGTCCGTGTAGGGACGAAGCCAGGATCGTAGCCATCACACGCGCGGCCTGTGGTAGTACATCGTTTGCAATGTGGCTTGGTTTCGTCACATTTTATTCTGCGGATCCTACCAGACGAGCATCAGTATTGTTGTGTTACACGTGGCTGTAGCGAGCGATGGTGCAGAAAAAGCTAAGTGCAGATACACAACCTCTAAATTTGTAGGAGGAAGTCAGAGCAGATTTAGCTAGACCTTGTAAGCTGATAAGTAGGCAGAGGGACTAAAAGTGAAAGGTATCATCAGTACGCTTGGTAGAAAGGCAACATGGATTCGTGTAGGAGTGTGACCGAAATCAGCACTCACTTGCACGTTTTGCATCCTGTTCTAGTCTTCGGCCTATAAGCTCTGCTTCGAGGTCTTGTAGCAAGAGTAGTAGCCATAGCTGACGAATAGCAGTCAAGCTGATCGGGTAGGCGAGAGAGCAACAGTCGAGCCAAGTTTACACGCGATTGCGGAAGCCGATCTTGTCCGCGATGTGCATCGTTTGAGCAGCGAAAGAGACGAACTGTGCAGGTTCGTTGATGGTGTTGATGCTATCCTGAAAAGTTGCGCCTGGGTCCACTTTGCAATGTAGCCAATGAACTCGAGTTGCCTTTGCCAGTTTTCAAGTGAGCTCCTCTTGCAAAAGGGATTCGTCCAGGCAACTGCCGGTGTTCAGACACTTTCGCTGCCTGTTTCGCCCGTTTGGTGGTTGGGAAGTGGGTCGTTGTATGAAAAGGCCGTGCATGGTGAAAAATTTGTGGTGAGGAGGCTCAGCACGGGCCTTGCGCAGCGCATATTTAAACGCGAGAATCTCCGTCCCTCTTTATCTTCCTTAGTTCGACGATAGTAAGTTTTCCCACCACATCACACTGCTCAACACCGCTGTCTCACGCGCTTGAGCTCACTTGACCAATCACTAACAACTCCATAGCTTCATAGAATCATTTCTATAGTACACGTCCTCTTCTGAGCTTCCTACAGAAGCCACAGATTCTCCAACCTGGTTGATGACTTTCAGCCTCGATGCCCCGGAGTGAGGCCTTATTGCACCTGCCTTGGCGGGTGTGGCGATGATCTTCAGCCAACTGGGCTCGTACTTCGGTCGACTTGGACGGCAGGGCGTTGATGGCAATCTGACAGGCCTTTTTTTCATCGATGCACCTGGCTTGCTTGGTGCTTGAAGAAGAAATATTGGTCGCTGGTAATGAGGGGTTCTTTTCGTCCCAATTCCGACGTAGATTCGCTATTGCGACGAATCAGCAAACGCCCCACGGTCGCAGCAAGCGTGAAGATTGGGTTTAGTAGCCTAAAAATTATCGGCTTTCGCTATAGGCGGTAGATCTGGAGATCTCTAGCAGATCTCATACAGCTAGCTGTGTGTTGCTGATAAAGTGCACTGTAATCCTTTGTTTACACGTGAGCTTACAAGGTGAACGAAAATACAATTTGAATGACTGCCTAGAATGAGTGAGCTGCGCATTAATTCTGCAGTATCAGAAGCTGTAACGCTGCAGCTGCCAACGCAATGCACAAGATGGACATGTCTGTTCTAAAGCTTTCACCTATCGAACAGGATGAACAACCGTTCTTGCATCGCGATCGCGAGTGGTAGATCGCAGTTCAACCTTCGGTATAACTCTGGACATGTGCTCTGGTTTGCTTCTGCGAGGCAAGCGGCAGGTATGAATCTTGATAATATGCGAACCAGTCCCGCGTGCGTATGTAGGCACCTGCAACGGCTAGTAGTGGTGCAGCCAAACAGCGTTCACGAAATCGTAAGTTTGTGGAGGTGGGGCATACGACACTGCATGATAGTGAGCCCAGGATCATGAGCGAATCTTGCATGCGGCGCACATCCACAGAGTGACACATCGAATAGGGAGAAAGCTCGCAAAGAACGCTTGAAGCCTCCTAGAGGTTACTTGTAGAGTCCGCGGCGGCTGTTTTCGCAAGATCTCAAGATGTGGTTGTGTTCGTGTTCGTCGCCTCGGTCAACTGTCGGACAGTGAAAGTGCGGCGCCGAATCACGATCAGCTGCTTTCCGATTTCTTCCTCTGCCTTCACGGATCCGGCAGAACCACTCGAATGACAACCTTGGAACCCACTCTCCACTTTCCTGCGGTTGTGTATAAGAGACCTGTCATACCCCGCCATCCTTGACTACACTGTAAACCAGACCGCCTACTACTCGCTGTGTACCGCTGCAGACTGTGATCCGTTGTTACGTCACACGCACACTGCCCGCCTATAACCGCATAAGACGAACGAGCACCTCGAGTCATCCCTGGCAAGAGAACCTGCCGCACTATAAAATCGCACTCAAACGACCTACTGGCATAGCCTTGAGTGAAAGGCTCACAATAGCCACCCTGGCATAAAAGCGCGCACTTGGAGACGAGCAACTGTTGATGCACGAAGACTGCCAGTACTCATTTGCAGGGCGGATGGCTTCCGAAAATACCATGACAACCAACAGGCCCTTCTTTGGCGGCTTCCTGGCAGCCTTCCGTGCTCAGCCAACTGTACAGAAAGCGGGCGCATCGCAAGCCGCATCTGCAGCCTCTTACTCTCACACTACCGCACCGTCCCAGACACAAGGCTACGACGCCTCAAGTACCACACGAACGATTACCACCAAGACACGATCGCCCTCACCTGGGTCGACAACGGTGGTTCACACAACAGGCCAGTTCCAGCCCACCAGGCAACATGCAACACCATACCACCGTTCCACATCACCGGTGCACGCAAAAGCATTTCCAATCCCGGGCGCATCTCAAAGAAGCAGGAGAGGGTCTGATAGCTCCTCGGATGGCTTCAACGAGATCATGGGCGCTGAGAAGTGGTACATCGGTGGTCGAACAGCGACTGGCGAAGAGAAATTCTACAAGCTCGGCATGGTGAAGCGTCACCGGAGCGCAGATCGTTTGAGTCTGGACAAACTCAGTATATAAAAGGAGAGGAACACTTATGTTGACATGCATGCATTGCCCGGCGTTTGCGGCATTTTCTTGACTTCTCAGCACTTGCGAGATCCCACACCAGGCGTTTAGAAGGGAGTACCACATATCAGGACAAAGGAACAGGGACCAAGGACCAAGGCCCAATGATACCAATATACATACGCTTTCGTGAGCTTTGTTGCTCGCTTTTTTCCAATCTCTGACAACTTCGTCTACTTGTTGCTCTGAACATGCATCTGCACGTGAGGTTTGCCAAGCGCCGAACAACCGACTCAGGTTTATTCTCGAACACTGACACACTCAGCCAACTCACCAGCAGCAAAGAAGAGGCGCAACTTTCCAATTATCGGCTGGCTTTTACCTATTATCGGTTCGTTTCCAGCCGTCGGTGTGAATTCCGAATCGGAACTGGCAGCCTTACTCCGATATCCCTGGCACGCTACTCCGCTTTTCGGCATCTGATCACAATGCGTTACATTTTCTTCACGGAAAAGCTTCTCTTATGACGGCAACACGCTCCAAGCCGCGGATAAGACCAACACTAATGCTGCAACATACGACACAACATGTCCACCTTACAGTTCTCGACTCACTTGAGTCACCGTCCTTCTTGCCTCTCACTCAGAAAAGACGATTGCAATCGCTGATTGCTAGCATCATTCACTATTCGCATACCAATTGAAGAATACAATCCATCCTCGTTCCTAAGTTGCTTTCCATGAATTCACATCATGGCACCTCAACACAATCCAGTCCCAGCATCGACTGCTGCGCCTCAGATCAATGAAGAACCCGAGAAGCAGACGCAGTACGCCTCAATCGTACTTGAGGCAGATCGTCGTCTACAACTCCAGCTTACCATATCCTCCATCAGTCACGACGACATGGCCCATGCCACTCATGTTGTGACAGGAGACATGGACGAGGTCTACAACAAGTTCTCTGAACGACGGAAGATGATCATAGTGGCTGCTATGTCGTTCTGTAGCTTTCTCGCCCCGGTATCCTCTACTACTGTGCTGTCCGCCGTACCAGAAGTGGCAGCGACATACAACACGGATGGTTCCATCATCAACATATCTAACGCGCTATATATGCTCTTCATGGGTATCAGTCCGTGCTTCTACGGGCCGTATGGTAACATCTATGGTAGAAAATGGGTATGCAGCAATCAAGACACTACATTCCACAGCTTGACTGGCCAATAGTAGTGATGCTTCGAAGCGATTGGCTGACGATGACATATAGGTATCAGTAGCAAGTGCGGCACTCTTCACTGCATTCTCGATTGGCACAGCCCTCGCCCCTAACCTAGCGTCCTTCTTCGTCTTCAGAATCTTGACTGCCTTCCAAGGCACTGCCTTCCTAGTCATTGGAAGTGCAGTCATTGGTGACATCTACAAGCCGGTATGTAACACTGAATGCTTTCCCGGTTAATTTTGTCCTCCACTGCTCGAGTCGTTCCCAACAGCACATCACGTTCTCATGTCTATTCGGACCCGAACACGCCTACGATGCACTACTGCGCTCGCAGAAGGTAACTCCTCAGCACTCACTTGACCAAAGCTAACAGCTTTTCCAGACTGAACGTGGAACCGCACTGGGCTGGTTCATGTCCGGCACACTGATCGGTCCTGCACTTGGTAATCCACGTTCTTCTCTCTTTACTCTCAGCACACTGACCTGACAAGGCCCGTTCATCGGCGGTATCATCGTCACCTTCCACAGCTGGCGTGATATCTTCTGGCTACAGACCGCTCTAGCCGGCACCGCAGTAGTTCTCTGCTTCTTCGTCCAGCCTGAAACTATCCATGTCAAGCGGTCCACCGAGCTTGAGGGCCTCAAACCCTCAGAGAAAGCGCACAAGATGTGGCAATGGCTAAATCCATTCCGGGTCATCCGTCTATACTGCTATCCAAACCTCTTTCTGGTTGTATGTATCAGCTTCGATGCTGCAAACAAACAATATGCTGACGACCTCCAGGCACTGTCGTCTTCCTCACTAGTCTGGAACATGTACTCCCTCCTCACGCCCATCCGCTACGTCCTAAACCCGCGCCTCAACCTCTCCACTCCGCTCCAGGGCTCGCTCTTCTACATCGCTCCGGGCTGTGGGTACCTCTTCGGCACTTTCTTTGGGGGGCGATACGCAGACCACACTGTCAAGAAGTACATCCGCATCCGAGGCCACCGTGAAGCTGAAGACCGCCTCCGCAGCTGCCTGTGGTTTCTGGGCGGTGTCATCCCAGCGTGCATGCTCATCTATGGGTGGAGTGTAGAGAAGAGGGTCGGTGGTATTGCGCTGCCTGTCATTATGATGTTCCTACAGGGTGTGGCGCAATTGTTCTGCTTCCCAAGCTTGAACACCTACTGTTTGGATGTTATGCAGGGTCGATCTGCTGAGGTTGTTGGTATGTGTCCTCCACCCGTCTTTCCAGATATGGCACTAATGCTCAACAGCTGGCAACTACTTCATGCGTTACATGTTCGCAGCAGGAGGTTCGGCCGTCGTTCTTCCCGCTGTCAGAGCTATCGGCGTGGGATGGTTCTCAACCATCAGTGCGCTGTTTCTCGTTTTTGGTGCGAGTGCTACGTATGGCACTGCGTTGTACGGAAAGGGTTGGCGAGAAGCTATTGACGCAAAGAAGGCGGCGAAGAAGGAGGGAGAAAATCAGGCATAGCCTTTGATGTTTCGGGCTGGTGCACATGCTTGAAGTATCAACGCTTGTTATGTTTGCTGCTTCACCGTTCCATTAGTGCTCAATTGCTGTTATAGTTAAGAGGTAATGATGGAGCCTGGAGGGATTCGAAGATAGAACGGAAGACGCGAAAGGTAAGTTCACAATTGCGAGAGAACATGATTAGCATTAGATACCCAAATCAAATAGAACAAAAAGAACACCAAACAAACTTGCAATTCCATGCAAACAATCGATTACAGTGAAGCAAAATACAGGTGATGGTAGCGCTCTGCTCGCTGACCACCAACCCGCAAAATCCCTTCCCCTCTGATTGGCCCATCACTCCGCCTTGGCACCTTAACCCAGCTTCTCAACTTCTCACACACCCGCCGGCATCGTCACCACATCGCAACCCACACCCGCAACGATGCACGTCCACGAGCCTGCCAGACCCGTCCAGGGCAAGTCGATCGCCGCTTTTGTAAGCTCCCCGGATACTCGGTTCAACCATTGAGTGCCCTAGAGGATGTTGGAAGGATGGTTCGAGGATGGAAGCTGACTAGCGGACAGAGCCACCGCAGCCCGTACAAGGCTTATAGGAGCCCTTTTGGTCCTCAGTACGTACACGAGATTTCTTTCCGAGGAGTCTGGATGGAATTGGGGGATTGGGCGAGGTGTGAGCAGCAGAGGCAGCGTGGGGGCAACACGGAGGAAGAGGGAGGAACGGCTCGGTCGACCGCAATACATCAGCTCGCCAGGACAAGAAAGCCGCTACATCCTTTTGCTTCTGTGAGAAGATGGAAAACTACAGTGAAAGAAGAGGAGGACCCGGAAGAGGACTCGACACACGCCTGGAGAACCAACTAACGCCAATTCCAGGTACACCATCCAGCGCAACTTCCACGGCATCACCACCCGCACCCTGATCAAGGCGTACGTTCCCTCCCAGCTCCCCACGCCCCACACATCAAACTTACAAACACAGCGGTACCCTCGCAGCTGGTTTCGGCGGCGTTGCCGGTTTCTTCGCCCTGTTCTTCTTCGCCGAGGTCCCCAAGGTTCGCGACGACATTATGATGAGGACTCCTCTGGGCGGTTTCTTCAAGAAGGAGATTGCGCCTGAGGACAACCCTTTCTAAATGCTTTGCTTGATGGAGGGGATGTATTATACGAGGCATGGCTTTAGCGTTGGACTGGGCTGGCTTGCTGTATATTAGCGGCTGCAAGTGCGGAATAGACCTTTCATGTGTTCAAAAGTTCTGGTTTGATATTTTGTGATGGTGATAGGATGACTGTGTGGCGTGATGTTGTGGCATTGCTTCATTTCTTTGTCGTGATCATGATGTAGCGCTTGGATGCTCTGACATGCTCTATTCGTCCTTCCTGCCCATGCGTGCCTTCGCCATCTAGTTCGTGGGCAGCCTTCCAACGACCTCCTCCATCTCCTGATCAGTGTAGATCCGGAAGCCCTTGTCCTTGGTCACGCTCGCGAGCTGCACGTTCTTGCTGTCCAGCTTCTCCTCCATGACCTGCTTCAGCGTCTTGAGGACGAGGACTTCAGCTTCTGGTAGGGTGAGCGACTTGTGGAACTCGTTCTGGAGCTCTGCCTGTGCGCCTTCAGAACCGGAGCCAATCGCCTTGGCGTCGTAGCGGTAGAATGTGCCCGAGGGCTCAGCGTGGTACCTGCCGTTTGTTAATCTGTCTCCTTTCACGTGTGGTGCAGCATGGTATGACGTACAGACTGGGGCCATCCTCATCGTACCCTGCGATCAACAGCGCCACACCGAATGGTCTCGACATGATGCTCTCCTCGCCCTCAGCACCCTCACCGAATCGCAGCGCCAAATCGCATATCGCCTGCGTGCAGCTCTCTACCCTCAAAGGCTCGGCGTAGTTGAAGGCGTGGTTCTGGCTCTCGACCCGTGCGTGTTCGATCATACTGCGTGCGTCGGCTTGCAGTCCAGACATGGCGCATCCAATGTGGCGATCGATCTCGACAATCTTCTCCACAGAGCTGGTCTCAAGGAGAGTTGATGTAACGCGCTTCTCGACACCGAGGATCACACCTTCGCCGGTTGCAACCTGTTCCTGGTAAGCGTGTGTAATGGGTGGCGCGTGTATAGAGGAAGGTGCTACGTACACCTATCGCTGTTGAACCGAGCTTGATGGCTTCGAGGGAATATTCGACCTGGAACAGACGGCCTTCTGGTGAGAAGGTGCTGTTTCGATGTAAGCTGGAGGTTCTAGCGTGGAGGCGGTAGAGGTACGAACTTGATGCCACGATCTGAGGGACAATGTTAGCAAATGTATATCATAGCTAAAAGTATAGTGGTCACTTACCATACTCGCTGCGTGCTATGAACTGTGCTTGTTAGCAAAAGATAGAGCTTCGGCGGGGCTCGGTGGAGGGCATACCATATTGGCGGTGTTTCTGAGAGGTGTATGAAGGTGGTATAGATAGTGAAAATCGTTTTATCACTAGACAGTGTGTCCGTAGCTGCGAAAAAGCGTGCGGTGGCTGAGATGAGCGGCGGCGATGTTGTGTTTGTTGGAGTTGACGCGGTGCATGTGTGCCTGGCCGGGGAGCTCGACGCCAAGAACACCGCTAGCTCGAGATGAGGTCAATCGTTGGAACTCCATCACTTCACTTCTCGCATCGAGAGTCCCTGTTGGCTTCTCTTGCTTGACAGACTAAGAACTTCTATATGCTAATTATGGCACTCTCACTTGCTCCTTCAGCTGTACCTCCTGCTGCATCTATCACATACCGGAAAGAGCAGACCCACAGCAGCTTACTGAGCTTCAGTCTCTGATTGTTACTCATCAGCTTCTGACGTAGATGCCTGCTGAAGCTCATCTAGCTATACGAGGGCGTATATAGAGGTCAACTCCCGCTTCTACCTAGATCAATGTCTGCAATACTACCAGTCACTCATACCTCGCGAAAGGTGCGGATACTCGCTTCCCAGTTGCTATGATTTCAGCACATATCTTCAAACCCTCCTCGATCGACACAGACAGGCTTTTTATATGTCCGCCATGACTCTACTGCCGACGAGAGAAGAGAAGGAACTGCGATTGGACTGCCTTCCCGGGAGGTACAAGGAAGACCATCAACACCAGGACGGCTGCGCCGGGCTCCCAGCCGAACGACGCACTACAGCCGAAACAGCTAGATCCCCAGCCTTGCTTATAATCACCATCAGTAACGGCCACTCATTCCACCCTCGAACACGGGAGAGAGCGTGGTACAACCCTATTTCCCACAACTGATGCGCTCGTATCATAGTACGCCTGAATATCAACGGTTCAGCAAGCAGGTCGTCTGACTTCCTCAAGAAGGTGAAGATCAAGATGCGATTTCTGGCCTGGACTGACTCGTACCGATATGGGATCTAGCGTGGTGAGTAAGCACGCAAAGATCTAGCTAACGTACAAACGCTGCAGTAACCTGGTAAGCAAGCCCAAACGGTCTCCACTAGCATGACTTTGTCAATCTACGATTGGTAACGTTCGATGCAACAGTCTGGAAGGATTGGCCTCGAACCTAGACAACCAATCCTAGCGCAAGTCTACGCGGGACACCCATGCCGCGATATTGGCATACGATATATTTGCGCCATCTGGTAATGCGTGACATGTCATTTTGTATGGAGGCCCCGAGACCGTGACAATTATCCACGGTCATGAGTCTACGTTGCTGGATTTTTCTGGACAAATCTGCTTAACGCTTCCTTCCGATCTACGGAGCATAGCAGATCTTACCACCGCGTCCACATCAGCCAGGTCTTTCAATCCAGAAAGTAACGACGGTACGGTCATGCAGACAGGACTCATTCAACTACTGGCTCTGCATATGCTGGCGGGGCTTTCAGCCGCTCAACTGCCGTCAACATGGAAGCCGCAAGACATGATCACATATTTCTGCTCGCGCTGGTATCACCAATGTAGGTGTCTGTTCCACTGACGAAAGTCGAACACTAACCTCGAAAGCCATCATTAAGAACGATGTCTTATACCTGTATGGAGGCGTACAAACGGTATTAAACAACCAGCACAGTTTCTGTTTTTCGGTGACTAATGTGGTTGCTCACAGTTTAATGTGCCAGAAATTGACGTATCATCGAGGAACTATATCCTTGGCTATAGTAGGTCTCTTCTTCCTGCGTGATCATTTGAGGTCCTCCAGAGTCATACGTTTTGGCGATCGTTCCTAACAATATCAGATCCCTTCATACTACAACTCGACCTAAGACAACCATGGGACTGGCGGAAGAACATCTCTTGGCTATCTTTTGAGACTACACCCAACCCAAAAACAGGTGCAAGTGTCATACAAGCTATGGTCACTGGATCGATGTTCCATGGTCCTTACAGCAGCCCTGACGTCTGGACATATGGCGGAACGATCTTCCGGGGTAATGAATCGTTCCTGGAAACTGTCAACCCAAATGCATTTCGCGATCAGAGTAACATTTACCCGCTCTGGTCATTCGATAACGAGACCAATACCTGGGATCAGTTCGACATCGGCACCCTGAACACTCCAAGCTATGGATCATCGGCGGAAGCCCCTGATCAGGGTCTGGCATTCTATCTCAATGGCCGAACGGACAATGGCACGAACAATGGCGTACATAATGCGGGTGACATTCAGCTTCTTCTCGACGGCATGATCGTTATAGATCTGGTACACCATACATCGCAGAACATCTCAACAGCTGGTATGAAGGATCCACAGCCTCGTCTAGGCGGCAGCCTGCAATACGTTCCAAACATTGGCGTTAGTGGACTGCTCGTAGCATTGGGCGGCAAGGTCTTCGACGGAGTCCAGCCTGTAACATCACAAAGTCGAGGGCGACTGCTGAGCTTTGACCACGTTGATGTCTTCAATCTGGGCTCGTACAGCTCAAAGGAGAGTAACGGCACCTGGTATACTCAAGCCACTTCTGGCGACATCCCTCCAGCACGCATCGATTCCTGCACTGTGCTAGCTTCAGCCCCCGATAATTCATCGCACAATATCTTCATATATGGGGGCTGGGACCCAACAAGCAACATCACCAAGTACTACGACGACATGTATGTTCTTTCTCTGCCATCGTTCACTTGGATCAAGATGTTCATGGGTGAGTCACCTCGCTATGGCCATACTTGCCACCTCTCCGCTGGCCGTCAGCTTCTCACCATCGGAGGCAGTACACAACATGGTAACGTCACAGATTCGTGTGATTGGGAAGCTGAGTCGGTGGGAATAATGGATCTCACACCACTGACGTGGGGGAGTGTCTACTCTGCGGAGTACCGGCCGTATGAAGTCAGCAACAAGCTGATTGACAAGCTTGGTGGTACGGCACAGGGGAATGCCACGGTGAGGGAGCCCGATCAAGGATGGGCTTCTGAGGAGTTTGGGCACATCATGCGTACTTCCCGAATCTACTCGAATCTCAACGGCACCCTGGAGGTCTTCAATCCGATGGTGAAGAAGACATCAGGAATGAGCTCGAAGACTCGCACGGCAATCATTGCCAGCGTCACTATCGTCGGTGTATTCGTCATCGCCTGCATTGTCTGGCTCTTCTCCTTCAAGCGCAAACGACGTAACAGTGCTGCAAAGACCATCAGCCCCCGAAACACAACTGAGCCCTACTTTGAAGCCAACGAGAGAGCTAAGGTCGAGCTATCCCCTGACGAGAAGCAAGTCTACGAGATGACTGGAGAAGGATATATGCACGAAGCGACAGCAGGTACCGTCAGGGCTGAAGCAGATAGATCGAATATAGCGGTCAGCGCGGTCGAACTGCCGGCGACAAACTTCAGCGAGAAAGGGAGATGGGGAGTCCCTCTCATCAAGGTGCCTAGTCCTACAACTACAGTCCGTGTACCCAAGGACGAGAAGGATGAGCATGCTGGACGCGGCAACGAAGGTGGAGATATGGTTTGACGTAAGGAACGAAGGTATACGAATTATGAGCAACGACTTCGATGACAGCCTAGATTTGCATAAGAGTATCAAATGATGAGAACGTTTTTGCTTTGCATGTCAAGTTGGAGTTCATGTGAGTAGCTGGAACCTCGGAGGGAACGCCGGAGGTCCCCCGCTTCTTCATTTCGACAAGTCTCCATTGCATGATCCATACTTCGCAACAATATCAGTCCCAACAAGCAGATCTTACTCTCGACTCTGAAATCCTGTATCTCGTATCAGAGTGACAATCATGTCAGAATTACCCGTTCAAAGAATTGATCTCGAACCCCCGCCCCTCCATGAGCTCTCCAATTCTATCAAAAACGAGTTAGCACAGAACTTCGAATCAGCATCAGTCTCAGTCGAACAATGTCCAGATCTTCGGCAAGCACCCTACAACCTAGCCTTCGCTGGTCTATGTGGATCTCCTCGCATCGCCGACGTAGGCGGGCAGCCCAACCTAGCACCTACCCCTGACTTCACCAAGAAATACGATCTGCTCAACATCACGAAGCTCATGGAGATGCCAGAGGAGCAAGGCGCTCTGCTAGGTGCTGCGGCAGGGCCATTCCACGTTGTCGGGATGAACTCAGAGTTGATGCCGAATCTACGGTGGGAGGGCGGGGAGGTCGTCAATGAAACGCACTTTGCAAAAGTTAAGGATGATGGCAGTGCGCTGTGTGAGAAATTGCCTTCTCACTTCTGCGCGCTGATGGCGAACCTCTTCGGTAGTGCAGGATTGCCGGGAGATGCCCTGCACATCACAGCGTCCTCACGAACCAGTACCCTTAACTTCACCGAAGCGATCCGCACGGCATTACAAGATGCGTACGGCACGCGAACGATATCCCTTGGAGGCGTGTTTCTCATCTCGAAAGGCAAAGCGAAGTTGCATATTATGCCCGACTTCTCCACTACTCCTCTGGTCACAGATGAGCAGAAGCAGGAATGGTTGCGGTTTTATGAGATGGAAGCGCCGTTGGTGTGTTTGAGCGTGCTGCATTCGCATGACCCGGGGTTGGATCTGAGGATCGAGCATACACACTGTTTCTCGGATCATGGTGAGGGAGGGCATTATCATTACGATACTACGCCAGAGGAGGTGCAGTATGAGGGGTGGTTCAACGTTGCAGAGGTTTTGTACCGTATCGACAGACCATGAATAGAGTTTGCCGACAGTAATAGAAAGGCTCCATCCAAGATACTATCTATCAGCAACACCTGGAGGCACTCGCAGTGAGCCAGAGAACGACAGATACGCTGAGTTGTCGCAAGCACTGTTTCTATGGTGACGTCCCGATGAGGTTTAGACTCAGTGCATTTCCGGTACTGCAGACCCTGATGCTGCAGCATGCAAGTCGAACCACAACTCCTTCAGATTCATCCAGACTTCACTCATCTCGATGTTATCGAACGCCTCCTTTCCAATATTTCGGTGCCTCGTTGCCGACGCACGTCAGTGCCACGCATTGCCACGCCGGCCCGTTGCCTGGTGCATGAACCGCTTCTCCTGAGTTCGGACCAGGGCGCTATCCACGTCATCATTCCGAGCGCCCATTCCTGGCACCAGCGGCGGCGAGCAATTTTGTGCTGTGATGAGCCTCACTCTCACAATGTTCACAATACCGAAGATGTTCGCGAAGCCTGTCATATACGATGTTATCGTAGAAGCCTACAACTGATAGAATCCTACTTGGTACATCATACGCATCTCACCCCGGATTCACACGAGGCTTGCTCTTGCCTTGACTTTCTATGATCTCATTCGGCCCACGTTGAGCTTTTTCTGGGGCAACATTTCGGCGACCTCAGTGGTGGAGACATTTGTCAAGTTTGACGGACGTGTTCCACGGAAGTTGTGCGATGTTCTCCTTTCTTTTGCGAGAAGTACAAAGGAAATGGATGCATAAAGCCATTGACTTGCACATTGAAGTATCACAACAGAATTGTTTATGGACCTGATCCCCAGATGTCAATCTCGTGGTCGGAGATAGGAGGCTATTTTTAACCGGGCACGCCAGGGACGACGCCAAAACGAGAATTGACGTCGCCTTCTAGAACCGTTGAAAATTGGTTCTCCACAACGGCCAATGACTAGCCAAGCTGGGGCAACAAGAGAAGCTCATCATGTTCAAGAGCTTGTCCGTACAACAGCATAGAGGCATTCGATACACGGGAAAGCCGAGGATCTGCTCGGAATACAAGACCACATCGCGCGGCTGAGTCTTCCTTGTCGCCCTTTCAACATCTGTGAGCCCTGTTTACATCGTCCGCATGGCCTGGCCAGATGAGGAAAGCACGGAGATGCGGAAGCCCTTGCCCTGCCGATCCGCAGGTGCTTCTTCCCAATGAGCAATTAGCCTGTGCACGACCCTTGCCATCACTGAGGGTCAAGCGTCATGGACTGATCGAGTATTTACTGTATTCATTCCTCGCTCTTTTCGTCCGGTACTCATAAACCAACTTTTCCTATACCCTTTTGGTTTCCTTCTTCCATACCTCCTTTATTTATTATCACTCCTTAGATCTTATTCCCTACTGTCATAATGCGCTTCACACCTTCCGTCGTCGCCTCAGCGGCTCTACTGTCCACCGCCAACGCAGCCATCAAGGGTTTCAACTACGGTGCCCAGTTCAACAACGATGCTGCGAAGACTCTGGCCGACTTCGAGTATGAGTTCAACGCCGCAAAGAACTTGCCCGGTACCGACAGCTGGACAAGCGCTCGTCTCTACACCATGATCCAGCACGGAACCCAGAACACTGTCATTGAGGCCATCCAGGCCGCTATCAACACCAAGACCACCCTCCTCCTCGGACTGTGGGCCTCCGCTGGCCAGGAGTCTTTCAACAATGAGATTACCGCGCTCAAGGCGGCCATTGCCCAGTACGGCACCGCTTTCACTGATTTGGTTGTGGGTATCTCCGTTGGTTCTGAGGATCTCTATCGCATCTCTGCCGATGGTGCTGGAGGCAATCCCGGTACTCAGCCCGACGTTCTCGTCGACTACATCAAGCAGACTCGCGATGCTATCGCCGGCACCAGCCTCTCTGGCGCCAAGCTCGGTCACGTCGACACATGGCAGGTCTATGTCAATGCCAGCAACAACGCTGTTATTGATAACCTTGACTGGATTGGCATGGATGCCTATCCGTACTTTCAGAGCTCCTTCGCCAACGGTATTGGTGCTGGCGGTGACCTTTTCTTCGACGCCTACAACCAGACTGTTGCTGCCACCAAGGGCAAGCCCGTCTGGGTCACTGAGACTGGATGGCCCGTTAGTGGCGAGACCGTCAACCAGGCTGTTCCCAGCGCTGACAACGCCCGTATCTACTGGGAGGACGTCACTTGCAAGCTTGTGAACGACAACGTCAACCTCTACTACTACATCCTCCAGGACGTTCAGTGGGGCAACCCCAGCCCTTCCTTCGGCATCAAGCCCGGAGGTGATCTCGCCCAGGTCTCTCCCCTGTTCGACCTGTCGTGCCCTGCCGCGGCCAAGAACGTAAGCTACTTTCCCATGTTCATTCTGTCGTCTGCCCTGTCGCCTCTGCTCTTTGCTTTCCTCGCCAACCTGTCTCTTGTCACATCTGTGCTCTCCTACCTCTTGCCCGCTGCCCAGTCATGTTGCAATTGTCCTCATCTAAAGCATCTGCCCGTACATTCTCCAGCCTGGGCTGCAAAGCCCTCAGGTTGGGTTGCGCGGGCTAATGTCAATGCGAAGTGGACTTTGGCAACGGTTTTGCCTACAGCAATCAGCAGCGGTAGCCTGGGCGCAGCGAGTAGCACGAGCAGCTTGGGGAGTTTCAACTGGCCGAGTACCTCCATGGTGATCGATGAAAGTTCAAAGCACATGCTAACATAATAACAGTAAAAGCCTCCTCAACAGCTCAACCCAACATCGCTGCCCCTCCCGTGATCACATCGAATACACCAGTGCCGACTGCGCTTGCGCCCACAGCAGCCACGTCCGAGACTCGGTTGGCAATCGGATCCCTGCCCAAGCCCAGCAGTCCTCCAATCGGTCTTCAGGGTCCTTTCGAAGCACCGAATTCGATAGTCCCTGTCGACAAGGCCGACCCATCCAAAGTCATTGGTAATGGCTACGTCGCACAGCTATCACCAACCATGTCGACTGTTTTCGTCTTTGATGTTCGTCCCGAAGATCAAGGCAAGACTTGCAACCTAGCTTTCCACATGCCACCAGCCTCACCCTGGCCCGATATGTCACCTGTCAAGATTCGGTCGCCAGGTGGTATTATCGTATCCAGTGTGGGTCAGCAAGCTGCTTCGGCGGAGATCAGTGCGAACGATGTCGGCAGCTCGAACTTTGTTGGGTGGGTACCATCTATTCAGCCTGCCAACCAGTACAACATTGCAAGCGTTCCTTGCGCAGCGGGCCAGAGGGTTGCGTATCAAATCGAGTCTACTGGAGGTCTTACCATGGACTTCTTCCAGATGACTGTGCCCCCGCTAGGCCTGTTCATGTCGGTATCTTGAGTTCGATGTATCATTTGAGAAGAGCGATGCCAGGTTCCTGTTTGTATTCGTATGATGGCCTAAAAGTCTAGACTACTTCTGTAAATACTCAACCTCGTCTTCTTCACCTGCCAACCTGTGCGCACTACACCTCTTTTCCTTCCTTACGCTATTTAGAAGCAATCTTTTGTGCTAAACTTCTATCCACCACCACTACTCAATGATCCTCCGTGGCGCAATTGGCAGCGCGTTCGACTATTATTGGCAGATGGCACATCGAGAGGTTGACAGTTCGAACATGTCCGGGGAAGTATCTGTTTGCTACCTTTGTCAGGTGCAGGGGTCATCAATTGTTTTTGCCGCTGCCTTCACCTACATTCTTGCGGATGGCATTGTTGAACAATGGCGATGAAAATTGACTTCGTTACAGGAAAATTGCAGACGCCAATACGTTACATCACGGCATAAAAACCCACGTCCTCCCTACCCAACAGACTGCTCGCATTGTCCAGACCAGATCTCCTCTTCAGTACAGCGCGGCGTTTCGAATCGAGAGTGCGCATGAGGATCGTCGTGAATGTGCCGACAAGAGCGAGGACGAGGAAGAAGCGCAGGATGTAGCGCAGTAGTGTGTGGTGTGTGCTCCCGCTCCAGATGTCGAAGTGAGAGAGTGTTGCGAACACCCAATGCGTCTTCTCTCCATATTCACAGCGGCGGTTGTGATGTTCGACGTGACGCTGTTTTAGGGTGCGTAAGGCGGCGGCGCAACACTGTTCCTCGATGTGTATGAGCACAAGCACACTATGTCCTGTGGTGTTGGGCGCGCTTTGAGGAGGATCAGGACGTAGCGGAGCGCGGAGGGAGGCTTTGTGGTGGTGGAGGGTATCGAGATGCGCGAGGAACGCATTTAGATAATGGGATGTTTGCTGGATGGGGAGGGTCTTTGGTTGGCGTTGCGGGGCTTAGCTGCGCTGCGCTGGGCGGCAGCTTGTGAAAGGTGTGATGGCCTTGGTGGAGGCGAGGCGGGTTCGGCTTTGTTTATCTGCAGACTTTTCGAAGAGGGATTATGAAGGTTGTAAGACTATGGTTATTCGTGTGGAGGCCGCTCTCTTTCGATGCAGTTTGTGATCTTCATACAAGGTGTATGCAGCTTCTCGGCGTTAAATTGTAAGGCGCAGCAGCCCCAATGCTCGAAGTTGACCTTCCTGTGTTGACAAACATACCCACTTTTATAATGTTCCTTCTCGATGTTTGGTGTTGTTTGCGTTTACATGCATGACTACAGTTTCCGCATCCGGAACAAAGAACTGCGTGCGGCAGCTTCGTGTTGTTCTTCATGCATCGGCAGATTCGCATCAGCATGCACGATCATGGAGACCTTTACTACGTTAGTTGATGCCAGCATCGCTGTGTCTTGAGAGCTGGGCCTCCAATGTCTTGTCTTGTAGTGACGAGGCTGTCGTCCCACAGGGGGTTTCAAGCTATAGGGCTGGACATAGGCTGGACTTTTGAGTCTAGACTGATAGGTATATTCCCGGACCCTGACGTCGTTGGGTCTAGCTGCGAGCCATCTAAAGCGGACGCCGTTGACCTGGTCACGATGCGGGAAGGATTGATGCTAACACAGAAGGCACGAGGCAGGTGCAAAGCAACAGAAGGGAAGAAGCTAAGTGAGGTAACATAGCAACGGTCTTGACGACATGACAGTGCTGCAGGAATGTCAAACCCCCCACGAACAGTGTTGAAGCTAAAGACCAGCAAAGTCAGGTCAAGTAGGGCAAAGGAGAGGTTCATCGCTGAAACGAATGCATACATTCATGAATAACTAGCAATACCAACGGAACTCCAAAAAAGAACGCGAAAAATCAATATATGCAATCCAGTCTATCCACGCAAAAGCAGCAAAATATACACAAACAAACTCAGCAAACTTGCACTACACTACTACTACCTTCGTACTTTGACCCCAATACCTTCGACTTGCTAGTTTCCATCGCGGAACATGCTCCACATGCTCTCCGTCCGCTGCACCTGGAGACCTGTGAACACCTCGTAGCAGTCGTCAATGGAGTAATCCATGTAGTTATGAATCGGGTCACTCTCGCCCGGCTCCTACTAAGCAGGGCAACTCTACTTCTTGGGGTAGGTAAGACAGCCATCAGTCGCAGTACTCTCGATGGGCGTGTCGTCGATGTAGTCGCCCGGGCCATCGCAAGAGTACCCCTCGAAGGTGTGCAACAGACCCAGCCAGTGCCCGGTCTCACGCACAGCGGTCTTGCCCTTGTTGAAGCCGTCCATGAGCTCATCGGGCATCGCGTTGGCGTTGATGTTGCACCCGTCGTTGAAGTAGACACTTGGGTTTCCCTTGCCGTTGGCGACGGCGGAGGATAAGGTGCACCGCCCCAGCACACCACCCACCAAGTCGGTCTGGAAGTAGAGGTTGAGCGTGTTGTAAGTGCCCTGACGGAGCGTGTGCTTCATGTTGGTGTCATCGTCTCCTTTGCCTACGGCCCATGCATCGTTGGTGTTCCTCGTCACGTTCTGCAGCATGAATTGGATGTTGTACGGGTTGTAGGCTGCGTTCAAGGAGTCCAATTGTGCTTGAGGCATGACGTTGGTGATAGAGTCATTGGCGGCATTGGTCATGACGATGTGGAAGATCGCTTGGATCTTGCCGGGGTCGTCGTGGGCTGCAAGCACAGCGGCGCGAGCGGCGAGGCTGCCTTTTGCTTTGCCATCGTGGAGTTGTTGGATGGTGTCCAGGTAGGATTGGTCTGCAGACTGCGTGCCTGTGCCGCAGTCGAAAGGCTGGCCTGGTGCGCTCGAAGGTTGAGGGTCTGCGGCGGATGCTAGGAGGCCTAGCGAGGCAAGGAGAAAGGGGGTGCGCATTTAAGCGGTTGGCGTAGCGAGGGTTGCACAGAATGCGGGAAATGGCCGAAGTAACTTGTGGGACAATTGTTTGCTGAGGAGAATGAGTGTGCTGAAGGTAAGTCGCAGAACTGCTGTGGTGATTGCATATTGAGGAAAGCCACGCGGCTTTTATTCTCCATCTTCGACAATGTTGTACATATTCTGGATTCCTGAAGATCCGGAATGTCTATTTCGGTTTGTCTTGACATGCGTCTAGATTCTTGCCTAGCCACTGTCAGTAAGATGAATGCGGCTTCATCATAAGACCTATCTCGGCACCACGCCGTCTGACAGCGTTGACACGAAGCTTATTTTCTGGAATATCAGATTAATCAGGTGCAGAGTGTAGTAGCGAAGTCAGTCGAGTATGATATGCATTGACTAAACAGAAAAGACTATGTTCCAGTCTCTCGCTCAAACACCAAAACTCCAGGCCGTCTTAGCCTCATGATATCCATACAATGCCCAGGACCCAGGCTTACTCGTGAATCTGTACAATTGCGAAAGAAGGAAAGGGAGAAAACTAAACATTCTGACAACAAAGACGTTGTGGCGATACCTACTACTATGCTCCACCGGCCCGCCCGGTAGTTGTCGCCGTGCTAGGCTGATCGTTGTTCCAGGTAAGGTAAGTGTGGTCGCCGAGTTTTCTGGATGGATGTCAGTACCCTAGAGCTGTTTGCATTCAAGTGCCGAGTGACTGACCTCGGCTTGATAAGATGTGTGGCAAGGAACACGGCACCGAGTAAGATGCAAAGACCGCCGACGACGATGTACGCAATGCCCAGGAACGGGTTCTTGCCACCCATGACGGTGCGTGTGGAGATCAAGATGGACTTAGTGCCACTGTATGCCTGTACCGGAAAGCCTAGAGACATGTGAGCTACAAACCTACGGACTGACGTGCGCTGTGGGCTGACTTACGGTCGTAGATCTTCAGCCGGTAGGTGCCCGCTCTCAAGACATCGTTGTCATTACGCTGGGCGAGTTTGCTGAACGTTGGTAGACCGGCGGTCCTCATCCAGACCTGGAACGCCTCCCATGTGTGAAGATCGGGAAGCTCAGTCATACCGTCGTAGCTTCCGTTAACGTACTGTTCCTGCCAGTTGGGTGGGGGAACGACCTCCGATGGCTTGTACTTTGTCTTTCCATACAGATCGCCCTCATGAGCCCATGATATCCCGTCCGTCGTCATGTTGTATACACTAGGACTGTTTTCATTCTGCGAGGGGTTCGTTGCGTTCAGGTTGGTGAACGTATCGTTGAACATGGAATTGGCAATGAGACCGCAGGGGTAGTATGGCTTATTGTCGACCACGTCAAGGGGACCGCAATCACCAGAATTGATGTCGCTCACGGTGCGAGCTGTTCCCTTCAACTGCTCGATATCCACACTCTTTACATAACGTCGGTGGTTTTGATAGAAGTTGGTAAGGCGGTAGTAGAAGAGGATCGGCGGCTGGATGTCGTTGGGGATCTCGAAGCTGAGGATGCACACGCTGGTGTTTTGGACTTTGCCTGACGGCCAGGTGTAGTTCTCCCACGCCCTGCCCCACTGCGGCTGCGACTTCATCGACGTCTTGAAAGTTGCTGATACATCGCCCGAGGGGATGTCTGCGAGTGTGCTTGGAGCCGAGGCGTCGAAAATGGCATCTGTGAAGGGTGCAGAGGCGTTGCAGTTGGTGTAGTCAATCGAGATCTCCTGGACCTGGTGCAGATGTCAGATGGCTGCATGTCCACGTACAGCTCCAAATCTTACCAGTGAACTGGCATAGAGCAGCAGCCCTCCAATGGGTGCAAATATGATACCAACGACGAAGAATAGAGGAAGGACTGTTTTCGGTGTTAAGATGGGTCTGTTGCAGTGTGGTCAGTGTCGCTGTTCCGCTCCATATACACTCGTTGCACACGTACTGCCATGCCTTCAATCGCTGCTGTCGAAATGCAGTATCTACATATCCATCAGCATCACCTCTCTGCGCGTGCGATGGCGTCCAGGCTTACTCGGGGGTCGTCTGCTTTTCGTCTTCTTGGGGTCCTCGCGGTTAGGATCCTGGTTAGATATCGAGTCGCTGGCCTCCATCTGCTGTGTTTGCGACATGCTGAGCAAATCCGCGCTGTTCCGCAGCGACAGTCGTGGGTGCAAAAGTCGCAGTTGTCGAGCGCTGACGACGTTGCTTGCGGACGCGGCGGACCAGACGTTACAGGTCGCCGGGCTCCATTCCCAAATTAGCCACACGCACGGATCTGACAAGTCCCCGCAGCCCGCGGCCGCTCACCGAGACCCACCGGCAACGCTCGCTGTGATGCAGGAGGTCCCAGGGTCCAAGAAGCCTGGGGGTATTCAACAGCGCATGATGCGCAAAAATTGATACAGAATTTCAGAGCAATGGATGTATATACTTGGGTGGTCTCAACGAGATGATAGCATTGCTAGTCTAAGACTATCTAGTGACATTTCAGGGTCCACAGGCGGACTACAACAATATGTTGTGGAGGGGGGTATCGCTTGATGCAGACAAAATGAAAATGATGGGAACATTCAACAAACGCCGGGGCCGGGGAACCCATCCAGTCCGGGACAACCTGTCCATGCCGGATCGAAAATCAAAAACGCCGTCGTGATAAGGAGGATCGTTGAGATCAACTCCAAGAAGTTAGCGGTTAGCAGGACTCCTGAAAAACAGACCCTGCACACCATATGCAAAACGCGGATCATAAGCAAACAATGGTCCGCCCGTTGGACTCTGAGGAGGTACTCAGACGAAAAATAGATGGAAGGGTAGGCAAAGCACTAACAAGTGCAGCTAGACGTACTGGCGAAAGTAGTCGGCATCAAACCAGCCTACTTTGTCGTAAGCTTGCCAGAGCTTGCTAGCCTTGTTGACGTCGATCTTGCAGGCTTGCTGGGCGTCAGTCCTGCGAAACTCCTTGCCAATCTTCAAGGCATTGATACGAGCCTGGAAGACGCGTCGTTTGCTACAGAGGTAGGTGGCGCAGATGAGGCGGAGCGTCGAAGCGAGCTCGAGCTCAGCCTCGTGCAGGAGGTGACGATCGGCATCGTTAGAAAGGTCAAGCTTGTTGCCCTTCCACTCAGCCTTGAGCTTCTTCTCGTTGCCCATTAGCGACTCGAGAGGTGGCGAGTAGTCGGGGATGGCGTTGTAGTCGAGGTCGTCGCGAGTAGTTGCAGGACGCGCAGCCTTGGGCGAGGCACTACCAGTGTGTTCCTCAAACGAGTCGAGGATCTGAGCCTTGGGTGTGCGTTTAGGCTTCGGTTCGCGAGCAGGACGAGGAGCGACCTTGGGCAAGGCAACCTTCGGCTGACGTGATCTGGGGGCTGGTGCGGGTGCAAGCTTCTTTGGCGAAGGTCGCTTCTGAATGCCACCGGCGAGGATGGCGGATCTGCTGTAACGCTCCTCGAATTTACGCTCCTGTGCACGCCATGCTTTATATGCACTTCGGTTCTTGAGAGCCTGATTGAATACTGTGGCTTGAAACTGAGCGACGAGTTTGTAGTCCTCTTCAGCTGGCTTGCTCGCTAACCGAGCGTAGTCGGCGGATTGCATGTGCTGAGCGATGACCTCCTGAGACGATGGCTGAGACGAGAACAAAGGCACGTCCGAAGCGAGAGCACCTGCTGTTGACTCCCTGCGGAACAGTGGGGGGTCCAACGTGCCTTGCTCGCTGACATTGTCCATGTTCTCCTTCTGAGTTTGTGTGTCGAAAGGCGAAATTGGTGGCGAGGCGTACGCGGGCATCTTGAACATTGGAAGCTGCGGAAGATGGTACTGCGTGTTGGCGTTGGGGTCGACTTTGGGATATTGCAGAGCCACTGAGGGCATTGCAGAGCCGAAAGAGCTGGAGCGCTCCATTTCCGGTGGGGAGAGGAGCGAGGAAACTGTAAGGCGGTTGGTTGGTGGTGATTTATTCATTGAGGTTGTCATTATGCGGACGGCTAGAAACACGAAATTTGCTGGGAGCAACTGGGGGATTCCGTGGTTTTATAGTCGAATTTAGGCAGCAGGTTTTTGGGTGTGGAAGCGATAGTATGAAGTATGGTTGAGTAATAATTGGCGAGTTGGCTGCTGGATGTGTTGGCTACAATGGGTGGCGAAGCAGGCAGTGATATGGCTCGTTGAATCGTGGAACGCGGTGGAATCCAATTGACCGGCGAATTGCTGCTTACACCATCTGACAAGAGCGACGGAGATAGGACGAGAAGAGCAGAACCAGCGGAACCTTTCCAAGACACACACGGGGCGGGCTGACTTATAAGAGAATACCTACTCTGCTAGGCTGCGACAAGGAGAGTCATCCGTCCTTTGAGACACTGCCGCCCACTGCGGCGAACAAAGAGGGTGTGTGGTTGGCGCGCGTGCCATGGTCCCCTTCAGGCATCATCATTCGCATTCACGGCCGTGGAAAGGGCGACGAATGGGGATGCCCAATTGCAGGTGTGTGACCAGGGCTAGCAAGCGTGCGCAATGGGTCGCTGTCAGAAAGGATTGAGTCACTGCTGGGCTTGGTGCTGTTTGCGATGCGCTGGGTCGCTCCTTCCTGGGGCGACGCTCGGGCGCTCTTTCCTAGCGAACGCGGCTAGTCCCCTCGTCGGTGCGTGCAGCGCCCGAACGACCACCACGACTCAACGTCCGCCATCACGCTTCACTTGTTTTGAACCCGCGTTTTGCGTCGTTGTTGAGCGCTCAATTGAGTTTTGCCAGCTGTTGCGAGTCCTGCGAGACTTGGTCCGCTGCCATTGGGCGCCAGACCTTCGCCAAATTGAGCGTTTACGTGTCACAGCACTGCCTGCTGCCCGCCGGTAGGCTGCCTCCCAATGCTCCCTATTTACGTCCCATGTCTGCTCTAGATTCCCGGTCACCGCTTCCGTCATCTCCAGTTCAAGATGCCTGGCGTACGCTTGAATTGCACGCTACAGGCACCGTTCTTGCGAGCAGGCTGACCGCCATCCATGCAGAGATGATGGTTCCACCCTTGCTCCACATTCAGAGCAATTGCTCTATCATGTTCATGCAGTCTTCCGCACCATTGACAAACCACCGCTCGACTTGCCAGGAAGCGAAGAGCCCAATTGCTTTCACTCCACCTGCCTACCGTGGCCAGTGGCAGTCTAGCGAGAACTTCTTTTGCAGAGTTCTCGCACACCGCAATCCCGCAGCGGCGCTGGCCGAAGTTGCCGCCAGTTTGCGCGACCGTCTGATCTCAATTCGACCGATGGCTGAAGGTCTTGTGATACGACTTCCACCACAGTACCAGTATCAGACCTGGATGTGGTCATCGCTACTAGCCACGGGGCTGCAATCGGCGCTCTACAGGGTTTAATGTCAGGACGACATGTCTTGCAGCGAAACTGTGTGCCACACATTGCCTGTGTCAGTTGCCCATCTGTCGCCGCTCAGCAATGCAATTGCTCAATTGCCAGCATGATTGCTCACGGGACACACCCACCTCGTCATTTGGCATGTGAAAATCGCCAGACCTAGCTGGTCAAGAAGGGCGAAACACCCGTCTCCTGCGACGGGACGGCTCCGCGACTGGGGCGGTTCACGCACCGTCCGCAGTTCCTGAAGAAGTAGATCACGGGTCGTCTTCATCTCCTAGCACACCATCTTTGGCAACCCGGCACAGGCCGCAGATGTCCACATGGATGTTTACGGGGTCCTTATCACCCCTCGACCCCTCCCCCACAACACGATAAGGGATGTGACCCTCTTCGTCTCTCCACCTTGTTTGCGAAGTTGGGCTCTCTTCGCGCTGTTGCCGAAGCTGTCGGTCCCGGATTAATCAGGCAAAGCCGCCAATCACCGCGTGACAGTCGGCTTTCATCTTGTCGCCATACCCCTCAATTGCATCCTGCGACTGCAAAGCTAGCTGAGTGATCGTGTTCAGCGCTTATCGATATGGGCAATCTACCCGCAATACATCGTTTTGAGTCCGATCACCTCAATCGTCAAAGTGTTGCAGAGATCCGATACAACAACCCGGCCCTCTTCAGCCGTGGCTGCTGTGCTTTGTGTGGGAGACGAACCTGGGTATGCGCGACACCTCTGCATCCGCGATCTGCACGCCTGAGCACGTCGCAATTGCGTCTGCTGATAGGTCAATTCTGCCAGATGACCCTGTCATCCGTTTCCCGAGCTGTGCAAGATGCAACACCTTAGAGACCCTGCAGCGGCCTCTCAGCCTGCCGCTCATCTGCTTCGACTGCAGGATCTCCTGTCCAGGCCTCTATAATCGTATTACCAGCTGCCATCCTGTCATCTTCACATAGACAATGTCCTCAATCCAGCGTTCCAGAGGACGTCTTGTATCACTGTGGCAGCCGGCTCATCTATTGATCGATGCTCACCCCGCAACTCAGTACCAGGGCCGGAACAGATGAGCGCTGACTGTGTTTGTGAGCACATCCGTGTTGGCATGGGTGAGCAGTCGCCCGGATCATGATTTGTAAACGACCAACGGTGAATTTCTCCAGCCCCAATCTTCTCGCGACTGCCAAACGTTCCTCGGACGAAACAAACATCCGACTATGACGACATTGCAAATGCTCACCTGAGCAGACCGATTGCACCGGCTTTGAACAGCGCTCTTGGCAATTTAATCTTCGATGTTGGCGTCACGCAATCAAGCGGTAAGTGGGGGCAAGTGTCTCGGTATTTCGAAACCAAAGTGCATCTTGAATGTCATCGTGCCTTACCGCATTTGGCCGATGAAAGCGGCGATACCGTGAAGGTATCCAGCATCACGTGGACGCGCGCCGACTAAGCGTGACACTAGCATCGTAGCTTCAACTCTATCTCGGCTGTTTATCGCGCCTTCATTCACCGACTTACGCCAGAACCAAACTTCGGCAAGTATGCCAACGCCTTGTGGTTTGCGATGTCGACATTGACGTTGCCTACGTCTCGCGATTTTGTGACGCAACTGCTCAATTCTTTACCCTCGCTTCAACGGAACCACGCGGAGTCAAATCCGCTCAGTGATGCGCCCGAGTCTGTGAAAAAGCAGCTGCTATCACTACAAGTTCTGTTCCCCAATGAGTTCCTGCCAGCACTAGACCTCCTTGACCGGAAGCTCGTCACTCGCTTTCGGATCGGCATTGAACAACCGGTTCCCACGACCAGCAACAATGCAACGACAGCAGCCCTAGACGTGCAGATGCAGGATAGCAAGGTGCCATTGGCCGACAGTACCCGACCTACAGCACAGGAACCCCTAAGCATACAACCTCGAACACCACAAGACACTCCCGACAACAGCGACACAGTCCACTACGTCCGCTCAGTCCAACAGCGCTCCTCCCGCTTCAGCACCTCCTACGACAGCACCACATCCTACGAAGTCCGCCTGCGCGCATGGAACTGCACATGTCCCGCCTTCGCCTTCGCTGCGTTTCCGTCTGTACACCCTGAACCGCCTGTGCCCACTTATACACCACTCGCCACCCTCGAGAACAAGAGTCTCCAAGATGGACATGCAGATGGGGAGAAGAGGAAGACTCTGGAGTGGATGTTTGGTGGTGTGAGCTTGGGTGAGGGCATGCCGCCGGTGTGCAAGCATTTACTGGCGTGCGTACTGGCGGAGAGGTGTAGATGTGTTTTTGGGGAGTGTGTGGAGGAGAGGAGGGTTGATGTTGAGACGGCTGCTGGATGGGCTGCGGGGTGGGGAGGTTCATGATGACGGATTGGAAATGTATGGCTGGAGGTCGTCAGATCAGGAGAGATTGCTGTAGGTGATGTTATACCCAGCCGTAGCAGCGCGGCTTGTTGATGCGAGATTCGGGCAAAGCATGTTCAAATTTCAAGGTGTCTTTTGACGTGATGCATTATCGTCTCAAGTCTATCATGTCATGATGCCATATATCCTCGACCTAGGCTTTCTGCCCAGCGTCGTCTTTACACGCCGTGCAGTAGGCACAGACACAGCACTACCACGCTGAAGTAGTAGCACTCACGATCCTTATTTCAGCCCACAACTCTCCTCATCTTCATGGCTTCTTCTTCTCATCTTCATGGCTTCTTCTTCTCATCCTTGCCTTTCTCTTTGCTCTTGTCGCCCTCCTTTGCGTCGCCATTCACACCATCTGCCTTCTTCTCCTTCTCACCGTCCTTGCCCTCATCCTTCTTTGCTTCCTTGTCTTCTGCTTGCTGCTTGTTCTGGATCTTGTTCTCGATGAGGTCGTGGAACGCGGTGATGGCGCGGATCAAGCTCGAGAGGTAGATAGCCATAAGCTGGTCGTTCGTCTTGACGCTCATTGCGCGCGCGAGCTCGCCGTTGTCGATAGCGCCTGCTACGCCTGCCGCTGCGCCAACGCCGTTTGTTGCTCCGCCAACTGGTGTCGCCTTCGGTGTGGACAGGTTCGGGAGGAGGTTAAATACATCTTGTAGGTTGCCGAGGATCGCGTGGTTCACAGGCAGGTCTTCGTCGAGAACCTTCTGTAGGTACTGCCCGATGTCGCGCAGCCGCAGATGCAGGCCTTGCAGCGACTGCAGTTGTGATGTAATGCGGGTGGAGAGTGTGCCGACGGCAACGTCGCGGATGTCACGGAGAAGGTGCTCAACACCAATCTCCTCTGCTTCTTCGGCTTCGATTATCGATGGTGTGTGAACGAATGTCTTGGAGGTTGTTGTGCCGTCCTTGTAGCAAGTCAGCATGGTTGTAGCAAATCAAGCAGCTTCTTGACTCACGTCCTTGATCTCCTCCACGGCGAAGTAGGCGTCTGTTGGGACACCGACCTCCTTCGGCTGTACGTCGATGATAACCAGCAAAGGGTTCGGTGTGTAACGCTTGAATAGCTCGTTGACCTCCAGATCCGATGCGCGCAGCTTGGGCCCTGTGTGGTACCAGCCGATGAGCTTCTCGCGTGCGTTGATCTTCTTGAACATGTCGTTCATCGACTCGACGTAGTTGTGATCAAGGAACCATACTGACGGGTCCTTCTCATCTTCCTCAAACGGTACTGTGCATTGTGTTAGCTTCGTGAGCTTGTGATGAGATTGCCCCCGCCCCCGCTGTAGCAACAGGCGGCGAACGAGCTGTCTAACGTCTACACACCGGCGAAGCTGTTGGATACTCTGACGTTCTTGCCATCGTTCTGTCCCAAGAGCACACCAACAACGCGTTTCCGTGTCCCCTTCGCCTGACGGCCGTAGTGATCTGCTGCGGAGAGGAGCACGAGCGGCGCAACCGAGACGGTGCGAGTCACGAGTGACAGCGTCTCTGCTGTCGTGGCGGGCATCGTCGGTGTGTGCGTGTATTTACTGATTCAGCGATAAGGGCAGGGAATGAGGGAGGCGAGACAGATTGGGTGTGTTGGTGGCGGGTAAGTTTGCGGTGGTGTTGATGCGGCTCAAAGTGATGTTCACGAAGTCGGAAGCCACAGGTACGTTGGCTCGAGCTTCTAGCTTTAGGCAGGTGTGTCACGAACGCATTTCATCCATTTGGCTCGTACCAGGCAACTTTTCGGCACTGTAAGATCGCGCTCAAACAAGATTACATCTGCTGGGAGGCCTTCAGCTATGCAAGAGATTACTGCTCCAAGAAACTTTGGCAATAAAATTGGGGTAAAGGGTTCGTGTCATTGGAGTGATAAAGCATACAAAGTATCTGGTATCTAAGAAGCTGTGCATGCTGCAGAAAGGCAAAGGGTCTCTCATGTTACCGAAGAAGCGGGTTGTAAGCAGGCAAATCCCCAAATGGTGGGACGCAGTCAAACCATCCCTGCAGTCTTTTTGTTAACTTACAAGTAGCCTAAAGACTACAAGTAGTTTTGTGCAATCTATAACACAGCCAGAATTATGCTGAATGCCTCCAGGCTTGGCTGTTTAGACGTGAGATTGGCAGCTGCTGCGTCCGACCTTTCCCGCAACATGAGAGAGGGTAAATGCGATGTTGTTACAAAGTGGTCGTCGAGAAGTAGTACTGGTCCCACAAGAACTCGTAATCTTCAATGACACCGCCAGCGATGTCGAGGAGGGGCTTGCTCATCAGCTTTCGTGTAATGGCATGTATCCAGGATCTGGGTATTGTTAGCTGCTGAAGTCCCAAGTACGAAGATGAGACTCACTTTGTGATGTTCTCATAGAAAGCGCTGCGCATCGTCCACCAGCCGAGTGCCCAAGCACGCTTCTTCAACTCCTCCCTTTCGAGGCCAGTCAGACCCCGCAGACCACCGGCCAGACGTTCCTGGAAGTCTTTCTTTGCGAGCTGCCTAGCGCCGTACTCAATGCTTACTCCGATGAGCCATGGCCGCCAACTCTTCCTGTCGCCACGGAAGTGCTGCATAGCCAAAGCATACGCGACTGGCCGCAGGATGTACAGCGCTTCCGCAAGCTCGCCCTTGCCACTGACGCGGTGAAGTAGAGCCTTCGGGGGCTTGATGTCGTCTGCTGTGAGAACCTTAGATAAGAGGTAGCTCGATATATCTGAAGAGTCCGGTAAGCTCGGCATGGACAGCCCTGTCCTGGGCATAGTCCAGTTTTCTGCTTCCACTGAGCGCTCACTCGGTGGGGTATCCATGCCATCAGCAGACGCTGATGAATCTTCGAGGGAGCTTGGATCGATCTCTCTTTGCGGCAGAGGCGGCGATAGTAAAGGTCTCGAGTTCGTCAATCGTAACAGAAGCAATCGACAGACTGCCTTGATAACCTCTAGGAGCACGACCACGCGCCAACGCATCTTCTCGCCCTTCCTCTTTGCTGCCATTTCCCATAACAGTTCGGTGTATTGGATCAACTGTAGGACGGTCGCGATGCGCTTATATGTAGGCGACTTCTCTGTCCAAAACTTGGTGTAGCGGTGGTGCGGGGTGAGTGGCTGTCGGCGCGTCCCAGGCATTTGCGCCATTGCTTTCGCGAGGAGGGAGTCATGGTATAACGAAAGGCATTGGACGCCACAGTGTACTGTGAGGCGTTAGTCGAGGATGCTCGTGCTAAAGAGGGGGCGCAAAGCGTACATGATTCGGATGCTATCTCTGATTCCCTGAAGCGTCCTATCTGGCGTTAGCGCTCTGCTTGATTGTGATTACGGTTCATGTATGCGTACCAGGAATTATGTATGTGAGCGACCGCAGCGCCGACTCAATCTGTGACACTGCGCTGCTGTTCTTAGTGATGAAGTCAGAGTACATGCCCAGCCACTTGGTGGGCTGCGACAGCACCGCGGTCGCATTGTGCGTCGCTTCCTTAATCATCTTCGCGGTCGCACCCGTCAGTGGGTGGTTTAATAACAAAGTCCGTCCCAGAACATGAGCTGGTGTTGAAGGGTTGCGCTGGGGGCTGGCGCGATATCGAACGCATGGGTGAAGTCATGTCGCGTGGCTGCCGAGGTCCGGCTTCCCCAGATCCACATTATCCACCACTCTCAAAGCTCAACACCACAATACGAACCATGTGACAGCACGTTCCACATCAAGTCCTCGAATCTGTTTTCTGGATGCGAAGAATGTACGATGGGACAGTTTCGAATAGCCATGTCCTTGATGTCCGTCTTGAAGCTGCCTGAAGCATCTGCGCCCTTCTCAATCGTTCCTTGGAGCAGCATGGAAGACACCGGTCAAAGCAATCATACCGTGCTTTGGCTGAAACCTGTCGCCGCAATTTGACAGCCTACTCGACCTGCACCATGAAAAGGGCGGTCCACCGCTGCAAGAAGACAAGCCTGATGAGCATGTGACGACGCGTTTTGCTAGACAAGAGACCATACTCTTTTGAGTCTACCATCGGCCACGTCCGTGACACCTTCTACTCAACGGTGTCAGATTTCTCTGCAGGCATACACCCTTGAAGGCGCCCCTGCCTGCATCTTTGAAGGCTATAAGAGTCGAAGTACAAGACCAACCTCGAAGAGTTTTTCTCCAGCATTCAGAGATCTGTCCTAATCTCAATCCACACGCGCCAAAGAACTTATTTGTCCTAGTTGCTCAAGATGGCTACGACAACATCGACTAAGGTTCTGGTTCCACAGATACCTATTGCTCCATACCAGGCATCTCTTTTCACAGCCATCAACACATACGTCTACACATACATGTCCCAATACGACAACTCGCACGACTACAGGCACATTTTACGTGTCGTGTCGAATGCGAACCGCATCTTGCAAGACGAAAGCAAAACTGGACCATCGACGACGTACGACACTACCAGCCTTTTCCTAGCAGCCCTTCTGCACGATGTTGGAGACCACAAGTACGCAAAATCTGGCGAAGACACCGAAAATCAAGTCCGCAACATCCTCCTTGACCATGGCGCTAGCGCAGACCTCGCAGCAAAAGTCCAGACGATTGTCAAGCACGTCGGTTACACTAACGAAGTACGCAATCCACAATCAGTCGTCGATGTCCTCGCCCAGTACCCTGAGCTCGCGATCGTGCAAGATGCAGATCGCCTTGATGCCATTGGTGCTGTTGGCATTGGGCGGTGTTTCTCGTTCGGAGCGGCAAAGTTTCCGGATCAGCCTATGGGAAGGGCAATTGATCACTTTGAGGAGAAACTGTACAAGCTGGAGGGCATGATGAAGACGGAGAGTGGAAAGAGAATGGCAAGAGGAAGAACAGATGTGCTGAGGGAGTTTGCGAAAGAGTGGAGGGAGGAGGAGGCGTTAAGCTTCGAAGTGCGATGAATCATTCCAAGGACAAATACATGGAATTCGATTGAAGATCCGCGGTTTAAAACCTACAACGCCAAAAGATAATGAAACACAAAGGAAAATTGCCGGCGTGGTCATAGTAAGTACCGTACAACCCACCACTCCATCATACATTACTCCTTCCATTCTGCTCCTGCCCGCCGTGCCATTGAATCCCCTTCACTTATACAAATGCACCTCCGTGTGCCCACTCCTATGCCATGTCGCAAGCAACACCCCACACTGCCCACACTTATGCGTAACATTCTTTGTACTTGTCAAACAATACGGAATACAACACAGACTCCATGTCAACAGCAGCGCACCCAGCGCCCAAGCACGCGTGGTGTTGCCGCTCTGATAATCCGTCTCTGTCATGCCGCGGTGGTTGCAGGCTGGGCACTCGACCGGGGCGGAGGAACGGGTGAGGGAGGAGAGAGGAATGGTGTTGTCGTAGTGGGGCTTGCTGGAGGCGTCTATGGGAGACATGTTGTAGGCGACGCTGGGTTGGGCAGGATAAGACGGTGGTCCGGGTTCGTGGCTCATGAGGGAGACTTGATCGTATGGGGTGGACTGGTATGTCATGGACTGCTCTGGTCAGTGTTGCTCCTTCTACCTTTCGTTGCTGAAGACTGCAGCTTACTTTGCAATCAGCGGTACAGGGAAATTATCTTGTCAAACTTGAATGAGTGTTGGTAAGTTGGATTCGTCCTCTGGTAATCGTTGCGATGTACTGATCGAACATCGACGTTCCAATCTTTATACCTTGCATCGCACCCCTGGAGGACCTCGATGTTTGGGACTATGTTCAGAATGAGCGTGTCCGCCGACACTGCCCTTGAAATTTCATGCTCAAAATATCCGATGTACTTCCGGAAGCCGTCGTCGGCATGGAGGAGCATTTTCAAGACTTACCTTATAGAGTAGAGCAGGCACGCACAAGCTTTGTTTGACACCAAGCGCAAGGCTTGTAACAGCGAGTAGGACCGCTAGTGGAGGCTAGGGTGTGGTGCGCTAGCACCGAAACGTACCTTTTTCGTTTCTGTATTCTCTTCAGGTGGGATCGTGCTTCCTTAGCTGTGGCTTGACTCTTACACCTACGCACGAACCCCAGTGCTTTAAGATGATTGGCCGCGATTTGTGGAGGGAGCGACTCTGAGCTGCAGAAAATATCTCAGTTCGCCGACACCTTTCGTTACCATGCTTGCTGCTACCGTGTCCGAGCTCGTGCCGCACGGTTCCGCGTGCCGCACGCAATCATCAAAACAACGAAATATCATCAACACTATAACTCAACGACGCAATGACTTTAGAGGATGCACTTAAAGAAGCACGCGCAGCAGATACGCGCGGTGAACTTTGCTACCAAAAAATTGCTGATGCGCATGGTGTTGCGCGTTCAACTTTGTCAACGCATCACCGAGGTGTTCGCGGGACCATGCAACAGAAAGCAGAACAACAACAAAACCTCACCCCCCAAGAAGAGCTGGAGCTTGTTGATTACATAGATCAACTCTGCAGAGAGCACCTTCCACCTACGCATGATATGATTCAACATTTTGCCTCTGTTATCTGCGGATTTGAGGTTGGCAAGACCTGGGTTACTCGGTTCCTCCAGAAGCATCACAACGCGCTCTTCCCACGATGGACCTCCGCCATGGCCTCCGAACGCCACGCCGCTGATTCTCATAGCAAGTACAGCTTGTACTTTGACATGCTAGAGCTTAAAATAAGCGAGAAGGGTATAGAGCCTGAGCACACACGTACAATATGGATGAGAAGGGCTTTATGATTGGCAGGACAGGCAGACAGAAACGAGTGTTCAGCAGGACAAGTTACAGCAACAAGCGCTTCCAGCAGGCTCTAGAGGACGGCAACAGAGAATGGGTTACACTTATAGCGTGCGTTAGGGCTTCTGGAGTCGCTCTTCCTCCAGGCCTCATCTTGGCTGGAGACTCAGGCAACGTCCAGGCAGCATGGGTACAAGATATCAAGAAGTTTCAGCATCGCGTCTTTGTCACAGTCACCCCTAGCGGCTGGAGCAATGACGACGCTGCCCTTGGATGGCTGCAACAAGTCTTTGACGAAGAGACTAAGGCCTCTGCACGTCGAAAGTGGAGGCTACTCATCATTGACGGCCACGGCAGCCACGTCAGCCGCTCATTTTTAACTTACTGTCATCGCCATAAGATCCTTGTAGCAATATTTCCTCCTCACAGTACTCACACGCTCCAGCCAGCAGACGTCGTCCTGTTCAAGCCGCTATCAACAGCGTACCAGAAGGAACTCACAAGAAGGACCCAGCGCTCCAAAGGCCTGTTGCCAATGAAGAAAGGCAGCTTCTTCTCGTTATTTTGGCCTGCTTGGCTGCAATCGTTCACCAAAGACAACATACTCAAAGCCTTTGAGTCAACGGGACTTCACCCACTCAATTGCCACAAAGTACTCAAGCGTTTCCCTGAAGGAGCTGTACCTCCATCAACCCCTCCACCGCCTGAGGCAGGTACAACAGCACGCCAAATACTGAGAGAATTAGACTCTGTTGTGACGGATAAGACCTCGGAGGAGGCAAGAGCCCTCCGCCACAAGGTACATCACCTTGCGATTGAAAATGAGCTCCTCCATGATGACGTAGAAGGACTTAAAGAGTCGCTGCTAATAAAGAAGAGGCAAGATAAGAAGAGCAAAGCGCTTTTGCTTGTAAAGCCGGAGTTGGATTACTGGGGAGGAGCGCGCTGGTGGTCACCTCGATCATTTAAGGAGAGCCGTCACAGAGAGCGGATTATGAAGGAGACCGCGCATGAACAAGAGCTTGAATAAGCTCGGATGAAGGAGCTTGCACACACTAATAAGCTATACAATGAGAAGATCAAACAGCAGAAGCGCGATGTGGCAGTAAAGGAGAAGGAAGAGCGTGACCGCAAGCGCGCTAAAGAGCGCGCAGCTATCAACGCTCGCAAACTGCAAAGACATAAGGATAAAGAAGCCTGCAACGCTCAGAAACTCTCCCAATTGCCTAGCAAAGGCAAGCGCAAAACTTTAACTAATCCTAAGACGCCTGCAGCCAAAAAGCGTCGTGTTATGGCGCCTCGTAGTAGTGCTGTTGCTGAGCCAGCTCCTCCGCCTCGCAGCACTCACACCACCCGCAGCGGCCGCACTGCAACATTATATAAGTAGAGCTTTGGCAGATAGTTTTGCATGCATTAATTGTCTACAACACCAACAAATCTCGCAATAATAACCATTGTGGCTGTTTCTAGAGCCTTATTTTTGTATACTCCGTGAGGTGGGTGCGGCGTGCGGCACGCGGAACCGTGCGGCACGAGCTTGGACACGGTAGTTCCCGAATAGGTAATCTCTGCGTATGCGTATCGTCAAGGAGCTCACTCGACAGCATCAATCCATCATGCCGCACTCACTACCTGAAAATTTTTCTGCAGTCTACAATTTCTCGATTGCGGCTTTACATATCGACGCGAACGGACCCTATGTCAACAACGGTACAGCCGCGATGACGCAGTTATTCAGCTGTCCGCATACGCAGGAGCTCTATAAGAGCGTCCTTGTGGCACTCTCCAAAACCGGGCAAGTCCACGAAAACACCAAATTATACAACCGTTCATCAAGCTTCCCGAACATCATCGTCTACTATGGCGAACGCAAGTCTAGCAGCGCCGAACCTTTGCACTACCGCAACATTCAGCACTCCCGATCTCTTCGGTGCAAACTTCACTTCGCTGTCAGCGAACCTCGTTACGAACTATACCTTTCCCATCCCCGACGGCTGGCGCTATTCTCAGCCGTCCATCTTCGTACAAGACGCAACCTTCTGCAACGTCACGGTGTCCTACACACATCCCGGCCAGAACGACACTCTCTACGCCGAAACTTGGCTCCCAATCACAAATTATAATGATAGACTGCAGTCCATTGGCGGAGGTGGTTGGGTAGCAGGACGCTTCATCCTCACCTACGCGGGCATGATTGGAGCCATAGCTGATGGCTACGCAACCGTCACCACAGACGCAGGTCTGGGTTCAAAGACCTTCGATCAATGGGGCATCTCCAGCCCCGGGAACACCAACGTCTACGCTCTCCAGAATCTGGGTTCCGTATCTCTGAAAGACGAGGCTGTCATCGCGAAGCACTTCATCCAAGACTTCTACGGTGAGAAACCGAAGTACTCGTACTGGAATGGCTGCTCGCAGGGCGGAAGACAGGGCTCCATGATCGCACAGCGATACCCAGATGCGTACGACGGCATCATCGCAGCGGCTCCGGCATTACACTGGGCGGAAGTTGTCTTAGGAAGCATGTGGCCTGGCTTCTACATGGAGAACACAAAGCAATTCCCCAATGCTTGCCAGTTGAACGGGTTGACGGCGCTGGCGATCGAGGAGTGCGACCAAGATGACGGTATGAAGGACGGCCTCATCGCTGATCCAGATGCGTGCTTGCGTAAATTCAACGCCACCGCCCACATCGGCAAGATCTCCACCTACAACTGTACACTGTACGATGGCACGCAAACAATCGACGCCGCAACAGCTGATGTTGCGCGTGCCTTGTGGACAGGACCGGTCTCTTCGTCTGGCAAGAAGCTCTGGTATGGCTACAACATTGGCACCGACCTATATTCTCTCGCAGCCACGAATTGCACCAGCCTCGGCCAATGTAGCGGCAATGCATACTCAGTGACGGCCGGAATTGATGAGACGTTCGTGGCAAAGGGCGGTCCCATCAACATCACCGACGACAATGTTTCGCACAAGCGCTTTGACCACGTCTATCACTCATTCAAACAGCAATTCGATTCCCTCATCGGCACTACTGACCCAGACTACACCGGGTTCAAAGAATCAGGTGGTAAGATAATAACCTACCACGGTCTAGTAAGCCTCCCTCCCACTCATCCTATCTCACTCCACTAACATCCCCAGGCCGACCCCACCATCTCCCCCAACGGCACACTCTCCTTCTACCGCAAAATCTCCGCCACAGTCCCCGATACACCCTCTTTCTACCGCTACTTCAACGTCCCGGGCCTCGGTCACTGTTGGGGTGGTAAGGGTGGGCAACCTGTTGCTCTGTTCGATCAGCTGCGTGCTTGGGTGGAAAATGGGACGGCGCCTGACAGCTCGCCGGTCACGATGACGAAGCCGGATGGTGAGAAGATGGAACAGGTACTGTGTGCGTGGCCGAAGAAGGCGGTGTTTGGCAATGGGTGCGATGTCAATGGGAATGTCACGACGGCGTGCTGGAGTTGCGAATAAATGAGAGTTGACAAAATCCGTTTCCTGTAAGGATTGCTGGCCATTCATTGATTGATTGATTGATTGATTGATTGATTGATTGATTGATTGATTGATTGATTGATTAGTTCAATGTCCTATGTGTGTCTAAGACCATGGAGGACGGGAGGTACAGTAGCTCCTCTAGTATAGAAGGAGGGGAAGATACAACAAAGGGGGGTTTCTCTACAGGTACAAGGAATGGTAGATGCATATGCCAGGTCTTCTGTGTTTTGTCCAAGGTGCCATTTGCGTGCGCCCACCTTAGTCCTGCCAACAAAGGCTAGAGTAGCCTTGATGCCTTCTGTAGTGCGGAGAAGTAGCGGTAGTGTGAGCTGCACTTCCCTAGATTGTCCTGGAGTATTTTTCGATACTGCTTAAGACATTTGCAGCTGAGCAGGGGGTGTTCTAGGGTCTGTCTGGTTCCACAGCTGCATAGTGGGTGGTCTGCTTTGCCTCTCTGGAACAGATATGCTTTGTTGTATCCATGGCCTAGTTTGAGCTGGTAGAAGGTACTAGCAGTCTCTCGCCTAGTCTCCAGGGGCACACTTAGCCTTTTGCAGATTCCCCAGCTGTACTGATTGCTGGCCATTAATCACTTGAGTTTCGATGCATCTGAATCCTGTAACCAAGTTGTAGACACAAGTGCATGGTAATGACCAAACCAGTGATTAAAGATCTGTAATAATATAGTGCAGAAGCCCAGATGTCCCTCATTGTCTACCGCCTACCGCCTACCGCAGGTTGCTACTGCCATTAGTCTTACCCTCGCCGAAGCCGTTGGTTGGCGGTGTTGCAAGCTGCATCGGGCTGGGCTGACCGCTTGCTCGCAGGGGCAGTTTCCCGTTGGAGGGTGTGCCTTCCGTGAATGAATCCATCGATCCGTCGTCCATGGGTGTAACATCAGACTCGTCTACCTCCATGGGTATGTCGCCAGCTGGCGGCGGTGGAGGTGGAGGCGGCGCTGGTGGCTCGTCCGTCCGCGAACGTATGTTGCGAGGTGAGTCATCTGCTTCATCCTCTCTTTTGCGCTTCAACTCAGAAGACGAATCGTTGGGTGAGACCTCAACTCCAGTTGTTACTTCCAGTATATCATCCATGTCGATTTGCGGTGTGTCCGGTGTTGCACCGTTGTCGTCCTGTGCTGCACCTCCACGAGCTGCTTTCGCCTTCTCGCGCTCCTCCTTCTTTTTGACGGCTTTGTCCATGAAGTCCTTCACGTAGGTCTTCACAGTCTTCTCGTGTTTCGAACTGATTTTGGCGGCGGGGTCCTTGACGCGTCCAGACTTGTAGTCACCCCTAACTAGCTTCTTAGCCACCTCTTTCGACAAACGTTTGAGGTCATCCTTTTCGAGCTTCTTGCGGTAGTGCGCAGCGACGGCCATGACGTGTGGAGAGAGCTATTACAGTCAGTGATTTGCACGAGAGTTCAAGACTTGTCAACTTACAGTCGCCTCGTAAATCCTCTCCTGCTTCTCTTGAGGCAGACTACGCCACTTCTCGCTCTTGTGCTTTCTGTCTTTCGAGTCGTCGGCAGCAGGCTGTGGGGTTGTAGAGGCTGATGGTACGGTAGGTGTTACGTTCGCAGTGATGCTAGAGATGATGTCCTGCAGGAGTTGCGTGTCGGTTTTGGCTTTCGGTGGCGGCGGTGGAGGTTGATTTGCTGGCATAGTAGGTCGCTGCCATTGCGTAGTCCCTGACGAGTTGTAGTAGTAGGTGGTCCCATTGTCCGAGGTGGCTTGAAACCAACCAGGAGGCAGAGGATTAAAGGGCCGCGGTCGAGAAGCTGGACGAGGGCCTTGAAAGAACCCACTAGCAGGCCCTCTCGGTGCATTGATGACACGGGGTCCTGATGGTGCGTTCAGATTGGCTGGGCCTTTCGGCGCGGATGTAAGTGACGGAGACTTTGACCTAGATCTTGATCGCTCTCGACCTCTCTCGCGACGCTCGAAGTGGTTCTCGGTGCGGACAGGTGTGCTTGCATTGGGATCCCTCTTCATACGCGGGATCCGGTAAGCGACCTCCAACTTGCTCCACGCTGCGAGTAGCTTATCTGCGGACTCCTCAACACGCTCGTCTCCACAGCTCTTGAGCTTCTCCACCGCTTCCTCAATTTTGGAGTCTTGAATCTTGTTCCGAGTGATGCGCGGCAGCTTGTGCAGAATGTCCAAGACCTGCATCACAACGTTGAAATCATCCATCCATGTGGTCAGAGTCTTCTTGAGGGTCTCATAACCGTGCATGCGGATGATCCGGTGGCCGACCTTATCGTTGTCACTTTGCTGTATACGGCTGAGAAGCTTGACGGCGATCCATTTCTCTGTGCATTGGCGCAAAGCGGCCATGACCTTGGGCACACCATCGTCTTCGAGCGATCGTGGCTGCAGATCGTTGACATATTCCTCATCATCCTCACTGACCTTCTTCTTGCGAGGTTTCTTGGTGTGGACCGCTGTGTCCCAGCCATCGCCGTCATTAATTCCAAGCGCTTCGATAGTGGCATGCGAGAGCTTTGTGGCATTGTCGGACTGAGTCTTGCCACCGATGAAACCCGAACAATTAGGCTCGCCGCAGTAACAAGGCTGAGGATCTGCTCCGTATCGATCGACGTTGTAGTTGAATACCAGCTCTTCACCTGCCTTAACTTTTCGCTCAGCAAAGATGCCCATGCGCAGCTTGTCTCCAACCACCCACTTGTCCACGAAACAGTTTGGGTTGCAGGAATGGTTGCAAAACCTTCCCAGGTTGCCCTTCTTGGTCGCATCCACAAATTCGCCCTTCGTCAAAGACATAAAGTAGAAGTGCTTTATGCCCTCCTGGTCATACTGTATCATGCGGCGACGGAACGTCCGCTCGTCAATGACCTCGCCAATGTATTCGAAGATGAAGTCTCCAGGCACAAGGTCCTTGTTGGCTCGCAGTCCAAAACCCTTCTTCTCTGTCTTGATGACCGTGACATCGGCGTATTGTTTGCGCAGAAAACGTTGATTTTGACACTCTCGTCCGCAGCTGCAGTCACCCACGCACTCCATCTTGGTAGCACGGTTGATGCAGTCGGAGTCTTCGCCGCAGGCATTATTCTGTTTCTCGACCGCATCTGTTGCAGACATCGTCAGCGTCTTGCCAAGATACCAGAGTAACAGGAGAAAGACCTACCCCACTCTTCGCTACAGTCACATTCTAAGGCTGGATCGGTTGTGCCAATGTATTTGTTCGAGTACGTGCACTCTGGAAGAACGACGAATGTCTCTTTGGCTGCTTCTGTAGAGTCTGGTAGGTCGAGGTAGAGCGGCGGGGGGCGCGAGATGACTTTCTGAGAGGCGCTGCGCGAGAGCTTGAGGGCTCTGCCTCCTGGCCCAGGCTCCATCTTCAGCACGATGTCTCCTCCAACGACCTCCTCTTTAGTACTGTCGGCTGGCGATGACGCTCCGGATTCATGCTTTGACATGGGTGATTGGGACTTCGATCGAGAGGACTTGAGTCGGGATGGAATCGCGGAGGGTGTAGGGGCGTCTGTGTTCTCCGCCTTTACTTGTATGCCGTCGCTCTCACCCGCGCTCAGGGTAGCGCCTTCCTCTAGCTTCATATCGCGCAACTCAGGCTCGAGCTGAGCCGACTGCTGCTCGCTTTCACTGTCCGACATGACGGGCGACCGTGGCTGCGAGAGGTGTGGTGGCCGAGCTTGGAGTGGGAGAGTGAGGAGTTCTGGTTCTGGAAAATCAGACGCTAGTGGTTCTACAACACAGGAGCAAGCATAAGCCCTCTCACTGCATAGCACCCTGCACGGTGGTAAACAATCAGGAGAGCACTAACGCTGTCCTCTTGCGAGTGAAGAATTGCTCGGCGGGCGTGTCTAGAAACGCGGTGGGCTTGAGATTGACCGGGGGCAAATCTTCGCTTTCTTCTCCCTGGTGTGTGTTCCCGAGTGGAGTCCTCCTATATGCCTCTACACTGGAATCGCATGTCGCGCGCGACAACGGTGGTATCGAAGATAAGACGTTTGCGGTATGGTTTCGACGGTGATGCTGTCGACATAGAGGTGCACGATTCGTAATGATCGATTAAAGCTGGAGGCGCGGCAGACACCTTCCTTGGGACGGGACGCAGTGAAGCGTGTCCTGTGGTTAGTCGCAGCAAAGCTGTGCTTCTACTGATGTATCAATGCCTATTGTGCAGACTGTCTGGCTCTGAGCACGCGACGGCAGTGGTTTGTGCTGGTTGAAGGTACTGTTCGCAGTCGCCCTGATTTGGTTAAAGCCGCGGCGCGCTGTTTCCGGTTTCTTCCAACTTCACCGCTTCAAACACAAGAACAACCATTGGCTTTAGCCTCGACCATGCCTTTGTGTATGCATGTCGATCGAGACAAATAATTACTGTTTGTTGAAGACTACTGCAAAGACATGGGAAGATCGACTTTGTCGGCGCCATCAAATTCAGGATTATGGACATCATGGCTAATGCTTTGAATGCCCTCAAGCTAGACATCGCTTCGGCAGAACCAAAGAGCTTGGACACTACATTTCTTGCGGACACAATTCTTACATTCGTTCTGAGAGCTTCTCTGAAATGAGACCAACGACGGCAGAATTGGGTATTGCGCATGGTCCAAGACGAGTGATACAGAGTCTACAAATGACAGGAAACACGCAACGTGCAGGCCGACCACTGTGGACATCAAGAGGATTTGGAATTGTGGCATATGCAAGAACGCTGCCAAACATTTGAGACGAAAACTTTCAGCATGACGGTCAGCGTCCAGGACGATGCTCACATTAGACCTACACGTTGATGCCAGCCTACCTCCTACGTTGCGAGGGAGCTTGAACACGGTAGCTATTGATTTTCTCTTTGATGGTGGCAGAGTTGTCAAATGAAATCAGTCACAGGCCTGCTACATTCACGGTTATCTGTAGTTTTTCTCCCACTTACGAGCAAACTGGCGGTGTCCAGGCAAAGTCGTTTTGTTGTCTGTGTCCACAGTGATGTGAGCCGGCTTTCATGCAGCCCAGGAGCCTGGCTTAAGCAGCAAATGTTGGGTCCCAGGACCGAGTTATATTGTCCAGCATCCCTGCCCTATCTTCAGTCATCCTGGACCTAACTCGGTTGATTGGAGGTTGCAGCTAGACCGAAACCTTAAAAAAACAGCGACGACTTGTTACGAGAAACGGTCCCATCGGCTGATCACTGCATCGCTCGATTGGTGTGGTTTACGGGTGTTCAGAGAGCCAATCAGACTGACTAGTACTTGTGCGATCCATGAGCCGCATTATGCTGTAGGATTGGCGGGAGGCAGCATACCATGGCCTTTCTCAAGACAGCAGAGCCAGGAGGCCTTCATGGGGTTTTGAGCAGCAGTCTAACGTAGTCAGAAATACCTGCAATCCTTAGTCTACCTACCAGATCTTGATATCCAGAGATCTGTCCCTGGTGCTTCCTGGTCTTGGGAGAATTGCATGCTTGTTACCCTATTTCCGAAGCACCTCATTTGAATTCGATATCATATACAGTTCGACAAATCATGCGCTCGTTATTCGCAGATTGAGCAGCAGCCACGCTTTTCAGTGATCGATTTAAACTTCGAAGTTGCAGAGCCGTCCAGCCGAAGTTTTGAGAGCTTTTGCAAAAGCTACGGTATGTTAGCGCGTCATGCACAGCATTTTGCCACACGCGTTAGTTGTTGGGGCACCGGTAGTCCACAGCTGTACAAAGTCCCTTTGTGTTTACATGAGTGTTTGTTCTGTTCGCAGCTTGTGGTGACTTGAATGGCAACTGCTTTGTGGCAGCGACTTCCTGATAACGGCGTCTTGGCGCGGACTTTATTTCGACCTCGAAGGCGCTCAGAACGAGTAACGACAAACAACAGTCAACGCCATCGACCTGGCCCTGGGTACGCGTAAACACGACTTCGACGCGTTGCAACTTTTACCGAGATCGGATGACAACGCAGGAACGATCTCCTAGTTTTCCGCTTGCTGCCAAGTTATTCAATACCAACGGCATGTCAGCTTTTGCACTAGACAGGGAGGAGACAGATCTGCCCGCTCTGCACCACCATTCACAGCGCTTGGATAGCGGCCGTTTCGTCACGGCACAACGTTTCTAAGCTCCGCGAGGATCTCCAGCCTCCACCCACCTCAAACGATAGCACGAGAAAAAGATCAATTTGTCAACAGTCTTTGATGGCGACAACAACGCCAACCGGCAAGATTGCGCCACAGAACAACACAAGAGCTGCAATAAGTCGATTTACCCTGACCCAGCAAGCCTCGCTGTTGGTCAGAATTTTGGCATATGCATGGAAAATACGGTGAGAGTTTCTCAAAGTCAACGCTCTGGTTGGTGCAACGTGGCCAGCAAATGCAGGTGCGAACTTCTGTCACTGGTAGAATATAAGAATGCGCACAATGCCAGCCATTGAGCTACACAGCTGCAACCCTTTCATACTGGGTAGCAGAGCATGTCATCGCCCTTTACAATTCCAAACTGCCGTTGACCGTTTTGGTGGGATGGTGGACCAACGAGAGACAATAGAGCACGGACTTCCACTTGAACTCGTCTCGTCCCGGCGAGGCTAGTGCCGAAGCGCCCGTGGAAGAATACGTCTCATCAACCAGTCAATCACCCTCTGAAACGAACATTTCACGCTCGGTTGCATTAACTGCCTCCAGGGCTGAAGAAGCCGGTACACTACTCACAGTCCATCTCAAAATGACCAGCGCGTCTTTGGACAGCGACACGGTCCAGAAATCATGGCGGGGCTCGAGCCAGTAGGAGGATGCTACCGTTTTGTGTCAGGATTGTTCCCTGGTGAGACGTACAGGGGTCACTAGCGATTGGCTGACGAGGCGTCGAGGCGTTCTTTATCGACGTCAAAGACTACCCTGGAGGTATTCAGGTCGAGAGGGGAAAGCCGCCCCAACGTCAATTACATCGGTATCGTTATCGAATCCGCATTATAGTCTGTCCCCAATCGAGAAGATGTGTAGCGGGACAGATCTTGGAAGCTTTGGGATGTGGTGAGGAGGGCGCGGGCCCGTTACCTTCGCGCTAAGTATGCACGACATGCGTCCCATAATTTCCATGAGGACCTCCCTCTCTCCTAAACCAGCCTCATGCTCTCGTCTCTTTGACAACAAACTTTTGCCTACGCTGGCATGACGAACAGAGCCTACCGTGGGTCCTTCTGATGCTCTTTTTTACTCACTCGTTTATGTTTCGTTTCAAGACTCTCGTTTGTTTTATTCCTTGCCGGCCCTGTCGTTCAACCGCGCGCGAGGGTGTTTCGCGCCCGCATTCTGCACTTACTATACGGCCTTGTGATCGTTCGATGCTCGATTTGTCTGGGTGCAGTTAACTAGGATTCGTCGTGACTACTTCTTATCGGCGTCTGCCCTCGGGCATTAGTCGAGAGGCACAACATGGAGCAGCCCGCAACAGAGAGACAATGGACAGAGCATGAGAAGGTACGTATCGTCGCCTAGAGTGGATGCAGATGTCCACTTGACTCTGAATTAAGCTGACTCTCTTCGCCAGATCTACCTACTTGCCGAAATATTAAAAGCCGCCCCAGTATCTTCTCATGTCCTCTATGGCTTCATTCGCGACTATCACGTCCAGGTGCGATGGAACGACATGGCCCTTCCTCCTGGTACGTGCACATGGCATTTGCGCCTCCTTCATCTGAACCCACGTTGAGTGTAGGCGATCACATATCGCAATTTGGACGGAATGCTAACTTACTTTCCTCTCACAGGTCGCTCGCTTAACTCATGCCAACGAGCATACACTGATATCGCTAATTCGAACGCTGGCACCGGCTATGGCCGCCCCCCGTTACCGAACCCAAACATGTATCCCGGATCTGAAATCGCCAGAAAACGTCCTCATCCGCAGGAAGCTGCTCCCCTCGGTCGCCTTCTACAACCTCGTCCACCCCCACACCCTTACGCTGGCGAATACATCCCTGCCGGTGGCCCCGCGTATGCGACTACGATCAACACTGGTAACGAACCCGCAAACAAGAAGAAGCGGGGGAGACCAACAAAAGCAGAAGCACAGCAAAGAGCGCAAGAGGCAGCAGCACGCGGCGAAGTCTATCCACCTCCACGAAGAGGGCGACAATCGATCACGGTGCACCCCGAACCATCCTCTTCTCGACCCAGCCCAAAACAACGACCACAAGCGCAAACCCCACCGCAAACGATGACGCATGCTTTGCCCACGAATACCATGACTCCACAACACCAAATGCACGCCGAACAAAGTTCTGAATCGTCTTCAGGCAAAAGGCGGCGGGCGCGCCCTCAGCCCTTAGAATTAGAGAAACCCCAACGACACTCCAGCGAAATGCAGTCTCCTCTCGCCTATGGATCCGCGGATCCCACTCGCAGTCACACATATTCTTCGTTCACGCCTATCTCCGCTCCCTTGCCATCTTCAGCGGACTCTAGAGATAGAGATACGCGTATGGAAGGGATCGAAGAGGCTCAACCACGAACCACGACACCTCATTCGTTTAAAGACACGGTCGGCATATGAAAGCGTTTCCTTCGTCTCAAAAGCACTCACGGCGGCAATTTTGTTTTGAAAGCATTCGACGACATTCACGCCATTACGATGACCAGATTGTGCCACTGCATATCTTATGGCGGTCTTCTGCACGGTCTTTGCAAGCTTTTGCACGATCACGAACTCCAGTTACGCGCATCACAACTTTCTTTTGTGTCTATCATGAAGCGTCAATTTTCTGGATTTCTCGCGCATCCATTCCTGGTTTCAGCTTCTTTTCCGCCATGATGCTCTGTCTGACTGACCTTGCATCTCGACGCTTTCTGCAAACGCCGAGATGTCAAAAGCAGATTACCTAATGTCTTATTGTTCCTATTTACGACTTTGAGGACTATATCAGTTGGTATTCACTGGCTCGGCACATCCTTGCCAGCCATCCTTTCTGCGATATGTACGATACACGGGCTCCGTCCCACCACATTGCGCATCAGTTCCATTCACGGCCTCTGTACAAACACACTTAACAATAGAGTATCAATACTAGAATTCAACCACAGCCTATCGGCAGCTTTCGATGCAGTGTTATCAAGATTTCGAGCGAGCATTATCCTGTACTAGGTTGCACTTCGGTTCTGCAAGCCAACGCACGGCTTTTGCTGTCCAGTCAAACATCAAAAACCAACCTCTCACGACATCGACTTCATGCAGCCTAACAAGTAGGGTGGAGAAGAGGTGGCTGGGAACCCTGCGCCTGTCTGCTTAGACGCAGCCCAGGCGACACAGACGACAGATCTTGTTTCACCCTATGAGTCTGAGTACAGACTTCAGTGCTACACTCACCTGTCCACAGTGATTTCGGACACTTTGCAGATGCAGGGGCAACATGTAACGTTTGATTTAGTCCCAAAGCCCACATTTCACCGCGCGACAAAACTGCACATAGGCGCGTGGCCGCGATCACGAGCTGCTGTTTTCAGAAGATGTTGTTGTGGCGAACTGGCAAAAGGGATTGGCTGGGAAATGACTCGACCTGCATGTTCTTGCATACGGTCAGCGCTGCTGCGGCTGTGCGCTACTGCATTGCGAAAGGAGGTGCATGACGCCAAACTTCGAAGAGTTAGCAACTAAATGGGTGCAGGAAGCGAACTGCTTCAACGCGGACCGACGATGTCACTGGCGGCTCGAGGGTATATGGGGATGGAATTGCACGTGAAATGAATGGCAGCCGGGGACATTCTCGAGCTGGGAACCATCCCATTATATCTCAGACACCCTGAGCCACGAAAGCTGTTCCTTCGACCATTCCAATGCTACCATAGAATCACTTGCAACTTGTGTAACTCCACTCGTGTCCAAGCGCTATAGCCGAAAGGGGCAATTCCAGCGACCAGGGCATAGGAGCGCTATTGCGGGCCGAGAGAGACGATGCACAATCTTCCCAACTTGCTTCTTCATCGCGTGAGGAAACCAAACATCACTTTGTGTGAATCCTCCTCGCGTATCGTCAGACTTAGACACTGGTAGGTGTCACGGACCATGTGTTCGTGAGGCTGTGATCTGCAATCTGCATTCTGCCGCACAAGTGATCGAGAGTCTGAGTTACCCAGATTTATCCTGCGAACACTACAACCGGTGGAAGAGACAGGGACTTCTTCGAAGAAGACAGCCAAGCGGGAAGAGGTGTCAGTGGAATACCTATTCCCTACACTATCAATAACATCGCCGAATGACGAGCCGTTCAGTGTGAACCTTTCCTACATTGACTCCGATTCAATTGTAATTGTCTTCATCAAAGGGGTAATGCGAAATCGAAGAATGAGAATGACTTGGCACGTAAGTGCGCATCGTCCCGGAGTTAGCGGCGATCACTAGCGCCTGATGATGTCGCCTCTTTGGCTCAGACGACTGCATTAATCTCTACCTTTTGGACGCTCACGCATCACCCTCACTCAGCGCATACTTGACTTTGCTGATACATCACTCTATGAGTGTATGCGACCGTGAATTCGTGGCTTGAAAGCCTTCCTACTGCAGGCTGTTCGCTACATCCGCCGCTCGACCGACCACTCATATCCAGGCACACCATGGCCATAACCACAAAGCGCAAGCGCGGCACTGTTTCATACAAAGAACCAAGCAGTGCCGAGGACCTATCTGAGAGCTCTGAATATGAGCACACACCCAGGAGGAAGCGTCCTGCACCCTCTCGACGATCTGCGAGGCACCAAGCCAATGATGACGACTCCAGTCGACAAACGACACCAGAACGGTCTCCTGCACTCGAGCCCTCCAGAAAGAAGCACAAAGAATCTCGAACTAGGCGACATCGCAAAGTGTCATACAAGGACATCAGCTCAGATGAGGAGGAGGACCCAGATGCAGATTTCGAGGTTCCTGAGAAGCATGTCAGGACGACACAGCGCAGGGTAAAGGCATCAGCGGTGCCATCTCCACGACCTCAGAGGCGTGAAAAGGCCAGAGAAAGGGGGCGATCAAAGCAAAAGCTGGTAATTGGTCGGATACGGAAGCCCAACCAGGCACCAGGCGCAGCGCCAGAGGCCATCTCGATTCCATCTGACGGTCACAAACCAGCCTGGCAGTTTCTGCCATACCATATCCTCCTTCAGATATTTGTTTATGCGTCACATCCTCTGCACGATGAGAACGTGAAGCCTACGACATCAATACCTTGGCTGGTACAAGTGGCGCGCTTGTGTTCGACCTTCACAAAGCCAGCCCTGACAGCCCTTTATCGTAACCCACCAATTTTCGCCATGAGGCAGACTAGGAGGGACCTCGTTCACCACCTCATACAGCCACCGAGCGGGGTGCACAAAGACTACCAAGTGATGCCAAAGCGGTTGACCTTGGACGCAACCCAGATGTCTACACTGACGGACCCAACGCACAGTGTCGCTGATTTGGCAGCTCTTGTCAAGTCACTGACTACGCTGCGCGAGATCGACATCTTTGACCCTATCGACAGGCCACCTTTTCGTGGACGCTTACGGCGAGCGCGTCGATGGGTGTACCCGGATGAACTGTTCGCGGCGCTGCGCGAGACCGAATTGCGACTTCGCAGCTGGCGGTGGAACAGCATGTTTTGCCAGCGTGGCCCCTTGTGGATGAAGAGCATACATGGCGACCAAGCGTTCCAGAGCTTGCGCGAGCTCACGCTTGTCAAGTACCATCCAGAACCATCTCGCGAAGATGAGGACGACGATGAAGGCAACTCAGAACCTACGATGGAAGAGCTGATTGGCTCAGCGTTGGCTGTGCTACCCAACCTAAGGTCTCTGGCTTTCGAGACCTGCGGTATCGTTAGAGGCCGTCTGCTACCGCTCCTGCCAACGAACCTCATCAGCTTGAGCATCGTCAACTGCGGAGAACTGCTTTCTGATGCGCTGTCAAGCTTTCTGACAACCCACGGCGCACATCTCGAGGAGCTTATTCTGCACCACAACCAGGCGCTCGATCTGTCGTTCCTTGTCGACCTAAAGCAGTCGTGCCCCAAGCTAGAGGTTCTGCGAATGGACACGACGTACTACAGCTCCCTCGTCATGTCGTCTGATAATGAGCCCCTGTACGAGTCTCTGCTTGGCGAGAACGAGGTCCCTACCTGGCCCGCAACTTTACGTACTCTCGACATGCAGTATCTGCGCAAGTGGGACTCCACAGCGGCAAGCAATTTCTTCCAGTCGCTGATAGACTCAGCTGAGGAGCTGCCAGATCTACAAGACCTCACGATCATTGCTATGGTCGACACCGATTGGCGACAGCGTGCTGAGTTCAGGAGGAAGTGGAGCGCTACTTTTCAAGCTGTGTTCGCCAGGAAGTGGGAGCCGCCAAATCCTCATCTTGCGTCGCTCAAAGCATACAGATTGTGGAAAGAGAAGCAAGTCTCTTCGCAGATCCAGCCACCCCAAGTCGAGGAGGAAGAGAAGGTCGACTCGTTCGTTGAGGGAGTGACAGAAGAGCTAGCAAAACCTCAAGCTGCAGAAGAGAGCGACAGCGACGCACCACTTGTGTCCAGGCGCAAGAGGCAGGACGAGCAATGGGGCTCGACACGCCTTCGCTCGCGAGCCAAGGCGAATGCCAGCTATGACGAAGAGTTGGAGGACTCTGAATCAGAACAGGATGTAGAGGACGTGGAAAAGGTCTCATTTGTGCAGGGTCGATGTCACACAGTTATCTTCCGCATCGACAACTTCCGACCGCGAGAGGAAATCTACGCTGAAGCTGACTTCCTCGATGCTGAGCCCAGCGGCGATGATGAATGGAATGGCAACGATGAAGCCAACGACGAGGGCGGATATGCTTGGTAACCGTGTTTGGCAATGGGCATGGACATATTTTACGGGTTATGATATCAGGACATCTGGGAAACAGTGCATTGGGCTGGCGTTGGAGAGTTATTGTATAAGTACCTCGACATGTGTATCACCGTTGGGTATGGGTCAGGCACTGACATTGGGCCGCCACCTTGGCCGCCGTTATTACTCGATGCAGGAAGCATTGGAGGCTGGCTGTATTCCAATGAATTCATTGGCTCTCCTATAGGCTGCTTATTCACATATGATCGGTGTTCGTCCAGAAGTATGGCTTTGCAGTTCCTCGATGTTCCAACAAAGCTGAAGCTCTGGGGCGGAGCCAGACCGCTGACGCAGGCCGGACAGGGATGTGAGCATAGCCGTTTGAGAGCATCACGTTCAATGACGACTAGCAGACTGGCCCATCGCTCCTGCCTCATATTAAGCGCCTTATTTATGACTTGAGCTGCACCTTCCCTCCCAAAACCTCTTGCCTTGCGCATCTCATACTCGAGTATTCCTGTCGTCGCTGCTCCATCTCTACCCCGCGCGCCGCCCAAAGCCCAACATGGCTGCGCCCACTCCTCCTCACCCGCCTGTTTCCCCCGACTCAGGGCCTACAGACCCCAATCTGCCAAAGTTGCCTGCGGGTTGGATCGCCCAGTGGGACAACTCGTACGTCCAAACTACCTGCGCGATGCAATGTTGCCCCCGCTACAGCGTGCATATATGCCCCGCAATACGGTACTAACACATACAGGAGTCGTAAGTACTACTACGTCCAGATCAGCACCGGCGTCTCGCAATGGGACCTGCCTACGAGCGAAGTGCCCATCAGCGGAAGCCACCACGGCACGCCTGCGCAGAACACGAACCCTTACAACAAGCCTGCCGGCTCAGATGGACCTGGAGATGTTGGCGATGGGTCGAGAGGTATCGGCGGTGACGGACAGACCGGCGATCGCTCGCTGGGTGGCTTCGCCATGAATGCGCTCATGGGCAACAACAAGCAGAGCCACGGCAGCGGCGGGTCTAACAACCTCGTCGGTCAGCTTGCGGGCTCCTTCCTTGGCGGTGGGAAGCAGAACCACGGCAGCTCCGGAGGACATGGTAGTGGTGGATCCGGCAACCTCGTTGGTCAGTTGGCAGGATCGCTGCTCGGCGGTGGAAAGCAGAGTGGCTCTGGAGGCCACGGCAACCAGTCGAGTGGTGGGCTCGGTGCGCTGGGTGGACTGCTCGGTGGTGGTAGCAGCAGCAACAACCATGGTGGCAGCAATCAGAGCCACGGCAACCAGTCATCAAGCGGTGGTGGCCTTGGAGGCATGATCGGTGGCTTGATGGGTGGTGGATCGGTGAGTGCTTGCAACACCACAGTCTCAACGCGTCTTTACTAATTGATTATAGCATAACAAGCCTTCCAACAACGACTTCGGCTACAGCCACGGCTCAGGCGCCTCCTCTGGCGGAACATACACTGGCAGCGCACCGCCCACATCATACCAGCCCGGTGGCCAGCACAACAGCGGCCCTCAAAGTCAACACGGCTACGGCTCGCCCTCGCCTGCACAGCAACAAGGCGGTTACGGTGGTCAACAGCAGCACGGCGGTCAACAGCAGCACGGCGGTCAACAGCAGCACGGCGGTCAACAGCAGCACGGTGGTCCTCCAGGTCAGTACGGTGGAGGCCAACAGCACGGCCAGGACCAGTACGGCTCCCAGGCAGGATACGGCGGCCAGCCGCTGCAGCAGCACGGAGCTTACGGACAACAAGGACCGGGTGGCTATGGCACACAAGGTGAGCATCTCCATTGCCGTTGTCAGTTTCGAGGCACGAGCTAATCTAGATAGCTGGCTACGGAGGACCCGCCCACCAAGGCGGCGGTCAAGGCTACTACGGTGGCCCGCAAAACTACGACAACCACCAGCACAACCAGTACGGCGGCGTACCACAACAGTACCCTCCTCCTCCGGCCCAGGGCGGCGGCTACGGTGGCCAGCAAGGCGGTGGCTACGGCAGCCACCAGGGCGGACACCAAGGCCCATCGCAGCCCGGATGGTAGAATGATCGAGACTTCACGCAGCCCGGAGGGTAGCACCATGATCTGGACATGCGCTTGAAGGAGGCTGAGAAGGAGGGGTTAACCGATGAACTTGTCGAGAAATGGAAACGACTTTGGGAGGCCCAGAGGGAGCGGGAGGACATGTTCATCGACATGATTGATAAGGAAATCGACGAATACAAAAAGGGAAAGAAGAATGCGGAGGTGAAGGATTCACCTCTTAGAGGTCCCAGGATGTTCGACGGATAGTGCTTACGAGTTGTTAGAAGGTACAGGTGCATTGCGAGACCAGGATGATTTTTCCCCCATGAATTGAGCATATTCTCTGCTTTGTATGCGTTGAACAAGTTGACTTGAGTTCGCTTTGACCGGAACAGTTGTGAGCATTATGTTATACTTGGGTTGGTACATCGGCGTTGCGTCGAGTTTTTCAACTGCAGTCGAACCACAACTTGAAGATAAAACCCACGATAGGTTGTGTAACGGCCTAGCCTCGAAAGAATAGTGTAGGAAGTACAAGAAAGGAGCGCTAGACTGAGTAAGATCTTTAAGTTAAAGTATGTCCACTCGGGACAAGAACTTAAGCTCATGACGACTTTCACTCAGACATCTCGCGCATCCTGCCCCTATCGCTTCCTAGCCTTAATGAGAGTTGCCACAAGTCCCAACCTTGCATCTATGAGTGTCACCAAGAGCTGTACAGCACATAGATCCCAGAACACATTGCCTTTGTGTACCCTGGGTATTGGAATCGCAAGTAGCATCGTACATCGCTGGTTGTCGCTGAGAAAAGGGGGGCGACAGAGATTGGCGGCCTGGCAGACACCGACCACTGCAGCAAACCCGTTGGTCCTGCTAGAGCAGCAGTTGTTTGCACACTGGTCGTTTAAGGTGCACTGAGCTCCATTTCCGCGGCCTGTAGGTGGTGGTGCACTGGTGGTGCACTGGTGGTGCACGCAGTCGTGCACGCAGTCGTTGTGGACACGATCTTCGTGGTTGCTGGAGGCGCGGTCGCAGTAAATGTTGTGGTCGCCTTAAGCTTGATGTTGAGGCAGCTGCAACCTTCTGAGATCTTGGCCTGCGCGAAGGCAGCGAGAAGAGGAAGGATGTTGACGACCGGTCCGGCCTCAGGCTCGGCTGCGCGAACGATCCCCTTTGCAGAATTTACGGCCCGCTTCTGCGCAGGGCAATTGGCACCGCTAAGTCCGTTGCAAACTTCGTCGTTGGAAACAGGGCATGCGGAGCTAGTCGTCGTGACTGTTGCGGTCGACGTGACCACAGTACTGCGTTGAATGTCAGTGCTGTTGATACGGCTCTCAATGGATCACTGACCTAGTCAAGGCCGTTGTCGTAGTAATCGTTGACGTAGCAGGCACCTTCAGGAAGGAGCTATAGAATGTTGTTGCTGGTGATCCGAGGTTTTTGAGCACAGAGAGAGAGCTCCTATGACCTTCGCGCAGTTGACAGCACGAGCTTCGAGAGTGACCTCAGCAGGGAATGCTGAGACTGCACCGATGGCGCCGGCGAGAAGTAGGTAAGAGCGCATTGTAGAGGTGGAGTGTGATATCGATCTGAGAAGTCGAGACTTGAGGTACTGCTCTCATTATATGAGCTATTCTGTGGGCTTTATGCATTCGAAAGCGACCTCAAGCCGGTGGTTTGCGGAGATATCAAAACTCACACTTCACTAACCCTGAAAGCTGACTGAAATCCATCATGCGTCTAGTTAAAAGCCGTGTACGGAAGAATGCATTTGAGGTCTTGGGCATGTAGTTTGCACGAGTAGATTTAAGCTCCCAGGTTGGAGTTGGCCGCTGCGGAACTGAAGAACAACTCAGCATCTAATTTACTCCCATTCGTCCTGTAAAGCTGCCAAGTCGAGTGGGTGAGGTCGAGGTCCAGCGGCACAGTGTGTAGGTGAACTGCTGGACAGGTCTACTAAGGTAGTGTCCGTAGGTGGTTTTGGTACACTTGACTGCAGGGCGTTCAATTTGAGTCTCCAGGAGTCTGCGTTCGTGCGGTGTGTCCGAACTCGTGCATGTATAGCTGGGGATGTACTTGGTGGCTTACAACCCACGTTGCGCTAGTTGTTCAGGAACTGGTGAGGCTGGCGACCTAGCAGCCTTACCGAGGGCCGGACAGAAGTCGATCGCAAAGCTACTTGCACATCCCGCAGCCTTGTAGACCAAGCCTTGCCGCATCGAAAGTAGTGAAATGCGGGGTGGCAAGCTTTGGGGTTCCAATTTGGCCTTCAGTTCGGTCTGTCCGTCCAGATGGATCGATGTCGGTCTTGTGTCGTTGACTACGAAGTGTCTCCGGCTCTTCGGACTCAAGATTTTGTGGGCTTCGCATGGAGTGCTTGATTGGAGCTTGTAGTCCGGCGGTGCTAGGCTGCAGCTGCTGGTTTACGTCGTTGCTCGTAGTCGTATCTTGTGAGATCGACTCAGCATCCTGTGTCTCCGATACATGAACCTGCCACGGTGCTTCCTGGAGGTTCTGAGTTCACTTCTCTCCAAGATCAGTACGCAACCCCGCTGTCTCCAAAGAGCTCTTCACCTGCTCCTCTCAGCAATCCTATGCTCCCGCCCTCAGCGACAACCCTCCACGCAACCCTGACCCTCCCTGGTTCTTCAATACCGGGCACGCTACCCGCATCGCAACCCCCAGTCCAGCCGCTCAGACCCGCGCGGAAAGCTTTTGCATCTTGCCTCGGTATACGGACGTACGCGCTCCGCCCTTGCGTATGCCAAATATCGATCGGGATAGCTGAGCCCGTGGTGCCGAGGTACGCCGTAAGCGGTTGTAGAAGGAGGGCTGATACAGTGAGAGCGTCGATATCGCGTGGTTCTGGAGATGCTGCGGACGCTGAGGACGGTTGCGCGGCTGTGCCTGGTGTGACCAGGGTGAGGTGGAAGTAGGACCACGTGGGTTTGCGGAAGGTGGTCTGGTTGAGGATGTGTGTCTCTTTCTCTTTGCGCTTGCGCTTTTTTGCGTCTTGAGTCGAGGTGAGGCGGTCTTGTACGTCTACTGTCGAAGCGTTGGCCATGGATATGTCTGCGTCTGCGTCTTGGTCTTGTGCGTGTGTTGAATTCAAGGGTTTCGTGGCAGCGGACGGCGCTGTTGATGCGGCTGTCGTTGTCTTCGGTCGCATAACCGGTCTCATTGTCTCTGACCCACAAAGGCGCGTGAATTTGTGCTACGTATGCGAACACTGATAGGTAGCTGTCCAGCTTGGAGCTTGGAGCTCTGACACGAACTTTTGAGCGGAGTTTACTAGCGCGGTTTCTTATAGCCGCTTGCACATTATGGGAGGTGCCACGGCTCTGATAAGGTTTTCATGCTTCATGACTCTTTTCCGATATGACCAGCTATGCTACATTCCAAAAAAGGCTCCACTCGTATGCCGAACATTGCTTGAGAAGCCGCTACTCTGCTCTCCGACAAATCGCTAATCGAACTGTGTCATTCAGCCAAATGACAAGATGTCGCTACTGCTACCCATCTAGAAATGCTAGGAAAGTATTATCGAGGAATGTGTAAGGGGATGTACATCGTGTCGAGTATCGTGATTAGTCATGCCATGCTCCGCTAGAAACGCCTAGACTTTTCGACATGAATTCAACTGTCGCAAAAATACGGGGAGATGACGTATGTACCGCGAGGTATGTGCAGAATGACAGTCCCAAGAAAGCGCTGCGGTGTTGTACATGAAGGATGGATACGTGTGCCCATGATGTTTGCTTGCACTCGCTCACTGCTTGCTCTTGCCTTTGCCCGCAGCTTCACCACTCTCCTCGGAATATGGTGCTGGGATGTTGAACTTGTTCTTGAAATCGCAAGACCACTCGAATTCCAGTGCTCCTTTCGGAAGATTTTGGTTCAAATCCTCAATGACCCATTGCAGTTGGCCAGTTTGTAAGAAGAGAGTTGGGAGGTGATTCAGCAGCTCCTTGTTGACAGGATCGTTGAATTCCTTAACCAGCTTCTCGAACTCGGTGCAGATCTTGCCCAAGGCAGCTTGGAGGCTCTCCACCTGGTCGGAGGTCGTCTTGATCTTGCCAGTCTCAAGCTCTTTGAATCGATCATTGCTAGCGAGCACAATGTCTTGCTCAGCTTCGACACGCTCCTCACGCTCCTTGTGGACTTTCGTTGTCAGATCCTTGATGGAGGCCCTGATGGACTTCTCGACATCTACCCGTAAATCGTGCTCCTTGCCAGCCTTAGTCACGAACTCATTGCGAGCTTGGAGTGCCCTCTTGAATTCAGCTTCAACGTCAGCTCGCAGCGTACTGATTGATTGTTCCAACGCCGCCAGTGATTCTGTCCTGACAAAAGGCGTGTTGTTTGAGTTGAGAGTGTGTATAGATGTTTGCAAGCTGCCGACTGTCCTTGTCAGATTCTCGATTTGCTTGTGCGCTTTAGCCATTGAGTCGTTGATAGTCTTCAGTGCCTCGCTGGTCTTTGCTAGCAACTCTGGTGAGCCTTTAGACCCTGGTGGAGATTGCACAAGGGCTGTAAGCTGCGGGCTAATCTGCGCAAGTGCGTTCAGTGCTTGTGTACCGTTCGGAATCCGATTGATCTGATCCGTGAAGTTTCGCAGCTGTCCGACCTCATGCTGTATAACAGCAAACTGCTGAAGCATGTTTGCTGGAGTCGAAGGATAATGTTGTACAAACCAATGGACCATCTTTTGGTGGAGATCGTCCGTAGATATGTTGTCGTATTGGCTCTGCAGGTTCCGTATCGCAGCCTTCACGGTATCAATCGCTTGTGTTGCGCTTATAATGTCTTGTTTCAACACCACTTGCTGCCTAATGTCCTCGACAGCTGCAGTTCGCTGCTCCACCTCCGTTTTCACAGAGTCCTGCAGACAAGACAAGTCTTGCCTGACCTCAGTTGTGCTCTGTACCATGTTGTTGAGCAATCGCATCTGTGGGGCCGAAAAATTATGGGAAGGGCATTCGATTTGCGATTTCGCAACCTGCTCCTGCAGCTTGCCCAAAAGCTCAGAATGTTGGCTAAAGCTCTGGCTGTGCGTCTTCATTTGTTCTTCGACTGACGTTTTGAATGGATCGAAACTCTCCGCGAATATGTTGGTAAAACTGTTCTGCACCACACCAAGATCATTCTTGAAGGCGTGAATATCGGCCTCCATCCTCTCAACATCGTCCTGAAGACCATCGATGATCGTGCTTAGCCCGGTCGCTCCTCCAACACGATCTTCCATTGAACGAAGTCTTTGCTGGACGTCTTCCACTTCGGACGAGATAGGAGTGAGGTCAACGTAATTGTTCCCAACAGTCTGGTTTGGAGATACGGCTGGCTTTGGAGCCGTCTCGAGCTTCGTGACTCGATCGCTGACCTTATTCTGCTCGCTAAGAAACTTAGCCTGCTCACTTGCAAGGAGCTTGACTTGAGTGGCAGTCTTTTCTGAGGCCGTCACGCGGTTATCGAGGCTCTCCAAAGCTTTGCTGAATCTCTTCTGTTCATTCGACGACTTGGTCTGCTCGGTCTGGAACGCCTTTTGTTGATTGGCAAGGCTTTCTTGCTCGCCATGGTACGCCTTGAGCTGTTCGACGATCGTCTTATGCTCCTCAGATAGTCTCGCTTGTTTGCTCTCGAACGTCTTGATCTGATCGACTATCGTGTCATGCTCGTTTTGCAAGGATCTTTGAGCATTGCTAAGTTTCGATGATTCACTCTGGAAGTTCTTGACTTGACTGGTAATCACCTTTTGGTCCTGCTGGTTTTTTTCAACTCGCTTGAATGCTGTGTCCAGATCTGATACGCGATTTTCCAGGCCTTCAACCGCCTTCTTAAGTTGGCTGTGGCCCATCGAGGGCGCTGGGGACGCAGACCTGGCTGGAGCGGCCTCGAGCTTCCTTACACGTTCCATAAGCTTCGCGTGCTCTTCGGAGAGGCTCGTGTGCCCTTCTTGGACGTTCTTGTCTTGACTCGTGTGTTGTTGAGGCTGATCGGTAAGAGGCTTCATTTGTTTGACGTCCTGCGCAAGCTTCTCGCTATCCTTTAAAAGGCTGCAAACAATATCCTGAAGACCCTTGAAGTCTTTGGGGTCAACAGGATGCTCGTCCGACTTGGTCGATAATTTGTCATGCTCGCTGGAGAGATAGTCTTGCTCTTTTCGTAACGACCGTATCTTATCTTCGAGATACCCGACTCTCTGTAGAACAGTTTCGTCCGTATTAAGGTGAGCTTTCTGGATCGGCCCAATGTACTTATCGATATCCTGATACAGATTCTTGCTGTCTTTGCGCAGCTTTGTCAGATTTTCCTCGAAAGTCGTCACCCTTATGTCGAGAGTTGTGACCTTCTCATATGTCTTGTTATTATTACTTTCAACTTGGTTGATCTTGTCCTGTAAGCTCTGGAGCTGTCCGGGTAGATCGCACTGATTGAGAGTGTCGCAGATCTTCTGATTAGCTTCGACCGTCGTGGACAGTCCCTTCAGAGTCTTTTCGTTTTCGGTACAAAATACATCCATCTTTTTGATCTCAGGCTGAATCGCTGTCTGAATCATTATCTTGACTGCGTCCCCTCTCATGGCCAGTCGTTGTTCCTTGACCGCCTTGATATCTTCCTTAAGGGTACCGAGATCGTCTACGTCTGTTCTGAGCTTGCTGCTCTTTCCAAGCGCTTCCGCGATATCCTTGCCGTTCTGCGTAGCTGTAGACTGCAGTTGCTTGAGCTGTTCCGGGAGTGGATCAAGTTTCTTGATGTCCATCTTCATGGCTTGCACATCCGCTTGTAGTTGTGTGAACTGGGCGGTCTTGACCGCTGGCTCTGCATTCTCAAGGGCACCAAGTCGTCGTGAAATCTCATCGGACGACGGCCCTTTTGCCGCTGCGCGTTCTCGTTGCTCGACTAGGTCTTTCAACGCTGCCAGCTGGGCAGGAAGGGTTTCGAGCTGCTTTATTTGATCTTCAAGTTGCTTAGCGTGAGATCGAAGTTTTGCATCTTCTATCTGTGCGACTCTTAATTGCACTTTAAGTACTTTAACCTCCGTTGTGGCTGTACCATTCGTAGTTTGTGGTGCATTTGTGACAGAAGAGGACTTAAGTAATCGCAAGGCGCTCAATGTGTCCATAGGTGCACTCTGGCTTGTCATTTGTTTCTGTGCCACGGACAGCATGGAGGGTACAGTAGGCACGACTTGCACTGGCGTATTGGATCCACTGCCATTGCTCATTGGTGACATGACGTGCATGGGACTGTGGTCCGTACTAGTCTTCTGAGAACTTGCTGAACCCGCGCCATTCTGGGATCTGTCATGACCGGGTAATACATCGCGGCTGCTGTTTCGTCTGTTCTGGTCAATATGGCGTTCGTTCGTTGAGTAAGGCGCAGGCCCCGCCCTTGACTTGGCTGGTAGACCAGCAGCAGAGTTCTTTCTGGAGTATGGAGGACTGGGCAAGACCGTAGGATATGCTGTGTTTGCGTACTATAGCAGTTCGTTAGTTCTAGTACCTTGACCCATATAGGAGTACCCTAACCCTGTCTGTTATAGTGGATTGCTCGGATTGGCGCCTCCGTTGAGTCGGAGGACTACTACCTCGAGACCACGGCGCGGGCCTCTTCCGCCCGTCCATGGGTTTGTTGTTCCCAACACACGACGGTTTGATCGGTGATATTAGCTGTACTCTGCGAAGTTATAATGTCAGCAAAATACTCCTCACGAAAACTGGTGACATGATGCGCTAGCGGGTTGCTAGCGTGTGTGAAGTATCCAACTCGAATCGACAGCGAACATTCGCGGTCACTCGAAGAGGCAAATACGCACGTGTCGGCGCACTAAAAGTTACGAAGCTGTCGGCTGTGTGTAGAGAGCGTTTTGTATTCATGTCAGAATCAACATACCTGGTGGAATTCGGCGGTGCGCCAGGGTTGAAGCGCTTAGAGCCGTTGGGATGATTCAATTGTGCATATCGTGCACTGAAAAGCGACCCAGATCCGGAGAGGTACACTGTGGTCGCGACCAGTGCTGAACGCGAGGTAAAAGAAGAAAGTTCAAAGGAAACGGCGGAGTGGAGCGAGAAGCTTATATGTAGGGTTCAGTGAAGGCAGGTGCGGCAGCGCGTTTGATGTAGGCGGCCCGTGCGCATGGCAGCGCTAGAAGTGAGAGCTCATCGCAAGAAGTCGCGAACGAAGCGCAACACCAAAGTCTCATCCAACACACATCATACTTCATAATGGCTGTCGTAGGTGATACTGATAGCTGATGAAGGCTTCTACTGATGATTTACAGCCTATCACAACCATCGCCGAGAGCAAGGAGCTCCGCGGCCTCAACCTCATTGCGGCGCACTCGCACATTCGCGGTCTGGGAGTCGAACCAGACACACTCGAACCGAAGGCATCGTCGCAGGGACTCGTTGGTCAGGAAAAGGCACGCAAAGCTGCAGCGGTCATCCTGAGAATGGCACAGGAAGGGAAGATTGCTGGGCGCGCAGTTCTGATTGCTGGGCCACCGAGCACAGGAAAGACAGCCATCGCAATGGGCATGGCACAGTCGCTGGGATCAGATGTACCATTCACTATGCTTGCATCATCTGAGATCTTCTCTCTCGAGATGTCCAAGACCGAGGCGCTCACACAGGCTTTCCGCAAGTCTATCGGTGTACGGATAACAGAAGAGAGCGAGGTCATTGAGGGCGAGGTTGTTGAGATTCAAATCGATCGCAGCGTTACAGGGGTATGTATGAGAGAGCACTGAGTCTGGGCTGGTACTGAGCATATACAGAGCAACAAGCAAGGCAAGCTTACGATCAAAACCACCGATATGGAGACCATCTACGACATGGGCACAAAGATGATTGATGCCATGACCAAAGAGAAGATCATGGCAGGCGATATCATCTCGATCGACAAGGCGTCAGGCAAAATCTCGAAACTCGGCCGCTCGTACACACGATCAAGAGACTACGATGCGATGGGTATCGATACGAAGTTCGTACAATGTCCCGAGGGAGAGCTCCAGCAACGGCGCGAAGTGGTACACACAGTCAGTCTGCACGAGATTGATGTCATCAACTCGAGATCACAAGGCTTCCTAGCACTCTTCTCTGGCGATACAGGCGAGATCCGGAGCGAAGTGCGCGACCAGATCAATACCAAGGTCGCAGAGTGGAAAGAGGAGGGCAAGGCTGTGATTGTCCCCGGTGTTCTGTTCATCGACGAGGTTCACATGCTCGACATCGAGTGCTTCTCTTTCATCAACAGAGCTCTTGAGGACGAACTGGCACCCATTGTCATCATGGCAAGCAACAGGGGTAACACACAGATCAGAGGAACTGACTACAGGTCGCCACACGGACTGCCACTGGATTTCCTGGACCGCGTAGTGATTGTCAGCACACACGCGTACAACTCAGAAGAGATGCAGCAGATCATCTCGATACGCGCACAGGAAGAGGAAGTCGACATTTCGCCAGATGCGCTGGCACTGCTTACCAAAATCGGTCTGGAGACCGGGCTGAGGTACGCCAGCAACCTCATCACCACCTCAGATCTGGTGCGCAAGAAGAGGCAAGGGCCAGAAGTTACGATCGAGGACGTCCAGCGCAGCTTCTCGCTCTTCTACGATCCTACACGAAGCGTGAAGGTAAGTCTATTTACAGAGTGCAATCGTAATATCACTGCTAATGCGATGCAGTTCGTAAGCGAGTCTGAGAAGCGTCTGATCGGCGACGCAGGCGACGTATCGTTCACCGTCACTAATGGCACCGAGGCTATGGACGTCTCATGAGCGTGTGCAGCTTCTATTCTTCTAGGCGTATGATGGATTTGGACGGGTCGAGCGTTTGGGCATAGAGCATCTTCGCCGAATGGCATGCAAAAGTCATGACTTGTAATAACAGAGCAATTGTTGTTTCTAGCTAATCGAAGCGTCAATTTCGCTGAAGGTCTCCTCCAAGCAAAGACCCGCGCTGCTAGTGGTTCATCCGCGACAGCGGCTTGCATGAACTTGCCGCCCTGTGACAGCTGACGTGGTCTGTTATTGCCGGGCTAGGAGCGCAGAATCGCAGCGCCCGAAACGTACATCATTTTACTATTGTGCGAGAACTGTAGCAGAAACTTCAAGTCAATCACGATGTTCTTTGAACTGTGGAGGACGAGATAAGTCCAACCCCCAAGAAAAAGAACGGCAAATCCTGACTCTTGGCGTGTAAAACCGCAAATGTGGAAATGAAGCACGCGTAGAAAAGTACACGTCACGACCTCTTTCATCCTCCAAAGGTGTGGAGCGCTGACGAGGCAATCAAACGGGCATTTCCCTTTGCGGACATAACGCACGCGACATGGGAAAGTGTGGCAGGGGATGCGTATGCCTCAGAAGCTAGGCTCAATATGCCGACCTTTCACCTCACGTAACCAACGCAGAACCACCACAAGACCACAACAGAAACCTGTTTACGAGCCACAAAATTCAGGTGTTCCTGCAGCACCATCTTTTGAGCGGATAGGCGGTCTTGATGTCGTTCCATCGATCCGCTGCCGTGTCGTCGCGCAATGCTTGATCATCAACGGCCGCGCGTAACTGGCCGTCCCACATTTAAACAAGCATTTCGTACTCGGCACTCGGGTCTAACGGCGCTAGCCCTGCCTGTTGTGTCGATATGGATAGGGTTACGACTGCCGACTACTCCGGGGTAATATGGGCGCACGCAGCAGATGCGGCGGGAGGAGGTGGGCTGTGTGGTTAGGTGAGATGAGTATTAGGCGTGCGCATCGTGGGCGAAGTTGTTTCACGTTCCCTTCTTCTTCTACTTCATTCCTCATTGTACCTGTTTGATCTGCATTTGCTCTTGCTTGATACCCATCGGTTGCGCCTGCCGAGTCCAATCTTGTACCTTTACGCTCTTTCACACACGCAAGACAAGCACGCAACCTCTTTCCGGGAACAGAGCTCGCCTTCCAACGACCTCGCGCAATATCAAACACTTCATCGGACGACTACGCACTCTCCCCAGGACTGACCGCTGCTTTGCAACTGGAGCGCCATCTTTTTAGCACCACATCGATACCAAAGTAGTGACACAGCCTTGCCATCTTGCCATGAGGTTATCGATATGCGCAGTGGCAGCGACGCTGTTCACGAGCACAATAGCAGCACCAACATCAAAGTTTGACAGTTTAGCAAACACATCAGAAGAGTCAGAGAGCGAGATCGTAAGGAGAGACGGCGGGGACGGCAAGTACTTTCATGAGCCCGGGTAGGTGACCACATCTCCAAGAAGTCATTGGTCAGGTCACTGATACCTCGCAGAGGCGATAATACGCTCGGCCACTATGACAAGCGCTACTTCCACGGCGTAGTTTCAGACGAAGAGCGAAGAGACACACAAAAACACATGGTGCGCGCATACCTAGACTTCTTCCGTAAAAACGATCTCGACACATGGATTGCCCACGGAACATTACTAGGATGGTGGTGGAACGGCCAGGTACGTTGATTTTCCCACCATACGCCTGATCAATACTGATTGTTACAGCGACTACCATGGGACTTCGATCTCGACACCCAAGTCAGCGGCGCAACCCTCCACCACCTCGGCGAAGCCTACAACCAAACAAATCACTCTTACACCTCCGACGACGAGCAAGTAAAACGTACCTACCTCCTTGACGTCAACCCTTGGATCTGGCAACGTGAGCGCGGCGACGGTATGAACATCATCGATGCCCGCTGGATCGACGTCCGCAACGGCCTCTTCATCGACATCACCGGTCTCTCGGAGACGCATCCAGACAGCCAACCGGGCATCTGGAGCTGCAAGAACTATCACCGCTACCGCACCGACGAGCTATATCCCATGCGCGAGACGATGTTCGAGGGTGTTATAGCGAAGGTACCGTATAGCTATGACAAGATCCTGACGGATGAGTACAAGGAGAGCGCGCTGGTGAACACTCAGTTTAATGGACACGAGTGGAATCCAAACGCAAAGATTTGGGAGAAGACGGAGGAAACTCTCAGGCAAGAAGAGGAAGAACGGAAGAAGAAGGAAGAAGAGGAAAAGAAGAAGACTGTTGAGCAGGCACAAATGGCGTAGTGGGCCAGCTGGCCGTAGTGTTATGTTGACACGTTGGGTTTCAGGGTTAGCATCGCATTGCATAGGCGTTTGGCGATGCTGACCCTGCATCAATCTTTGCGTCTCAAGCGTACTGGGACGTGATCTACAACAATCCACTACTCTTTCTGTACCGACCTAATGCTCTGGCGCCGTAGTCGAGTCTGGAGGTTATCCAAATTTGCTTCGATGCAGCGTGCAAGGTTATAGCAAGCATCAAAATACTGCATCATCAGCGCAAGGTTGACATCATGTGGAAGTGGACGCATCTCTTCATGGCTGGGTTGGCATTGCTTTACTGTGTTTGGGACTCGCAGGGCTTGCGCGACCAAATAGATCTGAAGACTTGCATCCTAATACTACAGACATGCGCACCTACACTCTCAGCTACCTCCGAACGATGGAGTGGAGCTGTGGGCTGTCGCGATGCATTTGAGGCACTTTCGACAATCACAACGGACTGGCTGATCACAGATAGTGCAGAAAGAGCGATCCACGCGCAATTCGAATAGCAGTTGTAAGCGTTGGAATACTAGATGCCGCCGGTGCTACCCGGCATGGCCGCTACTGATGACACATTGGCTATACTTTCCACTGACGGGTATGGATTTGGAGAGTACCTGAACTCATTTTCTCAATGGCCGCAGACAGAACTAGCAGATTTGTGGAGCTGAGAGTCCATCTGAAAGGTCTCCCGCTGAGTTTGGGATCAGTACAACGTTTCCATGTTGCCGCCACAGGTCACAGCCTCAACTACCCTCCTGGGTACATCGCGCGACACCATGGCTCCTTCCGCGACAAGGTCTTGAGGTGACCGTCTCCGTACCTCAGCCATGGGACAAAGTCCTTAATGACCTGGCTGACGGCTCAGCCGAAGCATTTTGATGAAAGGCAGCAATGACGCTAGTGTCGGTCTGTTCTTCGAGATGTTGCTTCGCAAGAACGACATCAACCCCAAACGGTCAACTACATCCAAGATCTTGACAGTGCTAAGCCCGCGCCAGGTAGTGAGCTTCAATGTCGAACAAGAAGCTCCGAGATTTTTCTGCTGTAGAATCTTATATTGTCCCTTAAGTCCTTTGAAACATGTTATCTGAGCACAGGCTTACAAAAGCCCGGTACGAACCTGCGGTTGGACATCTCACAGAGAGCCAAATGGACAATCCCTCAGAAGATCACATTGTCGACTGTCTCAAAGACTCACAATACTTCTTTCGAAAGATCACTCTCTACGCAACGAAGCCGAACAAATCACCCGACCTTTGGCAGTGCAACAACCTCACGTTTCTGGAAATGCCATATCAGCGCGGGTTTCTGGACGTATCGGCCGAAAGCGACCCACACGATATTCCCAGCGCTCATCGCAAGCGCATCCCGAGCGCCTTATTACTTTGAACCTTGGCTACGTCCATCTTTCAGACGATGTTCCGCTTACCATGAAAGCCCTTGCAGACCTTAAGCACCAGGGTGCATTCCCGGAACTCAAGAGTGTTCGTCTCAACTTTTGTTGTTTCTCGAGATCGTCATGGTTTCCTCCCGTACCCTACAACGACATGAGACTGGCGGCCGGGAAGGCATTTGGCGAGATTTGAAGAACGCAGGCCTACAGCTCGAGCTCGCGCAGACTGACTGAGGCACTGTGCATACAACACTAAAGCCTTCTTTGCCATTAGAAAAGAGTCAAAGATCAATTGCCCGAACTGAAAAGGTTAGGAAACAACGTAAGCGAGGATTGGTATATGCAGGTCATGTATATTGCATATTAACTTCGACACTACCTCTATGATGCCGGAGGTCTGGCTACCTCTTGGCTGCATTATCAGCCTAAGTCTTGCGATATAATGTTAATGCTACAACCCGTAAAAGACATTTAGTCAGCACAACTCAAGTGTAATATCACGATAGGTCTGTATGATAGGTCCGTCAAGCCGAATTCATGGAATGGTATCAAGATGCACCGGGGTGGTTTGAAAGTCTTACAATCTGCAACAAACTCGATTAGTTCTCATCTGCACAACTCAATGTATGTGGAACCATAATGCCCTTGTGTAGTTGCCCTCACCGAAACATACCGATGAATAGAACTACCTTTGTGCTCGTCGAGTTCCACAGAACTGCCCTTGCCCTGTAGCTATCAGCCTTTGCGTCTTATTTCCTGCAGATGTGGGTAATACAGCCACATCTTATCCAAGTGAACTTGTTCTTATATCACGTAATAGTAACTGCAGAGTAGCCAAAATACGAGGAGTATTGCTTAGGTCGGAGGGTGTTGAACAGTGATCTATCTGGCCAAAGGACTCGGTGGATGCGAATAAGAAGCCTAATCGATAAGAACTGATCATGAGTTGTCTCTGCCATGTGAATGAACGGTAAATGTCAGATTTACGGTACTGAAGGTGCCAGTCGACTTATGCTACTGACTAGGAGATGATGGATTGTAGACTTCCTTGATCACGTTGTTCACCTCCATCTGCTCACTGTTCAGTTTCATGGCAGCTGCTACAGGTGCCGCAACGTAGTGAAGGATGATCTTATCGCTCCCCGGTTCTGATAGCTTGGTGTACGGGATGACGTCCTTGGATAGCTGCATTGTGGTTTTCGTGTAAACATGAACAATTGATGTCTGCTGCAGACTTGTATAGAGATAACAGTGCGTAGAAATGATCTCGAACATCTGCACAGTGGAATCACTGAACTCTCTGATGAGGGCCTCAAAACCAAGCCACCGTCGCTCTATATGCTGCCAAACTCTCTGCTATGATCTGCGCTCCCATACAGGATCTGAACTCTTTGCTGAACGCTTCAGACATGCCAAAATAGTAAAAACCATCCGTGTTTAGCAGTTTATAGGTTTTTTCTCTACTTTGTTAAAAAAAACAGCCGGATGTGACTTGCGGCCCTTTCAAAGCTCTCCAAGTCCTCCCCTCGCACAGATGTATGTCCGCACTGGATGATAAGCCTCTGGGCCAAGATTAATTCTTGAACTAGGCATATTCTCGACCAATATTTCAAGCCCAGTATGGCGAGAATCTGCGCGAGGTAATCATCTGTGAGAAACGGTAGTATTTGTAAATCTTCGAACGCGGTGGTCAACTGAGACTTCCGAAATTCGCCAAAACCATAGAGCAAAAACGGCCAGTCTCCTGCTGACAGCCTTTGCAATGCCAGCAGATTCTGCTCGGTATTAGGCCCGAGCCATACCCGCACCTGCCCTGCTTTTGAACAAATATGGCCCATATTAACCACTTGCTGACTGCGCTCTGCCAGGTCTTCCCGGTTGATGCAAATAGCATCTATCCAAAGAGAGTCCTTGTTCCTTTCCTTTCATCATCTGTCAGAGGAAGTGTTAGATGTTCAACCGAACATGAGAGGTTTGCCGTCAACTGTAATAAATTTGATGGGCAAGAGATCGCCCCAGTAATACGAAACGGCGTTGTAGAGCGGAGCCGGATCCAGCGGATAACGCTGAATCGGCAGGAGATAGGATCAGGAATATCTGGGGATCTTGACAGCAGAATTTCGAGCACTTGAGTGGTATTGACCCGGTTCAATTCGGTAAACAAATTCCGTCCAGAGAAGTCGCCGTACCTGCGTCATTCGGGGATTTTTTTGGATGTTGTCATCATCTTTGATAGTTATAGATGATTCGCTATGTTGACGCTCCCTGCGACAACGAGGCTGAGATTGCGTTTGTGCAAGATCAAAGGACTAGTAACGCCATCTTTTGGGAATCCCAGCCATTCTCCTTGCCAGGAAGGCATTGTTTCGGCCGTGTGATAGGTTCACGTTCTAATCGGAGGAAACTACTGACAAGGCTGAGATCGTGTGTCTTAGGATTCGAGAAGGCGCGGGCTTCGACCTCCGTCGAAACATATAGGAAGAGAATTCGCATATCGATTGCGCCGATTGCCAAGGCCGTCCAGTATATTGAGGTAGGGGTGCTTGTGTTGGAAGGCGTGTGACGCAGCTGAGGAAGTGGATGGTTGGGGCGCGGCTGCCTGTTGGACGGCGTTGGCGTTGGGAACAATTGAGCGGCATCAACAAGCAACATTCAGGCCCCACAACTAAAAGTATGCATTACTTATCTCAATAGGCGTCTTTTAGCTCCGTGTCTGATATAGTTACGACAATATTGCTGGTGACAAACATGGGAAGATACATTGTACCCCCGACTGTCACACCACGTCCAAAAGTGCGTACCGTGCGAAAAGTGTTGATACGAATATATGCATCTTACCTGGATTAGATGATACTAGTAGCTCAAAGGACCAGTCCTCAAGAGATTGAGCACGGATCAGTTGCGTGACTTCTTGTTTGCCTTCAGAATGCACACATTGCTCTTTTACCGTGAACCAACACAACTTGATGTAGCAATCACCTCCCACCTCGTATAATCCGCACCGTTCGCCATCCTCCTTCTAGATTGCCAACGCTTGAACGAACAACATGTCACCCCTAGACTGGCTACGACAGTACAGCGAAGCCACGCACTTCGTTTTAGGAACTGCTACTCTTGTAGGCTTGCTGTACATCACCAACAGATATGGTCCAGACGCACGTGAAAGCCTTTCTCCCCTTCCTCACCATGGTAACATACGCTGAACTATTCGCGCAGAATCGCAACCAACCTCCGTCATCAGCACCTTATGGTATTAATTACGGACCTCCACAGCATGACACCATCATCCCTGAGACAGCGACTTTCGATCCTCACGTTCTGAACGAACCGGTGTACCGACGGGGTACCAACTTGCGAGGCTCCACTCCAAAGGGCCAGGATGCTGCTCAACGAGACGTGTCTCAGCCCAGAGGCAGGACCGCATCAAAGCCCATACCGGTCAACAATGCTGAGCTTCGGGACGTGACATTATCGCCGCCACGCATCGGCGGACGGTTCGAAGAAGTCGATCGACCGAGGGAAGAAGAGCCGGAACTGATCGATGCAGGAGGTGGAGATGAGAGTGATGAGGATATGTCGGACTCGTCGGACTCTGATGAGGATGTGTATCATGACGCAAAGGCGGCAGCAGGGTTTTCTCAAGGTCGTGTGATGAAAGCGGCAGGTATGAAGTGGATGAGGGGTATCTGGAGGCGTGATAGTCTAGGAGTACTGAGGCATGTCGCAGAGAGCGACGAGGAAGAGGAGGAAGAGGCGGATGAAGACAAGGGCGAAGAGGATACGCTAAGAGGGAGAACGCACGTGTGTAACTAGAGACGAAAGGACGTTATGTGTGCTGATACACTGGGAAGAACAGGACAGACTTAAGCTCATGTTGTACATGCTGGTATCTTCCCTGACTATTCCTTGAGTTCCAGCCTAATATGTGACACCTCAAACGCCAGGCTAAATGCATACAATCCCACCTCTTCCAGTTTACTTCGACGGCATAACGAATAGCTCAGGCTGCATATTGATCTTGCAGAGCTTTGCGATGCAGCCAGACAGCTGAAGGAGCGTCTGTACACCCTCCAGAATCCGCATGTGCGTAAATCCAATCTCCTTGATGAACTCCAGCTTCGCATGCTCACTCAGCGTATCAATCGTCTTCGTAACCCTGAACATCGTGCTGATGATGTCGTGACACGAGTACCCCAAATCCCACAGCTCTTTCAACGTCGTCATCGCGTCGTCCATCCTTTGTTCGTGGCACGCTTTGATCATAGTTTGGACTTTGATCGGGTGCGGACTGTCGACTACCTTGAAAACGTTGTCGCCGTTCAGGAAACCGAACCCAGCGTGTGTGGACTGGAGGTTGTTGATTGCTTGGCGCATATCTCCCTCCGCTGAGAAGACGAGCGCTGCGATGCCGTCATCGGAGTACTGTACGTTCTCTGCTTCGCAGACTTGCATGATGCGGCGGACGACTTGGGCGTCGGTGAGGCGGGCGTAGCGCAGGATGGCGCAACGAGATTGGAGCGGTTCGATGATCTTGTTCGACTGGTTGCAGGCGAATGCGAATCGAGTTGTAGCACTGTAGATTTCCATGGTTCGACGGAGTGCTTGCTGCGCACCGCTGGTCATGCTGTCTGCTTCGTCGAGGATGACGAGCTTCTGCCTGCCGGGGGGAAGTGTGACTTTCTTTTGCGCAAAACCTTTTATCCTGTTTCGTACGACGTCGATACCGCGTTCGTCTGAGGCATTGAGCTCGAGCACGGCTTCCTTGTAGGCATCTCCCAATAATTGTCGTGCGAGGCAGAGGATCGATGTGGTTTTACCGATACCTGGCATGCCAGAGATGATCATGTGGGGCATATTTCCGTCTTTTGCGATGATCTTGAGGCGTTCGATTGTTTCTGTGTTGCCGACGACATCGTCGAGGTATACTGGGCGGTATTTCTCGACCCTGTGGGAGTTAGCACGAATCCACAGCGATGGTATGGATGATTTTCAATTACCATGGCAGCTCATAATTAGCTCCACCGGCTGCATTGGGATTTGCTCGCACGCCATTACTGGCGGCAGCTTTCGAAGATTCTCCTTTTGACATGTTGTGCTGTGAATGTCGACTTTGTTGGAGGGGCCTCCAGCTACGCGTAGACGCGACGCGCTTGCAGGGGAGTCACTAGCACCATCACGTGCAGCCACTTTATCTCAGCCTTGCGTTCAGCAAAGTTCGAAGCTTGATCGAACGTCATCGCTGAGATGCTTGTCGTCGGGGATGCTCAACAAGGGTTCTTGCGCTTGTCTTGCGGTCTCCAGATCTGCACCTGGTGGTTTCCACAGTTGCGTCCGAACCCGGACCTGGAATGATTGTGAAGATCTCCACAACGACTTCCAGTTCCTAGCTGTCAATGTCAAATGCAGCCACACCCTCTGAACTCAGCCTCTTGCGCTGCAGCAAAGCTTCACACAAAGAACATCCAGACCATCATCTCGATGCATACGGTTATTGGCACCAACATGGCACTAGCCACTGGGGAAGCGCCGGTTTTAAGACCATGATGACATCGGACTTGCAATCGCCGGGCACACTGTCTGCTGCGCATACGCAACGCACGCGCAACGCACCAGTCACAAGGCAAACGCCTGTCTTTGTGTGTTTCCAAATGCAGTCTGTCAGGCGACACAGAAACAACAAATGTCTCTGTCTCAGGCTCTTTTCAGCATGCGCCACGTCGGAAAGTACTCTGTTCGTGTTGAAAGCAGAGGTCGAGCGCGAGGCTTGACCGAGTTGACCGAAGCGCTCAGACGCTCGAAACGGTTGTGATCAAATCACGTCTCAAGGGAGAGCACCGCCACGGGCTACGCAATGCTCTGGCCAGGAACGACAAAGTCATTGTTCCTGTTGGCTGAAAGTCTTTTCAAATTGGCAGGGTCGGCGCCTGCTGCCAGTGGGTTACGTGGGCAGCCGCACGATCCGAGCAGCGTCCGCAGCACACTTCCAGGCCAGCTTCAGTGTGCGTCGTCATCACTGGGTAACTGGTTGATCGCCCCCTGCGCAAATAAGACTTTCAAAGTCCGCGCCTATTCTTCATCACTGTTTTGCTTGCTTGTCTGCTTTTACCGTCGCTTTATTTATCCCTCCCTTCCTCAGACCCTCCTCGTCGTTACGCACTCAGCACCCTGCTACGTATAGTCCGGGTCAACCAGTTCCGACTGCGACTCGCTGTGCGTCAGATCTCCAGAAGCCACTGCATCAGCCGGCGTCCGACACATATAGATAGCCCGTCAATCGCTTTTCCCATACACAGGCGCCGTAATGAAGTATTCAACATTTCTCGCCGCACAGTTGGTGTCGTCGGCGGCTGCATGGAAGCTTGCACCACGAGAGGTAAGTCTTGTCTTGGCATCCCCAGAAACGTAGCGAAGCGAATCCTCCCGCTTGGGCGCCTTATCCGCGAGTCGCAACAGTTCCACCCGTGCTTGACACTAGACTGACAGCAGCAGAACCCAAGAGTAGTAGGCCTCGACATCCAGCGCCGAAATGTCGTCAACCCCGTAGGCCACGATCAGCTGCGTAGGAGGCAGAAGACCGTCCAGCAGACGCTCGACAACCTGGAAACACTTTACTTTGCGAACGCAACACTAGGAACACCAGAACAGACCTTCCGCCTACACATCGACACAGGTAGCAGTGATCTGTGGGTCAACGCCGCCAACTCCGCACTATGCACAGAGCGCGGCAACCAGTGTGGCGATTCAGGGACGTACAGTGCCAATGAGTCCTCGACATACCAGTTTGTCAACAATGCGTTTAACATCTCCTACGTGGACGGCTCTGGCGCATCCGGCGACTACGCGACAGACACCTTCCGCTTCGGCGGCCAGACAATCACAGACATGCAGTTCGGTATTGGATACACCTCGAGTTCACCAGAGGGTATCTTGGGTATTGGGTACACAATCAACGAGGTACAGGTTAACCGCTTCGGATTGGACGCATACCCCAACCTGCCACAGAAGCTGAAGGATGATGGCACGATCAGCAGCGTCGCGTACTCCCTCTGGCTGAACGATCTCGATGCCTCGACCGGCAGCATCCTCTTTGGTGGTGTCGACACAGACAAGTTCACTGGCCAGCTTAGCACTCTGCCTATCATCCAGGAGTCCGGTGTCTACGCAGAGTTTATCATCGCCCTGACAGACATGGGCATCGGCAGCAACAAGACCTCGCTCTTCTCCAACTCCAATGTGGCCGTTCTCCTCGACTCCGGTTCCTCGCTCATGTACCTCCCCGACGCAGTCGCCACAGCATTGTACACGCAGTTCAACGCACGCTACGACTCGAGACAAGGCGCTGCCTTTGTCGACTGCGACCTCGCCAACCAGGAGGGCTCGCTCGAGTTCGGCTTCAGCGGCGTCACCATCTCTGTCCCTTACAACGAGCTCGTGATTACCGCTGCCATTAGCCGAGGCCAGCCAGTGTGTATTCTAGGCATTGGCCCAGCCGGCGATAGCGTCTCGGTCCTCGGCGACACCTTCCTGCGCTCCGCCTACGTCGTCTACGACCTGAGCAACAACCAGGTCTCGCTCGCCCAGACAAACTTCAACGCCACCAGCTCCAACGTCCAGGAGATCCAGGCTGGCTCCGACGGTGTTCCTGGCGCCAGTGTCGTCGCAAACGCTGTCTCGACAGCTGCCGTCGGCACCGGCGGACCTCGCGTCAACAGTCCCACCGTCACCGGCACACTCACATCGACGGCCGGCGGGTACCCCATGATGACGGCAAGCCCGTGGCTGGCTGCTGGTGTTGCCGGCGTTGGTGCTGGTCTCCTGGGGTTCAACGGCTTCTGAATAACCGACACGTGTAACGAGTTTCCTATTTCTACTTGTCCGAACGTCTATTAGCTATGCATCGGCGGCGTTTTCAGCATGGTGCTGCATATGACGGATCCAGGGTGTTCATCCACGGGTGTACCTACATAGATGTAATCATACATAAACCAACGTTATTACTTCACCTTCAGATCTTCACATGCTTGAAATATTGACTCTGTGAATAAGAAATCAGGAGGAACTATCCAAACATATAGCCGAGCCTCATCCGAGCAAGGATACAATCTATGGTATCGTGCTGAGCCTGTGTGTGGTCTTGGTCAGCAGACGCACAGGGTCAGGTCTCGAGCTGTCGACACAAATAATAGACAAATTTTGAACTATCCGACGCCCATGATTACGCTGAACATAACAAGCCGTTGCTTCGTAGGAGATCGTAGCCGCCCGGGCCCCGTGAAAAGGCGGCCAAGCAAGGCATAGCAGAAGGCAATCAAACCGCTGTAGGCTATGCAACGCTAAGAATATGCCGAGCAAGCCAAGTCGTATCCAAAAACACTCACAAGATACCCAGCTGTGCACCAAATCAACCGCACGAGAACTCGGTGAAGAGTGAGCATGCTGGTCAGAAAATCTCATGCCCCAGCCCTCCATACCCATCGTCCCCGACAACCTTGACCTTGTTCCCCTCAACACCACTAGGCACGGCCGGCACCGGCGGAACAGCGCCGCCGGGCTTGACGACGACGACCTTCTCCACCCTCTCCTCCCGCTCCTCCCTCACGCTGCTCCTCGAGACCTTCCGGCTGAGCCTGCTACTCGTACGCTTCAACCGCTTGCTCGCATCGCTCTTGACGCGCTTGATCGTGCGCTGTCTCTCGGGCTCGGGGGAAACAGCGGTCGCCGGCTCGGGCTCGGGCTCGGCTTCGCTCATCTCGACGTCGCTGGCAATCGCTGTGGCGGTGGGGAGGTAGTCCGAGCCCGCGTCGACCAGGGCAACGGATTTCCGTTTCTTCGTGATCTTGCCAGGGAGACTCGCACTCGCACCGTCGCCAAAGCCTCCCGTAGGACTCAGCGGCGCGCCGTCGTCGCTGAAGACGTGCGGTGTGTTTGGCGTTGGGCTCACGGTTGCATGCGTACCGGTGGCGACGATGTGCTGGGGGAACGGAGGCACAGCGGGGAAACACTCGTTTCCCAGGACAGACTGGAGTTCTTTCTTCGCCGACGCGAGTTTACCCTCGAGCGAACTGACGCGTTTGGACAGTTTCTTCTGCTTGTTGAGGTCTTTCTTGCTGGCCGAGCGGACGACGCTGCCCGGTGTGCGGGGCGTCAGGGGCGGGCGCGGGCGCGGGCGCGAGGGCGTGTCTGCTGCCGTCAGCTGTCATGTTCCTGCGCAGTGCAGCGGGGGGCGGGTGTGGTCTCGACTATTCGTATGGAAGAGCGGACGGAAGAGTGGACGGAAGAGTGGACGGAAGACGTACCAGCAGACCAGGCGCGCGGTGGCATGCCCGGGCGGACGAAGACCTTGGGTGCGGGGAGGAGGCCTTGCTCTTTGGCGAGGTGGTATGCTTCTTCGGCCTGTCTCTTGCGCTCGTCGAGCTGGGCTTGTTCGGCGTCGACGGCGGGCTCTGCGTCGGGGTGTCCTGCTTTCCGCTTCCCCAGCACGCCGCCGAAGACGTTGGCGAAGACGCGAGAGAAGCGGCCAAAGGTGCCCTCGGCCGTCGCTACAGTCGCGGCGGCATCGCTGCCCTTGCGTGCCGCAGCCGTGCCCGTTCGTGCCCCCGTCGGCGCCATCATCTGGCGCGGATGGCTCGCCTTGCGCACCGCCGGCGTGCCGTCGTTCTCGTCGTTGAACTTGTCGATCAGCATGTCGATGCCCAGCCCCTTCCACAGCTCGTCGGGCGGCGGGCGGATGCTGCTGTTGGTGTTGGTGTGCTCTCGAAAGCGCGACACGCGCTCCGCAGGTGTCTCGTCACTCATGGCGACCCGCTGGCTAGCGCACCCAACGCGCGCACCCGACGCGGACGAGTAATGCTTGCTGCGATTCGTGCGTAGCTGCAGCGCGTGGTCGTGCGGTCGTGCGGTCGTGCGGTCGTGTGGTCGTGTGGGGTAGCTGCGGCAGAACGTGCCAATGACGTGGGAGTGGCGGCGGGGTCGCGCAAGGCCTGTTTGTTGGGATGGCAGATGGTGTTTGTTTTTGCGGCGTGCAAGCAGAGCCGGAGGTTACGGTTGTTGCTGGGCTGGCCTGGGCTGGCCTGGGCTGGCCTGTTGTTCCGGACGCGTCTGCCTTCACCCGCAGCGCTAGCTCGGCCGCTTGCATCTTCACAAACGAAAAACACACTTCTAATGACACTACTGGTACTGCATGACCTATGCCCACATGTACACCATCGCATACTCTCCGTAACTGGAGTCTGACAATAGAGTCTGTCCGTCTGACTTAACGCGCAATCTCGCTTCCATGCATGCAACCACCGCCCGAAAACTGGGTACAACAGATAACAGATTACAGCTTGGCCCTCGGCTTGCCCTCCTCCGCAAGTGCCTCCTCGTAGCAGTCGTCGAGGTGCTTCCTGAATGCTTTTGCGGCCTGTGCACGCTTCAGCTTCAATCTGTACAGTCGTTAGCAAAGATGTCTGAATCATCTAGGTGGGTGTGTGGGTGTGGATGTGGGTGTGGGTGTGGGTGTGGGTGTGTTGCTTACGTGGGTGTTAGGAGCTGGTTCTCGATGGTGAACGGCTCAAGGAACAATCGCACAGCCTTGACCTTCTCGTAGCTGTTGAACTTGTTCTTAGTGCCGATCTTGTTCAGCTCCTTCAGGACAGCCTGCTCTACCCTCTTGTCGCCCAGGATCTCCTTGAGCTTCGCGAAGTCACCCTCGGGTATCTTCTCGCCCAAGACCTTGGAAGCCCACTGTGGGAAGATATCCGGCGCAACACCAAAGATGGCGACCAAGAACGACTGGTGGCTGTCGCCGTGCACGTAGGCTGAGGCGATCCACCCGCAGTTGGCGAGATAGACGTTCTCAATGCGCTCGGGCGAGATGTATTCTCCCTGCGCCAACTTGAGCACGTTCTTCTTGCGGTCGATGATCTTGAAGCGGCCCATCTCATCGACAAGACAGATGTCGCCGGTGTGGAACCAGCCATCTGCATCAATCGCCTTAGCTGTCTCCTCGGGATTGCGGAAGTACTTCTTGAACGTTGTTGTCGAGCGGACCAGAAGCTCACCACGAGGGTACGGCTTGTCGGAGGAGAGGTACTCCATATCGGGTACATCAGCGAGACAGACTTCAGCGTTCGGTGTCACACCGCCGCAGTTTCCGGACGTGAAGTCGCCCTCGTGCTGGATCAGGGAAACGGCATACGTTTCGGTAAGACCGTAGCCCTGGGTGAAGTTGCTGCCGAACACGATGCGGAGGAACTGGTGCAAGCTGGGGTCGATGGGCGCCGAGCCGCTGACGAGCACTTTGCAGCGGTCAAGACCGAGGCCGCCGGCTACCTTCTTGGCCCAGATGCGATCGTAGAGCATGTGCGTGTTAGTGGGGTTGTGCTTGTCGTTCACGGCGGCAAGCTTCGTAGAGACGACGTGACGGGATAGGGCGCCCTTGAGGCCGGACTGCTCGATGGTGGCTTCTTTGATCTTAGAGCCGAAGCGGTTGTATAGCCGGGGAACGCCAGAGAAGATTGTGGGACGCAGCATCTGCAGGTCCTCGACCAGCTCTACGATGTTTCCGTGGAAGTAGCCGATTGCTGCGCCAGATGCGAGAGCACCGTGCTCACCCAATCGCTGATAGATGTGGGCCAGGGGCAAGAACGAGCAGACGACCTGATCGTGTCCGTTACCGAGAAGCACCATGGTTGCACAAGTTGCAGCGTGCGCATTGCGATGGCTCAGCACAACACCCTTGGGGTTTCCGGTGGTTCCTGAGGTGTAGTTGATTGTCACTGTGTCGTCTGGAGTTGGTGGGTTGATAGGGAGTGGCTGCTTCTCGCCCAGTGCTTCGACATCGCGGATGTAGTGAATAGTCACGCCCAGTTCGCTGGCTAGCGAGTTCAAGAGATCTCCCTTGGACTCGCCAGGAAGCTCACCATCAGACAGAGGGTCCAGAACAACGATGATCTTTAGCGTTGGCAGTCGCGGCTTCAGCTTCAACAGTTGTGTGACATGGTTCATGCCGGTGACAACACAGGCAAGCTCGGCATGGTGGATGATGTACTCGGTAGTGTCTGGACCAAGGGTGTCGTAGATAGAGACGGTGTAGAGGGCCTGCGACATGCAAGCCAGGTCAGTGATCTGCCATTCAGGCCTGTTCTGACACCACAACCCAACGCCGTATTGCTTAGGCTCTGTCACGCCCGCCTGCCTATGGAGATGCACCAATCCAGCACCAAAGTTCTTGCGGCGCTGGGCAATCTGCTCGTAGCTCTCCCATACATAGGCGCCAAACTTCTTGGTAACGGGGTCGTATGGGCGATGGCCGAGGCAGTTGTTCCTGGGATGTCTGGCGACGGTGGCCTCGAAAGCCTCGTGTGGAGTGTTGATCTCAGGGACCAAGCTGTCGAGCAGTGGCTTGTCCGTGAACCTCCAGTGCCGGTAGATAGCACTCTTACCTTCTGTCTCAGTGCCTGCAAGCGGCAGACTGTATGGGTGACCCTTCGGTGGTAGAGTGTGTAGCTCCTGTGCACGCTGGATCTGGGGATCTGTGGTACCAAACATGGCGATAACGAGGCAATACAGCTACTTCAGCTCGTAGATGGAAAAGTACACTCTCGCTTGGCGTGAAAGAAGTATAACGGTCTGCTCCATGATTGATGGTTAGCTTACGCCCAGCCAGAGTGAATGCTGAAGTCGGAGTCTCCGAGCCGCACAGACATACCTGGGGTTAAGGTTGGAGCGCCACAATATGCGGGGAGAAACAGCTGTACCAAACAGGCAAATGCACCTGAGCAACAAAAGACTGAGATGGACCTGCGAAAGGACTGATGCGCTGAAATTGCAAAGACACAGTGTAGCAAGGAGTTCAAGGATGCACCGGACGTTAAAGGACGAACCCACATTCCTTCTCAAACGTACCGAGGCACGTTAGAGCCGCTTAACGCTCGCTGAAAACTGAGACCAAGCTGCTTGAGCGCTGGACTCGGATGACACGATGCGTTTTAGGTAATCCTGCGCCGAGCAACAGCTGGGGACTCCGGATCCTCCGCTTTCGTGGAGATGGCCAATCTCTCGTCCGTTACGGCGCAGTCTCTTCATCTGGATAGGACATTTCAGGCATCATCGTCGGCGGCGAGAATCTCACGAAAACGACGAGCTCACATGCAAAACGCAAACATGACGCTTCACATGTCGATCTGGAGACCACGCGGACGGGATGCAAGCCATGCAGCGGGAGCATCTGTTTAGCGGTCGAACGATTGGTTGCTCCGGATCACGGGTGCACTGCGAGGCTTCAGGAAAAAGGCCTCGGCATCTCTAGGCCAAGACTGATGTGTAGCATCGACACGCTTTTCTCTAGCTTTCGACACTTGCTCAAAACCTTCCACATGCAGTAGACTACCCACCGCGCGGCGAGATCCAGCTCCCGGGCCGGCGGGCTCAAGATTTCATCCCATTGTACTACCACAGGGATCGACTTACGACCTTGCTTGCTGGTGAGGCTGGACACCGCAGACGTCAATGGGCCGGCGTCCTGAAGAGCCGCGATGGCTTGCCCAGAATACTTAGGTTTTGGCAAATCGCACCAATTCGAACACGTCGTTCTTGAGCGATCAAGCACTTGTACTACCGTCTATCCCACACCCAAACTTCATGAGCACTCAGCCCGCCTCCCTTCCCTTGTCAACACTCGATGATTTTGACATTCATGCGCCTCAGTCCAACATGGCTGATGGGAAATTGCCAACTGTTCCACAGACTCACACCCTCGTATCATGGCAACCACACGTGGAAAAACAAACCGCAACAGCCCCTAATCCCGGCAAATAAGTCTAGGGCTGCATGAAGTGGCGTTTTCTATCAACAACAGCTCAACATCGCGCGGACCTTCTAGCTGTTAAAATCATCTATGGAGACGACGAAAAATGCCAGAGGTCATTGCGGATTAGCATGAAGATGCCAGTCTATACGGTTGCTGATGTCCTACAGGTCCTACAACATCACCATAGAGACGTCAGTTCAAGGCGGAAATTGATCCCCTGCTGTGGTACCTCAGACCTGCAACGCCTCGTTTTCGACGTCGCACAGATAGATAACCCCCCAAACATGAGAACAGGAACTCATTTGTTTTCTCCGATCTCACGAAAGATTCGACACCCTTCAGTACCCACTCGCCACATTAAGGGCCACGAATGACTCCAGACATTCCAACTCGAAACCCTCTCCGACGTACAAGATATGCATGTCGATGCCAAAGATGTTCCCACGTCCTCGATAGTTGCCATTGTCGCTACGCTGGCCTCGGTCGCGCTATTGAGCTTCTCGCTCAGACTCTACACTCGTGGAAGACTCCTACGCAGCCGAGATACTGATGATTGGCTTCTTCTCGTTGCGGCAGTAAGTCAGCTGTCGGTGGAATTTTGCAAAAATCTACTAATCCTCACAATCAGCTATGTACGGTCGGAGTCTTGGTAGTCACCATCGTGTTGACGGTAGAGAAGCGAACATGGTCTACTACAGCCGGTGGTGGTCATACGGTGTCGCTTCTGGTGTGGGTGTTCGGGCTGATTCATATCATCGGTATCGGCTTCATCAAGTTGTCAGTGGCACTCACCGTGCTGAAGGTTGCTGGCCGAAGCTGGCACCGACACACCATTTTGGGATATATCTGTAGGATTGAGTCGTAGCAATAGCTTTGCCCGTTACTGATCTTTGCAGGCTTGACAACCGTCCTCACCGTACTCTGGTTCAGTTCCGCACTACTGTTCGGTGGCCCTATCACTGTGAATTGGAGCGCAGCTAGTGATCCTGAGGCCACATGGAAACTCCTCGGCTTCATCAACAGCGTACTAGACCTAGCTACAAGTGTCCTGGTCGCCCTGCTTCCTCTTCCTTTACTATGGATCTTGCGTCCCGGGCTTTCAGTCAGATTGACTCTGCTCTTTGTCTATGTGTTAACCACTGTGGCCGTGGCTGCCGCAACCGCACGAGCATATTTCCTGCATACCGTCTGGCAGAACACGAACGTGGACAACGCCATAGCATCGATCATGCTCTGTTCATCTATCGAGCTCACCGTGGGCATGCTCGCGGCTTGTTTATTCGCGCTACAGCCTCTGGTCTCTTCGATCAGCCAATGTCTGTCCGATCGCCGCGCCAGTAAACAACTTTCAACTTCCACAGGCCCCTCGTCGCACCGATATCCTTCTCAGACATACGCATCGACAGATACCGTGATTCATCGCCCCGATGCTCCCCACCTTCTCACCCTTCGCTTCCACGATGACGAGTCCAATCTCGATTTCGACATCGAGACCCCCAACACTCGAACTCGAACGCAGACATTGCGCTCTCGAGGCACTCACAGCCGTAATGTCTCGGACTGGTCGCAATTCTCAGGTTTCACCTACAACACTACCACAGCCAACTCCATCCATGAAGCATCTCCACGCAGGTCGCGAGTGGTCAGCATGAACGAGATGGAACTCAGAACACGAACGATTGGGGTGGGAAGAGCAGGTGCAGAAAATGCGAACATAGGAATCGCTGTTACTACACTGCACGACAAACCTGTACGTGATCCAGAGGCTGGCGAAGAGATGGCGGAGTTGGCAAGGTTCTTCGCACATAACAGCAAGGACTGGGGTACGGAGGTGTCGCGTAGTGTGCGCACAAGTGTGACGACGGAAGGAACTCGTGCAAGCCGTCACAGACCGAATTACACAGGACCCGGAGCAGGATGAGCACACCAGAACTCTGGACATACATACTTGGATTGTCGATATCTTACCTTGATAGCTATATAGATTTAAGATACGCTCCGCAACGTGCAATTGGGACGTCTGGACGCCTACCTCCACCTATACAACTTCGTCCACAGCCCGGCCTGCACGTTGACCTTCATCTTCAGACCAGTAGCCCCGCCGTCAAAACACACCGCCAACACCGCACATCATCATGCTTCAGCTCACACTCCGACTCACCCTTGCCACCCTTCTCACCAACCTTCTCACGCTCACAACCGCCGACATCGTCGCCCGTTCCCTTTGCACCTGCGCGTCGCCCACAGGCGCGCACCAGGGGCTGCTCTTTCGTCTTCTTGTACCTGCCCGCCACGTCTACCACCCTCACTCCACTCACCATCTCCGATCACTGCTTCACACCCATCCGCCTGAGAATACTACGGATGGCCATGTGTTCGGGTATCATAGGGAGTTGTGGGGGCCGGATGAGTACGAAGTTGATGGGAGTGGAAGGATTGAAGGGCCGGTGTGTGAGGCGATGGAGGTTGAGTATGAAGGGGAGTTGTAGGGGGAAGGGGTGTAAGGCCCAAGTAGGCCGTTTGATATCTGGTGAGCGGGAGTGGGTGTGCTAACGAGAGTAGCGGTTCGATGTTCCGCATATGATGGTTCGGGTGTTAGATCCCAAATAGTCACAGGCTTAAGGCTGAGCTATGGTGGGTGTCAACATTGGAATTATGCTACTAGGGGTATATCGCTCAATCATGAACGCCGTACAATGCTTTTGAAATCTCGCTTGCTCCGCTCTATGATGGTACTGGCTCCTTCATCGCCTTTGTCGTCGTGGATCACGATAGACATCGTACTCGTTGCCGGCCCTGCTTCCGCTTCCTCGCCTCTCCGCATCTGAGTTCCTTTCTCTCATCGACGCATCAGTGCTTTGTCGTTGAAGCTCTGACTGCGAGGCGAAGCCGACTCTCTTCTTCTTTGGTGCCTCGCCGCTCGGAATGCCCGTCACTTCAGAGTGCCTCCGCTTGTCTTGTTGTTTACTGTCTCGCTGCGACATTGCGCTTTCTGGCGGCGGTGCATTGACGTCGCCATACTTCTTCTTTAAAGTATCGAGGCTCATTCTATATGCGTCATTTGGCGCCTCACCCCTCTCATCCGCCGCAACCCTCATGTCGCTCCAGATCTTCTCTTCAGCTTTCACAGCATCCTGTAGCTCTTTGTATATCGCGGCTAACTCCTTGTTCGGTGGTTCGTGGAGCTTGCTGGGTACGATCTTCTTGGGTCCGCCGAGCGGCAGCAGAGCGACCTCTCCATCACGCTTGTCGGCAAAGGCGGAGTGCGGATTTCTCGCTACAGTTTTGGTACCTGCCACGTGCGTGTACAGTCCAATGCCGTGCGCGGTCGGATGAGAGTAGAGAGGGATCGGTTTGGAGCACAGCTTGATAATGTCACTGTTGATACGAGCCTTGCGCGCGGCTTGGACATCAGGAGGGAGCGGTTCGGCACTCATGGTGGTAGAGAGGGTTCGAAGCTACCGAGTTTCCATTGTAAACAGTCCCGCGGAGTGTGCAAGGAAGACACGTCGTCGCGTGGGGCAGGAGCTACCGCGCGGTATCGATAAGCGACGCGCTAGCGCCTTGCTAGAATCGGGGTTGACATCACGGCGTCATCACGAAATCATGCGTCTGCTGTTCATTCCACACTGGGCGAGATGGAGCCCAATTAACTGTTACACTGACATCAGGACGGTTGCTATTGGGCGTGTGCGTCATGATGGCCAGATCGTGGATCACCTTGGCGCATTCCAGATTCGTGAGGGTCCACTGAGATATGGACATCATACCTTCCTTGTGCAATTTAAGTTGACCTGCACCTCCCTCTAGCAATGCAGTCTTCCAGACTCCTCAGGCCAGCTCTTGCGCTACGAAGCACAGCTAAACAAACACCACACCTACGAACTTTTGCAATTGGACTGTCTACCAGACCATACTCTACTGAAAACACCGACCGACTAAAAGGCCCAGTAACAACAAAGTCGCCAATACCCGGTATGGAGGCCATCAAGAACACTATCGCCGAGAACCTCGGCAAGATCATTCCCGGCAATGAGTTGGCATCATCAGAGAACCAATTCTCACTTGACGCTGTCCCAGATCTGTCCGGCAAGGTCGCCGTCGTCACTGGAGGCTCAGAAGGCATTGGCTACGGCTGCACACATACCCTGCTCTCCAAGAACGTGAAGAAGCTCTTCATTCTGTCGAAGTCCGATGACATCGCCGCGGACGCCATCAACGCTATCAAGCAGGAGATGGGTGAAGAGAAGGGCAATCGTGTGGTGTGGATGAAGTGCGATCTGTCCGACTGGGAAGAGACTGGCCGCACAGCCTTTAAGATCGCCGAGCAGACTGACAGAGTCGATATCCTGATCAACAACGCTGCGCGCGGTATCATGACATATCAGCTCGCTAAGAACGGCATCGACCTGCACATGGCATCGAACCACTTCGGCCACGTCGTACTTACATCGCACTTACTTCCCATCCTGAAGGAGACAGCAAAGAAGGGCGACAAGGTTCGCATCGTATGCACATCATCAAACCTGCACGAGCAGGCACCCAGCGACACACAGTTCGCCTCGATCGACGAGCTGAACACAGATCTTGGCCCTCAGCCCCAGTATGGACGTTCCAAGCTTGCAGTGCTGCTGTATGTGAGGTACCTCGCCCGCCACCTTACATCCCAGCACCCCAACATTCTCGTGAACGCCATCCACCCCGGTATCGTCGAGACCCGACAATCAACCGAGCACATTCACGAGGCCTTTCCGCTCGGTGGGTACGCTATGAGTGTTGGTCTTGCGCCATTCAAGAAGACGCAGTTTGAAGGTGCTGTCAGCACGATGTATGCTGCTACCATGACTGAGAAGAGCGGTCAGTACATTTGCCCACCTGCAATCGTAGAGAAGGGAAGCGATAAGGCAAATGATGTCGAGATGGGTGAGAGGTTGATGGATCTGACGTGGAAGGTTGTGAAGGAGAAGACGAAGAGCCAGAGTGCGGATAAGGGTTGTCCGTTTAAGGAGTCGTAGAGTGTAGGATGTAAGAGGTAGTAATGATTAATGTGACATCACTTATACTTGACATCAGCATTACGGCACGTCGTATTGGTTTTTTGGTCTCCATTGTTGATATATCGCCTACACTCACGATCGTTAGGGGACAATATGACTTTGGACGTGCCCGTTTTGGACGCCTAATGCGGCAACGAGCGCAGACCTTAAGCAGCTTTCAAGGTTGTAAAGACCTTCAAGCAACGAAACAAACGTTCGGTACAGTCGTAGAGACACCTGGAGATCTTCGCTCTTTCCGAGAGCACAATACATCGGCCCCATAATGGTTCTGGGGGCTATAGCTTAGGGGGGGAAGCTGAAGCATGTTCACGCTTGGCGGGCAGAACCGAAAGGGCACAAAGTGATTTGCGGTAGCTGCGGGATGATCTGGAGACTCTGGAGGGAAGATCGCGTCCTGTATCATGCAAGCCTGAAGACTACGATGCTGTTGTTGAAGTCGTCCGTCGGTGACAGCACAGTACCGACGACGCTCAGCGTATTCTAGTATCATTTTGACTTGCTGGAAGGTCAGTCTAATCCTCATCGAAGACACGCAGATATCAAGATCACCTCTCACTGAATGCTTGCGAAAACTTGCAAGCTGTTCAAACCCATGGAGGATGGCAGATCTTGACCTCAACACCTCGGCGGTTGATTCCACTACGCAGGGACAGCTCCTGCTGAGTTAGAGGCCTAGTTGCAGAGGGCAAAGGCTCGGCAGGAGACCAGCAAGTTCCATGCATTGTACTGCTGTGGACAACGTGTCGATGACCATGTTATCGCAAAAGTACAGCTGCAGCGTGTGCAGGGTTCGGAGTGCCTTGTACAGGACGGTTACCAGGCTCGCATTGAAGGTCAGATTGTCCTGCTTCATGTTGCACCCGGAACGATGAGGGGCTAGGAACTTGGGATCGATGACTAAGTCTCTAGAATGCTGAAGTCAACTAGTGAGCCAAGATGATTGCATTCGGAGCCGATCTGTGGAACTGGCGTTCCTAGCTTCAAGATCTTGAGGTGCTTGAGTGTACGACCATGTGGGCGGAGATTGCTGATCAGTTTGCCGAGATGATACTGAAGGAGCCAGGAGGGCTGTGCTTGAGAGCGAGATTCACTGAGAGTGTACTCGAACGTGATCAGGTTCCTGCAATCCTTGATGATACGCATGAGGGTGTTCTTAGGCACCCAGCATCGAGTGAAGTGGAGTGAAGTAGCCGGGAGGCTAGCGCCGAAGAACTGGAGAAATCCTAAAGTGATGCACATGTACGAAAACTCGAGGGCAGTGAGAGTTGTTTGTGTTGCAAGGCTACAACAGTTTCTCAACAGCTTGTCGTTTGTGATGCCGGACAGCTTGAGAGTGTGGAGTGTTTCCAGCATACCGTCCTTGTTCCAAGGCAGACAATTTGTTAAGCCTCTCAACTCGAGCGCGGTGATGTGGCGCATAGTAAGAAGGGCAAAGTGGAGAGAAGCATTCGCCTTACGGAGACTGAAATTCTTGCCTCAAAATCGCGTTTGCTTGTGGTTTTGCTCGTCAGCGCTTGCATCATCGATCTAATGAAGAACATAGTGCTGAGCTTGAGGGCCTGCGTGTCCAATCCCATTGCACCAAAACAATGGTCAAAGGACACGATGAGGGTCTTGTATTGAGAAGCGTGTCTGATAATGTTGTCGCCGAGAGTGTCTCTAGTGCTTGTGAAGTGGACCTTGGGCGCCGGTACAGCACCGCTTCTTGCGAGCCAGTACAGGACGCACAAGGCAGGTTCGATGTCATCGGTTATTCCTTCAGATAGATCAAAGGTGCGACAAGTCTCGAGAACCTCAACTCTCTCGCATCATGCGACGTGGAGCAAAGCATTTTTGAACGTGCCAGATGACTTCACGAAATTTATAGAGAATAGCTGTCTGTATCAAAGAGTAGCGTTCCAAAGGCTAGCCGAGCTGCGCTGCGTTTGTCCTAGTAAATTCTCGTCGCTCATACTTCATATCAGCATTGTAGCGTGGCATGGATTTTCGTGGTTTCCTTTATTCTCATCCACATACCGCCTCTACACGTCATACTCAAATGCAAGATATCAGACGCTCTGAACCCGCCCAATGTTGTTGCAGTGACAAACACTGAGTCAGGCAGATGCTTGGAGGCCATCAGATGGAACGTAAACAAAGGATACGCTTTTCAAGAGCATACTGAATGTGTTGAACTTTTTAAGGAAAGGAAGAGGTCCAATACAGGTAGTACGTAGGAGGCTCCCAGCAGCCTTGTTGAAAGGTTGTGTGTCAGTGTACGTTGTGTTGAGGTGCAAATATGTTGCGGTATCGATCGGTCCGTACAAGGTCTGACTATACCCCTGAGAGACTACCCTAGTCTAGTGTGTGACAGGTCACTGGCCTGAGGCCAGGTATATAGTCGTCATCTCCCAGCTAGATAGCAATTCAGCGCAGTATTCCATCGAGCCGATAGTCCTACGTTATCGTTTACCGTAGCTATCAGTATTCTACAGCGGCCCACGCCGCAACATCATTGTATGCATTGTGGCGAACTTGCAGGCGCGTGTCACCCAGGATACTAGGATCGTGATCGCGGCTGCGCTGACAACACCGTTGGGGAGGACTAGATTTTGTTGAGTGTGTGGACCTGTCCAGGTTGAGTTGTCGGGGCTTTGAATGGTGTTGAGGAATATGCTGACGATCTCCCGGCCTAGGAATAGGATGAGCATCTTCTTTGGGACGGCGCGGCAGAAGATGTTGCCGGTGTGGCCTTCGACGATGTCAAGTTCGAGGCCGTTGAAAGCGTTGAGCTTTCGTTCGGGCTGGATGTGTGGTAGTAAGCTGTGTAAAGTATGGAGACGGCGAATGTTTTCCGAATCGGGATAATATCGATTGAATCCAGTGTTCCCATAGGTGTATGAATCGCGGAACAGTCCAGTTTGGTGGCCTTGGAAAGTATACCCCGCGTAGCCATTGACATAATTCGATCTTGAGGCCTGGAGGTCATCTGTGATTGCTCTTTGGGCTGCTCTCGGGGCGAGATATTGTCCAACAACATCGTCCTGCTTGTAGATGCCACCGTACATCGAAGATTTGTGTACCTTCAGACAGGCAGTATTGGAGCTTGCCGAATCAGCGCCTAGACCGTAAGAAGAGGTCGCGGACATATCGTTGCCTAATTGGCTGCGGCGAGGGGATAGCGTCAACAGAAGGAGCGCAACACCAAAAAACCTATACAATTATCCCAAAGAGGCAAGCGCAGGGCCTCAGAGGTTGCAGCACCCAGAAGAAGCAGAATTGTGGTAGTGCAGATGCCCCTAGTCATGCTGCTGCCGCGCCTCGCTCCCCACCCCCTCCGGCAACATACAACAGCCGCGGTCGCCCAATCAGAGCGCCACAAAAGTTTGAGTGAGGAACTTGTTCATATAGGTCTATAAACTACTCCACCAAAAATCCTCATGAAAATAACCATTGTGTGTGGCTCTACAGCCTCATTTTTGGTGGAACTATTTTTGGTGGTTTGGCGCATTACGCAAATCCGCGCATTACGCGCACAGACACGGTTAGCGTGCTCAGATGTTGCTCAGAAACATTGAGCTACGACCTAACGCAGATTGACCGGAAATACGTGCGGCGCACGCTAGCTGACTCCCGGAAGTGCCTTTGAACACACGTGCTTAGCCTTGCTGCTCCTACATAGACTCTGTCTGAAGGCTGTCTTTACCACTCAAGTAGCGGCTGCCCTTGCCTCTGAATGACAAAGGACCACTGCGTTTCGGAACAAAACCTAAAGGTAGCTGCTCCAAACGACTGGCTTCGTATTGGAACTGAACGAGTCTTGTCAGTACCCGGGGAACGTCCCCTCAGTCCTATGGGTAGGTTGGATCTGTCCGCTAGCCCAACTGGGTCTAGCTTGCTCACAGCGATAATCCTCCCACTCACTTCGTAGTCTAGACAGACAGAATGATCACACAACACTTCTCAACTGTTCCCATTAACAAGTCTGTATGTGCGAAAGTTCAACTTACCTTGCAGGCGCTTCCGTTAGATTCTCATCCAATCACTATTTGCCCTGTGGACTTGCAGGTTCCTGCATGATACACTGAGCGCAACGAAAACTGTTAAGGCTAAAGACATCACGGTGGGCATGCCATCCGGCTGCTTATGTCTACGGCCACTGCATTCATCTTTCACACTGTCTCATGAAACACGGAATAAAAAGTCAAGGCGTTTTGATTAAAGAGTAACTCCTGGGAAAGAGTAACTTCCAGAAAGAGGAAGAAATCGGCGCAATGGGAGCTACAACGAGCCTACCCATGTACGCTGTTGAAGATGTGTCCGGGAAGGGTAAAGGCCTCATTGCGACCGGAGATATAATCAAGAGCACGCGGATTATCTCTGAGAAATCCATTATCACCGTAGGACAACCTGTCGCAAACATGGAGCAACTACAGATTTGCATTTATCAGCAAGCCAGCTCTCTAAGCGAAGACCAGATACGCGAGTTTCTTTCTATGGGCAATGTCTATCCTTGCACCAACCCTGCAGAGAGGTGGCGTGGTATCTTCCATACGAATGCCCTATCTATTGGATTGAATTTAGATGCTGGGGGGGGGGGGGGGTGTTCCTAAAAGCATGCCGGAATTATCACGCCTGTGACAACAATGCACAGAACTTTTGGAAAGAAAATCTCATCCAGCTTATAATTCATGCTGTGAGAGTTATTCGTAGAGGGGAGGAGATCACGATATATTACCTGGGCAGTCGCAGAAATCGCCGGACGCGGCAGGAAGAGCTCCGGGAGAATTTCAAGTTCACATGCTTCTGTCAATTTTGTTCTTTATAGCCCCATCAGAGCAGAGAGAGCGACTTAAAGCAGGATAGTATTCACGTATTAGATTGCATCATCGATCAAGGTGGTGTACCAGGGCTCATTTCATCTTCCCGGCGGATGCTCAGCCACGTCGATGAACAGGTCCGGCTTTGGAACGACCCGATACCGGATGAAGTCGGCCTGGCTCGGGCATATCCTGACGCCTTTCAAATTCCTATTGCGAATGGCGATTTGGCGAGAGCCCGCACTCTCGCAGAGAGACTGGTACCTCTGTATCGACAGTCCGGATGTGATACAGCACAGCAAACTGGTTCAAGACCCCATGACATAAGATTAATAACGTACTCTGGAGCATCGCCATCTCTTGTTCGCTTCTTTACAGACCTGTAATGGACATCAAATATTCTTCAGTCAACTCTCCACCAGCCTGTCAGCCTCCGGCAACGATTGCTGCCATGTTGGGCACAGCTGTCGATCGTTTTGTCAACGCCGTCAATCGACCCTTCGTGGATTACCCCTTGTCCATTCGCGACCTAAGCAATCTCTGCAAGATTTGGAGGGTCTGGTAGAAAGCGAAGTCAAGGAAGACCAGAAGCTCTTTTGACCAAAGAAGTGTGCAGTCCGGCAGGTTCGCCGGTCAGGCGCAAAGATCGCAAAAAGTGACCCAGTGAATCGGGATATGCTAGCTTTGCTTGCCATGCAGGGGCCTGCATTAGCGTGCTGATATGCTGTCGTAAGATATCGCACTGAATTCGATGCTATACTCACCGCAGATCGGCCGCTGAGACGAGCTGTGGCGCAGGGTGGCGGCTTTTCCAAAGCATTCACGACCACGTGCTCGATGTGTGGTCTTATGCGTGCCCCTGTGTATTTCCCCCACATCTCCTGCATATCCTTGCGTGCTAAGCGCAGCACCAGAAGCAGCAAGAATTTAGAATATAAAGTCCATCAAGGCATAACTTGGCAACAGCCATTTCCCTCAAAACCCTGCAAGCTTCCATACGATGATATGCAAATCATGTGCTTATGTGCATCCTTGTTTGTCTCAAAAAAGCAGAGTCATAGACAATCAATGCACACGAGAGAACACTAGCTCTTGTCTATATTTTGCTACCAACAGATGTGTGTTTGTAGGTCAACGCTGCAGATCCAGACTCTGCCAGACCCAACGCCTATACCAACCGTTCTTCCGCACGCCGCAGATCATGACGGTCGATACTCTGATGGTATTCACAGCACGTTCCTGCCATCATGCTGGATCCATGTGCGATTGGAGTTGTGGCTTATGCCTAGATACATAGGGCACTCAAGGTCCACGATAGCTACCTCGCTAGAATTTCTTGAGCTGTATATGGCGATGGTACCTATCTCAGTGTGAAGAAACAAGCTGGTGGAATCGAAGGATAGGCTGTTAAGAGGCCTGCCGACGTTGAGGGTCTGCAGACGTTCGCCGCTGCTCGCATCCCACACCTTGACGGTCTCGTCGTATGACGCCGACGCCAGCCGGGTCGAGCCGTGCGAGAAGGCTACAGAGTTGACCCAATCGCTATGGCCCTCGACAAGCATGAAAGCGATGGGGATGCAGGTAATCATGTAGTATGCTGCGCAGTTGCACAGGGAGCTTAGGCAGCCCGAGGTTGTTGCAGAATAGCCGTGCAGGGTGTTTGGTCGATCTTCTGGTGATTGTTTGAGGAAGATGAGAGCGACTCGAAGCCGCATCTGTTGCCAAGGCTATATATGGTTGAGTTGAAGAAGTCAATTTATTTCGTGCCAAAATTCGTGGCTGATATTCTGAAGGTGTAGACGCGACCATGGTACGTATCCAGTGATCCATACGTTGCGACCAATGAGATACAACGCGTATCAGCAGTCAACCACGGGTCTGCACCGAGTTATGAATGTTATGGAAAGGCCTACATGAACTTGCATCGGAGTCACTAGGCGTAGGGCATAGGAGAGTAAGCGCAAGTGTGAGAACGTGGTTGGTGTTGGCCGCACAAGTGACGATGCCTGGAGATTACAGGCATGCTTTGTCTTCGATGTGTCTTTGTGGTGTCCTCTCATTTCCCCTCATCCTCCGTGTCCAGGGCTCTCCATTTAGCGATCACAGCCAACAAATGATCCTCCGTCCACTCTGCTTCTACACCTCGATTGTACTCTGCACATGCCGTCATGTAGTTGTTGAGGTTATCAATCTTGAGTAACTCGCTGGACGCCGAGCGCTTGATGACGGATTGCACACATGGGCAACATGTGTTCACCTCAGTCGTCGCTGACTGGGACTGTTGCTTGAGCGCTGAAGATATCGTACCGAGTAGGCTCGCTGATTTACCGACATTGCTGTCTGTGGAGATACCGACTGGAATAAGTTCGAGACTGTCTTTTGCCGAATGGGAGGTCGAGTGCTTTGAACTGGTAGAAGTCGATATTGGAAGGTGCTGAGCATGTTAGTTCACATTCGAACCATAAATCCTGAGCAGTCTCTGTACACTTCTGTTGGCGTTCTTCCTAGACAGGCTAGACTGTAGCCAAGGCAAAGTGCGCTGAGCAGCCATATTGTCAAGTTTCTGCTTGGGGTGGCTCGCACATCGCCCTGAGATCAAAGAGACCGTTGTGCTCAAGAGGCGATCTCGAGCAACAAAGGATGCACGCGCTTCGATGTTTCACAGTCGAGCGAAAATATCGTACCGAACTTGGGCAACCATTGTCTTCACTTCACTGCGAGTTCGGACAGCCAATGAGCATGACGCACGCACATGGCCCTTGCACTGGCTTGCTGCACACAAATGTTCGCGTTCCCTTCCAGAGTATTCCACGCTTGCCACGCGACAAACTCCGTCCACGGTCAACTTACGTTCGCTTTCGCTCGGTTCGCGACCAACTACGCTCCTTTAGTCTGTCTGTTACTTTGTTAGTGCTTCGCTGTACGATGCCTAAGTTCTCACGTTTCTACTCTGAGACCGAGGCAGATGCAACTGCCAACATTAGTCGGCTCTTTCCTCAACAGACCGATTGCGCGCCGCAGTTCAGTAGCGATGATGCAGAGCAACTGGATAGCATCCTCAATGGCACCACAACGTCCACATCTCGCCCACGCAACAACGCCAATCAGCCACTATTTCGCCCCAAGCTACCTGTACAGTTCGTTGAGCAGGTTTTGAACGCTTCTGTCTTCAGTGTTTCCCATGAAACGGTCCATCGCGACAAGGCTGTGCGCTATGCGAGCTCCTCCGAGGACTCAGTAGAGTGGAAGATCAGAAGCCGGTCCCCCAGCTCAGAAGAGGCATCACCGCGAAAGTACGGCATCTCCTCACCGACCTTGAGTTTCAAGGCAGAGGCCTCAAGTACTAGTGACGGTTCTTCAGATGACGGTCTGGCGCATGTGTAAGCCCATCCTGCTGAAGACGTGCTCTAATTGTCGCGCTAACGTTGAACAGAAAAGAGCCCACACAGGAAAAGCAAATTTACAACTGGGGATTATACCCTGACTACCATGCCATCTATCCGCAGGACGTGCTGCAGAGCATGGACACGCAATTCTCCAAATGGTCGTATGACCACAACGAGGGCACTGCAGCCATCCCGTTCGTTATGGCACAAGCTCCAGCAGAGACGCACGAAAGACTGGTGGAGGTTGACAGGAAACTTTGGGTCAATGGTACTGAAGACGCTGTTGGAGATTCTGCGGATAGCCAAGACACGGCCAGAGCGATGCTCGAACGCGTCCAGAAGGAGGGCCTTAAGCGCTCATCTAAGGTCGACGGAGCGGCAAAGGTTGGTAGCTCAAGAAAGATCGACTCTACTCGCAGGGACGAGTCTACATCGAAGCGCGCGGCACTCATCGCCAAGAGCAAGGCTGCGAAAGAGAGCTCGCTTGTCGTGAGTAAGTCTGTCGGCCAGAGGCGCTCCGCAATGCAAAAGAACAAGAACCGCAGGTCGATCATGCCATCGCCACCGCCTACAGCGAGAAAGCCAGAGCCAGTGCGGAAGCCAGAGCTGCAGACTGAGCAGTCGAGACCCACGATCCTTATTGTGAACCAGAAGGAGGGCGATCAACGGCGCGATGTCGACTCTGCTCTACAGAACCGACGTCTCGACCTCGATAACAGACAACAGTTGGAAGCGCTGATGGAGCAATTAGGGAAGAGGGTGTCAGACAAGAACGAGAGCAATGAAGGACGCGTGATTGGGGAGGTTCGAGTGAGTAAACTCTTCCAGGATACGAGCGCCACTGACATCTTGCAGGAAGCCGAATTAAACGGAGACGGAGCTGAGCAGGTTGGTAGATTGAAGGGAAAGGCGAGGAAGAAAGCAAAGAGCGGCGCTGCGCGATAAATTCACGAAGAGCCCTAAATAGCTGTTGTGCTTGGATCCTAAGCGCCACTATTGCAACACATATTTTCAGCATGACGCGATGCAGACCTCAATGTATAAGCGATACGCGTATTGAATCTGTCATGCATCTTCCTGCAACTTTGCCTTGTCGCGATGAAGGTTGAGTGAAGCCTTTGCGAGAGCTCAGTGTCCAAAGCCGACCCGGCTCTGCCCTTGTTAGCCGGCGCACGAGCGGCACAACGAGCGGGAACCGTCGGAGAACTGCGCGCGATGCATTTTTCGCACGCAATTGAGCGATGTAAATCATCAAAATGGAAATGATTGCATGTTTCAATTCGAGCGGGTTGCTCTAGTATTGAGCTCACATCCATCCAGCCCAATTGCACGCTCTGCAAGTAAGAGCCCCGCTAGCTTCGGCTGTTCACGCTTCGGTGCCCAGGCGCTCGGCCCCATCGACTCTTCCCTCCCCCAACCCAGTCATTCCGGCCGCCAGTCTGAACAGTCTTGTTCCTGCGCCATCCGCGCATCACTCCACCAGCCTGTGGAATAGCCACAATGCAGGACTCCAACGCCGCCCTGGGTGCACAGGACACGAACTCGACCAGTAAAAAGCGGACCCACCCTGAGGACTTTAAGCGCGCCTACAAGGCATGCATCAATTGTCGGCAGCGTAAGGCAAAATGCATTCTAGGCACTGGACCAGATGGTGATGAGCTAAAGCCACCGTGCCAAAGATGCAAACGAGAGATGCGAGAATGCATCTTCAGGTCTGAGCGCTCATGGGTAAAGAGACGGAAGCCTGGAGAGGCAAGAGAAGAGGAAGAGGAGACGACCTCGAGACCTCAGACTCAACCTGCTGCACCCGCCCTCGTACCTGTACCTGTACCTGCCCAACCCTCGCCAGCCCCAAGGTCGTCGATCTCGGGTCATGGATTCACTCCTGTGCAAAGTCAAAGTCCTTATCTTAACGGACATTCACATCGCTCTGATATCCTATCGCCACCGACTCATCTTCGCCGGGTATCGTCGTCTCAGCCAGATCTTGCTCATTCAGTGATGAGGACCGTTGTCTCCAGTGGCAGCGATGCGTTGAACCTGCTATTTGAAGCCGCAAACCATCGCAATGCTATCGAAAACCAAGAAGCGAATGGGTCGCAGGCGTACGAGACGCCGAGGTCTGGACTATCCGGTGGATACGACGCTGGATCACCATTTCACACGTTCCGAGCACAGCCAGTACAAATGTCAACGCCATCACCAGAGACACTAAAAATATGGACCTCATGTCGGTTCGTGCAGATGGGCTGGTTCTCCGCGCACGAAGCTGTTACTTATGTCGACTTGTTCTTCAAGAACTGCTCACCTCTGTCACCAATCCTTGGCGACTTTTACTCACATCACGAGAACCACTACTCATTAATAGCACTGGATCCGTTTCTGTGTGTCACCATCCTTATGATCTCATCACGTTACAATATCTTGCCGGGAGTAGGAGGCGCATCAAGAGGCTACTTTGTGCACGACCGGCTATGGGAGCAGTGCCAGCGCTTCATCATGAAGATCATGCTTGGTCAGGTCAAGCCTTCAAAAGCACAAAGTCGGACTATTGGTTCGATCGAGGCGCTGCTACTGCTCTCAGAATGGCATCCCCGCGCATTGCACTTTCCTACTGCAGCAGATGGGTGGGATTGCGAGCTGATGATCGGCGCCAACAACACGACAGCCGAAGGCGCTAAGCTTCTGGAAGGTGACACAACATCGAGTCGATGGCTCGAGGATGTAATCGAACCCGCGAAACGATCGGACCGAATGTCGTGGATGTTGATGGGCTCTGCTCTTTCGATGGCCCAGGAGCTGGGCTTGTTTGAGGACAATGCAAGCATTGACAAGGACCAGAGGTCATATCCTAATTCGACCCACGAGTTCCTGACATTACGGCGAATACGAGCTCGCAAGCTGCTCTACGTCTTGCTTGAGCAGCTGTCGTGGCGTCTGGGTTGCACTTCGATGATACCGCAAAGCTTGAACCACGCTCTGATGGAGAAGATTCCCGTCGACTCCGCGACAGGTGCTGTTGAGCAGTGGCAGTCGTTCATGAGCGCATGGGTTGAGCTCACCAAGCTTGCGCGTTCCGTGTCTGATACTATCTACCCTTCCGCAGCGACAACCAAGAGCCTGCTACGCACAGGAAGATACATTGGACTGCTCGAGCACTTCCAGCCGTTGCTAACTTCGTGGAGGAAGAAGTATCTAGACCCTTGTAGTAAGTGCTGAACTCCTTGCCGACAGACGCGTCTACTAACTTCTGTACAGAACTGAAGATAGGACTCCACGACATGCTCACAATCGAATACCAATACGTCCGTATCTACACAAACTCAGTCGGAATGCAAGCCGTTGTCGAACGCACACTTGCCGAGACTGACACCGATGTCCCACAAGACGATATCCTACCCATGAACCTCGAGCCTAGGGACTATGACTTTATCCAAGAAGTTGTTGATGGAAGCTGTCAGATCCTGCAGAAGGTAGTGCAGCTATCAGAGTCAGGTGCCTTGCGGTACTCGCCTGTGCGGATATTCCTGCGGATCACCACGTCGTCAATATACCTCATCAAAGGTCTGAGTTTGGGCTCGCGAAATCAAAAGCTGCAGTCGAGTCTTGATATTTTGAATGCAGCGATCCGCGCATTGCGAGCTAGTAAGTACTCTCAGGTCCTACTGTCCTTGCATCTACTGACAACTCTCAGGCGTACTTGACGACATGCACCTTGCCTCGCGCTACGCAACCCTCCTCGAACTTCACGTCGCCCGCCTCCGTGACAGCTTCGTCGTCTCCTCCCGTCCACCTCGGATACCCTCACGTGCCACATCCGCCGAACGCAACGGCACCACAGGCATGGACTTCCTCAACAATCAAGCTGGTCAGTCGGCTCTTGCTGGGCTGGCAGGAGACGTGACGGGTATGATGCCTGACGATGACTGGTTGGCGTTGCCTTTTGATCCGGCGATGGCGCCGTTTGGGCTGGACAATCAGCAGAATTTCCAGAGTTTTGATGACGGGACGTTGGATTTTATTTGGAATTTGCCTATGTAGAGATGTGCTTGGAGCATTGGGAATATAACAATTGGATTAGGAAAAGATATGTACAGAAAGAGGAATTGATTTAAAATTTTCAGCCAAGAAGATGCATGTCGCCCAGATCTACATCTTCACAAAACTACATCCGAATGGCTTGAGAGCACAGCAGTGCCCACGCATGAAATCAAGCAACTTTTGCAGTACGGGCATGGATTGAGTCCAAGCGGAGATGGACAATATACATTAGATACGAACAAAGGCTTAGGGAAAGAGTTAAATCAAGAGAGACTAACATCCGTTCAAGATGACATGGGAATTGTGATGGATGGTGGTGAGTCTGAACGCGATATGTGACTGATTAGCGCGTCCGTAGCGCGATTTGAGCCAGATGGCTTTCCACGTCATGACTCCGCGGCCTTTTCTACTCCTTTGCCTGTACAGGAAAGCCAACATGGCATTTATCCACCATGTGATCCCACAAGCAGCCGTCAGATAGTTGCATCTAGCAACAGACTCATACATGCTCGCTGTTAACGACCTTAATCAAAGACTAAATCATATTAGGCAGTCGACAAGAGAATCCGCCGTGCGCTCCGCAGGGACAAGAACGCCGAGACCTACTCCGGACTGTTTCATACTACTCATTGGTGCTTTTGATGTGTTCCTGGTCTTGGTATTATCAACCTCGCTACTTACATATGTCACGGTATCAATCGGTCCGTACAGGACCCAGTTACCCCTGGTTGGACTGTTATGGACTAGCACGTTCCAGGGACAGTATATATCGTCTTCTCCTAGCTAGATAGCAATTCAGCGCAGTATTCCATCAACGCAATAGCCCTACGTTATCGTTTACCGTAGCTATTAGTATTCTACAGCGGCACCGTCTGCCGCTACAACATACAACACATAGCATGATATTACGCGATGGATCTGCTGACTGCATGGCCGTGTTGCTATCCACGACGGACCAATTGCCGGTATTTATATCGGGGCGTGGCTGCGAGCACATTTCCTCGTACCTCCCACCTTAGGTGTTCTTCAGGGATCAGTCTTAACTTGCATCCTCAACATGAAGGCCATCGCTCTCATGGCCACCGCCTGTTGTCATTGCGGGGCCAAAGCAAGTCCAGCCCCGAACTCTATTCACTATCGAGACTGCGCCCGGTCAGACTGTGCAGATTACTGAGGAAGAATGATGGGAGCTGTCCTCTGTAAGACTCCGAACTAATCATAGCTCCTACATCGCTGATCAAGGTAGAGCGGAGGTTGTGGAAGCCACTTCTTGGATATCACAGGGTTCAACACCGAAATCAAAGCCGTCAAGGTCCCTGCTCCGTACACCCATCCAAGTTCAAATACGAAGAAAACATCAGACGTCTGTTCCCTAAGCTCAAATGGGACAACATCAGGAACAACCTCGAGAAGTATGCAACTTACCATACGCGCTTCTCCGAAACCGTCACGGGTACTCAAGCGACCGAATGGCTCCTCTCCCAGATCTAGGATATAGTACTGAAGTCGAAGAAGCAGGGCGTAACCGCCAATGCCTTCCCGCACGTACTCTGGCCCCAGAAGTCCATCGTTGTCACGGTGCCGGGGCGAAGCAACGAGATGGTCATCGTCGGTGCCCACCTGGACTCCGTAAACGGCGCAAACCGTCTGGAAGCTAGAGCACCAGGTGTGGACGACAACGCTTCGGGCTCTTTCCTGCTACTCGAGTCACTCCGTGTGCTTCTGTCTGACAAAGACTTTGGGCTAAGCAAGCTGCAGAACACCATCGAGTTCCACTGGTATGCTGTCGAGGAGGGCGGTCTGCGAGGTAGCCAGGACATCTTCACTCAGTATGCCAACGCCGGGAGGGACGTACGGGCTATGCTGAACCAGGATATGGTTGGCTATACCAAGGGCCACACTCGATGCTGGCAAGCCTGAAAGCTTCGGTCTAATTACTGACTTCACTGATCCAACTCTGAATGAGTACATCGGCCGTATCATCGACGAGGTAGGCTGAGCTCTCTTTGCTGTGTTCGAGCAAAGAAAGACTGACCAGTACCACAGTATATCGACATTGAACGCGTCAACAGCGTCTGTGGCTATGCTTGTTCTGACCACGGCTCTGCTACGAGAAACGGATACCCTGCTTCCTTCATCTTCGAAGCTGCGTTTGAGTGCCGCAATCTTCACATCCACACAGCGAACGATACTATCGAGCACATTGATCCTAAGCACGTCCTTCAGCATGGACAGCTCGTGCTCGGCTTTCTGTATGAACTTGGCTTCAGCAAGAGCAACTAAAAATGCCCATTTGCATGCATCATGGGCGGAGTTGTTGAGTTAAGATACCCAGAGCCGTTTTGAGTGTGTGGTATGAGAACTGAGCTATAGCAATGCGACAACGATGTTATGAAACAATTGGACGTTCCCAATCTGCTCGTGCTTGCTTACGTATCATTTCCTCGATATCTCCATAAGGTAGGCCGTTGAGTCGCTCCGACCTCATTTCCTGAGCCAGTTCAGAGCGGTATGCAAAGCTTCTAGCCCCGCTAGCTCTCCCACGAAGCAGTCAAAGTCGAGGTTGTCCATCGCATCTGCCCGGTCATTTCCAATAATCAGGCAATGAGGAAGTGCATTTTCTCGCTCGAAGTTGCGGATTGATCGAGCTGCGGTCGCAGCATTGATATTCGACCCAGCAACTGTGACTGGGGTAGTCAGTATTAATATTCCTGAGTGAGCATGACTCACGTAGAAGAACGACCCTAAACTTGTTCACATCCTCCTTGAATTTGCAGAGTGCCTCTTCACCTGTGGATACTGTTTGGCTAGAGAACCCCAGAAAATGCGTAACGTTCTCAAGGTGCTAATAAAATCAACGAAATACCCGAAACGACTAAGAATTGCTCACCCCTGAGTAATTGGCTACGATCAGCACCGTAGACCCCTTCAATGACGCAGGAATCGGCCACCGTACGAAACGGTTCTCGTCTTCAAATTTCTCAGGATAATCCTTCGGATACCGAGCAGCTTCATGATCTGTCAAAATCTCAGGTATCCATACTTTTGTCATAACATCTGGTCTATCAAGCCAGGCAGACCGCTCCTTTATCCCTGCTAGCGCATCATGTAGAGGCAGACGAAGACCATGCCACGGTGCAATCCAATCTACACCATGGTCCATAACAGTCTGAACGCTGATGCGACCCATGTCCATCGTCCTGGAGTTGTTCGTGCAGATGAGGAAACATGGTGGTACGTTGTTCGTGCGCTCGAAAGAGCGGATCATGTGCAAGACAGCTAGACCAGTCACTGTACGTGACGGCATAGCTTTGAAGTCTGATGTCAGCATGCGCAAAGCGATGTTGGTGGAGCGTGGACCTACGATCTACACATACTATGTCGTACTTCATAGGGTCGCTCTGATACATGTATAGTCCCTGATCCGGCCTTGTCGCCTGGTCACTAGGTATGTCGAACTTCTCGAGCCATCTCGAAAATATCTGCCAAATGAAAGTCAGTCTCCAACATGTCAGGACGAAAGGAAATATATCACTTTTCGGTTGATGGCGTTATGATCAACGATTAGTGCTGTCGACTTTGAAAGGTGCTCTGGCAGTGGACACCATGATCTGGGATGATCTTTCTGTTTCAAATCAGCTGCTTGCGCATGGCACTCTTGTCTTGACCTTTTTGAATCCAGGACTTGTAGAGCGTCACTGACCGTCCCGTAATTTAGGTTTTCGGGCGGAGCACGATGCTCGCGACCGCACAGTGAACAGAAAATGACAGGACATGGTTTTGTCATTATGTGTATGCGTATCACTGGTGTGGATAAGAATTAGGCCTAAGAAGCGTAGTATCAGATGCAGTCGACATTGTATGATGTATTCGGAGCTAGCACTTCCCATGCGGGGGCACGTCCTACCTTCCTAATCCAGCAATAAGCTGCGAGTTTTCAAGCTACGTCATCTCACCCTTCCTCTCTTCTCTCAACGCGTTCTTCACAATCGCTCCACACATCTTCGCATATGGATTCGTCCTCACACTCATCTCCCTCGCAGCCTCGTCGCCGTACCGTGCAGCAGCCGCAAAGTCCTTCGACGCCAACTCTTCCAATTCGCTTTTTCCTAGTCCTTTTAGTTCTGTTCCCGTCTCGCTTGCTTTCAAGTACAAGAAGGCGCGATGCGAGTACGCTGTCCGTAACATGCGCGCCTGGTATGCGGATACAGGGGCTGTTGGCGAAGATGTGGGTAGCGAGAGGTGGATGGCACGTGCTAGGTCTGTGAACAGTGCTTCGATATCTGATTCCGGTGCAGAGAAGATGTTGCCTTCGCTTGGTAGTGATGCTTCGACTCTTATCCTCCGTAACATTGCGCGGTTGACGAAGGCGCTTGGGTATATCGGATGTGATGCAATGATGTTGTTGAGGTTCCCTATCTCTGAATCGATTGTCTCAAGACTGGAGTCGCTCGATGTGTGTCGGACGATGTCGTTTTGTTGTGTTTCGAGAATGGATAGTTGTGATGAGGAGATGGTAGGGTGTGGCGGTAATGTAGTGTTTATGGCAGATGCGTCTTTTGACTTCGCAACAGATGATGGGAGTGTTTCTGGATCGAAAAGTGCGTTCAAGATGCGGGCATCGTTTGCTGACAACGTGTTGATTGTATCAACAACCATTGTGACCGGTATCTAGGAGTGGCGAAGCCGTGGGCTTGATGTAAGGCTACGAAGCTCGGAAATTCAAGTTTTCTGTCTGGAAGTCGAAAATTGATAGCGAGGTTTCTGGTGTCTCGTTCATGAATTATCTCATAAACCGGTCTGATATCATTTGAAGTGAATGTGGGGTTCGGCTTAACAGCCCTGTAGCCGGGCAGCAGCGGATATTGTGGCCAGTAACCGAGAACGGCTAGTAAGCTTCCCAAAAGAACCATCACAGCTGCTGGACACTCCTCCATCATTACCATGTACTTCGCATCATATCGAAGATGAAAGCGACGTTCGTTATGAGATCACAAGTGTGTTGCACAGGATTTACACCCAAAGGACTCATAGCATCACAACCACGATGCGAATTCAAGTTCCAACCGGGGCGGATAAGAGCGGATGGACATCAGCGGACATACAGTGTCGTTTCAGGAAGGTATCGCACGTGCTCTCGGCATAAGGACTCTGATGACGGTGAGTGAGCAAACTTCGCATGGATTACAATCACGTCGGTTCTTGAAGGAAAGCAAGTGAGGAGTTTCTGAGAGCTTGGTAGATAAAGGCAACCACGGACCGCCCGGATTAGAATTAGCAAGCACATATTTACACTTTCCTCACATCCTATCAAGCATCCAACTTGACTTCCACATATTTCGACTTGAACACTCTTCGAAAAAATGGCTCCCGCAGCTATCTCGCCTCTCGGCTCCCCAGTGCCTTCTGCCACTTCTTCCTCAGACTTTGCCTCATACCGCGGATACCACCATGTCCACTGGTACGTTGGCAATGCTAAGCAAGCCGCCTCCTTCTACGTCTCACGCATGGGCTTTGAGCGTGTCGCATATCGCGGCCTAGAAACCGGATCCCGAGCGATCGCCTCCCACGTTGTGCGAAACGGAAACGTAACCTTCATCCTGACCTCGCCTCTTCGATGCCTTGAGCAGAGCAACCGCTTCAGTGAAGCAGAGGCAAAGCAACTTAAGGAAATCCACGAACACCAAGAACGCCACGGCGATGCTGTCAAGGACGTTGCCTTTGAAGTCGACAACGTCGACGCTATCTACAACGCCGCCATCTCCGCCGGTGGTGTTTCTATCGCCAGTCCCCACGATGTCTCCGATTCCTACGGCACCGTTCGCCTCGCCACGATCCGCACTTACGGCGACACAACACACACTCTAATCCAGAAGTCGACATACAATGGCGTCTTCCTCCCCGGGTACCGCGCAGAAGCCAAGTCTGCCGACTCATTAAACCGCTTCCTTCCTTCCGTCAACCTCGAAGCTATCGACCACTGCGTCGGCAATCAAGACTGGGATGAAATGGAGAACGCCTGCGACTACTACGAGAAGGTGCTCGGTTTCCACCGCTTCTGGAGTGTCGACGACAAAGACATTTGCACCGAGTACTCCGCACTGAAGTCTATCGTTATGTCCTCGCCAAATGAGGTGGTCAAGATGCCCATCAACGAGCCTGCGAAGGGCAAGAAGCAGTCGCAGATCGAGGAGTACGTTGACTTCTACGGAGGCCCAGGTGTTCAGCACATCGCACTGCGAACGAACAACATCATTCACGACATTACTAACCTGAAGGAAAGAGGGGTGGAGTTCATCAAGGTCCCGGAGACATATTATGATAGCATGAAAATGCGCCTCAAGAAAGCAGGCCTCACACTCAACGAGGATTTTGAGACACTGAAGAGCTTGGATATCCTGATCGATTTCGACGAGGGCGGTTACCTGCTGCAGCTCTTCACCAAGCACTTGATGGACAGGCCGACTGTGTTCATTGAAATCATCCAACGCAACAACTTCAGCGGCTTCGGCGCAGGCAACTTCAAGAGCTTGTTTGAGGCGATCGAGAGGGAGCAGGAGCTGCGGGGTAACTTGATCTGAGCGGACTAATGATGCAACGAGATGACCTGAGAACTGGCTTAGCTAGACATTGAAGGCGTTTTGGGATGTTCCTATACCAACATAGCAATATTTCTTTCTTACTTATACCAACACTCCTTCATCGTTTGCGTTCTTGATGATGTGACAGGTGGTCAATTCATCGATCCAAGCCGCCGCCACCCTGGTTCCATGCCCCAGCACTTGTCTTGCTCCCAAACCCAATCACGCTTCCGATTGGAAAAGTCCCGCCTTGAAAGAATCAAATACCCACCATTCGAGCGGGTGCAGGGCGATGGTTCATCGGTTCCCAGAAGAACGGCGCTAAGGTATGTGTGGTGCAGCCACCGCTCCAATTGTCGTAGTTCCATGGTCTTGAGGTACTTGCTCAATTGTATAAGGTCTTCCCTTCTATCTGTACACTCTGTCGGCACGGCCTTCGAAGGTGAAGCGGGAGGATCTAAGTATCAGGTCAGCGTTGCTTAAGTAGAGTACTCTCAAATAGTCTATAGACATAATGTAACCACGTGGCTTAAATCACGTGATATCCTATTGTAGTAGGCACTACCTAAGGGCAAGTGCGCTTATCTCTGAACCAAGAGCTCGAGTAACAACATCATCGAACAACAACCCAGATAGCAATACAATCGTTGATCACTGCCTCCAACCAACACTGCTCATGCAGTTACACATAATGTGACGGTTCATGGAGTATAGAGGTCATGTGTGCCACGTGTGTTGGCGCAGTGCTCTTGCCCTTTCCAACAAGCCCTTTCTACCTCTGTCTGAACGACATATACGTCATGAAAACAGACCCTGATGGCCCGGTGAGAGAGACAGAACACTGAACAAGAATAACAATATATACCGATTTTACTACTTCGCGCGGTTACCCCTGACTTACTGTCCTGCGTGGTTACACCTTCACTTATTGCATTTACTGCAACACATAACCTTGACCTTCTCGACTATCATTTTCGTACCATAACCGGCTTTGCAGCTCATGCCATAGTGTGACATATCTGAAGCCGTGCTCTTTCGCAGCAGTTATGGCTGGCTTGAGAAGCCAAAGAGAGAGCGGTTGTCTGAGCGTTACGCCTGACCCTGCAAGTTCCCAAACTTCGATCTCTGATGCACGCCAGGGGTGTACTGGGATGTCTTGTATCATAGCTACGAGTTGTGCTTGGAGAGCTACACCGGCTGGAGTGATTGTATTTTCCGGGATGCCCCAGGCATCAAGGATCTCTGCGATGTGAATCTTGACCGTCAAGTCGCAGAACCACCGCTACCAAGGCTCTGAAGCGTTTTCATTGTATAGTGTAGCGGTTTGGACAGCTGTAGAATACTGATAGCTACGGTAGACGATAATGTAGGACTATCGGATCGATGGAATACTGTGCTGGATTGCTATCTAGCTAGGAGGAGACGACTATATACCTGACCTGTAACACACTGGTCCAGGGTATTGATCAGGGGTATAGTCAGACACTGTACGGACCAACCGATACCGCAACATATAGGACCACTTGACCTGGATTTCTAGCTAGACGTCCCCAGTTCGCGCGACTGTCGAAAGAATCCTTGATTGGCAGGTCACACCACACAACACAGCCGCATAAAAACCTAGTGGGAGGCATCATAATACTTGAAGAACATCAGAAATCAGGGAACATATTCCAAGCCCTGGGGCCACGGGGCAAGTTAGCACGCGCGCAAGCTGAACGCTAGGGAGACTTAAGGTATTGCAGCCGCAGAACACGAGGCAGCGCGCCTTTACGAGCCTCGAGACAATGTTACAGACACCAGGCTTTGAGTACGGCATACACAATGGACCAATAATTCGAGGAATACAAACAAAGACAAACACGTACTTCTTGAGGCAAAATGTACATAGTCGTAGATAGAAGCTAGACCACGCAGAGGCGAGGGGATAGCTAGCCGTATCGTTGGTATGGTGAAGTGAGAAGGTGCCGATTTCTTTTGGCAAAGCGTCGGCTGTCCGCCAACCCTTTGCATCCGGGCATAGCTGCGGATACATCGCGGTTGAAACCGAGTAGGAATAAACCAACCAATCATCCATCCATTAAAGCATGCGCCTGCCATGCTGCGTTAGTGCACTGTACTTCCGCAACACATGCGAGAAAGCGCAAATATATGTTGGCGCTGAACTATTACAATCAAACAATCGTTCTTAGATGGATGAGTGTGGTATATGCATCAACTTCGCTCTTTTGCTTGTACGCACGCCTACGTTTCTTTCCAGTCTCTTGAACAGAGGGAGAACCGGTCCTGTTCTTTCAACGCGAGTAATTGGCAATAGTGTTGGCGACAAGCGCGAGTAGTCGGGTGATCCTCTCCAAGAACAGTACCATACGCAGCGCATGCCTGTTCATACAAGTGGCGGGAGTCGTAGCGATATTGATTTGCAAGAAGGCGGGCGTGGCAGTACATGCTCATAAGCGTGTCTGGATGCTCAGGCCCTAGCACCTTCTTGTACAATGCCAATGTCTCCGTATTCACTGTTTCCGCCTCCTCATACTTGCCTTGCTCGCTCAGCACTCCCGCCAAGTTGCTCATGCTTGTCAGCGTATCTGGATGCTCAGGACCCAGCACCTTCTTGCACAGCGCCAGCTCCTCTCTGTGCATTGCTTCCGCCCCATCTTGCTTGCCCTGCCTGTACAGCACAAGCGCCAAGTTGTGTATACTTGTCAGTGTGGAGGGATGCTCAGGCCCAAGCACCGTCTGGTACAACACCAGCGTCTCTCTGTTCATCGCTTCTGCCTCCCCGTACTTGCCTTGGCTGTACAGCACAAGCGCCAAGTTGCTCATGCTAGTCAGCGTTTCTGGATGCTTAGGTCCCAGCACCGTCTTATACAACACCAGCGTCTCTCTGTTCATTGCTTCTGCCTCTCCGGACTTCCCCCGGCTGTCCAGCACCAGCGCCAAGCTGTGCATGCTCGTCAGAGTGTCTGGATGCTCAGCCCCAAGCACTTTTGTACACAGCACTAGCGTCTCGCTGTTCATCGCTTCCGCCTCCTTGTACTTGCCCTGCCTGTACAGCACAAGCGCCAAATTGCTCATGCTCGTCAGCGTGTCTGGATACTTAGGTCCCAGCACCGTCTTGTACAACACCAGCGTCTCTCTATTCATCGCTTCCGCCTCCTTGTACTTGCCTTGCCTGTCCAGCACACTGGCTAGGTTGCCCATGCTCGTCAGCGTGTCTGGATGCTCGGGCCCTAACATCCTCTCTCTCACTGATAACCCTTGTTGGTGCATTGTTTCTGCTGCCGAATATTGCCCGAGGCTTGCTTGACACCGTCCTACGCGATCTAGAAGCGAAGCGCTTGTTGCTTTGCACACTACACTATCAATCCCAGCCACATGGATTGCGTGTGATAGGTACGTCGTCCACACCTCTTTCTTTTCATGCCCGCCGTGCGGCACTAGCTCCTCGAGCCGCGCCACCGCTGCATTCACCCAGGTTGCACGCTCACCATGTCCGTCCAGCCACCAGACAGACGCCAAATGCACCAGTCGGTGCATATCGAAGACTTTGTCTCCATCTGGCTCTTGTGCCGTTTGTAGGCGCTCTGTGATGAATGCGTATCCTGTCAGTGTTCCTAGCGCTTTCACTTGCTGCACTAAGGAGCCTCCAGGAGGCAGTAGCGATTGGGGGATGTTGACGCGGTCGATGCACGCCATGAATGAAAGGTATTCTGCAGCGAGCGAGTCTTGCCTGCGTATCTGATCGAAAGAGATGTGCCAAGTCTTCGCGATCGTGCTGTCCAGTTCATCGTATCTGCTGGGGTCGGCAAAGCGCTCATTGAAGAGCTCAGTCTCTGCACCAGCCTATCGGAACATTGATGTATAGCCAGACACTGACACATGGTTGTTATTGATAAAGGCGGCTGCCTGCACGATAGCAAGCGGTAGACATGTGAGAATCTCTAGCAGTTCGTCAACAGCCGTCTTGTCATCAAGCAATGCCTGCTTTGTTATGCACCGCTCTAACAGCTGCCTAGCTTCAGCTTTGCTCATATCATCAAGCCCCAAGACGCTGCTCGGCGTCAAAGTCCTAGCCACCTTCCTACTTCGAGTCGTGAAAAGAATTGCGCCTTTGTCGCTGCGCGGGAGATAGTCGCGCAGTCGAGCTGCCTTTGAGTCACTAGTCATGGTACCCAGTAGCACCTCATGATTGTCGGCATCATCGACAATCATCAGCCAGTCGTCCACGCCCTCTGAACTTAGCGTGTCTCTGACCAACTTCTTGATGTCTGCATTGTCATCAGTAATCCCTGGGATACGGAGGCGGACTCCGATCTCGCGGAACGCAAGCTCGAAGCTCTCCTGGCTGATAGCTGGCACCCAGAATACCAGTCTAGCGTGTCTTGCCAATACGCGATATGCAAACTCGATGGCAAGCGCTGACTTCCCGCAACCTCCTAGTCCGTATATTGTCATCCGCCGGTGGCTGTTGGAGACGAGGAGGTGCTGTTCGAGATATCGGAGCTGGTCTGTCCGTCCAACAAAGAGAGTGTTTCTTAGGAATGGTAGCGACGAGAAAACTAGATATCGTTAGCTATGTACAACTTGCAAGAAGTGTGCTAGCTTGCTGAGCAAGGGCGTACCAGACAGGTTACGCGAGCTGTCAGTTCCACGCCCCTCCTGCCGCTTCTGTATCTCTTCTCTCAGCCGTAGGGTGGCGTATGCTTCTCCTTCCCCGTATATGAGCGACAGGAACACACCAAAGATTCCTAGCAGACAATACACCTTGTCTTCCTTTAACGTTGTCGTGCGCCTGGCCGCCCAGCTCATTCGGTCCTCAACACTAAACCCAGTAAGACTTTGTCCTCTTAGAGCCGTGATAGGGATCTTGGTAATCTCGTGGATTTCCCGCTCTAACGACACCCTGCTACCCAGCCGCTTGCCCTGCTTGCAGAAGAACTCGACGCTAGCCGGCGCCAGGAGCTCTTGCAACGTCCAACCTCGCGTGAACCAACGGCTCCGTCGAAAGGCTTCTTGCCACACTATCGGGAAGGCTTCAGCGTCGTTGATCTCGTCCGGCACCGGAACGTCCGACAGGTATACGTAGCACTTAGATGCGCGCTGGTACCAGCGGAACATAGAATTGATCGCTGTACTGAGCTCATCACTAGTAGACTTGTCGATGCAGCAGGTATCGACCCAAAAGTACTCGAGGCCGTCCGCTGCAGCTCGTTCGCTGCAGAAGCGGATTTTGGCGTAGCCAGCCTTGTCTTTGCCTGCACCGGTCACCAGCTCATTGTACGTAACTTCCTGACCTTCTGTCCAGGTATGCGATAGGATAGCGTACGGAGAGGGGTCGTCATCGTTGAAAGATACTAGCTCAAAGCCGCCGTCTCCCAGCAGCCGCTTCAAAAGACGCATCGTGGCCCCCACATGTTCTCCCCAAGCGATGAGCGTTGTCCTGGTTCGATCGATTGCAATACAAGCGTATGACAGTAAAGTCAAGAAGCACCGAGCAGAAGTAATGTCTCTCGTCCAGCGCAAGTGTCATGCATCGACATGGAACGGGCCGAGCAGGCTGCGAGCTGTTGGACGCTCGGGGCTGTGCAGTCGGCGGTGCCCGGCCCACAGCTCCACATGTGGGGTTCTCCGGAACACTTTTTGCGACTTTCTGTTTTAACCGGCAAAACTCCCGGACTACCATCTTTTCAGCTCAAAGCCGCTATTGAAGCAGATTGCTATTATCTTTCGTGATTAGGCTTTGCATATAATCCTCCGGGTTCCTGACAGATCCCTTTACTCGCACGTAGACAAAGGGTATCAGCAAAGGGTCGGTTCACGGCGTTGACGAGACGACCGACAGCATTATCAACGTCGCGGTAACCCTGGCCGGAGGCTGGTGCCCTGGAGGGGAATTGGCTGTAGAACATCAATACGCCGATCATAAGTTGAGGATCTTTTCAATTGGGAGATGGCAAAGCTCCGAAGTGCGAACCTGTTCCGTCACATCGTGCGTCCCGGCACGGTTGGATGGACGTTACGCCAACCGTTCTTACCAACGCAGATCATTTGTGTCGCGCCTACCTGAATACACATACGGATGTCACAGCATATTCAGGCAAGATGCATACCCAAGAGTTCATAAAAGACGAGTTTGTGTTTGGCTCCCTCTCGACATATGCAGTTAAACCGGACTTTCCTGCATCCGGCATTATAACGCCGTGATTCTCGGTGCAGCTCTCTGTGGTTGGTCCCAAATCATCGCCATCAGTGCTTCAGCCTATGCGGCAAACTCCCGCTTACAGTCTTCAGTATTTTCCAGATCGGAGGCTAAGCTCTTCACTTTCATCTTTAATACGGCATTCTTACTGTTGGATCATCAACGTTTGATTCAACTTTGACATGAGAAACAATCACGCACTCTTGTCAGTTCTTCACCGCAAGTTCTAACCCTGAAGTCTTTGCCTGGGGGAGTACCCTGCAGCCAAGGAAGCTTCCAGCCACCTGCATGGCCAACGCAAATCTCGAATTCGAGAAACCCATCACGTCCACCCTCCTGCATCACACGCCGCACGCCATCTACCAGACTCCGCTATGTCAATACAAGCCTGTATGACAGAGCCCTCAAGCTTGACGCGTTAAGTAGAACACCGTTCAACTTCTAACAGGATGCCTTGTCTTTTTGCACCAATCCGACTAAAGCGCCCTGCGAACGAAAACATTCCCAAAGCTCTGCGGACGCCGACGATCGCACCTAAGTCGCCGTCGAACTTTGCGCCGGAGTTGGTGTGTTCTCGCAACAACGCGGAAGCAGCGCCAAAAAAAAGGTACGGATTCAGTAGCAAGAAGTCTTAACAAAAGGAGCTGGAGAGGATATACTCCCTCAAAAGGATGCTGAGTGGCAGATTGCTCGTGAGGAGCGTCAGGGTGACAGCGATCAGGCCTTAGCCGACAGGCTCTTGCGTGCTGCAAAAGGTGCAGGGAGCCTGGGCACAACTCACGTACATGCAAAAAATACTCTAGATACTGCTTAATCTATGGTAGCAATATATATATATATATATATATATATATATATATATAGTATGTTCTACTCTGTTGTTAAGATATGTTGCGGCGTGGGCCGCTGCGGTATACTGATAGCTACGGTAAACAATAACGTAGGACCATCGGGTCGATGGAAGACTGCACTGAATTGCTATCTAGCTGGGAGATGACGAATATATACCTGAGCTCAAGCCAGTGACCTGTCACACACGAGACTAGGGTAGTCTGTCGGGCGATACCGCAACAAGATATAAGCCTGTAGACATGCATAACTTGTTGAGGTGCGCGACTCGCTTGTAAAACACGTTACATATCTAAGAGATAAACATGTCTTGCTATAGCTAGTACTTATCACGTAGTAGATGACCCTACGTTGTCTGTCTCACGCATTGTTGCGTCTAGTGGGAAGACGCTGTTCTCGGCCTTCAAATCCTTGTAGACGCGGTCCCAGAGAGGTTGGAGCTGGGCTGGTGTCTCCCAAGCATTCTCTTCATCTCGTAGCCATAGACGGATTAGATGTCGTCTATGCACCAGAAACGTTAGTGAATTCATGATACAAAAGGAGACTCGTTTGCACTAACTGCTTTTCTCCCAAGTTCTTGAAGGAACCTCGGGCGTGGAAAATGCTCAAGTTGTTCGCGAATTGGATATCACCCTTGTGGAAATCCACGGACACGGCATGCTTCTCAGCAAGGAAGTGGAGCGCGTCCAATGCTTCCGCTTGAGCTTCCGTGATCGGTCCAATGCTGTTTGTTCGAGGAAGACCCCAGTAACCTGTGAAGTACCGACGAGCATACTGGATAATCATCCGCTCGGGACTTTCGGCCTTAGCGGCCTGGTAATAGAGCAGCGGACGCGACGTGGAAGTCTTGCCGTTTCTGCCAAATCTGCAATGATGTCGGTCAATTGTTCCTGTTAGCCGTGTTCGGATCTTACTCGTCAAATTCCCATGGCTCGGAGAGTGTGCGAATGAGATCCGGCCGCGAAGCGGCAAGTTCATTGTAAACGTGCCAGCTACTCGACAGGAAGCTCTCGCCCCCTGATTCAGCTTCGCATAGTGCAAAGAGGGCAATGACGTCGCCGGTATCTGTGTGGAAGACTTGCTTTTCCGCTGTGTAAGCGGGAGAGCCAACGTTACTTGAGCCCATGTTAGACAAGTCCTTTACATGAGCCATGACAACGTCTGCGGGTTTACCGAGCCACGTTGAGTCCTGGCGACCACGAATGCTTGCCACGTGGGACGAAAGTCCTGCATAAATGATCACGTTATCCTCTCGCGAGTAGTCGTCCACCGGGATTCCTCGGACGACCTTGAACCCGTGACCATGGTGCACCTCGCGCGAAATAGCGCGCATGGTTTTGTGAAGCTTAGCCAGGGGGAATGTCTGTTGATCGATAAGGCCCAAATGCAAACCCGACGCTGTATCGAAGACGTTCAGCGATTTGAAAGCTTGGCATCAAGGGACAAGTTACCTTTGAAATGCTTGAGAGCATTGTCGATCTCCAGCAGATCTTCCTTGGTCAGGTGGTAGTCCCAATCAAATTGCTTTCCAATGTCTTTTCCTTCCCAGACGAGCTCAGAGTTAAGTTTTTGTGGGAAACCCGCAGGAAGCGTCTTCTGTAGGGATTCGTCCTTCATACGTCTCTCGCCCCGAGCGAGATACTTGGTATAATCGGGCGCATACGCAATGTCAGGCTGCCCTAGTGGCCCGACAGGGTTAGGCGGCTGGACACAGACGGCGGTCATCTTGTAAGGCGTGTTGTAGTAGCAGCTCGAGTGCTCTGAGGATGATATTGTTAGAGGCATGCATTATTGGCAAGTGGAGATGGCTTTTGGAGGTGTGCTGCTCCGACTTTCGGCGCACCGAGAGACTCCAGGGCCCATAGTGGAACAGAGTAGGTCTTTCTAAAGCTCGTGATGATTCGATCCTCGCTGCAGCCGACATAGTTCCGATTAGGTTGAGAACGCTTATGGCGCGCGATTGGTCACAAACAGATGTTTTCTGCTTCGATCGTGCGGGGCATGGCATCAGTGCGGCCAGCGGAAGCTGCGTTGCGCACGGATGAGGCAACTGTCTCCGGTTGTCGTAATCAAAGCAGCAATCACGCAACCTGCAGTACAAATTTCGAATTTCAAAGAACTTGCCCCACCAAGCCCACCATTGTCATGTCTCGAATATTGCATTTTTAGGTTTGCGACGGATTTTCATACCATGCTTTTCGTTTGTGTATCTTTCACTATAATGGACAATAGGAGCGGGCCCGGACGACTACAGATCTTGAAATGCTCATCGATATAGTATGGGACCACGGGGACAGGCCGCAGTATCTCATGTGTCGGCTCATTGTCTCTTTCCCAGAGACATAGGCAGGCCAGAAGCGTTCTTGGGGTACGTGACCCCACAAACAGGCCGGAAGTAGCCCAGACTTTGCCGCGCAGAAGTAGGCTCCTCAACATGAGACATAGGATGCGGCTCTTGCCGAGCAATTGGCATGATATAGCGACCGAGCAAACGTCAACTTGCCACTGTATGTCGTGCTAGAGATGGCGTTGGCCTCGATTGAATAGTACGCGTTCTCCTTGAAAACTGACTATGCCCATCGTAAGGTTTATATAACGGTATTCCAATCGCATATCCTATGCATACTGTCCTCAACGCCTGGACTGCTTCACCAATCCAGCCCGCGATCACCATGTCGAGTAAAAACGACATTGAGGAGGTCATATCCCCCAGCAATTCGCGCGACGATGAGCCTGCCGTGGTCCGCGATGGCAATTTGGCATACACGTACGTACAGGCGGGGAACGGCTCAGGACCTTCCTACCAAGAAGCCGTCGGCGCGCCCGTAGAGTCGAAGTCTCCACTGGGCTATCATGTTGGCTGGATGACGGTGATTTTTTTGAACGTGAACCAGATGATTGGAACTGGTATCTTCTCAACGCGTGAGTTGAGGTCTGTTAGATACGAAAACTTCGTCGCTGATGCTCATTACAGCCGCAACCATTCTTCGTGGAACGGGCTCTATCGGACTGGCCCTGATATACTGGACCATCGGTTTCATCATGGCAATTGCTGGATTTTCGACCTACTTGGAGTTTGCAAGCTATTTCCCCAATCGCAGTGGCTCCGAGGTGGCCTATCTAGAGCAGGCGTATCCGCGACCAAAGTACTTGATGCCCATCGCCTTCGCTGTTCAATCCGTTTTCCTGTCCTTTAGTAGCAGCAACGCCATCGGTAAGTGTCTCAAAATCTCAAAATCCGTCAACAAATATCACTGACCAATTCTAAACAGTCTTATCGAGATACATCTGGCAAATCGCCGGTAAGGCGCCCAGTGATTGGGAACTCAAAGGCGTCGCCATTGCTGCATATACCTTGGCTGTTATTTGTATGACCTCCGCAATTCATGATTTGCATCACTTGAGCTGACCGATGTAAACAGGCGTTATCGCTCACAACCGATACTCTCTCTGGGCAGTCAATGTCCTTGGTGTGTTTAAGATTGTGACGCTCATTTTGTAAGCTTTCTTCTCTCGCGGGGACGCTCTTTGTGAACGATGCATTCTAACACACACGTAGCATCAGCATTGTCGGCTTTGTTGTTCTCGGCGGTCAGGTCTCATCTGTCGAGGACCCTGGCCAGAATTTCCGCAACTCTTTCGAAGGTAGCTCGACTAACGGCAACAGCCTCGCTAGTGCCCTGGTCAATATCGTTTTCTCGTACTCCGGCTACCAGAACGCGTTCAACGTCACCAATGAGATCCAGAACCCCATCAAGACGATCAAGAAGAACGGCATTATATCCATTGTCTTGGTTGCAACACTCTACATCTTCTGTAACATTGCATACTTCGCTGCTGGTGAGTGCTGTTCTACCAAAAGCGACTAAACCGAACTGATATTTTCGTGTAGTCCCTAAGGGCGTTTTCATCAAGTCCAACGAAGTTGCTGCTGCGGTGTTCTTTACCAAGGTCTTTGGCAAAGGCGCTGCTGAGACTGTGCTGAATGTTCTCGTGCTTCTCAGCGCCTTTGGAAATCTGCTGGCGGTTCTCATCGGACAATCACGAATGATACGTGAGGTTGGTCGGTAAGTGTTACGCGTCAAACATACATAGAAAAAAGAAACTGACGCGCGTGGTCCGACAGCCAGGGTGTCCTCCCATTCACTTCGTTCTGGGTCTCCACGAAGCCATTCGGTACGCCTCTCGGCCCTTATCTACTAAAATGGGCTGTGACCATGATCACTATCGTTGCCCCGCCAGCTGGAGATGCTTTCCAATTCGGTATGGTTGACTTCTCTACTCCCGAGCATCTTCATTCTAACAATTGATAGTCGTCAGCTTGAAAACATATCCGGAAGGGATGTTTCATCTTGCTCTTGCTGTTGGGCTGTATCTTGTGCGCCGCCGATTCAAGCGCGTCGGCCGCGACAGGACAGATTTCAGAGCGTGGCACGTCCTCATTATACTGTTTATCCTCATCCAGGTATACATCCTCGTTATGCCTTGGTTTCCACCTGCGGGCGGTGCAACATCTGGAACAGTCAGCTTCTGGTACGCAACGTATTGTGTTGTTGGCATTGGAATGTAAGTTTCGGGAGCAGGTGATTGTGAAGGAAAACGCTAACTTTACGCCACAGCATTGTCGTATGCGGAATCTACTATCTTATGTGGATGCACGTTATTCCAAAGTGGCGCAAATATACAATCAAGACTGAGATTGTGCCGGTTGACGATAACGGCGCAACCACGCACCGACTAGTCAAAGTTCCTCTAGACCAGCTTGAGGACTGGAAGAAAAACCACGGCGAAGCTGGTAACCTTACTCAGATCCGTTCTAGGGCTTGATAACACTTAGCTCTACAAGCTGTTAATAGATTTCCGTAACTAGGGATAACGTGTTTTATAAGCAAGTCGCCTACCCAACACAGCACTACGCCTACGCAACAACTTTGCGCAACGCTACAACAAAATTAAGTAGTTTACAGGATAGTAAAATCTTATTTGGAAGCACTATTATCATCTAAGTCCTTTATTTTAACTTTGCAGGTGCAAGAATTATGCCTAATTTCGCTATAATACCCGCAGTGTCTTTCTCTGCGCACCCTCTTTGCAGGTGTTACGCCATCACTACAACTGCTACGTTCCTTAGCAGCAACTAAATTAGTTACCTTACTAACTGTTCATGTCTCTTCAGTCCGCACATATTGCCACTTACAACTTTTACGCTGTGTAGCCGCCTTAGTTGCATCTTGTAGGCGTGCTATTTCTTCCCGCATTAGCATCATCTCATATACTATCTGCTAGGCGCCTTTAGTAAGCTACCTAACCTACTCATTTATTAAACTTGCTAGACACCCCTAATATTTTTGCATGCGATTGTAAAGTAGCGTTGACTGCGCCTCCATCTCGCAGGCGTTGCGCGTGTCTTCAGCTCCTAGACGACGTTGGTGCGGCTGGCTGATCACCACATCTCCCAGCCGCACGTCTGCCTCAGCGCTCGGCACGCCGTCGCCGATGCCCACCATCAGCCTGAACCGAATCTTCTTGAATGTCGCTCGCATCTGCGTCGCCACTGATGCTGTTGGGTTGTTGCCGATCCGACTGGCGGGCAGACGCACGATGGCGACGTTGTGGCCGCCCATCGAGCCCAGCGTACAGGTTCTCGTCGTTGTCATCAAGGTCGCGCTCGAGGTCGGGGTGCTCCTCGTTGAGCATCTCCTGTGCTGCCGCCAGCTCGAGCGGTAGCGCGCACACCCATCCCACCGTGTAGTCTTCGCGGCGCAGCGTGCGCGCCATTCGTGTCGTTACGATAGGAATGCTGCCGGGATTCATAATCACCGAGTTTCTTGACTATCTCCAGCATCCCCACCACATGCAGTATACTGTCGCACTAAATGCAATAAGTGAAGGTGTAACCGCGCAAGGCAGTAAGTCAGGGGTAACCGCGCGAAGCAGTAAAATCAGTATATTCTGTTGTGTTGTTGTTCAGTGTTCTGTCTCCCTCACCGGGCCATCAGGGTCTGTTTACATGACGTATCTGTCGTTCAGATAGAAAGTGCTATTGGAACAGGCAAGAGCACTGCACCAGCACACGTGGCAGACATGACCTCTTTACTCCATAAACCGTCACATTATAGCTGTTCGGTGAGCCAGGCGCATCTAGAAACTCGTAACTGATTGCAACAGCAAAATTTACTCCGATGTTACGGATCTCGTGGTAGGTCAAGCCCGGCAGTGTGACCATAATCTCGCCAGGGCGTTGGCGAGCCAGATCGAACTCAATCTTCCTCTTTCTGAGCCAAAGAGGACTCAAGTTGACATGGTGGTGGTGGCGCACAAACTGTGAGCATTCTCTTTTCCGACCGTGAAACTCTGCATGGACAGATTCACCAAGCCTCTGGGAGGAGCTTCGACAGACAATGATCCAATGCTTCTCGGCTCGAGCCAACAGCATGTTGGCTGAGCCCGCATATCTATCCTCGACATGCATGGTTGTTTGCATACTGTTGAAGTGAGTGGATTGTGTTGGTTGATCTTGGGAGCTATTGGCTAGAATTGATCGAGACTATATAGTAGAAGGGGATAGCAGTGAAGTGCAGCGGGCCGTTAGCAAACACTGCAACGGACCGCTAGCAAACAGATGGCGATCGGTGGATACCTTCACTCCCTCCGACACGTACCTTGTTCATAGCTCACATATCAATATGTGCTGTTAATCCCTGGCAGGTCCCGTCTCCGACTAGTCACCGGACCAGGATCTAGCAATTTGCTAATCTTCCGACCTGTCGCAGTATCGCTTGCGTGGGGTCCAATAAGATACGAGATAGATATTAGATCCTTGCCGACTGAATTAAATGACGCTTGGAACTCTTGCTCTGGCGCAAGTATTGGCTCTTTAGCGTCGAAACTTGGCAGACGGCATCCCAGCTCAGCCTTGTTGTTCCGATAAATGTGATAGAGACCATCGCCCCCGTCCTGAAGTGAAAAGCTTTTGCCGTACTCATCATTTGTCACGGTTCAGGGTGCTCCTGCCTGTCGTACCTCACCTGCCATGAGAGTGACTGCCACGTCACACTAGCATTGTTTACAGCTACTCACCTATATGTACTGTCCGTAGCTTCACCCAATACAACCTCAGTTCAATCCGTCAATTCTTCCCATATGCGCACTGTCCACGCTTCCCGACAATAACTCATAGAGAAAATTGTGACTCGTTTCAGATTTCATGATACTTGAGCAAAGCACATCTTTGCTTGTTTTCCAGAGGCATGCGATCTTGGTTGCTGAAGCTTAGGCCTGCTCCAGCTAGCTACACAGCTTATCTCTGACCATGAGCATCACCCTACAGTCGTATATTGTCACGCACTGGATCAGGCAAACCCCGATCTGCAGATGTTCATCGATGACCATAATAATGGGCCAGTCCACATTCGTGCGTTTGAGGGAGCACGAGTTCAGGTCCACAGTGTCATCCAAGCCCAGGCAAACACCTGCGTATACATGCTGCTTCTTTCCCGCGTGCTCATCCCGATACACCTACAATTGCAAGCTTCTTTGGTCGCTTGGGAGCGATAAAGAGAGCTCGTTGTCTTCTTTAACGTCCATGACACGTCTCTTGTTCGGTGCACCCTTGTGCTTGACCCCACTGATCACTGTCCATTCCAGCCAACTCAGCCCAGTCGCTTCGTTTTCGAAATTGATCTGTTCGATATTGGAATTTTGTTGCGGTATCTATTGGCCCCGCGAGCCCTGACCCACACGGCAGTGGCTATACTGGGTTAGCACGTTACTGGGCATGTATATATCGTCGTCTCCTAGCTAGTCAACAACTCAGCACAGTATTCCATCGACCCGATAGTCCTACGTTATCGTTTACCGTAGCTATCAGTATTCTACAGCGATCCACACCGCTACAAATTTTGATACATTGCACCTACTCCGTATCGCCATGAACTACTGAAAGACCCGGAACTAGTCAGTTCGCGCTTCAATTCTTCCTCCTAGTCGCACATGCGTGTGCAGTTGCAGCAGGCAGTTGACGTGTATGTCCTATCCTCCACAGCTCTCGTAATCCTCAGGTCGACATACAATGTCCTTTCAGGAGGTGGCTCTAGACCTGGGTATCTGATTCCGCGCAGTAGCGGAACCAAGTCTGCCCCAACAAGCAAGATTTTATTGCCTCTTGCCTTTAGATAACTTAGTCAGGATCCGTCTATGAAAGATTGTCTCCAAAGTTGCATGTGTTCATTCTTCTGCGCGCTTGTCAACGAGATTTTGAGCACAAAAAGGAATGAATGCAGGTCTAAGGGTGTCAAGATCGAAAAGAGCAGGACCACAGCCCGAAATGTAAGACAACAGCCGTACAATCCCAAACACAGTCTGTCGGAGTTCAGTGAACTGTACGCAAAGAAAGAAGTTGAAGATTGTACTCAGGTTGTATTGGGTGAAGCTACAAACAGTATATATCTGTGGGTAGCTGTAAACAACGCTAGTGTGACGTGGCAGTCACTCTCATGACAGGTGAGGTACGACAGGCCGGAGCACCCCAAACCGTGACGCAGTCAAATACATATTTCCACAGATCCGGGCACTCGTGAGATTTGCTGCTTCACCAGAAGTACGAGCAGAGCCGCTTTGATGAGGTATTGCTTTACCCTTCAGCGCACGAAGTATGAGGTCCCTGGTTATCACCCGGTGGTAGGACACTCACACAGCCTGGTATACCCACGTCTTCACGAGCGCTTAACTATGCCGCACATCCCGTCGTTGCTAATATCTGTTAAGGCTTGGTTCCTGTGCCGCAACGGGAGGCCTATTTCGGCGCTGCCCTTCTTGTGCGGTCTATGCCTGTCCCAACGAAGAGCAGAGCGAGTACTGCATTGTGACCAACATCGCTCCCTGCGCTGAAAAGTCCTCATAGACTTCAGGATTATTGTCATATGCAGGTAGTGATCAACAGTCACGACAAGTTTGCCAAGATGGTCGACGTGTTCAGGGTCAGAAACTCGATACACAACCGCGCCGCAGCCATCTTTGTCACGAGAGGGCAATTCCACATATGTTTCTACCACCAACAGCCGCGCCTCATCGCTTTGTTGTATTTTTGGGCTGTCCAAATCGCTGGGTCCCCCCTGCTTAAGATAGGCGTCTTGGCAACAAGGAAGTCACAAAGTACCATCATTAGAGTGTGAGCGTGAATCGCTATGACCTCTCTATCACAGAGGAACCGGAGAGGATAATTCTGAGGCCTTTGCGCTTCAAGCAGTGATCGGAGCGTAGAGGGCTTATCAAAATCAGCAACCTAAGTGTCGAGCAGCACCCGCACAGTATCCACGAACGCCCACCGTCTCGAGACGTCAGACTGTTGCCACGCAGTCCTTCCCTCGGAGGCTAGGATTCGAAGGGATGTCCTAAGTTCATGAAACCAACTGAAACCTCAGAAGACAAGATGGCACTGTGTCGTAGATGCATGATTCGGGCCTTTGGCCTTGCAGTCCATCCCGTGCTGGTGTTGAAGCAGGTAATTCGGTTTTTTCAGTTACTGGATTGCTCGAAACTTAAAGTGTCGCTAGCAATGTCACTGGACGTTTGGATCAGATTGTTCTCTTCGTTCCTAGTCTTTGTGACTTTCGCCTCCACAATGGGCAAACCCAAAGACTATGCACCAATCCTCAACGGAGTCATGTGGCCTCAGGTCATTCTGGCTTGTATATTCATCGCGCTCCGTATATATACACGGCATCGTATCGTCCAAAATCTAGGTTGGGATGATGTGGTTATGGTAGTGAACCTGGTACGTAAGGCTTAGATTTTGCTTCAGACTTTCATTACTCATAACTACAGGGAACATTCGTGGCGTATGTCGTAACAACGTCTATTGCAACCTACTACGGCCTTGGAAAAAGTACCAGTGATATCGCCCTCCTTGGACTCAATCAGTCGCTGGCCATCATGTGGGAGGCTATTTGCCAAGGCGTCTGCATTGTAAGCCTCCGGGTTCTCCATTCACAGGTACATCCGCTCATTCTTCCCACAGATGGGCATAACCGTCTCTAAAGCGTCTATTGCACTACTTCTTCTCCGTATAGTTGTGAAGAAGTGGCACGTCCTCGTGCTATGGGGCACAATTATCTCCACGACCTTGTTCTGCTGCGTTACTACAATTTTGTTATTTCTACAATGCAAACCAGCGGCATTCCTATGGGACCATTCTATTGAGGGAGGATACTGCTGGCTGACTTTTACAGATATCGCTTTAGCGATGGGAGGTTCGTATTGCAAATGCCAAGCTACGTCTGAAGTACAGACCAGAACAAGACTGACACATCTCTAGCATGGTCAGCCGCTATGGACTTTATACTCGCAGCCTTGCCATGGCACGTTGTGATGGCATTGAGTATCAAGCGCAAAGAGAAGATTACGATGGCATGCGGCTTGTCCCTCGGTGTGCTAGCTGGCGCATGCTCAGTAGTACGGACAGTTGAGCTGAAAAGCTTGTCTTCTATGGACAACTATGCCTACGAAACCGCACCTATGCTGCTTTGGTCTTCGTCAGAAGTCTGTCTGACTATTGTCTGCGCTTGCATACCCACTCTTCGTCCGTTATTTCTCCACGTAGTCCGAGGTGGACGCGATCGACCGAACGAACAGTCCTACACGCTTAACGAAAGTCCGCATCAACGATCGTATACTTTCAATGAATATTCGAAGCTAGGAAAAGAGAACAGCACAGACGATTTGGATACTCTGGGTAATCGGGTCTACTCAATTAAGGAGATTCTTGTGGACAGTGAGCCAGTGAGAGGCACTCAAGACCTCACGGCAATGATGGATAACCCACCAGGATATCATCAAGATGAAGAAACAATGGTTGTATTGACAACGTGCACACATCAAGATGATGTGCCCTGGAACGGACTTCTGAATGGATGCCGATAATGTGCCTAGCAAACTTTTGTCTAACCGACTTCGTGCTTCTGCTTGGGATCTATCACTACTATATTGACCACAACCAACGCAGCTTTTGCGACTACAGGCTCACATACATGCAGGCAGGTCGGCGGCGCCAAAGACTCACGATCACTGGTGAAAATTTTCGCTAGGAGTGAATAAGAGTTTCTAAAGTTCAGGGAATCGAAAATTTCAAATTCAGTTTTCGAAAATTGACCAATCATCTCCGAAAATGGTTTTGTGGGGTCGTAAGGCCCCCTCGGAACTTGCGTATCGATGCCGCGGAACCGCTAGAGGTTGGTCACACGATCGGCTTGTATTTATGAACAGTTTTGCGGTGTATATAACCTGTAGGACCCGCGGGTCAGAAAGGTCGGCTTTTTTGTAGCGCTGCGGGGCCGCGACATTGTTCTTATGTGGAATCAATCAAGAGGATCAAATAATACTGCAACACTGGTTTAAGATTTTTGCCAAGCGTTAGAGCAGGGCTTTGCCCTGGATGATCTAAGTCTTGCTGAGCTTCACAATTGCTTTGATTCATCCCTTGCGAGGCAAATTGCTGCTTTCTCCCGATGGATTCTGTGCGCTCTATATCTCAACACAATGCCTAATATAGTACCCGGGTAGATCTCCCTTCCCAGTGCAGCGTTTCCAACAGTCCGTACTACGGAGAAGTACGGTTATGGCTACGGCCCATTTCACCGTACCGTAGCTGGAAAATGGACCCTACTACGGCCGTAGTAAACCATCTCGACCAGCATTGCCAGTATCACTACCGTGCGCCTGTCTCTCCCACAACGAAATTTTCGTACTTTTTTTGCTCAGACAACGCGCATAGACGTACTTTGTATGCATAAGAAGCTTTTTTGAGCTCAATTCCTCATGTACTCGAACGCTGACTCCTCCAATAGACCCAACCCCAGGCGTGGCAACCGACGCCTTTGGCCACTTGGGAGCAACCACAGTATCAACAGCAGCTGCCCAATTGTCAATCGTCCATCGGCTCGCTAGGCCTCTTGCTTAGTAGGCTTGGCACAAGGTTGCCGTCGACAATGCCTCTGGCTCCGTCCCCTCAACACCACAACGTCAAAACAACCCAACGTTAACGTCCCATACAACGAGCACCCGCGCAATTGATCAAAGCCCTCTATGCCTCTACACAGGTCTCATATACTTGGACACCCAGTGGAGGACGTACCCACAACACCAAGAATTTCACCATACCGTAATCACAATAGCCTCAAAAGTGCCGTACTACGTACGGTTGGAAACGCTGCACATCTGGTCAATTCTTAGTAACAGTGAGTGTCAGTTGCTGCCTGGTTTCATGCCGCTCCTTGATTCCAGTCACCAGCATCCTCACGGTCGCTTTTGATCTAGACTAAGACGATGTTTCGAATCTCCTTCAATCCAAATCGCCATTTATCGACAGCCTCACCACTCATGAGTCCGTGAACATATGATTCCCCTGTGGAGAGCTCCATGATTGACACTGTTTGTCGAAGCAAGCGGGCTGAACTCCTAGCTCAGCGGTCGGAGAGGGTAGTGAAACTCAAGGGCGGAGATAGACTGCGCCTCCTCCCATGCTGTTGCCTGGAAAGCCATGGCCTGATGTTCATAAGCGGGCAGGACAGCTTTCGATCTTGCAATGAACGGCGGTGGGTGATAGGCTCAGATTGCTTCAAATGAGCCGGTCTGCACTTTCAGACAGATATATAGACTTATTTCGAGCTGTTGGTGATCGCGGACTCTACAACCACAAAAATAGACGCGACCGTGGTTAGCGCCACGCTAGAGTTACCTTACCGTGTCCGTGCACGGGATGCGCGCAGTCGCGGGATGCGCGGGTAGCGCCAAAACGGGACCCCTCCTGGCTTCCTGGCGGATCTGCGCCTCCCTAGATCGCCCGCTTTCCCGCCAAACAGGTGGATGCTGTGGCCGTGAGGGGGAGCTTCATACCAGGGGCTGCAGGTAGAGTCGCAGTCGACGAGCGGTGCAGAAGGTAGGCATCATCGTCAGGCTTCTCGCTGAATGCCACGTATGACCGATGAACAGACGCTGAGCCGCAGCCCGGCAGCTCATTTCAGGCTGGGAGGGCGGCGATTGGCGGTCGTCGCGCCATGCCAGCAACACCAGACACAACCAACAATCTGCGCAAGCGCCATGGAGTATGCTGCAGACCCCGCAGACGCGTCAGGCTACTGCTGGAGTGTCTGTGAGGCGATTTGCGCGAGATGTGGTGTTATTCAGCTTGAAGGCTCGTCGATGCGGGACGTTGCAAACATTGTCGGTTGGTGATGGGCTGACCAGAAAGCTCATCGGTCACTGTTGTGTATGTGTGTCTTGACTGTTGATCTCAAGGGGTGTATGGTCTCCGTCGTCGCATCTTGCGTTGCCAAATGGCTGCCGCCGCTGCATTCAACGGACGTGTCATGTTATGTAGCTTGCTCACAGTGTTTGTTGGTCCCTCCCTGCCAGGGCCGCAAAGGCGGCTCTACAGGTACCAAGTCGACACCGAGGGGCACGTTTCGGCCTGTAGAGACCACTGCGACCTTTGACATATGTGTTCCCACGCCTTTGCGATGGTAGCTAGTTCTTGCTGTGTGTGATGTTTTCTCGCGCCATCGAGGAAACCTACCAGGTACGAGGCCAATCGCCGTCGTGGACGCACGTGCACAAATTGTGTCCCGCCTCCCCACAGCACTTGCAGTGCTATGCGCTGCTTGCCAGTATCTGTCATGCGATTTTGTCTTGACCTAAGCTCGATGTCTGATCTGGCACCGTAGAAGCTCAGCTAACTTGGATACTCCTAATGCAGAGCTACTGCATGCCAAGGTGAGCTAGTCAACGTCAAACCTCAGAAATGTTATATTGATGGCAATACATCAATATACTACCAAAATAAGCGTGTAAAGTGCTTCTAATCAACTCAGTGATCATTTGCAACTTGATTGGTGCCCATATTGACTTCGTAGCCTCATGCTTTGGTGTAGTTGCATTTGCTGATCGCCCAAGAGGGGTCAAAAACATTTTCTAAGATGTCAAAATGTCGATATTGTCGTTAGAGTGTAGGAACAATGGTTCTGAGAGTCATGAGAAATCCAAACAAATGCTAAACCCAAAAAATCTGGCCTGCCAGGTGTAGAAATTGAATGAAGCTCGAAAAACGGCGCCAGTACATTATTGGCAGTATGTGATAGCCTGAGCGTGGACACCTCTGCAGCCATTCTGCAACCACAAAAGGGCCTGTATGTAACGGGGGTTTCTATACTTTACCAAGGGTAGCTAGTCCAAGGTCCAATAAGCCGTAGGGTATGTTGGATTGTAGGAAGATATTGCAAAGTTGAGTGAGTTGTAGACAAGAACTTTGTTGGTAGTGATGTGAGTGCACAAGAGCAGTACTGTTGGGAGATTGTACTCTTGACTGTGGAGATGCTAACTATGCTGCACAGGGTGTTCATGTATTGAGCAATTCTGGAGGGTTAGTGGGTTAGTTGCAAGCACACCTCACTAACCTACTAACCCGGGGTTACTGGGTTAATGGGTTAGGTGTTGTGGTGGTTCACTAATTCGCTAACCTTTAGTTTCGTGACTAGGCTGTGTCCCGCTCCAGCCCAAGTTGTAACCCTTACCGTGCCACACTCCCGCATCCTCTATCTCACACAGGAACGCCGTGTCTGTCACCGGACTGACGCAGACCCTATAGCCCTTTGCGGCCACTGTAAGTGACTGACGCTAGCCACTTGTCTACCGCCTTTCCTGTACATAATCCTCGGTAGCCTGCTGCAGGTTGCACCTTATGCAACGTCTTGTAAACTTACCTCAATACTACTGTTGCTGACCGTGTTTGGTCTGCCTGTCTGAATACTGTCCCTGTTGGCCCCGTAGACGACCATACAAAGCCGTTTCCTGACATTACCTCATCAAAATGATCCGACACAAATTACTAAACAGCCTAGTGATGGTGTGTAGCGGGCCGTTCCTTGAGCTCAAGGACCAACGAAGCTGCTAGCTCATGGCGATCGTTTCCTGTTCGCAGTTTCATCTCCGAGACCCATTTTTCTAACGCGTTGTACATCTGCGATCCATGGTTCACGAACCAATGTCCGTGCACCACGTTCAAACACAGCCTTGATGCAGGGACTATAACTGCCCTCCGTAGTTGCCGGTGCCATGCCAGCTGCTCTGATGGATCAGAAGAACCAGCAGAAGAACCACATCCTCAGCCTGATGCGTGTCTACACATAAGATCAATGACGTTGTGGCTTCGCGATACCCATCATTGTGGGCTCACCGGTCTCACCTGTCGACGTGGCTCGACGTGCTATAGACGATTGGAGTTGGAATCTCTACATGGCTTGATGATAACCAATAGTAATATTGCCCACACGGACCAGGAGAATGAGCCGCTTGTCCGCCCAGGGAAAGTGGGCGACTTTCTCACAGGATGTGGGCTTTGGATTCTTGAGATGTTTATACTATAAGTAGACTTCGAGCTGCGTCGATCCACCTTACTCTGGACCAATACTCATCTAACACATGGCTGCGCAATCATCCCTAGGTCACAAAAGAACAGATTCGGGGGTCGGTGGTACGGGGCTGATTCCCGACACTTTAGCCACCGCAGAAAGCTTTTGTACAGCTGTGTCTTCTCTTGCATCTGAGCATGGATTCCAAGCGATCAACGAGCTAGTAAAATTAGCACCGCAACGCGAGCTCGAAATCAGGACCAGAGACGAAACAATACGAGATTTGAGGGACCAACTGGTCGCTCTTCAGAAGGAGCGCGACGTCTTCGACGATCAGCAACTATCTAACTTTGAAGGCAGATACAAGAAATGGAAAGAGCAGAACACCACGCTACAGAATAAGATAGATGAGCTGAAAGCAGCTTTGGAAGAAAAAGACTCGAAGGTGACCACGCTGCAAAGTCAGCTGGGAGATTTCGAGGCACGGGTTGACGATCTCGAAAAGGAGAATGCTCAAGTAACAAAAAGAGTGAAAGAAAAGGGTCAACAACTCGGAGAACTTGAAGCGAAATTGCAACGTGCACAGGCTGATTTGGATGGACGAGTTGAAGAGATCAAGGAAGCGCAGAACCGTATGAGTGCACTTCGGGATTCTTTCGAGAATGAAGCAAATCAGCACAGAGTCTTGAGGGAGGAGGCTAACAAGAACCGAGTGAGACTCAAAGATTTCGTCCAGTTCTCGGTCAAGATTGCGGAACTTGACTTGCCAGATATGTAAGTCATGAAAGAATTACGCTCCAGTGTACACGCGTTGATGGCAAGCTGCAGTACCGTTCGGATGGAGCAACTATGGATGGTTGCCACAAAGCTGGTGAAGAACTTCTTCGGCCGGGACATGCCCGATACCGTTCTCAAGGTACTCTTATGGTGGCGAATAGGATTGATCTAGCTAACAAGCAGGCAGAGTGATTGGACTAGACTTCGAGACAATGACATCTTCAAGCACCAAATTCCGCTCCCTCAGTCTAATACAGACGCTGCAAGGAGAATGCGAACTGCAATAATTCTTGGTGCCCTCACGCGACTTGTAGACAAGTTCGTATTCCAACCAACTTACCTACTGGACGAAGAAAGTGGATTGCGAGAAATCTTGCGCGATGAAGCATCTGTCGACCCAGTAAAGGAGAGATATACTCGAGGCATTCTTCTTTCCATGTCACCCGACGAACAAGAGGCCAACAGCGAGGGCATTTTACATCATGTTGCCAAAGAGCTCCTCGAAACTGCGAACGTGAGAGCACTGCTCACTCCAGAGACTTTCGATGCCTTTCCACAGGCCTTGGATGATTTTGTAGGACAGTGTCGAGAAGAATGGAAGATCATCCAGCGCGGGAAACAGAAATTGGAACCCAGCTTCGCTTATTCAACTTGCTCCAATCACCCTTGGCAACTCTTCGACGACACACGTGCTGATGCAAGAGACGGGAGACATTCCGAAGGACTTTCCGCTACCACTGCTATCGAAAACAACATCGTTTTGATTCCTCGCATCTATCTTGTCGGCACCAAAGCCGATCCGGATCCAATCACACATGGCTGCGTTATACGTAAGACGCACCTCGATGCTGCAGCGGAAGAATTGAGAAATAGCCTTCCTAGTCCCCCGTTTGTGCAAGGGACTTCGAGTCGGCACCGCAACCGCCCGGTTCGGACCATGTCAGCAACTGGCAATAGCAAACCTTTTTTAGTCTAGCACCGCAGCTCAGAAGGTGTAGGTTCAGAGTGAGGGCTGCATTGATCTCTTTACATCTTGGCAGATCAATGACTAGTACTGGGCGTCGGGTCGCTCGGAGGTAATAATTAGAAAATTGTTGTCATCAATAATCACATTCCATAACTACATACTGTATTCGCCTTCATTTCAGGTACAGAAAGAATCTCTACTAGACCGTTGTACTCTCCCATCCATCAAGCTGTAGACATAACACCCCCCACAGAAAATGTGCATTCCAGAGTCGTGATGGATTATGAACGGAACTTTGAGCCCATGGACGAGGTAGATGGAATCACCGAGTGACACATGAAAGGAACCTAGGCCTAATCGCCCAGCTTCTGTAATGAACAATGTTCGGTCACGGCACAGTTCGTCCGCAATGTATCCATAACCAGACTTATCAACAATCAAATCAAGCATATTTGGTCTGATAATCTGGTGGCTAACAGACCACAGTGTGGTCTGTGAACGAGGGTACATACAGCAAAGAGGTCTGATCACCTATCGATAAGGATTTGATCTTGTCAGAGTTCAGTGAAGAACTGTACGCAAAGGGAAGAATTTGAAGATTGTACTGAGGTTGTGTTGAGTGAAGCTACGAACAGTATATATAGGTGAGTAGCTGTAAACAGCGCTAGTGTGAAGTGGCAGTCACTCTCATGGCAGGTGAGGTACAACAGGCAGGAGCACCCTGAACCGTAACACAATTTGGCGATTACGGAGGGTGAGTGCGATAGCATCTTAACAGTCAAAGATGTTGCAAGAGTTTCGTGGATACTTTGCTCTAACAAGATGTATTCCGGGGATGTCCGAGGCAGATGTTGGTCCTTTGCTGCATGACTGGTCAGCATCTCGTATTGTTTCAGCTACTAGGCTAAAAAGGGTCAGACTGTGGGCTGGGCTGTGGCGCAGGTTTTCTAGAAGCATGTATCAAATCACGTGCAGTACTATTTTTGGCTGTCTTTGCTCCTAGCAGACGGCAGTGCGAAGGTATGTTGCGCCCGTCGTGCTAACCCTCAGTGACAGCCTTTCGCAACACCAACAACGTAATTAGTAGAGATGGACCAGACCCTGAATATTTGCCCTCGAGACGTACATGGAAGTTGCCCTGCACATTCACTATTTACGTCATACCAAAATGAACGTCGATTCGTCCCATTCGTAAACACGTTTTAGTCGACAGGAGTAGATGAGCAAAACCACACCTTCAATGCAAGACTTGTGAGGTCGATGCAATGTACAATTTCTTCGAACAACCATGTTCTCTGGAGGGACAAACGTGTAGATGGAGCCGACCTTGGGGGTCACCGAGAAGCCCACATCCGTCATAGCGGCTACGAACGCGTCCCAACTGATCGATCCGCGAGCCGCCGATGATCTTGAGAGCAGCAACGAGAAGACATTGAAGGTGGTCGCCTTAACCTTGAATCTTGGCTGCGGCGGTGCGGGCCGTGCACTCGAGGAGGGAAAACCGGCAGCTTCGGGTACGATAGCGTAGGCGAATGAGTGTGCTGGCCGAGTCTTCTCTTTCTCTCTGCGCCGGTGAATGGACGACTCAGACGCTTCTGGGATGGTTGGAACTAAGTACCCCGTCTTGGTATTGCTCGCTTTCACTTTTGACTCGTGATACCGCTTGTGTAAATTTGCAACACTGTCATCGACAAGCTGCTCATACAGGAAGCCAAGCTTTGTGCCCATCTTCTCATGAACGTGATGATCGAGTGAGACAAGGGCGCCACTAGCCATGCCTGGCTCCAGCAAGTTACCCATCGGGATGACAAAGTCATCAAGGTCTAGTTCTTCTTTGAGCTGTCCGATTGTGGTTTCCAGATCCGAGACTTTAAGCAAGAAGGAGTGCTTTTGTTTTTTGTTAGCCGCAGGCAGTTGCTCCACTTGGGATAGGGATTGGAGAAAGGTGACAATAACGGCGAGGTCACCTAGTGAGCTGAACTCTCGCTCGGCCATCTTGTCTTTTTCCAGGGGATGCGCTCGATGAAAGTCCTCCAGCTTTTGAAGCCACTGAACGGAGCCGGACCAGTCCAAGCCCTCTTGGCACAGTCGGAGCATGTAATAAAGTTGCGGGTTCTCTAGCATCAGAGACTCCGGGTTGCGTTTCATGGAGACACGCACGATACCATCTTTTCGCACCGTGGACTTGCGCTCGAACCACCTGTTGCCGCCCGAAAATACGGACACACTCCGTGTAAACAATACTTGGGCGCGCGTAAGTTCTAGGTAACATGTGTTGGATAGTTCTTGCAGGACCATGACTCGAAATCGCCTGTCAGGGGAGCTGTCCAGAAGAGCTAGAAGCTGTGATATGTAATTCCAAGTGGCAGTTGCCTTCACAACGCCATGAACAGCGTCGAGCACAGCCCCACTGATATACCTGTCGGTATGCACCGGCATGGACCGCCCCTTCTCATCACCCACAAGCTCGGGTCGTGTGAAAAACCACAGATTAACCTCGTGAGAAAGGACTGTGGGCTCGGTAGAGATCAGATTGATATAATCCTCCCAGGAGGACTTCTGTTCCTGGGAGCTGTCAACCAGGTCGGGGATCCCAAGCTTCTTGGGTGGTGAATGGAATGACAGTGTTGCCAGCGCTGCAGTCGCAACATCAGAGGTCCTGGTCGGACGCGTCGTCTTGGAACGAGTAGTAGATGCTGTGTCAAAGATGTCCTCGACAATGATGTTCAGGAGCTGCAAGAGATAGTTTTGCCTCATAAGAACCAACTCGCCGATGTCTTGAGGAATGATAAGCCCTGCTTCGATGGCTGGCTTCATGTTCGTAAGAACGTCATCTTTGTTGCCTGGTGTGATTTTGTACGATTGGCCGTATTGCTCGTCGTCCAGGAACAGAGTATAGCAATCCTTGTAGGTAGAAGCGTCTGAAAGCCGAAAACCATTCCTTTGCATCGAATCAACTATGTTCTCATAGTCTCCAGGGGCCCCGTTGACACCGCTGATGTACTGCTCCGTTAGAGGGGTAGTCGCTCTGTATTTGAGAATGTCGAGAAGGATGTCGGACGAGGGTGGAGTGAGATCGCGTAGATTCCACTCTGGTATCACCCTGCAGACATTACCTAGGCTTGTATCATGCGGATCTTTCAGGACAGAGCGGTCTATAGACGCGTCTCTAAGGATTTTCTCTCGTTCTTCCTGACCGAGAGAACGCCACATCTGCTCGATTCGGGAGCCATGGCGCTCGAACTTGCGCACAAGGTCGTGATGGAGATTTCTGACTGTCTCATTCATTGCGCAATGGAATAGTGACAGAACAAGACTTGTTTAAAGAATGGTAGTGCGTCAAAGACCTGGCTGTGTAGGAAGGTAGGGCACCGTTGAGGGGAACTGACGCTAACCTGCCCTAGGCCTAGCATGGGCAAGTATGACGCATGCTGACAATGCATGACTTACCGGAAGCGCGGATGACCTTTGATGAAGGAGAAGGCCCAAAGCCAGCAATACCTCACCCCACCCGAGGAGAAAGCTCTTGTTGCTTTCATATTACGAATGAGTGCAGTTGGAACTCCTATACGTGTTAAGTATATACCTGCACTTGCCTTTTGCATTGCCCGCCGACGTGCCACAAAACGACCCTCCGAGCCACCGAAGAAGAATTGGCCTCAGGCCTTCTGTCGCCGCCACCTACAGATCAAATCGAGGAATAATAGGCCTATGCCGTGGGAGCGTCATGATAATAGCATATATGACAAGGTGGTACATTGGTTCGACGTGATCAAGGAGGAACTCTGTAGATCAGACGTCTTGCCAGAGAATGCCTATAACATGGATGAGACAGGCATCATGCTTTCTATGCTTGGCTCTGTCAAAGTCCTTGTAGGTAAGGATGATCGACGGGACTACAGAGGAACTGGCACAAAGCGGACCATGGTAACTACTATCGAATGCGTGTCAGCAAGCGGTGAGTATCTCAATCCGATGATCATCTGGCCTGCATCTATTCACAGGAGTAACTGGATGACATACCCTACCCCTGGATGGTTCTACGCTCTTTCTGAAACAGGTTACAACGACTCTTTTATCAGCCTGGAGTGGATTAAACAAGTGTTGGACCCTCAGACTAAAGCTCGTGCTAATGGGAAACCACGGATACTCATCTGCAATGGCTTTGGGACACATGATACCCTTGAGATCCTCGAATTCTGCTTCGAGAACAACACCATCTTCTGTAGACTGCCCTCTCACACGTCTCACAAGACACAGCCCTGTGACGTATTGGTTTTTGGGTCATTGAAAACAGCGTACCGAGATGAGGTCAAGCGCCGCTACCGTGGAGGCCTGACGAATGTCAACAAAGAGCACTTCACTGCCATATACAGTCGTGCGAGAGAAGTGGGGATGAAGAAGAATATACTTGCTGGCTGGGCTAAGACCGGCCTGTTTCCGTTCAACCCTTCGAGGGTCCTTCGTGATATTGTAAAGCCAGACGCTCCACTGACTGTTCAGTTACCCTATGAAGTCGAAGGTACACAGACCGAAGCAATTAAGACGCCAGTGACGCCCGTGTCATCAGAAGCTGTGACACAACTGCTCAGCCTTATCAGGCAAGATTCTTATAATGATGAGCCTAATGAAATGCGCCGTCACAGACTGGTTCAGAAGCTTGCCAACGCCGCCGAAAGGTTTATTGTCCAACAAGCCCTTGACCAGAATTACATTGGACTTCTCAAGGCTGCCAATAACGAGGCTAAGAGTTGTTGAAATACAAGATCAGATATCCTGAAGAAGCCCAGGAACAATGGCAAGGGACGGGTAATGAAACAAGAAGATCTCAAAGCAATTTGGGCGGACCGTGCCGAACGTGCTATGCGAGATGCTGCCAAAAAGGCTGTAGGTAAAGGAAAGCGCGGTCAGCCAAAGGCAACGACACAGGCGGATGAAGGCAAATCAGGGAACAAACGTGGCCGGAAGCGTAAAAGTATCGCGTCCGAAGGTGTTCCAGATGAGCAAGAAGCAGACGCGTTGGGAGCATCAACCAAAGCAGCACGAACAAGCCAAGCGCTCATTGATCCGATGCTAGAAACGTGGAGAGCACCTGTGGCAAAGATGTGGTGATGATAGATGGACATATCGATGATGGTCAGCATATTCTAGACATGAACAAGACCTACCATGTGAAGGTAATCCTGCTTTGGTATTTGCTTAATCTTCTTGCTGCATTGAGCTATGGTCATTCGCGATGGCTCTCCGTCACAGTCACCACAGTACTCATGGGACAGCCATGAATAGCGCTGAGCTCTGGATACTGTATCGCTCTCTGCTACCTGGCCGTAAATTCTGCTTCAATCCTGCGTGCCTTTCTTGGCCTACAGTAACAATACCTCAGTATGGCAAGGACCATCGTGTCATAAGCGGCAAAACTAATGATGACATATTACGTGACCTAAGTTTTGGCTGATACAATCAGCCACAGTCCATTGGAGCCACAAGCTTGGCGTAACTGAGAGGACTCACATCATCCGGCCATAGGATTTTGTCAATTGCTGTCCATTATTTCCCTCTATCACTCCACGGTTCCTGCCCCAACCCCCACCGATGTTGCGGTATTGGTTAGTCTGTACAAGGTCTGACTATACCCCTGATCGACTACCCTGGACTAGCATGTTTCAGGACAGGTATATACTCGTCTTCAGATCCTTGATCCGCTCAGTCTTGCTCTCGCCTTTGGCTGCCTTCACACCTTGCCATGGCAGCGAGCCGCGAAGGAAGTACACAAAGACATAGCGTTGTCAATATGATCCGAAAAATGAAGAACATTCCGTTCATTGAGCATGCCACACTCACCAGTCACGATGTCAACTGCCTTCTCGCTTGACATGTTCAGGTTCCAAGAATAGTACAAGGTGTCAGGATTTCATCCCGCAACCATTCCCAGTAGTCATTCGAGGCGAACTCCGCTGCGTTCCTCACCAACCGCAACAGCTTGAAGATTCCAAACACGTCTCTAGTGTCTGCGGCTGCCACTCTCCACGGTCCGACAACATTCTGCACCCAAACTGTCAGCTTGCCAACAAACAGAATTGCAAATAGGGTGCTCTTACAAATGTATCTCGCCCGTCTCGGCTAGCCATGTAAGCAATGTAGGTGTGCCAATCATGTCCAATGACTGTCCAGCCAACCGTTGGTTTAAGATCCCCTGCCGTGTATGGCTGCTCCTGGCCCAAGTCACCCAATCGCCTTGTATTCTCTAGCCCTGCAGCTAGCCAGATCGCTAGTTGAACAAGTGCCTCGTCCTTCCCACCATTTTCTTGTTTCACTTCGATACCGGAGAAGAGGGCTAATCGCTTTGTGTTTGCATCCGTTGTCTGACCAATGGTTTCCCCCACACCGGCAAGACCGAGTCTGTTATAGAGATCAGAAGCTTCCGGTGTGTTGCGATGGAAAGAGAAAGTGAAGTCGGCCTTACGTTGAACTCGGTAGTTCTTAGGCGTGACTGGTAGCACGTCGGGATTGATCGTCTGAGTTTGCCTGCGCATCCACGATCAGTCCCTATCAGATCTGGCAAATATCAATATGAACGTACACGCTTTCTACTTTTAATGTAGATGTTCCTTTCAGTGCCAGGCGCAAAAGCGGATGTACGACTTTCATACACCACGCGTTCTCGTCCTGCTGGTATCTTCCACAGTCTCTACTTTCACTCAGGATCTCCTCAATGCACTCCCATACTGCGTCAAGCTCCAGCGCCGATAGAGTATCTGAGGCGTCATATGAAGAGGTCGGGATGCTCGCTGCAACAGAAGGATATGTCGTGAGGATGCGATCCTGTGGCAAACGCCTAGTCAGCCAGCTCGCATCTCAGATCTAATGGGACATCGTTACCTTTAAGCCTAGTGGTATGATAGCCTCGTCGAGGCGCTCCATAAGACCACGCTGCAGCGTTGAAGCGTGTTGGGGCAGCGATACCGTAGACGGTATTTCGCATAAAATAGCAGGCTTTGAGACACGCAAATCGTTCATGAGGTCCCGTACAGGGCTTGTTGCTCGTTTGGGGCCTGATCTACCGGAGAATGACGGTTGAGACAACCTTGTCTTTTCCGATAGCTCCGTAATTGCAACGTCGGATGCGCTCTGTTCAGAAAACACATCGTCCTCACGCCTCGTCCGCTGTCGCTTTTGAGAGCTTCGAGGCCGGGGCTCGGACATGTCTCGCGGTCGTTTTCGTCGGGCTGATGAAGTCGAGGTCGGTGGTGTGAACAATTGCGGTTGTGGCGATGCGGCGCTAAGTGCTCCTGGCTGCTCAAGGAAACACGTCTCAAGCCACTGATCAATTACAGAACGATGTTTTGTCGTCCTCGCGGCCATGATAATGGCGTCCTTGGGGTGTCGTGAGAAGCATATCTTGAGTGACGAAGAGCGGCGTCCATGTAGGCTCTTTGTTGTTGTAGGAACGGCTACTAGTCGTGATGGCAAAACCTCGGCGTACCGCAGCTTCGGTGGGACCAGTTTACGACATCTGATCACGAACTAGTCTATAAAAAAGCTAGTTTGAGGGACCGTGCGTAACCCCAACGAAGTATCGCATCCTCCACACAAATCCTCACCAAAACAGTGAATAATCAGCATAATCAATTATAAGTGTTTGCAAAAGACTAAGGCCACCCCGTGACTTAAGCAGTAGGCTAGTTCTTTGCGTAGCTATTACCATGCCCTGCGTACACAGCTTAAGAGGCTAAATTTCGGCACCTTGTCAAGGTGAATTGCTTGCAACAAGTTCTATACACAATATAACAGATATCTTGCCTGCTTGCGTAGTCTTACTCTTGCTAGTTGTTGAAGTGAGCCGATTGTGTGTTGTATTCAGGTGAGCGGAAGCTCGATTGTATGGACGCTAGCTTATCACGTGATGGCAATCGGTGGATACCTTCACTTCCTCCGACACTAGTGCTCTACATAATCTAGCAAGATTACAGCGCAATCCCCTGCCTCTTTGTTAAGATAGCAAATGATAGGCTGTCAGCTCTCCAGTCGCGGGGTGGTCCTGGTTTTTTGCAAATAACCCGTAACTCTGGCTTGGTGAAGCTTTTCGCAATAGGGCAATTGTTATACCGGCTCATTTTCTGGTGTTGCTGCTACCCATGGAAGTTATTTCTGCCGTAATGTTTGATAATACGTCGCACCTGCTCTGGAATAGTATCCACCCATCAATTGATGTCGCACGGCTGGGTGCGGGGATTGCAGATGTGAGATATCAAGAAGAGTGTGTATGTTGTTGTATTGTTTTAGCATCATAGCTCAGCTTATATCTAGGCCATTGCGCGGCATGATTAGTAACACAGTTTAGGTTCACAACAGCGCTTGGCCTGCGACAATTGATCACCTCAATAGGCGTACCCTCCCATTCCTTCACCCACTGCTCCTCACGCTGCTTTTCTGTGCAGTTGGGAGTGAGATCTTTCGTCACGTGCCGCCAAATCCAAGGCCAGGAGTGCTCTGATGCATTGACCTTAGGTGAATGACCAGGCTACCTGTTACGGTGAAAAAGCAACTAGCAAAACAACACTGAACAAACAGGACTACGCAACGATACGAGAGGAGCCAAGGGACTGCAGTACCGAGCGACTCGAGCAATTAGGTCACAACAGCTGCTCTGCCTCCACGTACTTCTGCTGACTGTCAAGTGTTGCTGCCAGCTTGTATTTGCTCCTAAGCGTGTCGATGTGTTCGGCGCCAAGCACCTTCTCCTGTTGCTGAACTGACTGCCGCAACAGCTGCTCTGCCTCCACATACTTCTGCTGCTTGTCAAGCGTGGCTGCCAGCTTTTATTTGCTCCTAAGCGTGTCGACGTGCTCAGCGCAGGACAAGGGAGACAAGGGAGATAAAGATGACGGCATTGCTGAGCTAGCGGCTGCTCTAGACCACATGCCGCTCGCTCTTGTGCAGGCAGCGGCGTACATCCGAGAGCGACAGCCCAGATGCTCAGTGCAGCGGTACCTCGAGGAGTACCGCCAGAGCGACAGCAGAGAGACGAGCTTGCTGAACCAAGGGGCTGGCCATCTGCGCTGAGACGAAGCAGCCAGCAACGCTATCTTCATAACATGGCAGATATCATTCGACCATGTACGAAGCAGCAGACAATTGGTGGCGGACCTGCTGTCGCTGATGAGCTTTTCGACCGGCAGGGAATACCTGAAGCTCTGCTCCGTAGCCAGGGCAGCAGCACAGCGAACGAACAAGTATCGGCTGTTAGCGTCGATGATGGGTTCGAGGACGATGTTCTCACTCTCCGAGACTACTAATTTGTGATAGCTACTACAGACGAGACGACGCTTGAGATGCACAGCTTGGTGCATCTAGCGACGTGCAAGTGGCTGGAAAGCCAGGGCTAGCTCGACAGGTGGAGGGAGCAGTTCATCTCTAACTTGTGCGCAGAGCTGCCCACAGGAGAGCACAAGAACTGGGAGACGTGTCAGGCGCTGTTCCCGCACGCAAGGACGGCGTTGGCACAGCGGCCTATGAGTCAGAGGTCACTTGAGGAGTGGGCGTGATTATTGTACAATGCGGCATGGTACGCATGGCAAAGAGGAAGAGCAGGTGAGGCAAAGCAGATGTCAGTGATGTCAATGGAGGTTAGAAGAGAGGTGCTTGGCGATGAGAGTGAAGACATGCTGAGCAGCATGGGAATGGTCAGGCTGGCAAGGAGCCTTAGGGGCAAGTACGAGGAGGCAGAAGCGATGCTCATGCAGACGCTGGCGCATAGAGAGAAGGTGCTGGGGCGTGAGCACCCCGACACGCTGACGAGCATGTAACTTACTGCCTTGCTCACCTGCTTGCGAACCAAGGTTGCTACAACGAATATCTCGCTCTGTACGATAGAGCGTGCGCTGCGTACCACACCGTTCTTGGAGAGGACCATCCAACTACCCGCGCGTGTCGCCAACACCGTTCCGAAGTGCTTTCATCGCAAGAGCAGACTCGCGTTGCCCTCCCTCCAGCAAAATCAGACGATAACGCAAGGATGCACACCAGCAAGATCTCAAGGTAGTCACGCGGGCTGGCGAAGCTTAGGATTAAAAGCTCAAGGCACAATAGGGGATGACGGAACGCTATGTAGATGTGCTACATAATACAACTCAAATAGAACTGATCCTGTAAGTAACGTACCTAAACTTGACAGCGTGTGTTATGAGAACAAGCGCGCGTGTGGTGACGTTGAAGGCAATGTGGGCGCGGATTCGAGCTTGAGCGAGTCATACACGAGGCGGCCCCAGTTTGACTGTCCCCTTGACTCTATGTGGACACAAAAGCAGGACCCCAATCGACAGAGTAACGTTGACATATAATTTTCGTGCAAGGATTGGCGATACTGAGGCATTGCGATGGGCTTGGAAACAATTAAGTTTAGTCAAACGCCCAAGCATTTATAGTTGATCTAGGCAGTCTCGCTGATGGTTAGTAACAAAGCCTTCATTTAGAAGCACGATGCAGCAAATGGCCTTGCATATCTGGCCGGCTACTGACAGTTCTGTCCGAAGAATGGTGAAAGGCCACTTCTCAAGCCAAGTACCTATGCAATGGCATATGAGATTATAATTTCAGCATGCATCTAGTCTGTTCATCAATTCTGAGTCTTGAATATCTCTTGATTTGTCAATGATTTCAAGTTACTGTTTTTGAGATTCAGGAGTGTGCAAACACGCGATTGAAATGTCAGAATCGCCCGCGAGCACAGCGCTCTCGTCGGCTCAGCGCCCGCCCATCACCCCTCAAAGCAGCTGTGGTGGCTTTCAATGCTGCACGAGGCTGAAGGTGCTGTCGCAGGTCAGTCTTCTATGCGGATGGTTGCACCTGCGAATCGCCGCTCCAGCTTCGCGAGACCAAGGCGACATCGAAAGTACTTAGTGCTCCCTGCAGGCAGGTACGATTAGCTCGAAACCTCGTGTCGCAATAACAGAAATCTCGCTAGAAGATCGGTTCTGAGCTAAACACACCAAATGCAAAATAGTTGTCTACGTACGATGCGGCTGCCTGAACTACAAGGGCCTTTACCATAGTGGAGGACGGCGTATCCTCAATCCCAACTTTTAGAGCGTCCAGGCACTGTGTAGCATCACAATTAGAGCATTACTTAGATCCTACAAATGGTTGCTGTGAAGCTAGAACTCGAAACTGTCGTGAACTGAGAACCAATTGCCAGCTGCATTCAATATCCCAAAAGTTTCAGTTTTTGAAATTTGGGATTCGCTTCAGACCACATACGAACAAGGGACGAATGAACGACCAATCAAGGAAGAACATGTAGATAGCGTCGGCGGCACCGTTAGCTTTCCACAATCTACAGTTTTCACATTCTGGCTTTGAAAAGCCATGTTATGAGATAACTCAGGAAAATTACTGTCTTCTTCAGCCACACAGCCCAGCTGTGTTGGCCAACGAAAAAGAGTCGCGTACACCAGAGGTAGTGAAATACTGGCGACACTGTGCCGACGACTATGAGCAAGCCCAGGGAGTCGTCGACCGGTTGCAAAAACAAGAATAATCTTAAAATGAGTCCGTAGACTCGTTTCAGAGATTAAACTGCGCGAATCAGCATGCCATGTTTGGGTTCTGGAAAATGGTATTACGAACCTGAAAAGAACAGACTGCCAAGTGTGAGCGAGGCGAGCATACTAGGCCATAAGAGGCAATAAACTCACTACTACACTTGATCTAAGCCAAAAGGCAACTAGGACGATATTAGCAGATGGCCAATGGATATGTAGGGGGTAAGGGGGAGACGAACAGAGAGCTGGAGATCAAGGCTGGGGTCAGGGCGCGCGAAGTTTTAAGCCCCCGTGGACTTGGCAGCGCTAGCACTCGATTGGGACAAGCCTCAGCAAGACGGGCAGAACAGTGACCATGGACAACCGGAGTTCCGCCGATGCACTGATTACAGTCCTTCAAGATGCCTGAAGATTTGCAATGCGCAGTGCACGCTTGGCAGTAACTCAAACACGTCCGAAGGCGCCCACAACCCTGCATTAGTACCTCGACCGCTTTCTGAAAGCTCTGTCTTCTTCGGTCAGTTCGATTTCCACTGCACTTGAAACGCTATATGGACTTAGCAACATCATCCTCAGACCCTACACGTGGGCCTGCGAAGATCAAAAGAAAGTCGCATCGCAAGTCCAGGAACGGCTGCGCCAGATGTAAGCGAAGAAGGATCAAGGTACGTTCGGTCGCTTGAATTGGCTTGACCGTGTAAGGCGAGGGACTAAGACATGTCAGTGTGACGAGACCAAGCCAGACTGCAGCAAATGTGTCGAGTTTGGAATTGTCTGCGACTACAATACCGCGGCTCTTTTGCCAGGCAGTCAACCTCTGGAGCGCTCGAAGTTCCTCAACACCCAAGGACCTCCTGCACCCAAGCAGAGAGGCAGACCAAGAACCATATGGGGTGACGAAGTGCCCAATACAACACCTCCAGAAACCCAGTATCTCTCGTTGCGTAACACCCAGAGGTTCTTCCCAGACACCGAAGAGAACGTAGAAGACTTCAAACTCCTGAATCATTTCATCACTCGAGCAAATGACAGTCCAGACCCCACTGCACCAAAAAATGCAAGAGATCCTCTGCATGATCAGGCACTTTTGCTATCATTCGCGTACCCATGCATACTTCACCTGATTCAAGAATTCTCAGCACTCGAACTCGCCAACCAGCAGCCTTCAAGAGGAGGGTACTATCGAGCGTTAGCTGAGAGGCACTCGACTCAAGGCTTGCAAGGTGCAACTGCACTTCTGCGGCAGTTCAATGAAAGCGACTATCAAGCAGCATACATTGCTGCAACGTTCGCTTGTATTAACTACTTTGCTCGCGGTCCTCAGCCTGGCGAATACCTCCTCTTCAGTCTTAGTGGGTCATCGCAATGGCTGCCTCTCCTTCATGGCATACGGACGATCATCGACTTGGTCGGCATTGAGAAAATCACAGCTGGGCTTTCTGAAAGGGCGCCCCAGAAAATCGCTCCGGCCGAAAAGCCTGCAAAGGTCATGCTGAATTGTCCAGAGCTGGACTGGATTGGCCATTTCGAGCGGCTGCATACTTTCGTTGCGTTCTATCCAGACTCTGCTGTAGATGTCGACGCTCTGAACAAGCTGCAATGGTGCTACGAGGCTACGTACGGTCGGGAAGGCGTGTTCAAGGGTGACGTGAATCATCAGAATGCGTTCGTCTGGCCCTATCAACTTGGAGAAGACTTCTCAGCTCGGATGCAGATTCGACAGCCCCTGTCATTGATTGTCGTAGCTCATTTTGCGCTTCTGCTTCAAAACTACGAGTTCACCTGGTACATGATCGGCTGGTCGGACCACATCATCGCGGGCATCGCTCAAGTCATTGATGAGGACTATCGTGGCTGGTTAGAATGGCCAATAGAGCAAGCTCGCAGAATCCGATTGGAAAGAAAGAGAGAAAATTCGGCGGCTGTAACGGACGTCACGATGTCAGATTAGGCTGTGCCAATATGAAGTCTATGGCGAGCATCGTAACGATCGCACGACCCTTTGCTAAGTTCTGACGAGGCGCATCCCACTTAAGCGTGCGCTCCACCACCCATCCTGAAACTAGAAAAAAATGCATATAAAAGGAACACATATTCAAAAGAGGGAAGAAGTGACAACCATCGTCTATGCTCTAAGACTCGCACTAATTTCGGAACGGGCCGACAGACCCCGCTAATGTAGGTGGGTTAGTGATGGTGTTAGTATAGTATGTGTTGCGGTATCAATTGGTCCGTACAAGGTCTGACGATACCTGTAGCAGACTACCCTAGTCTATTGTGTTACAGGTCAGGTATATAGTTGTCTTCTCCTAGCTAGATAGCAACTCAGCGCAGTATTCCACCGTATTCTGCCAGCGGCCCCTCGCCGCCACATTCTCTAGTTGTCACTCAGTGACCTTTGCTGCAGTACTGTGGGTCCTTCCTTCACTACTTCACGGCTCCTGTAAAACTTACATCCTTTGCTGTTACTTCCAGTAGCCTACCGCAGTACCCCCAACAGAAGCTATCTGTAATAGTTACTGTTGGCAACGTTGAGGCTTCTATTGGGCAGATGGCAATAGGCCGGATCACACTTACATTAGTACATCAAAGTGATAGAGCATTTTGACCTCTTGAAGCAATTACAGTGTGCCCCGTGCCGGTGATTTGGAACGAGCAGGAAAGTCTATATCGCCGTCTTTGGTTCGCCCTTTTGTTACTAAAGACGATTGAGCTACCTGACAACAACGCAAAGCCACGGAGCCTCTTGCCGCCTTGCCAGGTTACAGATGGGCTGCAAATGAGCATCGAATGCCTTCCGTGATCTCGAGGACTATCAAGCCGAACCCAGGGCTTCCTGCCAGTAGCTTTGAGGTTGTGACATTCGAGTGATCTTGCGTATGGTTTGCGAGGGAGCAGCGGCGATACTCTAGCGCGGTCGTCCAGCTTGTCCAGCGTATCCTTCGTTGCATTGACCTTGTTCAAAGATTAGACAAGAGTGCATTGCGTGCGTCTGCAATCGACATTCGAACATCTACATTTACACTATCATGCTTACTTCGAACAAGTGAATACATTCGTGTTATTGCTACGAGATATAAACAGAGGACAAAAGTAAACAGGAAAGGAATACGTGAGTGCACAAATAAGGTGTACAAAAGAAATAACTCAAAAAGGGAATAACCAAGAAACCAAGAACGAAATTCAAATGCTGTAAAGAACGAAGCGAACAAGAGTTTCTCCAATCTGGACGCCAATCATATGCTCAAACACTTAGGACAGAAACTACCTCATTCTATTCGCAAGTCTTGACTTTGTCCTTGCAATCACAATCATCCGCACAGTTGTGATTTCCGTGCTTTGGGGATCAGTTTCCGCAGGGTTACTCCTCAGTCCCACCGTTGATAACTGATGCAGAAGGCGTGGGAGCTGACCCAGTGTAAGTTAATGTCGTGGCTGTATCACAGATATGGGGGTTGGTACTACAGCCTCTGAAGCCATTGCTGGCGCAGACGTAGTATGAAGAACCCGCAGGGCAGGTCATTGACGGGTCCTCCACTGGCTCTACAACTGGATCCACGGGTTTTGTGTCCGGGTCGCAGATATGAGGATTCGTACTGCAGCCTCTGAAGCCATTGCTGGCGCAGATGTAGTATGAAGAATCAACGGGGCAGTCCGTAGTGTCATCCGGCTTCTTAACGGAGCCCGTAGATCCGGTGTCGCAGATCCGCGAGTTGGTAGTGCAACCAACAAATCCATTGGCACAATGGTAGAACGAACCAAGACCTGGAGCGCCAGAGCAGTCGTTATAAAAGCGCTTCGGTCCGTTGCAGATCTCGGATCCCTTGTCATACGCAACACAGCCAATGAAGCCGCTGGAGCATTTGACATCAGGCGTGATGTGCGACATGTTGGGACAAAAGTTGGAAGATCGCGAGGTCAGTGTTGGGATGGCGTTGCTGAGAGCGATGAGAGTGGAAACCAAGGAGATGGAAGTAAAGAAATGCATGACTGGAGAAGGTGCTTGTAATTGCGGAGAGAGGTATTGAAGGTTGAGATGATCCCGAGTTGGAACTTGATAGAAAGTGTAAAAGAGAAGAGGATTGATTGATGAGATGTGACGAAAATGGATAGAATGTGAGAAAAGAGATGACAGTGCAGTCGATGTATCGATGTTGATTGAGAGTAGTGATGATAGAAGACTCACTGGACTTTGTTGTGGCACAACTATATAGTCGGCATCGTAGGCTGTGCGGCTCTTCTGCTCAGCATCGCTGTCTGTTCGTCTTCTCCATCAGCCGCGACACACCGGGCGTGAGACGCCCGTCCTGACTGTGCCACAGCGTGCTGAGAGATGGTGACGGCGGTGCTCGCTAACGGGAGGAATTGAGTGGTGTTGCAGCCGAGACGGGTCGTTCTTCATTGGTCAATATAGTTTGGTCCACCAACGAGTGCAGAGCAAAGTATACAGCTGCGGCTGAAGCATTGGCCAAGTTAGCGAAAATAGCTTTACAGCGAATGGTACGTGGGCGGAGCTGGCCTTGGTAGAATTGCGCGAATGACTTGCTGGTTCGCAAAGCCGGATGCAAAGACAGGCGGAGTCGATGTTGGAGCAACAGAGTAGAGTACAGACCTGGTAAAGGCGCAGGAGGCATGGAAGGAACAGAAGCTACTATTCTGAGCGCCTCCTCCATAAAGCAATGCCCCACAGCGGCGGCACCAGGTGCCAATGACCAATAGTAGAAGCGAGATCAGCCTCAGTCCCTGATGAGGCGGGTTAGAAGAGTAAGTAGATGGAGCTATCAGCTGCTGTAAAGTTGAAGCATCCTGTATACCTCCCCGTTTGGGCTGACAGTACATCGCCGTCGTTGCAGTGAACGACGCATCACTCCGATGTTTTGTGTGCCGCTACTCACAAGTTTCTTGTATATGTTTTCAATCATTGTTGAGAAGCTACATGATCAAAACTGCTTTTATCGCAATTCAAGATACAAATCTTCCATATCCAAACCAACTCCAAACTCCGTACATGCAGTCGAGGTAGCCCATTACTTCATTCAATCACAACACCTACTGCTTCAGAACAGCCTCCAGCCTCTCCAGCAATAAATCAGCGTGGTGCTTCTGGAAGATCAACATCGGCCTCAACCTGACAGCGTCTATACCGCTCCCACCGACATTCACACCGTGCGCCTTAGCGTTCTTCAGGATCTCATCACGTCTTGGTGTGTCCCACGCAATGAAAGTTCCCTGACCCTTTCCACGCAGGTTCTGGATATCCTTGGGATACCTCTCAGCCAAGCGCTGCAAACCGCTGTACAAATAATCGCCGGTGGCAGCGGTGTGGTTGACCAAATCCAGACGCTCGATCTCCTGAATGATGGCGCGGAACAGGATAGCGCGCGCTGGGTCGCCCATCCAGGTGTTGAACTGGCGGTAAGGCTTGTTGGGTCGGAGGGCGTCGTTGCCGAAGTAGTAACCCGCTGTCTGGGCCTTCTTCGAGAAGGTGACCATGTCAGGCGGTGTCTGCAGGTTCCAGTGGTCGTGGGCCCAGAACTTGCCGGTTGCGCCGACACCGGTTTGGACTTCGTCGACGATGAGGAGAACGTTGTTGCGCTTTGTGATATCGCGCAGGCCCTGGAAGAAGGCGGGCGAGGCGTGGTTGTCGCCGCCCTCGGACTGAATGGGCTCAACGACAACGGCGGCGACGGGCTTGGGGAATTCTTTGATCACGCGCTCGGTCTCCTCGAGACAGCGCTTCTCTTCGGCGGCGTTTTCAGAGGCGAATTGGTCGAGGGGGTACTTAAGGGCGGGAAAGGGGGCCTGGGGCCAGTCGAAGGCGGGGATGTCGACCTTGTGGATGGGCTTGGAGCGGGTGGTGGACAGACTGCCGAAGAGACGACCGTGAAAGCCCTTCTTGAAGGACATGATGGACATGTCAGGGGCACCGGGGGCCTGGTTGTTCATCGAGGAGTTGATGTCCAGCTCGGAGAACTCAGCGTCGGGGCTTCCACGCTCCTGCTGGCGCTTCCACATGAAAGCAGCCTTGTAAGCGAGCTCGTTAGCATCCGAGCCAGCCTGGGCAGTGAAGACTTGGTTGAGACCCTTGGGCGCGACAGAGAGGATACCGGTCTCGAGGATGTCGGCCCAGTCGTGCTGGGGGAAGTTACCGAGTGCGGGACGGTTGATAATGGCCGAGGCCATTTCGGGGGAGGTGGCTGCGAGCTTCAGGTTGGCATTGTTGTAGCCCACGGGGATCGACGCAATCTGGGCGTAGACATCGAGGAGGACGTTGCCATCGAGATCAGCGATGCTGTGATATGGTCAGCTGAACTCGGTTTTCCATACTAATTGCTGTGCATACTAGTTGCCGTAGCTCTGCTGGTAGTTGGCCATCATGTTCAAGCTCCGTGTGTCGGTGACCTTGCTCAGGCGCTCAATGGCCGCCTTGCTCTTGGGGCCAGGGATCTGCGTCTTGACGGTGGGCTGGCTGGGCTCATCGGGAAAGAAGGCCTGCTCGCCAGAGTCCGAGGAGACAGCGGCAGCAGCAGCGGAAGCATATTGCCTTCGCAGCGCAACCGGCGCAACCTTGGAAGCTGCCTGTGCAGTCGGGCGGACGATCGACGACCGCGCGCGGCCTGCTGTGCGAAGCAGGTAGGCCATTGTGAAGCTGGAGTGTGAGGGAACGGTTATGCTCGGGGTATTACAGTGATATATCAAGCGCTGAGCGGGAGCTCAAATGCGGGGTGGACCACAGCTCTCCGGCCTGTTACGCGATGGAATGCGACTTTCCGGCTTTGAAGCAAGTTGCTGATCCAGAAAACACTTTCAGGGGTAAGAATCGGTGCGAGCAGAGATATTGGTATCGTACAGAAGGGCGCAGTGCATTTTATACTCCCCTCCGACTGCCATCAGTCGTAGCCGTTGTAGTTGCATCATGAACGGCACTTTTCCCAAACAGAGCTACTCCACGCGACTCCAAAGCTTAGCTGTGGCCGGGTCCCTTATCGCCTAGCCCGTCTGGGTGATAACGGTGGCACTATACGCCAATAGCTGCCACATACACGCGCTACACGCCAGACTCCAAACAGCAGGAGACTCCGGACCGTACTCCACAACCACTTCACTCCGACCACCATCTTTTCCGACGGACTGTGGGGAAAACCATTGTTTTCGTGTGTCACTGAGTACCATTTTGCTTCGGAACAGACACCGCGGTCGCATCTATCATATGGTCACGATACCGGAGAGTGTGTGTGGACCGCATCGTGTTGGCAGTTATCCACTTGCATTGAGCTATCGTTCCTTCCCATCAAGTAGAAGCCCATCTATCACATCCTTCCCATCGCTCCTCGTATTCTTACACGCAGACTTGTCCTAAACGCCACATCAAGAAACACAATCAAAGAGGCTTCTCCACCTCGAGGGTATCACCATCGCAAGATCAGAGTCCCAGATCCCATATGCCGAAGCCAATGCGCTCGCTATATAACAGAACACCAGGAGCATCGCTCAAGCAAAGAATACATACAGTGTATGTTTGGAAGAAATAGATAATGCAGAATGTCGTCGTCGTTCGGCCATGATGCCAAGAGGCCGAATATTGCAGCCGTCTACTCAGGCTTGTCGAGGTTAACTCTCAGCGAGTACTTCAACCCTTCCTTCTCGCAGTATTCGCTGAGAAACTTCAACCCAAATCGGACCGCCTGAATGGGAGTTGTGTCGTTGGAGATAGGCAGAAAATAAGGCCCTGACATGCATACACCGCTGACCTTCTCGGCCTCCTTGATCAGCTTTACATTTGTTTCTCGCCCTGCCCATGTCTTCTTGTAGATCGTCTGAAGGCCTTCAAGGGGCAATGCGGTTCTCGCATCCTGATAATGCACCATCATCTTCTTGGTGTGGTCCGCCAGGAGAGCAAAGTTTTCTGCCAGAGAGGTGTGTTCCCTAGCGAGCTGGGCATGTGCAACGTCTTGAGGCGAATCGTGGGCTTTAGTGCTAGATGAACGCTGGGACACCAACGTGCAGATCGTGGAAGCAACGACTGAGCTAAGGTACGAGCGGAGGCCATCGAGATGCGCGAAGTCCTTAGTGAAGCGGGCGTAGGAGAGACACAAAGGAAGAAGAGTTTTCCAGGTTGACTCTACTTCGCCCGGTCGATTGCGGAGGTTGAGAGAAAGGTCTTGAGCGTAGTAGGCGGCCATATAGGATCTGTGGTTTTGTCAGCGTTGTTATGCCAATGAGGAGGATTCGGCGCACAATATGCATTCCAGATTGGTCACCGCCGCCCGCCTCTCGTCCTGCTTCGTTATCTTATTGCCCTTCTCTGTGAGTAGCTTGGTAGCTTCATGCTTCAACGCGCGGCCCATCTGATTGAGTTTCATCGATGTCTGCGCCATCAGGGAGATCTCAGCTTGCTTCTTCCCGTTCATGGGCGCAGACGTGGGTGCAGGCCTTGCATCAGGTCTGGAGTTTGCAGGAGTACCACCTGACCGGCCGGGCGTTGTATCGTGACTCTCAGATGAGCCGGTACGTAGCATACTGATAGCCTTGTGGTCCTTCTTCGGCGTTGCATATAGCGACTGGTTCTTCTGCGCGCTCGATTTACTGGACAAAGCCGGGGATGAGGTGACCTGCGGTGTTGGAGTGTTGGGTCGATCCTGCGAGGACAGCGCCCTCTGGCGCTTGGGTGGCACTGTGAGTAATGCATCGTCGTCCGTCCTAGGGCGCTTCTCCGCAGTCTTCGCCGCTGATACCACAGGTTTGGTACTGGATGTTGGTGTCGATGTTGCTGACGTTTCTGGTCGACGTGCAGCCACCTTCGGTATTGGCTTCGGTTTCTTTTGTACAGGTTCCTCCACCACTTTTGTGCGGATCTTGATCGGAGACTCTTTCGGTGGATCCTGGCGTTCTTTCCTCTCAGGCAAAGTCCGCTTGGGTGGTAAGCGGAGTACTTGTCTGACGGTCGCCGCTCTCGCCTTGGAGAACTTCAGCTTCACTATTAATGAGGCTTCCTTGTCGTCCGTAGAGACTGGTGGCGCAGTGTATGGCGACTTTCCGCTCACGGATACTGATCGAATGCGTTGATCGATCTTGGCCGTCTTATCTGCAAGCTGCGGTCGTTCTTTCTCCTTTTCCTTCTCTTTCGGTACGGAAAGTGTCTGGCTCTTCGGTTCTGTGGACGAGGCTGATGCGCTTGAGACTGCCCGTGACCTCTGCTGCTCCAATCTGTCCAGTTCTGCTTGTATACTCGAGGGAAGAGTCGGCGAAAGGATGCTCGGTAGTCCGTAAGGGTTGCTCAAGGGCTCGTGTACTGGTGATAGCATCGGAGGCAGTCCGTGAGGTGTCGAGTTCGAGGGACTCGACTTGTCAACTGTTCTCGAACCCTCATCTTCGATGCGCTTTATCTCTGGGGCGGGAGGGCGTGGTGGTAGCTGAGAGCGGTTGCTGTCTTGGCTGTCGTTCTCTGACTTGTGCCTGTTGCGGTCTTCTGTAGCGTGTCTGTGTCATGTTAGCTTTGTCGTCGCGAGTTGTCGCGTTGGCATACTGCTTCTGCGGCTTTGAGTCTGCCGGCTTCTGAGCGGGAGCGGGTTGCTTCTCAGGCTTGTTCAAGCCGTTCGTATGCGCGGTTGGAGGTTTCGAAGGTAGCAAGCTTGGTGAGGCTAGCTTAGAGCCGGGGGTTGGTGTGATGACGCCGCTCGCTTGCTTGTTCTTATACGCAGACAAGCTGATCTTCTTCTTGGGGCCCTGGCTGGCGGTGTTGGACGCTTGCGACGCCTGCGACGCCTGCGATCTGGGGCGCTCTGTCTCTAGCTCGTCGTCCTCCCCGGCCTGCAACTCAAAACAATCCTGGCACGGTTCGCGGTAGAGGTAAGTCCTGTACTGCATATGCTCCTCGTTGTGGCTCCACAAGCGCCCCAGCATCCACGCATTGGCTTCTTGTTGTGAGTGATATCGATATGGGTCCATGGACGGGGTTGACAGAACGTATGGGTTGGGCGGCACCACGGTCTTTGTGCGCTTGAAGATCTTGTCCAGCTCTTCCAATTCATCCTGGTCGTCCCTTGAGAAGTTCCTGCGTTTCAGCGATCGTGTGGTAGGCACGTCAGGCGACTCGGGACCTGACATGGTGGTGGAGCGCGGTCGCAGTTACCGAATGATTCGTGGACGGGGTGGGATTTTCGTCGCAGAGGTCCAGTGCGCCGAAGACTGGGTTGATATGTTCGACGTGGCGTATCCGCAGAGCGCGGCTCATGTGTGAGCAGTGGAGGTGGGGGTTCGACTCGGGTGGGTGATACGCGGTGAGGGATCGCAGAGACGGTCGCGCGCGCGGGGCACAGTGCCGGACGCACAATTGCGCGCTACAGAGCGTGTCAGTATAAAGGCCACAGGCTGCCGGCAGCGCGCGTAGGTGAAGAGTAGCTGCATACTGTACCAAAGAATAAGTGAGTGCTACCTCAGCCTCCGATGCGCTGTGTAGCTGATACCGCCGGAATAGAAGCCAACCATCGCCTAGACGCTGGCCAGCAAAAGTCCGCTACGCGATTCCAGGATGCTAGGCTTCGAAGGAGAGCGGTGTTAGGGTGGTTTGCAGCGGGAACATGGTTTGCTGGGATAATGCACGCCTTGGCGTGTGGATATGGCGTCCTCGTGCTAGCGGGTTCGAGCGCGGGTTCGAGCGCGGGTTCGGCTGACAAGGTGCAGCGCATTGTTGCTGCGTTGTCTCACCTCGTTTTCGTGAACACATTGCACGTCAACAGTCGATTTTACAAGAAAAGCTGCACAGTCCTTGATGCATACGTCATTGTCATTGTTGAGTTGTATCGCCCACCACTGTTCAGTGTCTCCATACCCCTCCCAACCGCCCCGTTGCGACTTGAGGAACATCCCGAGCGGAGATCTGCGCTAAGGGACATCTTCCCGCCGGTCGTGATGCAACGCCGCTGACGAGCTCCGACATCCATCGATAGGTCGAATCGATGACTTGTTCAACATACTCACTTATCCTCCCAAACGTTCGTCCTTGCAACCAGAGATCAACGGGCTTTGCTTTGAATGTCGACAATGTGTATTCCTCCAAATCTGGGTCTCCAGACGACGGACTTGGCTGCTGGCATCTTCGACAGATCCTGACAGCTGCTGCAATTGCTTGTTCGAGCACAGAACAGTTGCTATGGCATCTGCCATGCCTGATAGTTGGAGGCTTCGCAAGCTGTGTGAATACGCGTCACCTTCCTTGTGTCGCACAACAAGGTTCGAAACGGAACTTTGCTGCGTAACGAACCTGGTTCGACCCATCTTCAATCAAACCTGTGGCGGAATGCAAAAGCAGGATATGTCGCCCGACTCGCAAAGTGGATTGTATGCAAGCATCTGCTCTCAAAGCTCCTCGTCGTCAGTCTCGTCGTCGTCATCGTCCGCAGGCGGCGGTGGTGGAGGCTTCTCAACCGGGCCTTTGCTTCGTGTGCCTGCTCTGCCAAACGGTAGGGAGCGCGGTGGTGGCGGCCCGTCATTTGACGGGGCAGCTTCTTTTGTGGGCTGTGCGACCGTTGAAGCCGACTTGAGCGTCTCAGATGACCCGCCTCTTGGGCCGCTGTCAGAAGCCTCGTCCTCGGACTCCGTTTCAGCATCAGACCCACGATCTGGTGTGGCTGGACTAGGCACGTCTTCAACGTCGTTTTGTTCCTCGACTTTGGCTTGCTTGATATCCATCTGGTCACTATCCGAATCTTGCTCCTGTGCCGCTGTGGAAGCTCTTGTGGGCGCTTTGCGCTTGGAAGTTCGAGATGGGCCTGCTTTGCGCGGCGTCTCTGTTCTAGCTGATTGTATGGCGAGTGCTACAGAATATTGCGTTAGCTGGCTGCTGGTAGTGCAGGGGAAATGCGCACCTGTAGGCTTGTCGACTTTGGCTCCAGCTAGCAGACGGCTTTGATCTCTGATCTTTCTCTTCTTCTCGTTGAGCAGCTCCATGAACTGCTGCAACATTGCTGTCTCAGCCTCATTTTTCGTTTTGATGAAGTCATCCAGTTGGGCATTGAGCTTGGTGATGGTGTCCTTCTCGCTATCGATCCGCGCCTTTACTTCGGCCAGCTCCTGCAATGTCTGTGAATGAGCCTGGGCTGATGCTTGCGCCCACTCAAATGGGTTGAACTCGAACTCATCATCTCTGGGCAACACGATCTCACCCCAAGTCACCTGCGTCATGTTAGATTAGGCTCGGCGGGGTGAGTGTTGTCTTGCCTTGATTCCTTGGACATCTTGCCGGATAGAGACCTCGAGATCGCCCTTGTTCAAGGTGTGGACCATGCGAACACCTTCCAATAAATTGGCTTGGTCTGGCCCCAGCTGTTTCTGCAGCAGAAAGTGAGCCAGGACGGCCTCCCACTCTGCATTGGTGCCCTTGAACTTGTGTTTCAGTTTTGGAAGCTGGCTTTGTTTGACTGCATCCATGTCAGCAGAGCAACCATCATGGACGTTAGGGGTCACCCTTACTGTTGACCACATACGGATTCTCGCCTTCACATCCAACAAGCCGAACATCGAGTTCGTGAGCGCCTTCTTGCTGCACCTCGATGACCACAGTCTCGCCGCGCCCGCTAGCCGGCTCGACAGTCACAATACGGCGAGCCATGATGGCGTGTCCACTAGCCTGCAAGGCTTCAATGGGCAAGGCGTGCAGGCTAAGGCCGTTTATTGTCTGTTGCCGCGACACACGCTGCGCAGCCTTTCCAGAAAATTCAGTTCTAGTGGTGGCTCTAGTGGTGGCGTGTGGGCGCGGTTCTAGGAGCAGCCCTAACAGCGTGTAACAGCAAGCTCAGGCTCCTGGAGTCGTTGACGGCCGCGACAGACAAATGCAGGAACACAAGGCGGATGTTTCACTTGGGCGTAAATTATAACGCAACAGTAGCTTACTTACATCTGGAAAGAGGAGCCATCCGAAGTTAAATACGCGGGTGCACAAGAGAATGCCCAGTGTGAGTGCGGGTGCTGCCTTGAGGCTGCGGCATACCAGGCACACTACGCAAGCAAAGTTTAGCACACGACTCAGGCCGTGTTTTGCACCAGCACGCTCTGAATATAGACCCTGACATCTTGTTGTTGACTGTGCGTCATCCCTGACCCTTCCAAACACTTCCAAACACTGCAGCCCTGACGCCTATATCCACGCGCATGCCCGCCCTGTGCGGTGCGGGGAGACTTGCGTAAAAGCGTTCGCTGTGCGTTCTGCGTTGGTTGTGTTTATTTGGGCACTCACGGCCACTCGGTGTGACGAAAGACAGGGTTCACGCGTCGAGCTTGCATCATCCAGGCCGCAGCGTGGGCCTTCAAGCGGGAAAGAGCGCCTCGCTTACGCACCCTGCAGCAAGAACGACCGACCAGCACACCAACCTCCTCCACTCTATCCAAACCTGTCTCACTACACCACTATCGACCTCGTCGCGATCTGCCGACCCACTGTGCAATGGCTGCTCCGAACCGCAGCTTTGCGGGGCGGATAGCCTCCATCAACTCGATGGTTTCCGGAATTGAGAACTGGGACGACGCCGACTTCGAGGACGGCGACGGCCTCTTGTTCAAGAACTCGACGGTGCATTCGCTGTCCTCGCGCCTTAGCGTGCGCTCCGAGTCCAACACGGGCGACGACGATTGGCAGGTGCTCCTGACACCCGATGACGACCTGTCAACAAACAAAGCAATCTTCTCCGCGAAGCAGGCCGGCATTCCAATCCCCACGAGCGTGCCCGCGTCAGCACTGCTAGGCGGAAGCATCAAGCGGCTGGGGAAGCCGAAGAACAACAAGAAAATCGAGCTCGACGATGACTGGGGCAACGACCTGGAGCTTCCGGACACTGCTACGGGCGAACAGTTGAAGTTGAAGACGCCCGTGCCACGTACGCCCGCCGATGACCAGGACGACTTCGATGACTGGGGCGAGGGCAGCCTGGGTATCCGCTTTGCTGGGACGAAGAGAGACCCTCGCGGTGGACGCAGCTCGTCAGCCTCTGCTATGAGCCCGAGCCTGGGAAGCTGCATGACCCTGGAGAGTGAAGATGATGACCTGACCGGGCTCGTATTGCCCACGGAGCCCATGGACTTCAATGCCCGCCTTAACAAACTGAAGACAGCCGAGCAGCCTCCTCTGGCGCCCTCTCCGTTTCCTAACCAGCAGCAACGTGAGCTGCGCCCCACATCAGTACCAGCCGTGGTCCCTGCTGAGGGCGTGCCCCTGCCTGCCGAGGAGCCCGTCCACCAGGAACCCGCCGAAGATGATTTTGAAGCAGACTTCGACTTGCCCGCCACGTTCCCTCCACTGGCGCTGAATCAATCCCTGCCACAATCACCTGCAGTCACCCCCATCACGTCTCCGCCGCTCGAGAGTGAGGCTGCATCGTCGCCCCAGCCCCAGCCGAAACCGGCAGACGAAGAAGAAGACTTCATGGAAGGCCTCGACTTCGGTGCAGGGGAGGTCCTTGACACAAGGAAGCTCACGCTAAACCGTAACATTGTAGTGAAGAAAACAGCTTCCAAGCCGGCAACTCCTCCTGCTGCTCGACCTACGGCCTCCATCACCTTCACTGACAAGCCGTCGTCGGGCTCCAGAATACCTCGACCACTAACCACAACCACTGCTCGTACTAGGCTCACTCCCGTCTACGAGTCCGGCGCCTCAATGCATGGCAACACTCGTCCCATGCCCACTACTACTAGTGCGCAATACCTGAAGGCAAAGCGTTCTGCGCCGCTGCTCCGTAACTCGAACTTCCAGACAACCCCACGTTCGAGTGTCCCCTTCCTGCCCGCCGGCGGCTCGAATGCTCAATCACACCATGTCACAACCAGAAGCTCACAGAGCCACCTTCGACGCGACTCTGACCCTCGCCGACCGCTGTCGCCCTCAATGCGCTCTCACTCACGCATGTCGCTCTCGGGCCAGATCGAAACTCAGACTCCCAGTCGTGCCGGAGTACGAAGAGACTTGGCTCCATCTGCTCTTGGCCGTCATCCACCGCCACCGAAGAAGTTGACGAAGCCTCAACGAAAGCGAAACTTCGGCGATGGTCACGAGCTCGACCTCTTCGATGATCTGCCAACGTCTGCCACCAAGGAAAAGCAATATGAGAAGACTCCTCGCAACACCGCCAGTACCAAGACGCTTCGATCACAACCCAGTACTTCTCGTCTGCCTATGCCAGATCGAATGACCACGCCGCTGCCTCAGACACCCAAGAGCCCGCCAAAGGCGGACCACACGCCACGATTTGCTCGAGACACTGCTGCTAGTAGGAATGCCCGTGAACAGCGTCTGGCAGGAACGAGGTCGCGAGGCGAAGGTCCCATCGCGCCTACACCTCGACCCATGAGCTGGCAAGCACAGATTGCTGCCCGAAGCCCACATACAAGTCCGACTGCTCTTCGCAAGAAAGGTACAGGCCAGAAGCCACAACTGATCAGGCAGATGACACAGCCATACACACAAAGTAAGACACCCAAGCTGCATGTCTCATCACTATCGCTAACAACCATACAGCGGAGAAGGGAATGATATACAACCCCTCCATGCAGCGCTGGGAAGGCAACGAAGATGTTCTTGTGTCTTTCTCTCAGCCCAACAACTCCACCACGACCCTCGCATTGACCACAGCAAGCACACCGACTTTTGCGCCACCAGGCATGTCGCACGGCCGCACACACGACCGTTCGCAGTCCATGTCACATACACTACTGTCGTCGATCCACTCAAAGAACCTCTCGTCGCCACGTCTAATGAAGTTGCCATCCAATCCGGCGCCAGCACCATCACCACCCCGTCCAGCATTGATTTCGCAAATATCAGCTCCTCGAGGCGTACAATACGAAGGCCGCATGGTATTTGATCCTGTGAAGATGACCTGGCTCAAGGCCCCACGACACTCGACCGGTCCTCAATCACCCATGTCGGTCGGAGATCCGGACGAAGAAGAGGACCCGTTCGCTGGCCTTGACGACTTGAAGGACAACGAGAGTGTTGTCGGTGGCAACAACTTTGCTGGTGGCGCAGGCGGCGCTCCTAACGCCGACGATCCAACATTTGTTGGTGAAGAGTTTGACGTCGGCCCCAGCTTCATTCGCAGACAGCGCGAAGAGGAGGCTGTCTGGAGACGCAGAGTTGAAGGCTGGGTCGGCGGCATCCGCGACTCAGGCGAGCAGCACGGCGGATGGAGATGGGCGATCCGTGAGTTCGCCGCGAGCGCCTCTGCCGGTGCTCTCGAAAACTAAACGCTTCTGTATATGCGTTTCACCATACTTACGACTTTATGACTGCATTGCACATTTGGATATTGGGCATATACCCACAGGCAAAAGGCGTCTGGACTGTGTCCTGCTAGATATCCCTGAGTGTTACGATGGGTGCCTGGATGCGCGCCTCACTCTTTACGACCTATTTATGACTTATGACCTTTTTTTTTGCATGGAAGACCTGGGCTATCTAGCTCCAGATAGAGGATTGCAGCTTTTGGGCTTGACATATTCACGGCGACGTCGGCGTTCTGTTTTAGCCTTCTTGCAACGTACTGCTAATAATACATAGGGATCTTGGAATACATACAAAGTTATTGCTACAAATGAAATATCCATGCCTTGTCCCTGTGATGGTGAAGTCAGCTTCCTGGGATTGCCTCGATTGGCTGACTCTTGGAAGGTGGGGGCTTTCGCCTGCAAGCGCGTCCTTGAATGCCCGAATGCAGGTCAGGTGGGATCCCAACAGTCACACGTCACCTCTCCAGCCCCGCTCGTCGCCTTATATAACACCATGTCTCGGTCCAACGACCCAGGGCATTACTTCCAGACCACGTACGATTTGCGCTTTGGCATCTGGATGCCCAACGCTAACGGGCAGCAGCTCTGCGCTCAACGAGACCGCGCGCAAGGCCGCCAAGTCGAAGAACGACAAGGGCAGCCCGTTCAAGCTCCCTTCCAAGATCCTCGCCGTTGTCCCAGATCCGCAGAATGAGAATCAGATATACATAGCCGAGGCGGCCGGCAACGTGAAGCGGATCAACCTTGAAGTCGGTCAGACCCTCCATTCAGCTTCCCCAGACCACCCCCCCTCCCCCCCTCCGCACATATACATACTCCGCAGAGCCCGGGCTGACTGTGCCTCCCGCAGACTAAGAAAGTATCCGCATCCTTCGCTGGACCTGTTGCGCCCCTCACATCACTTGCCGTCTCACCGAGATCTGACACTGTATACGCTGGATGCTGGGACAAGTCGATCTGGTCATGGACGCTGTCCACCGGCCAGCTGGCAAAGCGGTTCCAAGGGCACAGCGACTTCGTCAAGGCTGTCCTGCCGTTCACCTTGCAAGACAAGGATATCCTAGTCTCCGCTTCGGCGGACGCGAGCATCATCGTTTGGGACGCCGCCACGGGCAGCAAGCTACACACACTCAAGGGACACACACGGGGGGTTCTCGCGCTTGCGCTCGACTTCGCAGAGTATGAAGCAAGCAAAGACTCGGCAACGGTGTTCAGTGCTGGCAGCGACCGAGAGATACGACGCTGGAATATCGGGTTTGCCTCGGCCTCAGAGATGGAGCCTTCGCCAATCATTGCACATGAGACAAGCATCGATGCTATACACTTCGACTCGGACGGAGACCTCTGGACTGCTTCTGCAGATAAAACCGCAAAGTGTCTTTCGAGGGGCAGGAGCTGGGAAGAAGACTCGGCTTTCGAACACCCGGACTTCGTGCGCGATGTGGCTGTGGACGAAGAGGGGGGTTTGGTCATCACAGCTTGCAGGGATGAAGAGGTCCGCGTATGGGAGAAGGGCAGTGGCAAGCTGCATCACACTTTCACCGGACATTTCGAGGAAGTCACCGGGCTGGTCCTGTTGCCTGGCCAGAAACTTGTCAGTGTGAGTATCGATGCGACAGTGCGACAGTGGAGCCTGAAGGCGCAGGAGCTCGCCAAGGCAGTCAAAGAAGCTGAGGACGAACAGCTTGGTAAGACCAAAGAAAAGGAGCCGGAGAAGAAAGAGGGCATGATGACCGCCGAGGAAGAAGCAGAACTGGCCGAACTTATGGGAGATAGCGACTAGCGACTAGACAACTTCGGCGAGCGGACTAGCCATCGGATCGTACTTTGCCAGCGACTCGCTGGCACCTTCGATCGACGTCTTCTCCGGTCGCCCTAGGTAACAACAAAGAAGCGAGACGACGGGATGAGCACAGTTGTGCAAGATTCTACTGACGTGTGGCTATCGCCGGACGCGGTAGGGTTGGTTCCCAGCTCCACGGAGACACTCGGTATCACCCTAGACCCTATGCTTCCGCGATATATGGTACTGTTTACCGTGGTAACTAGCTTGGTGCTGCTCATCAGGCCACCTCGACCGTGGACTTCTGTCGAGAAATGCCCATTCCGTGACACCTCCCTACGACGATCCCGCGCCGGTCAATCACCCCTGATAGCTATAGGCTTCACCTCCCTTCGACGCGCGATACGCTACCCTTTGGAACGGATTGTGGGCCAAGAGCTCACCACGTCGCGCCCTCAATCTTCATTTGCACCGGATTATTTATTTGCGTAACGCGACGCTTCTTTGCCGACTAACGCGCACCTTGTCATTCTCATTCACACCCTTGCCCCGTCGATTTTACTCCCACTTACTGCACCCACCGATCCCTCCTCAACAGCTAGCAACCAGTCCACCCACTGACTATGGCATACATCGAGATACATCGTTCCGTTACGAAGTAACCCCAAACCGCCCAGCTCGAATAAGACCTTCTAATGCAGGGTTTTCAACCCCATCACCAGTGCGGCCTTTTCAGGTCAGCGAGCCTGAGAGAGGTCAGCAGGTATTGAGCCACATACTCTGACAGGCATTGATACCCTTGGTGAACTGCATGGAAGCATTCTTATGCGACGCTGCGGCCATATATACATGTAGGGACCACCGAGGGCTTGTTTGTACCTGACTGCGGACGCAGAGCATCCAAGGGCGCATAATTGCACCTCACACGTCGACGGCAAAGCTCCCATGAGCTAGATCTCGTTACTACCTCCAGAAAGTTACTACTCACTGCGGTGGAGCTTCGAGTACATACAAGGGTTCACCGCTCCATATCTTCTCCAGACAAACAGCAGCCGGTGTCAGCAAACCAAGCTTCAAGCGGCAATGGAATGTACATGCTTAGCCACACCAGACAAAGGTCGGGAGGCTGCGCAGCTAAATCCGCATGGAACATCCGAGGGCAACTGAACAACAGCAAAGGGGCCGCTTCGGCTACAGCCATGATGGCTAACGGGTCCATGGTATGTCATCCACCTAAATGATCCCACATGAAGAGCTGGCATGGTGGGATGGCACGCCCGTGAGTCGCAGACCACGTCGTCGCTGATCTAAAGAACTCCTCGAAACTGACCCCTTAACCTTCTTGGGGTGCTTTGGGTCGGCTGATCGTGTCTTCGACTCGAATTACTACGAATGACGGACAATGCTGTGAGAAACAGCGGTGTCTGTTGCTCGTCCACACCTTGCATTTCGAATGCCTTCGGGGAGCGAGGAGCCTGCTTTTCAGGGGGTAACCCCCACCACCAGTGCCTTTCTTTTCAGAAAGGTGTGCGTGGCAGACGCCTGCGGTGTTGAGACTCGCCATGAGACTCTGACAGATCGAAAGGTCCATGGCATACTGAAAAATAGGCACTCTTCGCTCCGAGGTGTGAACCTCAGGTCGATGATCTGAGGCCCGTTGCGATATATGGGTAGAGCTTCTGCTCCACTTTGGTCTTACATTCGCTCCTCTCGACCTTCATGTCGAATTCTGTTCCTTCTGGCTTGAGACGGGGTCCCACCTCAGCGCTCGCCCATTGACGATTCCGCACGAAGAACCTGCGCGACAGGGATCTTTGTCCCCACCACCAGTGTCTCTCTTCTCAGAGGGAAGCGCGTGGGAGATGCCTACGATGTTGAGCCTTTCCTTGCGAAAGGCTCTGACAGACCAACATGGTCCATGGCACATTGTCTACAGGTACCTTCGCTGCACGTTCCCCTTGTTCTATTTAGGTTCGCCCCCGTTTCCATCGCGGCCGTTCTTTGTGTCCAGATACATCGTCCCTCTCGCTAGAGCACCCGCTCGCGTCCCGTCCCGTCCGTCGTCGATCGTCAACGAGGAACTTGCACAGTAGGGGATACCCCGCCAACAGTGTCCGCCTTTTCAGGCGGAAGCGCGTGGAAGATGCCAACAGATGTTGAGCACGCACCTCTGCTCGAAAGCAGGGGTCGTGTGCTCTGATAGACCGAAAGGTCCCTGGCAGAGTTGCTTGCAAGCACCCTCCGTCCCCGTTTCGAGAGTGCGGGGAGTTGTCCCAAGCGTCGCTTCCTGAGCTCGGGATACCTCGATCCCGCTTTTTGTCCCTTCGGGTGTTCGTACGTTCTGACTATCTTTAGTCCTTGTGTGTGCGTACACACACGACTGTTCTTTTGTTCGCTTCTGTGGTTGTCGGCACAGCGGGGCAGGTGCTGGAACCTGTCTGGAGAAATTGGGTCGGGCACGAAAGTGCTGGAGGTCGCAAGAGATGGGTGGGCGGTGTAAGTCGGACCCTTGCGCCTCCTCGTGGTGCCGCCTGGATAGTCGACTGCTCTCCGATGTGGGAGTGGGAGATGAACCAAATGCAAGGGACGCAATACACGGTAAGTCCTTCTCTGGGAGGACCTCAGGGAGCTCGTTGTAGTCTCCCGATGTCTATACCAGATTCGAGGATTATTGCAAGATATGTCTCAAGTTTAATCTCGGATTATTGACAGAGGACCGTTCGGTAGAAGTGAACTCCTTTGTAATTATCGTTGCTTGTGGTCAACAAGTGCTTCATGTTTCGTATGTATTTATAGCTTCGATGTCGCTCTCAGTATTGCGTACTTTTCGTTAATCTAAAGCACCTTTACTGCCAGCTTTTCCGACTTGCGCGTGCATGTGTTGGCAGCTGCGTGTTGACTGCTCTTACCTCTTGCTTCGTCAATTCATCGAACCGCCAAAAGATACCCGCTTCAACTTCACCTTCACCTCCCGCCACCAGCGATATCGCCGAACCGCCGGCATGTCGTTCGCCCAGACCCTGTGGGCATCTCTGGCTCAGACCTACTCGATGCTCGATCATACCGCGCCCGCCGACAACATGATACCCCAAAAGCTCGACCAGCTGTACGAGCAGCAAGACACAGCGCTTGGGCAGCTTGGTCAGCTGTACACGCAACAGCAGCTATGTCACTCGCAGCAGCAGCTGCTGCAGGAATCGAGCCCTCAGCTACGGTATCGTCAGTATTCCTACCCGCACATAGCCTCGCAGAGCAGCTTTTACGCTGCGCAACACCGGCAACAGTACATAGGAGCGCATCAGTACACTAACGCGTGTGGAAATGGGTATGGTGGTTATGCAACTGGTCAAGACGCTCAGTAGGCTCTGCTCTCCATTGACTTCTCTAGCTTCAGCTCATACTTCCAGGCACGGCGGCTGTGCACAGCCAACAGCAAGCTCATCATCATGGTGGCCGTCACCGAACCACGTCCCGCCCAATGCTACTGAGCACAGTGGACAGGCACCATCGATACAGGCGCCATCTATACAGGCGCCATCGATACACTGGGCCCACGGCTACCCTTCAAGATGGGCTCATGGCAGCGATGCATACAGATACTGGCTGGCACAACAGCAACAGCGACAGCACCAGCACCAGCCACTACCGCCGCCTCCGCTGCCAGCGCAGCCGCAGCACACATGGCCAGGCTATTACCATGGTTGGAGTGGGCAGGAGCAGTACTCCGTCTACACGCGACAGGCCACTCCGGCATACAATAGTTGCCTGAGTCCAGCCGGCGTGCCGTTCAATTTGCAACAGTGCAGTGCTCAAGTACAGCTCGTTCAGGGTCCGGGGGTTCTGCACAACGGTCATCGGCTAACGCACTCTGGACAGCAGCCAGGCTCACATAATGCATTCTACGGCGTGCATGAATCGATTGCGGGTAGGACCAAAGACTCAGGCAACCCGCCATATGAGACGCAAAGGGCAACGACGAACTCGCTGTCCACACAGCGAGCCTCGAACGTTGACGACTTCGAGGTTGCTGAGAAGTCTAAGACTGCTCTGGTGCGCTACGAACCAGAGCCCAGAATGCCACGCGCTCGCCCATACCAAAGCCCACGAAAGGATGAGTACATGGAGTGGGAAGAGCAGTATGGCTTTGGCATTGCCGCCCCTAAGCCAGAGATGAAAGCCTCCCTGATGTCACAGTATCCTCCTGCTGCGAGGAGAGGCGGACCAGGTGACAAACGCTATGGAGAAGAGCGTCGTGGTAATATAAGTCCAGCCTCTTCGTATCGAGCTCACATCTACGATGAGAAGGAGCACAGCGACGACGAGTCTAAGTCTACTCCCGCCAAACCTTCACGCACAGCTCCCTTCCGCACTCACGACCGCCCTGGACGTAATTTGCGACGAGGCCGGATTGCTCATGAAGACGCCGACTCAGAAGCAGAAGAGCCATCATCTCAGCCATTGAAGCCAGCGTTCCATGCTGTTCAGGCCCGTCGGACTCCAAAATCGACATCGAAGGTACCAATCGCACCGCCCGTCTCCATGAAACCCGAGCAGCTGCTAGAGCACAGCGTTGACTCCGATGGGTCTCTACAAACGACCGCACAAGAATTGTGCGCAGAAAACACGATCATCACCTATCGATCGCTCAACAACTACGTCCTCAAGAATGGACTGCGAAGGTTAGTCGGGGATGTACCAGCTTCGCACAAGCAAAATGTGTCCGTGAGCCACATCAAAGAGCTAGCTGGAGGTATTACATTGTCAGAAGACAAGCAGCAGAGGTTTGATGCAGCTCGTAATCATGATCAGGGGGACCGCAAACTGGCTGTGGAAACGAACTTTGTGATCGACATCATTAAGAACAAGCTGTTCCCTGAGCCTGTTGACTGCGCGCCTGGTGATTTCCACATTCGGTCAGGTCCGCACAGGAAACCGCAAGTCTACTCACAAACATGAATTGGAATAAAACATAGCTGACTTGAACACAGAACAATCACAAACGCTTCTCGCATCCACCACCGCTCCATGACGAACTCATCATTACCATCGCCTCCAATGAAGCGGGTCAAAGCAGAGCCGGATACTTCCTCGAATCTCACGAATACCAGAGCGGATGTCAAGACTGAGCTAGCTGCTACCACCACTCGAGCAGTTGGCGGCTGGGGCAACTTCGCGGCACACATCGCAAGAGACGATAAGAACATGGCTGTGAAGGTACGTGAAGATCTGAAGCGATTAGGAGGCGACACGTTCCGCCCTGAGTTTCGAGAGACGTACAAGGATCAGAAGGGCAAGAAGGAGACTACTGTGCATGATAAGTCCGGTGGCAGCGCGACTCAAGCTGCCGCTGCTGGGTTGCAGGACAAGACGACTCCAAAGCATGAAGAGAAAGAAACAGGTAGGGATGCAGTCATTGTGGACCGCGCCTACGATACGGATTCTTCGGACGGAGGTGTCGCGCTGTCACCTTCAGACTTGGAAACGGAGTCATGGGTGGTCATCAAGACGGGGGGTGAGTAGTATGCAGGGTGGAAGTTGGTTTGAATGCTTTGGAAGGGTCACGGTGAACGCCATATTGGTACCTACGGCACTAGACGAGTGACAGTGACTTGAATAATTGACCGATCTCAGCTGGAACCGGGTCATAATCAAAATTCGGGTCAATACACAGGTTAGAAGCTGGAATGATGTCAAAGAACCAGCCAGTTCAGTTAGATTCGAGATTGAAAAGCTAGATGACCAGCACCCAGCTTCCCACACAATCAAACCCGCATCGGAGTCAACAGCTCCGTGAGTCGCACGATCTCTCCATCAGTAGTGACAATGCTATTTCGTCGCTTCGCCTTTTCATCTCCATTATCCTTGAAGGAGTACACGTGTCCCCACGTCCCACACTCCTTACTCTTCATAATCGTTCTTCTTGCCTTCTGCTTCGCCCTCTGTATCGATGCTCTTGGCACCCACGCTCGTACTCGCCTCCAAGCTCGCTATCAGGCTCTCAGCCGCATCCTTAACAACATTGGGTGAAGCGCTGATCTCGACGTACGCGTCATTGCAGGGATCGAAGGAGGGAGAGGGAGGGGCGAAGGTTGTGATGCCGCCTGCTAGGACTGGGCATCGGAAAGACCATTGATAAATGAGGACGAGGAGGAGGAGGAGGTATCAGACCGCGCGTCGGGCTCGTCGGCTGCGGATTTGTGGCGAACGGTATTGACGCTGCGGTGCGTGGAAAGACGAATGATGCTCGAGGTGACTGGGTTGTGCGTCTGCTCTTCCTTGAGCTTGTGCTCCCGTTCAGTGTTACCTTCTGTGTCTGGTGCTGCTTGACGCCCGGCGGCTAACATAGCGTCTGTATTAGCATCGCCTTTATCCTCATCGAACAACGATGATACATCAGGCACCTTCTCACTATCTGTCACCTTAGTAGTAAGGGCCGCAGGGGGGGGGGGCTTTTTTGGGGCCAATATCAGACCCACTGGCGGTGGTGTGAGTTCCGACATGCTTACCCTCGGATGCACCGCCCTTGATAGCATCCCGCAGCGCAAGTATCTCCGGCATCTCATCGCACCGCGGCTTATCCAAGCCCATCTGCCGCGCTCGATCGACCACGGCTTGGATAAACTCACGTCGAGCGCGTTCAGCGCGTTTCTTGGGGCTGGGGCGGTTGTCCTCCTCCTTTGGCGGCTCTTGCACCGGCTGCTCGTTGACACGCGTATCATTACCCAAAGGCAGGTGTGTTTTGAGGACATGTTGGAGGTCGCCAGGACGAATAGGGGTTGTTGTTGAGGTCGCAGGCCTGCTGCTGGGAGGGATTGGAGGGAGTTAGGGTGATGGTGTGTGTTGAGAAGAGTTGGCTTAGTTAGGCGAAGTCGGGTATGCATGAGAGCATCATGATGTGTTGGGCAACCAGATCGATTGTGAAAAGGCTGTGGAGTGAGTGTGGACTAGGGTAGGATGGTTCTCCTTGTTGCTTGAGCGGTGATCACAAGGCCGTTATTGCTGTTGGGCGTTGGTGGGTGGTTTGGACAGGATTAGTGGTAGGAAAAGCACGGAATACTTAAGCTGTGTTGAGCTGTGTTCTTGTCGAAAGTGTCTGCCATTGTTGAAGAAGTTGTGGCATCTTGAGACACGTTTGGTCATTGTCATTATGTGTCCTTTGTGGTGTGTACCAAAAGCATCAGTAACAGATAACTTTGAGGCAGCATAGCCAGCTTCAGATTTGCCTGTAGGAAGTGAAGAGGATGTTTGTGGTGAAATAGGTCAGTGTCTCAATGATCAAATGGGAAGCATCACCAACTGTAGGACCTGCCTTATGAACGGATACTCAGCGGCAGGATCTTGAAGGACCGGCACCACAGCCGTGCGAGATACGATCCTTTGGCTGTGGCTGTTCGTGGTCAAAGTCATCGCTTGACCTTGACGCAATAACGCGCAGTAGGATCTAACGTTAAGCAAGGGGTTCCAGAATGACACTCACCAAAACCCCGCAGCCTGTGCAATCAAGTCCAAATCCTTCTCTTCCTTACGATGACCTCCTTCTCATGCTAGTGGTGGAGGAAGGCGCATGCCAACGCACCGAAGCCCACAAGCCTAGGTCACCGTGTCGCAGACTAATTCAGTGTGAGACATCAGACCACACTGATACACACGTACATCGAAAGCGTGTAGTGGCTTGCAGGCGTCTTTCCACGTGCAACGCGTGTGCCAAAACGGCCCTGTTTCTAGTGCAGATGGATCTAAAGTAGCCACGGTGGGTATCGCATCCAATAGATGGGGTGTGGCTTGCGGAGAAGGTTGCAGTTGTCTCAGTACCTGCGGGTACGAGTTGCGCCTCGTTGATGCTACACTGTGATCGCTTGGTACCCCACAAGTGCTGATTCGGGGCTAGAAGTGGAACGCCTACAACTGACTTAGATGAAATGTGTCTGAACAGGTCGATATCGTATGATCCAGAGGACCATTGCTAGATTATAGTCTTCGAAAGTTGTTTTGCTCGAATGATGATGCAGTATTCCGGATCTGAAGCCGACAGATTGTCTACCGTGTGGGACATGTTGTCGACGCCTCCAAATCCAGAGACCTTGATACTGGGCCCTGATTTCGGAGTTCCAATCTTACGCTTTCTTTCCTTGAGGCGCGGTAATGATCGGCTTGGGCGCTTGGATTCTGACCACACCTCAGTGGGGATTGTTCTACGTTCACAGCTCAGGAGACCCAGTCATAGTGATCGGGCCCAACCTCCTGCCCCCAGACCCGCACAATCGTAGTTTGGAATGTCCAACGGTTGCTCGGGCGTAATTGAGGTTACTCGGTATTGGTTGAGGGGCGGCCCTGAGGTGGCAGCGGATCGCGGTTAGGGGCCGATAGCATCTTCCCGCTTTTGTCCGGAAGCTTAATAAGTCGTCAAGCTTTGCGGTCTTCCATGTGGTGAGTCCGAATTTGCTGTACATTACAGGCTAACTATTAGAATAGAGCTGTTATTATTTATAACGTGTTTCGCCCACTATCACCCAAGCAGCCACCCTTTACCAAAATTTACTGTAAGACTCTCCTATGTTTAAATATACTTTCTCTTACAACTGCGCTGCTCTGTCAGTGCATTAATTGTGAGGTCACTGTAGGCAGGCAATTGGACACAGGATGGATTGGGGCCGTCTGAGGCCAAATGGGATGAGATTAGCCAAATCCTTGATGGCTGAACCTCAAGGTATGTGAGGAATATATACAGGTGGCCCATGAGCCTCCGGCCCAGCCCCAGAGTACGTCCCAGGGCTGGCCGGTACATGTAAGGGGAAAATACCCGTGACGTTTGTCTTCCTCACCAGCTCAAACCAAGGCGTTATAATGTGTGCATCTTTGTTCGGGACTTGTTGACAATTGTATGGATGGCTGTGTCAAAGCTTAACTTCCTTGGTATGCATTCTGAACCTGCACTTGCAAACAGGCTCTTCACTGTGTGCAGCAAGTAGATCATTAGCCATTTCTTCCACCATAGTCCTTGTAGCACCAATCCCTTTTGCATCCAGCTCAAGTATGCGTGCAACTATTGCCTCCTCCTCTATCTTCTTCAGCCTGCTTGAGTTGAGCCGACAGTTGCATTGTGCAAGTTTTCCATTGCATCATTCTCTCAGTGTTGTCTGGGGAATGTTAAATGCCTTTGACGCGTGTTTTGTACTGTCAGGCACAGTAGCTTGGGTAGCCTTAATTGCAAGGTATAGTGTGCCTTCAATGTAGGTTAACTTTGCATTGCATTGTGGAGGCATTGTTGTAATAGTCTGTAATAGTTGTAATGATGGTAAGGGGTGGCGAACTCAATGATGGTGGCGGGCTCGGTGATAAAACACGTTATAGTAAAAAATAGTTAAAGAAAAATTATCTTAATATAATAATCCTTGCTTTATTATAGCTAACGAATTGATGTGCAACAATCTGTAGAAAACAGCCTTTGTCCAGAGGCTGTTTTTGAGCAACAGTCGGAACGAGTCGTGCAGAGAAGCAGCCTGATCAGCACACGAATCGCTCAACGGGACACTGCGCGCGCCCTCGGCTTGGTGCGAACTAGGTGGTCCAATAAGCGTCCGACAAAAGATCCACTTGACCCAACTTGGCGTATCCAGCTCAAGAGCGGCAGGTAATTACCATCCTGTAGCTGGGAAACTTCCAGGGCTGTTGGACGGCTATTGGCTCCCAATGTGGCAGCGACCCCAGCGGTTGCAAGGAAAATATCGGTTTCCGTCCCAGAAATTGCAAGCCACATTGCAGCTTTGAGCAGCGGCGCTGAAAAGTGGATTCAGCGTTCTGCGTTCTGCGTTCCGTACAAAAGATCAGGCCATGTCTGCTGCGGTGTGTGGCCTGCGTACCCACTTTAGGTTGCACAACAGGCTAGCCTGGCAGCTTTGTGACCTGGGGTTGCAATTGCAATTGTCCGCAAGTCCCAGAGACCGCGTGAGGAGTGCATGCGCCCCCATCGCACTCGTCGATGCGGAGGGCCACTCGGAACACGCAGCGAAAAGCCAGCTGGGTGCGGTGGGAGGTGAGTGGGAGCTGGGTGACGCATGAGCAGAGGCTATGCAGGTAAAAGCAACGTCCGCAGCATCGCCCTCAGGCTTCTATGGGAGAGCGGACACGCACATGGCTGGGCTTGAGCGTTAAGGATAGAGCGTGCAGTAGTGACGAGTTTCCTTCAATCGGATTGCGGAAAGGAGCAAGGGCCTGGCCTAGTCTACTAGCCAGACTTTCCAAGAATGGCGCCCTGGAGAGTCCCGGGGCTTTCATCAGGTTCGTTTCGTGTCCCGCAATGTGCCGCCTGCAGTGTAGTGTGATGACGATATGGTGCTGTGGGAGCCTGAATCTCAGGTTGGGGGCGGCTGCCAGCGACCAGATGCTGCGCCAGATAAATCGACACTGCACAGAGCGTCCTGTGGGCTGTAGGCGAGGTCAGCAGTTAGAAGCGAGGCATCATTCTCGGATCGCGCATGCATGTCGTAGGCTTTGCAGAGCTTGGGGTGAGCCCAGCCGTCATTGGCGCCAGTGACCTCGCGAACCGGTTGAGTCCTGCTGAACAAAGGAGCGGGTCGGCTAAAGATGGAGAGCGTGAATCGTGAACAGCGCTAGCCTGGGGTGCTCCCAGCCCGTTGTGCCCTCGCCCACCCAGCGCTCGCTCATTTGGGCTGTGCGTCTCCGACTCTCGTCCTCACTCCTGCTGCCACCTCTCACTCACGACACCGTGAATTCGACGGGAGAGCGACCGCAGCGACCCCTCAGACGATCCAGCACGTCTGTTGCAGCCAGTTCTCGCGTCGTATCCATCCACTCTCGCTGCACCGCGTCCACTGCCCTTCCCAGCTGGAGTAATCGACACCACGTCGACCACCGCGTACCTCAAACCTCAGCCCCCAACCATTCCAAACGACTTGCCGTCTTCGACTCGAAAACAAATCGCGCGACATCGAGTCTTTCGTTTTTCTTTGATCGCTTGAAGCGTGAGTATTTTTCATTATGCCTCTCCCGTGACGTTGGAATGCCCGAGTGTCTGGGCTGGGGAGCCAGTGCTGTGGACGCTGTTGCTGTCATGCTCACGATGCTGTTCCGCTGCAAATGACTGTTCTAACAGTTCCAGACACCACTGTTCCGTGGTCGAGGTTCTGACAGATCGTGTTCCTCGTTTTCTGATTATTTTCCGATTGTGTGGTCAGCGACGTAAGTGCAGGCCCCGTCGAACCTTCTCTTGGGGAAAGTGCTTGCCAGTCCCTGGCGTCTCGCGAGCTTGGAACACCTCCACCTCCACGCGAATACTGACTCGACCCCAGCCATCACATCAACCCACAATGTCCCTATCGGTGATCCCAGTCTCCAACGAGACCAAGAACACATCGCACCGCACCACCAAGGATGGCCGTCGCATTCGCTATGATATGCAGGTGATCCAGCAGCCCGAGCGCGCCCGTGCCTGTGGCAGCGGTGCCAAGTCGAGCGCTGACCGTCGCCCTGTGGATCCTCCACCCATTGTCGAGCTGCGCATCTTCGAGAACGACCAGGATGTCACCTTCGCCTACAACGCCAACTTCTTCCTGCACGCCAGTCTCGAGAATGCCCGTCCCCTCGCTGCAGGTCGTACTGCACCTTCCATCTCTGGCACACCAGTCCTCACTGGCACTCCAGTTGCTGGCATGGCCTACCTCGACCGCCCAACGCCTGCCGGCTACTTCATCTTTCCCGATCTCTCTGTCCGCCACGAGGGCAAGTACCGTCTCAGCTTTGCCCTGCTCGAGAACCTGAGCGAGGTCAAGGATCTTGACCCAGATGACCCGAACGTGATCCACGACGGTAACCGCTTCGTCACCAACCGCTGCGAGGTCAAGTCGGCGCCCTTCACCGTCTTCTCCGCAAAGAAGTTCCCTGGATTGTCAGAGAGCACTGCGCTCAGCCGCATGGTCGCCGAGCAGGGTTGCCGTGTCCGCATAAGACGCGATGTTAGGATGAGGCGTCGTGAGAACAAGAGCTCGAAGGAGTGGGACGGCTACGACGAGGAAAATGAGTATGGACAACAAGCACGACGCACGCCAACTCCTGAAACCTATGGTGGACAACCTGGCATGCCAGCACCTGGCGCCCCTATGGATGAACGTCCTCGTTCTGTGTCGAACGCCAGCAACTCATCGCTGGCTCCTCCGCGTCGTCCAAGCATGGATGAGATGGCACAGGCCTACCAGCAGCCGAACACCAACTACCAGCAGATGCCTCCACCGCAGAACGCCGGTTACTCTCACATGCCAAGCCAGCCTCAATATCAGCCGCAGTACCAGCAGCAACAGCAGTACGCTCCTCCGCCCGCGAGCCACATGATGCAGCCACCTCAACCCTCATACTCGCAACCGCACCAGCAACAACCCCAGCACCAGCCTCAGCCTGCGTACAACGGCTACCAGACTCACACTACGATGCCAATGAACCAGTCTTACGGATACCCAAATCATCAACAGCCACAGCAGTCTCACTACGAACCCCGCCAGGAACAACCAGCCGCCCATCATCAGCCAATCGACTACCGCAGACCATCCATCCCTCAGCCAACTCAACAATACGCGCCTTCGAGCCAACCGCAATTGATGTCGCCTTACAGTCCGGTAGACCCGTATCAGCAACGATCGCAGTCTATGAGTCATCCTATGCAACCGATGCAAACACCTGCCCGTCCTGCCTCGATCTCTGGCCCAAGCAGTATGCACCCACACAACAGCCACGCTCTACCCACACTGAAGACCTTGCAACCGCCAATTGGCACAGACAAGCTGACGCCTGTCTCGCCTTCGTACAACTCGCCAATGAACACGATGTCTTCAGGTACCGTGTCTGCCAACTCCGACACCTCCAACTCGAATTACGCTCTGCACAACTACCCTGCCTCGAACCTCCCACCAATGTCAAGTACTGCCGGCCAGAAACGATCCTTCTCCAACACATTCGACCAGGGTCACGTCACCGGGCGCTTGACGCAGGGTGCACGACCTGTGCTGACCAATGGACCGAGCTGCCATGAGCTACCGGCGAGCAGACGGCACACAACGTCAGCGTCACGTTCCAGAGGTGAATGTCTAGACCTGTCAAACCATTGCAATGGCCTAACGTGCCTTTCTTCGATCTATTGCTATGCGACTGTACCTTGGAGTATTGGTGTCTGGCGCTACTCGACTTTTGTTTCCTTCGTTATTGATATACCCGAGAACAACATCTGTGCAATCTCGCGACATCTCCTTTTCTGTATCTTGTTGTTACTGTTTCTTGGATGATTGCTGAGCTCATGTCATTGCGGGCGGTCCATACCTGCATCATGCTGTCTCGCGTACACATTCCTTGCAAAGGCACACTCGCCGCAGTTTTTCTAATGCATTGCGTTTCCTTGTTTTTATCGTTGTTGGTTATGGAATTTCGAGCTCAGCATACGAGCCCCAGCCTTTCGGCGCTGCACTATCTTGTCATGCAATTCTTATCATTCATCTTCACTATGTGTCGGTGGTCTTTTGCTAAGACCGAGGGCGGCTGTCTGCACCACTTGCTGGATCAAATTGAGAAACCGTAGATGGCCTGGTCTAAGTGACATCAGTATGTGCCATCTGGCCGATCATGCACCTTGGATTCTAGTACACGTAGTCGCATCACCAGTAAATGCGCTGAAGCAATGGAGCAACTTGTTCAACGTCTGAATCCTTCTACATGTGCTCGTGTGCACTCCTCCTTCACAATATGCTGTGAGCTAAGGTCAGCGAGAGAAACGTATCTCTCGTCACGTCAACAAAGCTCCGCAAGCAGTACATTCGCATACCAATCACCAGAGTCGCGTGTTGGCAATATTCGGGCTGGCGCCGGCGTGGACCCTGGTTATCATCCTAGCCTAGCCCGTTTGTTTTTATAGGCGCAGGGTAAGCTACCCCTCCAAATATCACGCAATTCGGTACAACGAGCTTCCACTCTCTAATCCTGCCTCCAAACGGCAAGCCTGACAGACGTCTTCTGCTGAACTTGCAGCAATCGGGTTAGCAGTATCGACTTGCGGAATGAGGCACCATGATAGGCTCTTGGGCGAGGTGGAGCTGTATCAGTACGGTGGACACTACGAAGTCTGGCAGGACCTTGTTCAGAGCAAGCGAGCCCTGGAACCCGTGGGACTATTTATATGACGTGACTGAGAGCTGCTTTTGTGCGATTGCTTCCAGGACCCCTCTTCCAACAACGCAGGACCCTCTTCACTGCAGCTTCCTTACCAGACACGAGACCAGTTGCGAAACCCACAACCCTTTTACACGATCTTTTAACTGTAGAGATCATCATAGAACTCAATCTCCTGTAACTAAACTCTTGCATTACCACATAGTCTCAGACTCACATAGGACGTTAAACCAATCGATCAATCAATCAATCAATCAATCAATCAAACTGTAGGGATCATCCATCATGGCTGAGGAGCTGTCCCAGAACTTTGAGACGCTGCAATTGCACGCTGGTAAGCTTCCTCACCTCCCCATTTGCCCCACTACTAACAGCAACTTCCAGGTTATACTCCAGATTCAGCGACAAATTCACGCGCTGTGCCAATCTACGCTACCACGGTATGCCATTCGTTGTTCAGGATAGCTAACATAAAACGAAAGTTGACATCGACAGTCCTACACCTTCAATGACTCCGCTCACGGCGCGAGGCTGTTCAGCCTTAAGGAGTTTGGTAACATCTACAGCCGTATCGGCAACCCGACTGTTGGTAAGCATATTGTGCTTTCAGGAAAGGAACCATAAGTAACTTATATATAGGTGTCTTCGAGGCCCGTATCGCAGCGCTCGAAGGCGGTGTCGCAGCTCTAGCAGCTTCATCCGGCCAAGCCGCCCAGTTTATTGCTATCAACGCCCTCGCACATGCCGGAGACAACATCATCGCAACCACAAACCTCTACGGAGGCACATACAACCAGCTGAAGGTCTTCTTCCCAAGGCTAGGCATCGAGACCAAGTTCGTCAATGGTGACAAGCCAGAAGACTTCAAAGCTGCGATCGACGATAAGACCAAGGCTATCTACCTCGAATCCATCGGTAACCCAAAGTACAACGTACCAGATTTCGAGAAGATCGCTGCAATCGCACATGAAGCTGGTGTCCCGGTCATCGTAGATAACACATTCGGGGCTGGAGGATACTTCGTCCGACCCATCGATCACGGCGCAGACATTGTCGTCCATTCAGCTACAAAGTGGATCGGAGGCCACGGCACAACGATCGGCGGGGTCATTGTCGATAGCGGCAAGTTCGACTGGGGCAAACACGCAAAGCGTTTTCCTCAATTCAACAACCCTTCGGAGGGCTACCACGGCCTTAAGTTCGTGGACACCTTTGGCCCAATCGCATTCATCATCCGCGCCCGAGTCGAGATCCTTCGCGACTTGGGTGCAGCGCTCAATCCCTTCGCTGCCCAGCAACTACTCCTTGGTATCGAGACACTCAGCCTACGAGCCGAGCGTCACGCGTACAACGCGCTCAAGCTCGCGAAGTGGCTGGAGAGCAACGAGAACGTGAGCTGGGTATCTTACCCCGGTCTCGAGAGCCACCAATCGCACGAGCTCGCGAAGAAGTACCTCAAGCGCGGATTCGGAGGCGTGCTCTCATTCGGTGTGAAGGGCGGTGGTGCCGCAGGAAGTCAGGTTGTCGACAACTTCAAATTGATTTCTAACTTGGCGAATGTTGGTGATTCGAAGACGCTTGCTATCCATCCTTGGACTACAACACATGAGCAGTTGAGTGATGAGGAGAAGGAGGCTTCTGGTGTCACCGAGGTGAGCTAAGTGCATGCATCTATCTGCAAACAAGGGCTGACTGATGGTTATAGGACCTCATCCGTATCTCCGTCGGAACTGAGCACATCGACGACATCATTGCAGACTTTGAGCAGTCGTTTAAGAAGTCAGCCACTAAACCTGATGAGAAGGGCGAGCCTGCCAATGCTGGAAAGACCGGTGATACTGAGGTGTCTGCTTCCATTCATGGATCCATCTAAGCGTATCCTCCTCTCTCTTACTCAGTGCACATATGTAGATACCATGTTGAAACGAAGCTCGATATTTAACACTACTCTCCACTATCGTCTTGATGCATAGATAAACCATAATTATACTGACATCGATCCTCGAAGGCAGCACTCGTAGTCAAAGCTGTCATGTGAAGCACTGGTGATCCCGGGTGTGATTGCCACGAACCTACTGCTCAATACATAAACATTGGAATTGATATCTTCCATCGACATGACAATGAAAGCAGGTCCAGGAGGCAGCTAATGCTATCACACTAATCATCTGCAACCCTGACGGGCGCGGGCGGCTAGACGCAATGTCGTATAATGTCAATCCAAGCGAGCCGGGACGCCCGGTGTAACGGGACCGGTTTTCTTCTGGAAGCTCGGGTTGTCTCAGAGCGCTTGTATACAGACATACGCAGTGCGTATCTATTCTGGAGCTTGTGCTCTTCCAGCACGTCGGCGTCCGACGCCGAAAAGCGTGTCGTTGACCACGCTATCGCACGTTCTATCAGTGCCGTCTTTTAACTTGCCTCTAGTACCCCCCTGCTCGTTCGCGATAGCATGCATCTATGGAATGCTCGATGGGCTAGAAAGGGAGCTAAGATAACAAAGCTCAAGACTGCAGACTCAAAAGGTCAACTTAAAGCCGCGAGTGTGCGCCCCGGGAGTTTCTCCGCGCTGGCGGCAAGATCGTCAAAACGGGTCTGACCGGCCGTGCGTCTCGACCTTGGGCATCTCTTCCATCTCTTATTCCCGACCGTGTAGGCAAGTCGTGCTCAGCTCCTATTGCTAAGTGCCACGCCGTAGACCTGCTTCGTGCATTGGTCTTCTTCCACTCCGCGTAAGTTCAACCATAGTGGGTGCGCTAAAGCTCTTTGTAGGATCCACTGAAACAACCATACCACGTTCGTATTTACTAACTTTATCTACTGCATTCAGAACCTGGACTAAGTAGTGGTATCATGCTCTTGACTAGACAACACAACTTGTGGCAATTTAGCGTCGTTATTGCTCTTCGCGTGCGTCACCTCGCCAGCCATTTAGTGCCTTAAGCGACAATTGTGCATCAGGATGCTGCTCACCGAGGACTTTCCGGCGCAACTGGAAGCAAATCTCAATCAAGGCAATAGCCTCAATATGACGAGACTTTGACCAAAGTGTATAGGCAAGATTGTGCATGCTGGTCAGCGTAGAAGGATGCTCGTCGCCAAGCACTCTCTTCCTCGTCTGCATCACTTCCACCTCCAGCTTTTCGGCCTCGTCCCATCGCCCTTGGTTCCTGTACGTCGACGCCAGGTTGGCAGTGCTAGTCAGCGTAGAAGGATGCTCGTTGCCAAGCACCCTCGTCCTCGTCTGCATCACTTCCACATTCAGCTTTTCGGCCTCGTCCCATCGCCCTTGTCTCCAGTACGTCGACGCTAGGTTAGCAATGCTGGTCAGCGTGTGAGGATGCTCGTCGCCAAGCACCCTCTTGCTCGTCTTCATCACTTCCACATTCAGCTTTTCGGCCTCGTCCCATCGCCCTTGTCTCCAGTACGTCGACGCTAGGTTAGCAATGCTGGTCAGCGTGTCAGGATGCTCGTCGCCAAGCACTCTCTTGCTCGTCTTCATCACTTCCACATTCAGCTTTTCGGCCTCGACCCATCGCCCTTGGTTCCTGTACGTGGACGCCAGGTTGGCAATGCTGAGGAGCGTGTGAGGATGCTCGTCGCCAAGCACTCTCTTCCTCGTCTGCATCACTTCCACCTCCAGCTTTTCGGCTTCGCCCCATCGCCCTTGGTTCCTGTACGTCGACGCTAGGTTGGCAATGCTGGTCAGCGTGTGAGGATGCTCGTCGCCAAGCACTCTCTTCCTCGTCTGCATCACTTCCACCTCCAGCTTTTCGGCCTCGACCCATCGCCCTTGGTCCCTGTACGTCGACGCCAGGTTGGCAGTGCTAGTCAGCGTGTGAGGATGCTCGTCGCCAAGCACCCTCTTGCTCGTCTTCATCACTTCCACCTCCAGCTTTTCGGCCTTGCCCCATCGCCCTTGGTTCCTGTACGTGGACGCCAGGTTGGCAATGCTGAGAAGCGTGTCAGGATGCTCATCGCCAAGCACTCTCTTCGTCGTCTCCATATCTTGCACCTGCAGCTTTTCGGCCTCGACCCATCGCCCTTGGTTCCTGTACGTCGACGCCAGGTTGGCAATGCTGGTCAGCGTGTCAGGATGCTCGTCGCCAAGCACTCTCTTCCTCGTCTGCATCACTTCCACATTCAGCTTTTCGGCCTCGCCCCATCGCCCTTGATTCCAGTACGTCGACGCTAGGTTGGCAATGCTGATCAGCGTAGAAGGATGCTCGTCGCCAAGCACTCTCTTCTTCGTCTTCATCGCTTCCACCTCCAGCTTTTCGGCCTCGCCCCATCGCCCTTGGTTCCTGTACGTCGACGCTAGGTTGGCAGTGCTAGTCAGCGTGTGAGGATGCTCGTCGCCAAGCACCCTCTTGCTCGTCTTCATCACTTCCACCTCCAGCTTTTCGGCCTTGCTCCATCGCCCTTGTTTCATGTATGTCGACGCTAGGTTAGCAATGCTGGTCAGCGTGTCAGGATGCTCGTCGCCAAGCACTCTCTTACTTGTCTGCATCACTTCCACCTGCAGCTTTTCGGCTCGGTTGTATTGACCATCACTGTAAAGAGCCATGGCACACTTCCGTGCAAGATCCAATCTCTCCTTGTCGTCGTCCCTCTGGGTATGCGACAGAACATACCGTGCATGCGGAAGCAGTCGCCTCCATTTACTTCTGTTACTGTGATCGTCGTTCGGGAACACCCGGAGTAGCTGTGAGACTGTGCGTTGAATCCACTCTTGGAGTCTCCCCTCCGCCTCCATACTCTTTCGTAGTGCATAGTGGACGAGTCGATGAACATCGAGTGCTGACACAGCAGGTCGCCTGGTGATGAGCGCATACCTATCGAGTACCTTGATGGCATCTTCACGGGCCTGCCGCGAAGCTGCCTCTAGAAGATCGAGCGAGATGTCATTTCGATCGACGCATGCAGCAAGAAAGAGATAGTCTGCAGCGATTGCGTTGCTCTGGCGGATCTGGCTGATTGAGAGAGACAGTGTCGCAGCTACAGTCTTTCTCAGACCAGATTCTCGCACCTCGGCTTCACACGAGTCATCGCTGTACTCGGGAACTGCTGCTTTGTGCTCAGCTAGCTCAGCTTGGTACTGCTGCACTGTCATACCACTAGTGTTCATGCACGCTGCTGCTTGCACGACTGCTAGAGGCAAATACGATAGCTCTTCCAATAAGTGCATGGCTTCCTGCTGCTCAGCGTCCGAAAGCGGCGTTGTCAAGCGGTTTTGCAGCATCCTCAGCGCCGTGTCTGGCGTCAGCTCATGCAGCGCTGTGACGTTCCGCGGAGCAAGCGCCTCAGCTGTGTTGCTCTCTGTTGTTGTGAAGATGACAGAACACAGCTTGGAGTGCGGCAGAAAGTCGGCCAGGGGTGCAGCTTCGCTTGAAGACGACAAGCCACTGGGCCGTACAGTTGTGCCCTCGGCGTTGTCGAGGATCAGCAAACACTGTCGCGCACTTATTGCTGCCACACAGCGTTTTACGACCTGCTTTATATCTGCCTGCTCATCCTCACAACCAGGAATATTGCTCTTCTGCGCAACGCTTGCATATGACTGGTAGAGGCTGTCTGTGTCGGTCGCGTCCATCCAGAATACCGAGCAGTCCTTGTTGTTTAGCCTTGCTCTGTGTGCTACCTCAAGTGCAAGCTGCGACTTGCCTGTTCCGCCTGGCCCGACTATCGCTAGCCTAGTAGTGGTCTGCTCGTTGCTGAAGAGCTTTGCTTCAAGTTCGGCGAGCTGCAATTCGCGACCCACAAAAGACTCGTTTCGAGAGAATGGAATGATTGATGGTGCGCTGCCGTTTGCAGATATTTCAGCCTGCAGTCTCCTTCGCGCACTCTCCTGTCCTTCGCCATATGTGATTGGCATAGAGATGCCAAGAAGTCCAAGCAGGCAGTACACGATGTCTTCTTCTTCCGTCGTTGTGCGATTCTCAGCCCATCGCATTCGTTCGGATGTGCTGAACTGGTCTAAAGGACTGCCGCGTAGCGCCTCAAGCCGGATGCCGGTGGTACTGTGTATGAGTTGTTCGAGTGACGCTTTGTCGCCTATGCGCTGTCCTTCACGTGAGAAAAACTCGACCGATACTGGCGCGATCAGCTCTTGCAGCGTCCATCCTCGATTGAACCATGCGCTTGCACAGAACGCGGCCTCCCAGTCGCTGCACGGGGCTGTGGCCGTCTCCGTCACAGCTGTCAGCGACACGTCTGACAAAAAGACGTAGCATCGGGCCGCGTTTCGGTACCACTGGAACATCGAGTTGATCGCCCTCGAGCGCTCGTTGTTGTCCCATCTGTCGATGCAGCACGTGTCGATCCAGGAGTACTGCAGCCCGTCCTTAGCCGCCTGCCCGGCGCAGAATCTGAGTTTCCGGTAGCCATCTTCTTTTTTCTTGTAGATTCCGTTCGACACGTCTTCGATGAGGACCTCGGAGTCGCTCCATCGGTGCGACAGGATAGCGTAGGGCGGGATCGACTTGCTGCGGAAGTCTGTCAAGATCGGTCTTTCCAGCTCGTCAAAGTGGAGAAGCCGCATGGCGGTTGCAGCTTGAGGTCTGGCCTGCGGAAGCAGAGACGCAAACGACGGTGAAAGTAGGATGGCATAGATGCGACAAGACAGAGAAGGCAGCCTGGTGAGGCAGTGCATGCAATCGGGCTGCAGGTGCTGGCTGCATCAAGCGCCCATGCCTCACCATCTGCGCTGAGACAGTGTGTACCTTGTGCGAGTCATGCCAGAAGAGTGCACAGTTAGGCGAGGTGCCAGCGGGTAAAGCAGCTCTACGAAGGTGGTTATTGTGGCCTCTCGCGTGGCTCTATGCGACAAAGGCGAGCACGACTGTGGGAGCAGGAAACAGCTGCTTGCACGATCGGGAATAAGAGCTGTCTGAGGCCAGGTAATTAGCGGGATCCGTAGGCCTCAGCCACAGCGCGTGGTGCAGCTCACAGACATCTCAGCACGCTACTGCTGCCAAGTGTCGCTTAAGACGCACGGCCAGTCAGAAGCGTTTTGACGATCTTGCCGTTTGTGCGGAGAAACTGTCGAGATGCACACTCCTCACCTTAAGTTGACCTTCTGAGGCTGCAGTCTTGAACTTTGCTATCTAAGCTTCTCCCCTGGCCTACCGAGCTCTTGCTAAACACGACTTGTTACAAAATGACAAGGGGTCATCATACGAGACTCAGTGGACGGCAGTAACGAACCCAGCGACAGCACAGACAACAACGCAGTTCTCGGCGCCGGAGTTTAATGTTGAGGAGGAACGAGTGTTAGATAGTGGATGCACGCTAGAATTGTCGGTTCAAAGGCGCGATGTGGGCATTGCGAGACCCCGAAAGAAAAACCGTCCCGGCACGCCTGGATTGACATTAGATGTTACAAGCATCTACAAACGCGCTAGAAGCCTCGATCAAAGTTGGCCGAGGAATTGTCGTGAGACTTTTATCTCGGACTTCTGCTGCAGTGCGAGAGACGCGCACAAGCTTCTCTCTTCATAACTCAACTCATACCTTCGAAGTCGAGTCCAAAAGAAGTGAAAGATAAACATGCTGTTGGTGTTTGACAAGGTGCATGAGCATTTGAACCTGGGTGTACCTGTACCACCGAAATTGGACCGCTGAGTGAACCTGAGGCTGGATTTCGCCTGGGTTCTCCGCACCAACAAGGAGATGGCAGGCCAACTTCCTTGATTTGACTGTCCCTTCACCGTCCGTCAGGTACCCGGATCTGTGCGGATCCTTCGATGGGATGAACCAACCTGTAGATACAGAAATACGCTACCTACATCATCGCAGTTAGTACACATTAGCCGTTTTAGCGTAGCGTGGCCGTGGAGATGATTGAAATTGAATTTATCCTCCATACGAGAACGAGTGCGAGGTCGAGAGTGTAAGCGAATATCCTCATGGATATCATAAATTCAGGCTTCTCCGTTCGCCGGTACCTTGTAGTTCTATTATACATTACCGCGCGCTAGAAACACCGCCGCTGTCACTTCTTGCTGGCTGTCGCTGTCCCTCGGTCCTCTACTGTTCTCGACATGCTGTTCGAAATGTTTCGTGACGTAGATATTCCGCCCATGCTGCTCGCTCTCCGAAGGTCTCGATGCGAACGATTGCGCATGACTTGCGCTCGAGTCACTCGTCAACTTCTCCTTGTCATCGCCAGATCTCCATATTCCCTTGCTACCAAGCTTACGCAGTCTGTGGGTATTGCCGCTCGCTGCTGTCGAGCCTCGTCCTTTGCTGCTGTGACGAGCACCGAAGACAGGAACGATCCTGATGATCAAGGGCTTGAGCGCCGGCAGTGATGCGCATACGATCGCGAGGTTGGCTTCGATAGCACTCCAGTATGCTGTTGGAGCGCTGTGGTACGTTGCGTCGTCTTGGTGTTTATCAAACACATTGAGTGCGTAGAGTCGCAGTATCGAAACGATGCAGACGAACCATCCTATGGTAAGGATACCGAGTAGAGCAGTCTTTTGGCGTTTCGGGATCTGCAAACTCCAGATGCCCCGAACGGGGATGGCTGCGACTAGAATATCTGTTACGATGTTCACAGATGCATTGGTGTACCATAACCTATCGCTCTGTCAGCAGTGTAATTATAGGGATGACAAGTCGTTGGAGGCGGTCAGTCACTCAGTCCACCCTTCTTCTCCGTGCTGATGAGAAAAGAACTTACGCCATACGATTGACACACGTAGCACTTGCTTGCTCTGTCACCTTCCAAGACGCATCCACTGGAACGCAGGAAAATATCGATGTAAACAACGTCGTTATCCCCCATGCACTGACGATGGCTAAAGCCACATAGACAGGAATGCGCATCTCGCGCAGCGTGAATATGCGGTGGTACTGCAGCAGAATCGAGATTTTGGTGATCGTGAGGCTGATGTTGTAGGTGACGATGCTGAAGTAGAGATACTTGCAGTTGTCAGTAGAAGCCCGCGGTGCGTTTACAGCAACAGACCTTCAAGGCTTCCGATACATCCTCAGGGTACGATACAAATATTGCATGCTTTCCATTGCCAGCTTGAACTTCTACAAGACGTTAACGGTTAGCCGACAGGCGGAGCCATCACAGTCTCCTTGACTTACGAAGTATTTGACAAACCGCCGTACCTATAGATGCTATCTGCAATGATGCATAAATACTTGCTACTGCATTGCTAAGTTGACCAACATACAATAGACACCACTATCGTCCAGTCTTCCCACCCAGTCTCGTGGTACCTGATCCGTGTAAATAGCCGAAGGCAGACCGAGACGAATGATATGACTGTAAATGCAATGACAATGTGCTTGCACAGAGGGCCTCGATCGTCTGCTCTCAGGGCGGCCAGCTCCTCAGGTGTGAGTTCGTCCATAGCTAATCAGGTTGCGAGGGCCGGACTCCGTCTATTGATCGTGAAGATAGGTCGAAGTCATAGAGGCACCGCGGAGTGTTGATTTGGTAGGTGATTCTTCAACCCTTGAGGATAGGTCTTAGGGCTGAGTGCGGAAAAGGTCTTGAGGGCAGGAGCCGCACGAACAATGTACGCTGAACCTCCCCTGTAGATCAGTCGAGCGCTTCAAACATCCGAGTGGTGTAAGGACACGCTTGCGAGTATTCGGGGAGAGTGAGCGCCTAACGGAAGGCACAGCATAGACATGCGCCGCAAACGGAAAAGTTACCCAATGAGCGTTGATATGTGCCGACCCCAGTCTTCGAGCTGACACGACCGAGTTGTGACTGACAGAGATACGGGGAAGAGGGAGCGCGGCCTCAAGGGAATGACTTCTGACTGCTGCGCGACTCACGAGGGAGAGCCAGTATCATCTAGGGGACTCCATTGCGTGGCGGCGCCAAATAGTTGTATTCGATCATCGCAGAAATCGGAACCTGACCCCTTGTACTGGGTCAGTATTCACAATGTGTCGTAAGCTAGGTCCTTGCAGGACATAAGCTTGATGCAAGGTACACCATTGTCCAGACCCAGCAGGATCAGTGGTACAAGCTGAGCCGGCCCCACTGATCTGAGGCCTGCGTCTGCTTGCACTGTTGCTCGCCATGTCGTTGAGCGAAGTCATTCTTTCCTTCGAGGTATTTCGTTAGGTTAGCTCTACAAGCGCGTTATTGCTTCTGATGGTGGGCGCGAAACCTTATTCTGTTGTCTGTCCGGATTCATGGGAGTGATCGACTAGCGTCTTACCTTGACAGCACTGTGGCTTCATCCATCGGCTGTTCTGCTGCATTGCGAATCCATCTCGTCTTGCATGGTACACGTCCCATCGGTAGAAGACAGTCTTCTTTGTTATTGTCTGCGCTGATGAGGGGCTGCAGATCAGAAGCACCGGCGAAACTGAGAGCTGGCGTACCTGCCACGTCATGGTATCTAGGTCGCCGCATGTTGTTGAGTGCACAGCTGCCAGCGCGGCTGCACTCGTGTTGCTCCGCGTGTATGCAGTAAGCAGGGAGGAAGTCGTCGTATCTGACTCGGCTGGAGATGCACCACGACTTGCAGGCGGAGTTTCCGCCCGGGTTGTGGAGAGCGACCCACGGAACCGAGCGCACGGGCGGCCCGAATTAGCAAGCCACTGAATCCTGACATGCAAGCCTACCACACCCTCTCATCTCTCTTCACAAAACTCTATTATGTTGGCTGCCGTTACTGCATTCAGCCGTGTCCGTAAAGTTCCCGTGGTTACCATCGGACGAGTGGTGCTCGTCACCGAATAGCATACCTTTCTGTTCACCGAAAGTCGTTTCGGTTGGTTGACGGCGTTCCAAACGACTGCACTGCAGAAGCATGACTCGCCGACACTGGGGAAGGGCACTTCAGGGACGACCACTGAGTCTGTTCTAGTAGTGAGGTTATTATTGGCCCTGTTGTACGAAAAGCACCCACAATGGTGACTATCCAAACTACCGGACAACGTTCATGCAGACTGGACGGGTGCTCACGACTATCGAGTGACTTCCAAGCAATTACCTACGAAGGGATGTAAGGCACCCAAGGAAGCTCTCGGTGAGAGTTAAAAAAAGGGTGTTCTGATCTGTCTCATGAGCGGGCGACCTTCAAGAGAAGCCAGGAGAGGCACATAGCCCTGAGATGAGCAGGTGTGCGTGCGCGCACACTATAGGAAGAGCAACTATCAAGCATCCGAGCAAGAGCCTTGGGCCTTCCAAGTCGTGGCTTCCTCCAATTCAGGAGCCACACAATCATCTCTTTCTCTCTCAACCCTATCCTCCTTGCTCACGATACTTCGCTCAGGGCACATCAATCTCATCTAATGCAGTAGAGCTCACCATAATACCCAGATATGACGGTCCGATCTCATTCTCGTCATCAAAGGCTCGACAAATGCCTTGCACAAAGGGCATGGCAGCACGAAGGGCATGGCGGCACGAAAGGCACTTCACGGTTTCTGGATTCTTTCAAGGTCAACGCACAGCTTAAGTCATCGTCCGTCATTACCATCGAGACACTGGCTTCTCAAACTCCATACGCTGACCATCATCTACTGCAAACGTGACTTCCATGGTGAAGAAAAACTTCTCCAACGGGCGGTCGTTGCCCCGGCGTCCATCGTAGCCCCGCTTCTGCGCCTTCACCTTCGCATCTCAATCTCGACTTTCGCGATTCCGCCCATAAATAATTGCCCTCCAGACGCTGAGCAACCAAGGCTCGAACGATGTCTACTTTGCCGGTACGAGCGAAGGAGGAGGAAGAGGTCCGTGCAGGTACGTCGAAAAGGCGCCTTGTATGGGGAACTGAACTAATGTGGTGTAGGAGCGACGAACGCTGAGAGAGGGCATTATGTGAAACTTCTCGAGCTCAACATCGGTGCAGCAGCCTTGTATGAAAGCGGTTGGCCGGTCTCAGGACAGCTTGTTTAAGCATAGCGACCTTTGGTTGAAACAAGCAGAGTGATGCGAGCAATTTCGAAACACCCACCCACAGGAGGCCATGAGACTGGAGGCCACAAATTCCATCAAGGAAAATACGCCGATACCATGTGCAAGACCAAGGTATACAAGATCAAGCATGAGTTGGATTGGCCTGGCTGGTCCGAGGAACGAATTGCACGCGCTGAAAAGAATTGGCATTACTGCTTGAAATGGCTTCGAGCTTTTCGCGAGCATTTTGCAGAGCCCGCCGAGGTTTTCAAGAAGCGCGAACAAGTGTATCGGCGTCAAGCGGTTTTACAGGCACTGTCCAAATCAAAGCAAGCATTGCTGCCCGCACAGAATGTCTCAACGTACCATAGCGCCGGCGCCAGCTTTGCAACCGTTGACAACAACTCGGAGACGGATGTCGACACAGCAGAATTCGTCCGCATACTTCGAGGGGAATACGAGCGACTGAAGAAGATCGAGCAGAGACAACAGTAAAGAGAAGGCAAAGGCGATGTCAAGGCGTAGCAACGATTAAGTGAAATGGGCAGGACCGTATCGTGCCTGCCCACGTACAGAAGTATGGAAAAGGGAACGGAAGTTGTTCGTAAATGATGATTGATTCTTCGACATGTAAAAAGTAGGGCCGTGAAAGACACATGCACAAGCCATGGAGAACAGAAATGTCTTAGCCCACCCAATAGATACGCCGACAATGCATGAAATCTCATCAAACATTCAGACGTGAAAAGGAGCATTAGGGACATTAGGAAGGATGCCTCGACCCGCCCCACAAGAAGCCGCTTGCCCACCATAGGAGCCCCAAGTCATAGTAATACACCCATCGAAACACACCACCAACCGACCCTATCTACTCCGGCAAGAACCACCCCTAGTTGAGCTGCGGATTCGTCGTCGCCCTCCTTAATTTGTACAGCGGCAGATAATCAAAGTCATCCTTCTCGGGCTTGTACCGCCACGCTTTAAATTCGACGCCGTATGGCTTGGGCTCCAGCTGGTACAACATGCCCAATGGACAATCCAGATCTGCGACGTCCTCCCTGTTCAGGCCCTGGAAGTATGCTAACAGTACCCTTGCCACGCTGCGATGTGTGATAAGCAGACAGTGGTCTGTCATACGCTCCAACTCCACGATGACAGGGCGAATGCGGTTGATCACGTCAAGGTAGCCTTCGCCGCCGGGTCCGGGGTAGCGGTAAGCCAGTTTGTCGCGGCGACGCCGGAGGTACTCGTCTGCGTGCTTGGTGCGGATCTCGTCGTATGTCAGGCCTTCCATGATCCCGGCGTTCAGCTCGTCGAGCATGCGCATCTGCTTGACTTCGAACTCCTCGTCGCAGAAGTACTGGCCGGACTGGACACTCCTCTTCAGCATGGACGTCCAGACGCAGAAATTGTTGTGCTCAAAGTCGCTGCTGAAGTAGGGGTTGGGCGGTGTATGGTCGCCCGGCACAGGGGGGAAGTGAGTGTTTGCCATTTTGTCTGCTTGGCGGATGGCCCATTCCGTGCGCTGCTTGTCGATGAAGCGGGTCATTGCTTTTGCGTATTTGCGGCCGGCTTCGGAGAGATCTGAGTCGCCGCCTATTTTGCCGGCGACGTTGTCGAGGGATTCGCCGTGGCGGGTGATCCAGATCATGCGGGGCGCGAGGTTGAAGTTGAGGAGGTAGTAGACTGCTTGGCCGGCGAGAAAGCCTTTGATCTGGTGCGAGATCATCTTGCGGCCTACATCGACCATCTTGACGTAGGGCATGTTGTTCTCCTCTTCGTAGTCGCCGATGGGGACGTAGTTCTTCTCGTAGATGGCGACACGCTTCTTGAAGTCTTCAAGGGCAGCGTATGGGTCTTTGTCCTGGTAGTCAGGCCCGGATAGCTTCAGGCGCATGTTCGACTCCAGGAGGCTCCTGTCCTGGCACACGCTCTCGACGAAGAGAACGTTCAGCTCGGGGCCAGCTCGCGCACGAATCCTCTCCATGATCTGCTTCCTGCGCCCAAGAGTGCTGTTTGTCGCGTCGAAAATGCCAACCGAGCCATTGCCGTTCAGAATGTAATCGAGAAGATCGTCCAAGGTCTCCATAGCGCACTGCTCTCGGATCTGCGCGGCTTTCTGATTGTTGGGGTCGAAGAAGTCTGCTGACTGATCCATGGTCTCGTCCTCGTTCTTCTGCTCATCTCCATTTGTCCCATTCTCGTCATTGTTTGGTGTTGGCGCTTTGGGACCAGGTGATGTGACTTCTACGCGAGGCACGTCTACCTCTTCAACAGCAGTGAAGTTCTCCGAGTCGCGAAGTGGGTCCTTCAGGTCCAGTGGGGCCACTCCCCTGTTATCCGCAGTTGCCGACTCGCCGTTGATGAGAATTTTAGCTGCAATCTGTGGGAGGGAGTCCTTGTGTTGCTCTAGCGCATTCCTGACCCCAGAAGGAACTCTGTCCAGGCTCTGTTGCGACAGGCGAAAGCCGTGCCCGCCTGCAGCCACACGGCGCTTCTCTCCCACGTTGAAAATTTTGGTATCGTGCTGCAGCCAGTTGAGGTATCTTGTCATCTTCTTGGTGATGTATGACTTGCCACGCGCAGGCAGGCCGACCATGACGATAACAAGCTTAGAGCCGACATCACGCGACGCAATCTTGCCGTCGGGCGAGACTTTAGACTTGGTGAGACCGGGGATGTCGAGGGTGGTTGGGCGGATGCGTGGTGTTGAGGCAGCGCTGCTGTTCCTCGTCAGAGCCCTGGGTCTGTTAGCACGCAGCGCTTCAGCAGATTGGACATCTGGGACAGACCCCTTGGGGCTTCCTGGCTGCGACGGCGCTGGGGTGTCGCTCAGCGCAACGCCGACGCCATCCTTCACGGTCGCATGGCTGTGGTGGTGGGCGCCGCCGACGGAGGCGGACGGCGGCTTGAGCTCTCCGCGCTGCGCGGCGAGGTCCTTGATAGCCTGCACGCTCTTCGGGGGTCCTGCAGAGGGGAAGGCGGGCGGTGCGGGCGTGGAGCGCGGAGCTTGCTCGCCGTTGCTGGTCGTGGGATTCGTGGGCTGCGCGTGGTGCTTGTCCGGGTTGAGGCTGCTCATGAGAACGTTTCGGGCGTAGATGGAGTGCTGGCTGGTGCGGCGAGTCGAGGTTGCTGGGTTGCTGGAGGCAGAGGAGCGTCGACGCTGAGAATGATGTAGCTCCGTTCCCGTTCCGGCGTTTCTCGGCGGTGTGATCGCGGCCATGCCTCACTAGGAAGTTCCACTAGCCACCCAGCAAACCGGGCGCGGACCACAAGTATGACGGGCGCAGAAGGTTTGCGGATGAGATCCTGTGTTAATAGAAAAGTGTGCGTGAAGTACCTGGAGAAAGTGCGCGGAGAGTTGTTCGGGAGAGCAGGCCGGCGACTCGTGCTTTTGTCGAAAGGGAACAGTGGCCGATGACTTGTTCCCGTTTTTCAAGGGTTCACGGCGAACTATCCACCAAAGTCGACCTTGAGAAACGGTCCGCCGCCAAAAAACTAGTCGATTGCGGACGCTGGACCTTCAGGAACGCGCGAAGGTGGGCAGGTCCTGCGGTCACGACACTGCATGATGCCTTATATCTTATCTGCGCTTGATAAAGAAGAGAGCAGGTGCCCTTCCAGTCTGCTGTTTGTTTGGAGAGTTACATCCCGCTTGGCTCGTCCTGCTGCTCGAAGCGGACTGCCCCACGTCCAACTCCGAGACCAATCGATTAGACACGCGCTCGAGACGACCAATCCTCCTTTCCGCGCTGCGATGGTGCTATCTAGGCGTTGTTCGACGACAAGGACGCAGAACAATCCCTATCTAGCGCCTCGTTTCGTTGCGACCGCTGCCTCGACATGGTCTGACTTGCAGCACCTTGCAACTGTGCAAAGCAGTCCGTGGAGAGTGTCAGTGATGCGTGCACATCCACAGCCTTGGCGTTTGATGTGTGTCGACGGGAAGGCGAGCCGTCCCCGGGGTGTCATTTCGTCTGGGTGATGAGGCTCCAGCACGAGACCTCCTAAGGATGATGCATGGCTGCTGATCAAGTTTCGAGCCGCAGCGTGAGCACCAGCAAGCAGATGTACGCCGAGATACTCAGCGCAGTCAGCACGCTCACCACATTGCCGCTCGTTCTGAATTTCTTTCTATGGAGACCATCCTCACCTACTTCAGAGAAGAACTGCTTGTTGCCTGTCGCCTGTCAGTTGGCCCATCCTGACTGCTGTTTCGTCCTCCACGCACCTTGCTGTCGCCTGAACAAGCTGATGAACAGAATGCCTGCTCCATACACTGCAAACAGCGCGCCAATGGAGTAGAACTCGGCTGTAAAGATCTTGAGCACGATGAGTGCAAACGAAAACTGTCCGATGGCGGTCCGAATGTAGGCTCCTTCGAATGTTCGCTGCGCTGCGCGGATCTCTACCATCTCAGCAGGTGTGAGGATGACTGAGCGTGCGCGGTGAAGACGCAGGTGATAGCGGTCAGCGGCATGACGGCCTTCGAACATAGTGATGGTGATGGACGTTGTTTGTAGATTTCAGGTGGTGATGTGTGTGAGTGTGAACTGCTATGAGTTTTATCACAGCTTGTTCAAGAGGTCACGCTGGCATGTGATGTGCATAAGAGGTCGAGTCCATGTGATCCTTGAGCGGTTTCGGTGGCTTTCAGTGCCGAGGTCTGATCGCGACATCTCGCCCCGCGTATCAGGGCATTGCAATGATCCTTCTGGATCATCACATACGCGGTTGTATCTACTGACATGTACAATGACTGATTCTGCTCATGGTTGCTTGAGTATCAGAAGAGCTGCATCCATAATCGCCATGAAGGGTGGACAAGATCTCGAGTTGCCAGGGGTCCCTGCCCAAGCTCCCAAGCTCCGGATGCACCTGCCCCCCCCCTCCCCTCCCCTCCCCTCCCCATACCTTCACCAGCGTGAGGAGTCGACAGTAAGCGGCCTGGTCAGACGATCAACAACGCAGAGCCAGCGCCTATCCTTCCACCTGCTTTGCGCAGCACATGAAACGGCTTGTTCAGCTGTTTGCTTGCCAGCGCTCGGCCACACTTTTGCGGACCTCCGGTTTGTATGAAGCTCTCCCAGGGTCTTCACCAACAAAGCTGACCGTGGCAGACAATCACGATTGAGCGATAGCCGCGCCATCAAAAACGTATTCCGTACCATTAGCGCGCCGGGAACCTCCCTACCACGCCATTGCCGCCAGTTCTTCATGCACGAGAAGCCCGTCTTTGAAGCCTCTTTCGCCGATTTCCTTAGCAACGAAGAAGACGACGAAATGGGCGACGCAAAGTCTGTAACGTCAAACACATCGAGCGGGAAGCGGAAGAGAAACGCAGGACTTGCCTTCTATGCCGTCAGGGTCGGTCGTACGCCGGGCGTATACTACAGCTGGCCTGACTGTGAGGCGCAAATCAGGGGTGTGAAGGCTGAATGTAGGCTGCTCGATTCATCCTAACAAGCAAGTGACTGATTGAAGATAGACAGAAAATTTGACTCTCTCACCGACGCGGAAGCTTTCCTGAAAGGCATGCACAAGTCGACACCTAAGCCTGGGAAGATGAAGTACTACGGTGTGGCTATTGGACATGTTCCTGGCGTGTACACAGACTGGCCGTCGACACAAGCACAAATCAAGGGCTGTAGTGGTGGGCTTCAGCAGAGCTTTGCGACTCGCGAGGAAGCTCAGGCCTTCGTCAACGAGCATAAGCGGGATCACAGCGTACCCATAAGTTTGCGCGGCGACCAGTCTGAGGCATCGTCTGCAGTCGGTCAAGGTTGCAAAGCCAGCGAACCTGTTTCAAAGAAGCAAAAGAAGAATAGCGGCCTTGCGAATGCGGTCGTCCCCAACGGCGGTGTCAATTATGAGCCTGGAATGGGTCCATTGCCAGAAGGAGCTGAGGATGGTTTTGATCGCACACTGAAGATGGATCTCGAGAGCGGTGCCATCAGGCACAAAACCGAGGCTGAGCTGAGCGCTACGAAAAAGCAACCGACTGGCGACTTCAGCGGTCAGATCGTTGTCTACACCGATGGAAGCTCACTTGGCAATGGCCAGACTGGAGCGGTCGCTGGCGTTGGCGTCTACTTTGGCGCCAACGACAAGAGGTAGAAGATAGCACATTGCTCAAACACGACGTAAGCTGACCAGACGAGCAGGAATGTGTCCGAGCCACTACGAGGATCCAAACAAACAAACCAGCGTGCCGAACTGACAGCTATCGCTCGAGCGCTTGACCACGTTCCCATCGATCGAGATGTGCTAATCTGTACGGACTCCTACTATGCAATTCGATGCATAACCGAATGGTCACCGAAGTGGATGAGGAACGGCTGGAAAAACTCGACTGGCAAAGACGTCGAAAACAGAGACCTTGTGGAACCGATTGTGTCACGAGTATGCGAGAGGGAGGCATGCAAGGCGAAGACAAAGTTTCAGTGGATCAAAGGGCATGCCAATGATCCGGGCAACGTCGCAGCCGATCAGCTGGCTGTTCAAGGCTCAAGACAAAGCACACCGCAGCTAAGAGGCGAGATCGAGTTCTCAACCACGCTGATGAGCCCAATCAAGACAAGAGAAGAGTGGGAACAGGTCAAGAAGCAGGAACGAGAGGAGGAGGAGGAGGCAGATGAGATTTTCGACAATGTGTCCGCCGAGCAGTCGATGAACCAGACCTCGCCACACTTCACTGCTGTCAATGCGCTGGCTCAGAGTACGGCCAAGGAGGCTGCAGCACCACAATAATCAGATGGTATTGTTGTGGCTTTAACCGAGCAGCAACAAACGGTGCATGATAGACGAACAATGCTAAAGAACTATGTGGACTAATCATCCGCAACGCACAAATCGACATCGTTCTATCTACAACAGACAAACAGCATTATCATCAAATTGCCGAACATGTGGGGTACGGCGGCATTGCAACATCGAATCCTTGCATGTCGTTACCCCAGATTTTTGTGCGTCATTGCCGTACAAGGTTGGGCCGATGTATCGTGACCACCCAAAACGGTAATTTGTCCTGCATTAGATTGCATGTCAGTCGGACCGGCCACCTGATGCCGACTAAGTGCACCGCGTAATTGACTACCAGCTACTAGGTCCACGCTGCGGTGAGCAAAAGGCTGCCAGAGAGGGTGATTTGACCGACGAGACGGAAAGCTTGGTGGAGAAGTGCGAGTGTGTACCTGCAGAAGTGACGGCAGGCAGTAGGCAGCCCTCAACATGACTACTACGGGTAGGTAAGTACCGTTAAAACACCTCAGCCATGAGTGCTCAAGCTCTATTGAGCATGCACCTCCGTTCCGAGCTCGCAGTCCGCCCTTTCACCAGCAAACTCCTTTACGGATATGAACACACTTTCAGTACACCCCCGAAACGTACAAACAACATAAAAAGCAGTCTCCCCTCCTCACCCTATCTTTACATACCTAAATCAGCACAATCGTCCTCTCATCCTCCCATCTCATTATCTCACTATCCACCATGAAGTCCATTCTCCTGGTTGCCACAGCCCTCACATCCGCCTCCTCCGCCTCGCCCCTCGAGAAACGCGCAATCACCTGCTTGAAAGTCGGCGCCACGGCAACCGCAACGTGGACTAATGCTGCCGGAAAAACATGCAATTGGGCGGGCGTTGTGGGAAGTAATTTCGGGACGAATAGTGTGAACGGCGGAGAGTACGTCCCCCTCCCCCATCTCGATGCCTACTACTAAAGTCACATGTTGTGCGGAATTGGAGGTTTATGTTATGGGTGATTGTTTTATAGGTGATTAGGACTAACAGAGGCAGTTATTCGTGTAATGGAAGATGTGGAGCGGGATGTACTGGTACTGCTATCGGGAATGCGTATACACAGGACTGCTTCAGTCATGATGTTTGCTCATGGTTTAATAATGCGAGTGGGGGTGCTAGGTACGTCCCACCATCCACCCCATTTTCACCGTTCTCGCTGTTCCCCGGATATGAGGTGGTATGAAAGCAAGGCTGACGAGAAGCAGTGATGCGAACTGTGGCGCAGCGTACAGCTCCGCGGTTGACGATACGCTCCTGGGCGCGACGAATGGGTGTGGACAGACGAACCCGAGTTATTCTGCGAGCAAACCGAGCACGAGTCCGACGTGTTCGTAGGGATGGACTGGAGGGGGCAAGGTTTACGTGGTCAAATGGCTGAAGTCAAGAGGACGACGGCTGGTTGCCGTGATCTAGTGTGGTATGTCCAATCACAAACTAAGCGACTGCTCTTTGGAGTATTAACCCCCTCTTTGGTGCTCAATGCTCCTACCCTTGATCTGTGGCGCAGAAATCTGTGGCGCAGAAGACTCTGTATGCGAAGGACTGGAGAGGCATCATGAGCAGCATCATTCTGTCGTTCTTTCACGAACACTCCTCGAATATCTTCCCATCTTTTCCAGTCACCAAGATGCCCATCTACCTACTCAAGAACAGACTCCTCTTCTTCGTGTTTGTTATGATCCTCCAATTAGCAGTACACGTCGCGATAGGCCTCTCCATGTACGCCGCTTACAACATGGCAAAGTGTATACTCCTGAAGTTGTTGGACTTGCTTCCGGGCCGGGCCGTCGCGAATCTGTGGCAAATCGGGTTGATTTTCGTCGTCCTAGGCTGAGTTCTGCTCACTGTGTGGTTCTGCTGTGACTCAGTGGGATGGTATGTCTGGCTCAGGGCATCGCCCTTTCGAAAACTAGAAGGTAGTCAACCACGGTATCGAAGGACACAGTCACGCGCACTCAGACAAGAAGCGGGACTTCTTGCTCATATTCTCCCTCGTCCAACAAACTTTTTTTTTCAACATACACTCTGCTGGATATCGCCAACATGGAGCCAGCCCTGCTCTCCTCAGCTATGGCCATTGCCAACTGTCAACTGGGCATACCTACCGTCTCAAAATTCACGACACTCAGGCCTACAGCTTCTGTCAGCGTCTGGCTGGTGCCGGCACTGCAGGTGGAGCCAGACCCCATCAAGCCGGAAGATGTGTATTCCATGTTACCTGTTGCCCACTCCAACGATCAAGTCAGCTTCATTACAGCCAGCATACCCGAGGCCACTGCTACGACTCGTTCTGCAACAACATCATTGCACTGGAATCGTCCTTTTTCCCTTGGGCACGGTCCCGTAGTAGTCTCGACAGCAACAGCTGCTGCATCATCGTTGAATGACAAGCGGCCTTTTACACTCGGGCATGGTCCAGCAAGAGTTCCGGCGCCAACGCCCAATACATCGCCATCGATCGTAGAGCATCCCTTCACCACTGGTCATGGTCCTGCCATAATTCCAGGACCGGCGTCTGTTGCATCGCTGCCAGTCGAGAGTCGTCCGTTCACACTCCAGCACGGGCATGTGCTCACTTCCATAAGTGTGCCCCCTCGCAATATTCGCCGGAAGTACGTCGAGTCAGCTGTACCGACCACAGCATCGACCCTCGCCACGGTCGTCAAGGGGTCTTCCACGACCAATTTCGCCCTTCCGTAAGTATATCTAAATCTCTTGCTGCAGAGTTCTCTACTGACGACTGTAGCACGTCTCTGTTGAAGTCAGAAGTCAAGAACAGTCCAGAAAATACTGTAGAGAAACCTGAACAGGGGTGGTGGAGTAAGACCTTAGGATGGCTCAAAAGCTGGTTCGGTCCTGGATATCAGCCGAAGACCACCGACACCAAGTCCGAGAACACCGTCAAGACTTCTGAAGGTTACACTGGGCTCCTCAAATATCTGCTCACGGACTGCCATGAGGATAGCGGCGACTACGTCTACTTCACCATCTTGTCACCAAATGGTTCGCTTGCTCTAGGATCCAAGGAGGAGAAAGCACTTCACTACGTTAAGACTCAGTGGCACCTTAGCTACCCCGGGGCCTTACGCAAGGCATTGTTTAACGACCCGGAGGAATTTCCTGGCTGTCCCAATGGACATTGCATCAGTAGGACAATCCCTGGTACCAACCTCCGCCTGGAATATGTCAGGAACCCGAGAGTCTTCAGAGCCGGTTGGCACGAAGGAAACTGCGGATATCTGGATGGCATTCAGAAAGTCAACAGGTACCTTGTCGTTCGACTAGGCGACTTCGGATACCTCTCCACAGGCGCCGCGCCACAAATTCCAGTGATAAACTTTGTGGAGCAGCAGATGTTGACGACTTATCCCACACTCGAGATCGGCATGATCCTTGGGTTCACGGTTGGTCTCCTCGTGGCAGGTGTACTGCTTTTCGTTTTCTGGGCGAGCTTAATGTGCATGATACGAGCAATGTCAAATTGGGCGAAGAACCGCGCAACCAAGGTTCGAAATGTGTCGTGGAAGAGACCTGGCAGACGCAGCAGGCATCGGAAGTCGGCTCTTGAGAACGAGTTCTCTGAAGACTTTCCGCTTCAACCTCATCTCTACTCGGCAGATGTGGCAACACCTCCTCCTGCATACTCCTTGATGGAGCCTTCCCGGATTTTCATAGAGGTACCGATGGAAGGCTACCCAGAGCGCTCGCCCCGTCCGTATGAGCCGTAAGTACGGCATTTTTGGTCCTGCTCTGAGGTCTAGAGATGTTTGTGGTTTTCCAGTCGCGTATTACTGCTGTTCTTAGGATTCATGGTTTGTTCCTTCTCTTGGATGAGGTGTTCTTTGATGGACTTGGTCCAGCTTAGTAATTCACTGTGATGGGTTGGTTCGACACTTTAGCTAGCAAGTGACATATAGTAATAAGACATCATACATTCACCTTTACCTTGCCGCTCAAGTCGTGAAGCGTTTCTCCCCGACGTGTCGAGCTTGAAGTGTGTGGAAGCGGCAAAAAGAAACGAAATCTCCTTTGTGAACCCTTCATTACCCAAGAATTTACGAGTTCCAGTGCCAGGAAGCGGGTATTTGCAAAAAAATGCCCATTCTCGGAATCGAACCGAGGATCTTCTCATGTCGCATGCGTACGAGTGAGACGCTGTACCACTAAGCCAAACGGGCTTCTAAGTCGATGCATTCAACCGAGCTTATGCCGAAGTTGTGAATAATCATATTTATATTACAGTTGCAAATATAGTTCACTCACAACATCATCGTCGTGCTTTTTCAATGCTCAAGCTGAGATGTGATATGTGTGGGAGGTCTGAGACGCGCCAGAGAGCTTTGAAGTGAGGGGTAAGTGGGGCACATTGGCCGGTAGCATTTGCTTGACCCACCGGGTCTCACCTCCTACTCCCTACTGACCATCGCTTTCAGTGCAATTCTCCATTGCTCATCCATCAGAATACTTCGTACTCGCGCCTCCAACCACTCAGTATTGCCCCAGAAGCCCCAGCTCGCTTGGAAGCGCAGCCAATCGACAAGCGCGGTCTCCCAGTGCTGCACGAAGATATCCCACTCGTACTCCTTCTTACTAGTATCTTGCAGCTTCTTCCAATATCTTTCCAACAGCTGCTTCTCACCGTCTTGCATTTTTAAAACGTGCGGAATATCATTATCGGTCACAAGCATGCTGAGCGGCACGGAGCAGGTGAACAACTTCGCCAAATCGCAGACTCCGAGTCCGAGACCAGTATATTGGAAGTCGTAGAACGCTACTTCTTCTCCAGACTGGCTGGTAAAAAGGTTCTCGGACTTGACGTCGCCATGGATCAGCGTTTCGTAGCCTTCGATAGGACTCCGGCCCGCCACCGAAGGTGCGAGGAATGCAGCTACCAGATCCGAGATGGACTGGCTTTGGCCCTGTAATGGTTTTGCTAAAGGCTCCATCCATTCCGAGTCATCATCGTTTGCCAGGCTGGCATATTCCTTCCTTCGCGTGGCCAGGTAAGTATATCCTCCGTTGAGCCACAAGGTCTTCTCCGATGCATCCTGGCCATTATGTTTGACTTCTTCTAAGGGTGGAAGTACAAGCTTGGTGCGATCGAAGTCCTTGGCTCGAGGCCACCAGAAGCCGTGGAAGCCAGAGAGCCAGTCCAACGCAGCATTGACCTGGGTGGGCGACAAAGTCCCGCGCTTCTCTCCAGCGACAGGGAAGTTTTGCTTCAAATCGTTCAATATCATGGCCGTTGTTGAAGTACCATCCGGATGGTGCTTGTTGATGCTTGCCAGACATCTTGCAACAGGCACAGATGCGGGCAGCTGAGGGGCCAAGTGGCAGTAGAAGTACTGCTCGACTTGGTAGCTCAGTATCTTTCTGGTGTGACTCTCATCCGCGGCTCTTGTAGGTGGCGGCGTGATCAATTTGAGGATAAAGAAATGCGTCCCTAGTGTTGAGTCGGCAGACACTGGATGCAAAGACTTGCGTAGCTCCTCAACATGTGCTTTTTGCTCTTCGACAATCTGCCCCCTCAAATGCTCCGGCAAGGCAGCTAGGAACTCGGGAGCCACTCCACCGACTGCAGTGATGCGACATATCTGCCCATACCCAGCCCAGAGCGATTGCAGCAACGAGATCGAGATCAGGTCGAGGCCATGCTTTGCGAGCAAAGCAGAAGCGACTTTCTCGGAGGACGGTGAAAGTGTCATTGGCTCAGTTGTAGATGTCCAAAACCGTGAAGCCAAAGTAAATATCAAGACAAGTAGTGCGAGTAGGAGGGAAGTTTTCAACAATCGTCGCAGACGTGGAAGCATCCGGCGCAAACAATAGCACTAGAAGAGGGGTACTATGCGACTTTGATGCCGATTGTTCAGCGGGCGCAGATGGCTGCACGAACGAAGTCAAAAATTCTGACGCGAATGTAGGGTAAATTAAGGCGATCAAGTTGAAGGTACATCGGTACGTACTTGAGTGCGGCTCAGAAGGCTGGAAGGGGAAAGAAGGGTTGATGCACAGACCACTCCCAATATCTGCATTGTCTCACACCATGAGAACGAAGCAAAACAACGTCATCCCTATGAATGCACATTGGTGATCAAAATGCCTTTCGAAAATTGTTGACACATCTGTGTTTGTGTTGTCATCGATTTTGTTAGACTGAAGCGGCAGACCAGACCTCGGGAGGGATCAAATGAAATCTGCGACAAGATGTACATATTTCTCATGTTCTCGATTCTAGCTTATGCATCTGACTCGAAAGTGCAGCTCATTTTCAGCCTCTCACCTCAGCAACGATAGCAATGCAAGAAGGAATCTGACCACCGTCAGCCTCGCTTGGCTTCCGAGGTTGGTAAGGTTGTGAGATTACGGCGTACCGCGCCGCAGCTGACGGCGACAATAAAACGTACTGGCGCCCTCCTTCGAACGGTGCCACATATATTGTGGTCCAACTCTTTTGTCGACCAGCTCATACCGTGAACTTACATCGACAATGGAGAACAATGCAGCCGAGATCATCCTGACCGAGCGTCGCAACGAGAAGCGCAAGTCGGCACCGGAGCTTCGCGAATACCGACTTGTCTACTGGCTTCGTCTGGTCTTGCGCATACTATCGCTCTTGACATGTGCTTTGATCTCGTTCAGCCTTATCGACGCCATCCGTAATCATCGAAAGACCAAGAATGTCAGGAACCCGTTCCATGAAGGTAGCGGGAGCATTCCGGTCTGGCCGGAACAAGAAGGCTTGAAGCTGTATCCGACGTACGTTCTGTTGGGCGCAGCAATTGTTGCAGGTTCATTCAGCCTTGTCTTGGTCATTGCAAGCTTCACCAAGTCTGTCAGTATCCTTTCCAAAAGCATACTTACACCCCATATTGACCAATGCTAGGTACGAAGAATGACAAAGATCGGTAACATCAGCACGATAGTTGTGTCTACGATATGCCTTGTGTTGTGGGTCACCGTGACTGCATACTACGGTACATGGGATACTTCTGAGACCAATTGGGACATGCTGTAAGCACTTGCATATCCAACAGATCCCTCCACGCTGACCCGTAGAGTTCCTGGACATGTACTCATCGCGACTATGAGTACAAGGACGTTGACTTCAGCGAGACTTGCACGGAGATGGTAAATGGTCCAAGCACACCAAAGGACTGATAGCTAACGTTTACACAGCGGTTCGCGTTCTGGGCTGGTGTTGGCCTCGCCGGACTGGAGGCAGTGAATCTCGGAATCTTCGTTATCTGGTGGTTGAGGACACGCAGATCATTGGGATATTCGAAAGTGTAGATGTTGTGATAGTAAGGAACTGTGCGAAAGGGAAGGACTCAAAGCGACCTCGGAACGGAACGAGCTTCAAGTAGCGTGCGCGTTACGTCATACTTCATGCGTGTACGAATCTTCGTCTCTTTTGACATATATAATCCCATCCACGATAGCAACTTGTCGTTGTTTGTGATCAGGAATAAGAAGTTACAACTGCCAAGTTATGGTTCTGTAGAATGCCGCCATACCTCATAGACCGCCTGTCAGAGGCCGAGTCATCGCACGAAAGTCAGAGCAATGCGGCATGATGACCCCACAGCCATGGATGCCTCGGCGGTTTGATGTCGACAATTCTCCTAATGGCGAAAAAATGCGGGACGAATATTATTACGTAGACATTAGCGGGGTAGATCATCAGTCCATATTTCTTGACTTTCTGAGATTGTTGCTGTCTTTTGTTCTGTGAGTTCCAGACAATCTGCACGGCATCACAATGGCAGACGCAAAAAACACCGCCAGCTCGCGCTTGACGCAGATCACTGATTTTCTGACTATGAACAAGACTGCGACAACTATTCCATGGGATCCAAACTCCACCAAGTTTCCGACAAGGATGGAGCTTCCAGAAATTCCAGGAGCACCCAAAGAAGCTGCCTGGACATGGGGCGCAGATGACTACGTACAATGTGGCAAAAGCTTATGAAGTTGAGCTATACTTACGTGCGATAGATTGGTCGATTGAACCTTCTTACTCCAACACGTGTAGCTGCCGCAGCCAAGGAGATCAGATCCGGTGAGATCGTGCCTGTCAAGTTCGTTACGTTCTCAATTTCCTTGGGATGATACTAAACACCTGACAGCCTTCCCCTGAACGTCCCCGGCCAGCCAGCATTCGGCCGCGAACCCTTCAAACACTCCATCAAAACCCTAACCGAAGGCATCGCCTACGATGATCTCTACCACCTGAACACCCAATCCGGAACCCAATGGGACGGTTTCCGCCACTTCGCCCACATCCCCAGCGGCTCCTTCTACAACGGCACCAAAGGTTCAGATATCGCCGGTCCCTCCGCAAACCACAAATGCTCCATCCACCACTGGGCCGAGCATGGCGTCGCGGGCCGTGGCATCCTCCTCGATTACCGGGGCTACGCGCACAAGAAGGGCATAAACTACGACCCGTACGACTACTACCCCATTTCCTGGGAGGAGTTGTATCAGTGCGGGAAAGATCAGGGCATTGATATCCGGCCAGCGGCACAGGGTGGTGATATTAAGATTGGGGATATGTTGTTTATTCGGTCGGGCTGGAAGGAGGCATATGACAGCAAGTCTGACGAGGACAGGACGAAGGCCGCGACTCGACACGGTCCGAATGGTGAGGATGGTGCAAGATATGCTGGGGTGAGTCAGGAACAGAAGATCCTGGATTGGTTGCACGATTGCTATTTTGCTAGTGTGGCGAGCGATGCGCCGGCATTTGAAGCTTGGCCGACGCATGAGGATTACCATTTGCATGAGTACAGTAAGCTGTTCAAAATACCTTAAGCGCACTCAGAGCTGATAAGACCGACAGTTTTGGCGCTTTGGGGAATGCCCTTAGGTGAGATGTTGGACCTGGAGAAGCTCGCGCAGACATGTAGGGAGAAGAATAGGTGGTTTTTCTTTTTCACAAGTGCGCCCGCAAACTGCCCTGGCGGCGTCAGTTCGCACGTCAACGGGACTGCAATCTTTTAGGAGAGCTGTTGGAGATTCTCAAAAAACTTTCAGTCTACATTGCAACAAGAAAGAGATATGTATCCACACACTTGCAATATATTGTACATCCACTCGAATAGCCCACTAAGTAACGGCGACTGGCGCACTCATAAAGAACATCTCACGAGTCCAAATTGGATTCTGGATACGCTCCAGGACACTTCACCCACCTCTCGTACTTTGTGCCTAGCTGCTCGACGGGGCGGTCTGACGCTGATGTGCTGCCGCTCGAGGTGGATGTGTTCGCATCAGTGTGACTCGCGCCGTTCACCACCAAGTTCGACGAGGTTTGACCTCCAATATTTGGTACTCGGTTGACACCACGTTCGTATGCCGATGTGATGTTCATCAGACAAGGGGCAACCTTCACGCTGCTGCCCTCGAGCTCTGCCGGAGGAAAGCCGCGCAAATCATGACCAGGCGACTTCGTGTAAGAGTCAGTAGTCGCCGAACGCAGCAACTCGCCATTAGCTTGCATGACTGAGACAGTAGTCGCAGTATGACTAACACCGTGATCTCCGTTCTGCAGCACAGGTGAGTTGCTCGGCGTCCTGGTGAGATCGAAGGTTGACATCGTTCCGTTCATCAATGGGACCTTTCCATGATCGTTTGACAAGCAGTCTGAATCGTACTTGTATGTTGTCTCGCCATTGATCTGGTTAGGAATCGGCTTTGCTGTGTTGACTGGATCCTCCATGGGCTTCCCACCTTCCAATCTCCTAAACCCCATCCATGTTCTTCCGGTCTCGATCCTCAAAGCTCGATTTGCATCCGCCCTGCGTTTCTCCCAGTCAACACTTTTGACACCGTTGTGCATGATGTTTGCTGCGACTATCTCTGCGTCCCTGGCAGACGACTCGCGAGCTTCGGCAAGCCGCCGTTCTTTCAATGTGTCGACCGCAGTTAGCCTTGTCTTGTAGCAAGCTTCACTGGTACCATGAACGTGATAGTGACAGCCTGGCTTTGCTGGAGAGCTGGAACTGCCGGACAGACGGTGTAACGCGGTTTGGAGAGCGAGTTGTTTGAACGACACTGGGTATGTTGCGGTCCCAAGGAGACTGTGTGACTGCTGTTGAGTGTCGACAAAGCGGTCGACGACGAATCGCTTCAGCTCCTCAGAAATGCTCTGTCTGTTGTCATCGAATAGATGCTGAATGGTTTCAACATCCGGGCAGATACCTGGCGTAAGCTTCTCGGCCAGTGCATCCATCACTCTATCGGTAAAGTCGGGCTCTTCGATGATACAGCCCAATATTTGCGCGTTCATGAGTGGCCAGCACGCAATCCATGTATGCTCTGTTTTAACATTCTCTGAGTACTTGAACACAATCTTGCCGATGTGCAGGTAGATCTTATACAGATCAAAAGCTTGTGGGTCGAGCTCAGAGAGGTGCTGCGGTGCGTCGTTAGATATCTGTGATGTGCTATCCGCGTGAGTGAGGTCTAGGAAGCTGAAGTAACGGCGCGTGAAGTACGGTGAGTTAGAGTCTTGCTGGCCAAGAAGTAGATTAACAGTAGGATGTGAATATCGTTCTTCATGTACGCCGTTCATGCGCGGCCGTTCACTATGTCTGCTCGTTCGCAACGAGGATTGATTTGCTTTCGATTCATCAGAGGATGTTGACTTGGGCGAAGGTGTTGGCGAGCTGTTGGATCCATTAGGCCGATCACCCGTGTTTCTTGGAGCAAAATCGGGGTTGGAAGTTGTCGCTACATCCTGATTGGTTCTTTTACCTTGGCTTCTGGGGGAGTCAGGTGAACTGCCGTTATTCGACATCTTGCGGACTTCCCCTACGACGAAGCTTTTGGGTGTAGGGCGAGGCTTATAGTACTCATATGGGAAGGTAACGCCCTCGTCTTTCGTACCGAGATCTGGCCCGCTGTGTAAGGACTGGCTGTCACCGATCTGTACTCCAGGAGCAGCTTTCTTGATAGTTCTGCCCTTCAGACCGGGCTCACTCTTGCTTTTCAGAAGTTTCAGAATGCGTGACATCGTGTTGGGTTGCTTGACCGACATGGCGCACCTAGAAATGGCAGACAAGGTCCGGCAGGCGAAAAGCTATTAGGTTTTTGGAAACTGTATGTTGATGATCACGACCAGGACGCTGCCAATTGCGGTGTCAGGAGGGGCATTGTTCCTCAAGATATGAATGTCAGTCGTTTGCTGACAGCAAATGCTGAATTGGCAAGTGCGCTTTGTTCGTGCACTTGCAATACTGATGTGAACCCTACATTGAAGTAGATAACCCAGTTGCTAAAAGCAGCACATCAGCAAGTGCAAGACACGGTGCAAGTAGCTTAGGTCATTGCTTGCTCACTTCGGTCGGTCTTTGCTGCTCCCTTAGCCATGATCATCGGCAGTTTCGCTCTGAGCACCTTCTACGTTTGCTCGTCTTGTCATCGCGTACCGATGCCCGTGATGTGCACGGATTTTCGGTCGAGGCTCCTCGAACGTGATAGATAGTGTCCGGATGATTGTCGTCGGTAACGGAAGTGGGAAGAACTGCAAGAGAGACATCGATGATTCGTTGCGCTTTATCGCGAACTCACTCCTGAGCAAGCCCGCAAGGTGTCGCTCCATCCGTCCCTACTATATTGCGGAAGGGGCCTACTCCATGAATAGTTCGAAAGAAGCAACCAATAGACCAGTGTCAAAGCGTGGCGCCTTGCAATCGCTAGGCGTTCGTCCAACATCCAGTGTCAACGTCTGACGTATGTGGAAGATATGTCGAGGCTACACTCTTCGAGACAAAGCAGTATGATTTATCGAATTTTGGCGTTCAGTGGTTGTGCCAGCGCCATGATTCTTCAAGTTGTTGGATCGTTGCTGTTGGTGGGAAGCCATGCGAACGTTCACAAGCATACCAGAGATCGCGCAATCGTTCCTGATCCTCTCGCATAGGGAAGCGATCACCTACCAGCGCGATGGCAAAGCAAGCAACGAACTTGCAGGGAAAAAACTTTCCATTCGACTGCGCAACACCGCAAAGCGTTCGAACGTCTTCTTGGACCATTCTGTCGACGACGGCACGGGACTGTTTGTGCGCCGGACCAAGCTGCGGAATTGTGGGGTCATGCACGACCAAAAGCATGTGAGCGAGTGTGTTGTACTGTGTGCCCATCACATGTGACTTCTCATGCAGCCGGATGTCTGGAAAGTTTCTGCCGCTGCCATCTCGATCTTGTCGGTAGTAGAAGGGATCGAAGCTGTCAGGTCGACGTGTCCTCCAAGACCTATTCTCGTCCATGAGCTGGCTGTAGCGCGAGATGCTATGCCTGTCTTCCCCAAACGCGAAGTTGCACACGTCACCTAGATGGGCGATGGTGCGTGTCGCCCAAATTGAGTCGTTGGCGGGCTCGAGTGATCGGTCAGCTGGGAAGATGTGCAGTTGAAAGGCACGCTGTGTCATTAGAGAGATCCATAACTCCTGGCGGAAGGCAGCCCAGTAGATAGCCTGTCGGAAGCTTGGCCCGGTTGTCGCAGCGTACGACTGTTCAGCTGCACGTATGATCGCTTGGGTTCCAAACAGATGCCCTTGCGGGTCATTACCGACGATGGAGATGTTCATCTCTTCAAGGAGTCGTAGGATAATGGTCGCTGCAAGTAAAGACTCATCCTTCATGGCGACACGGTTGTCGTTGAGCGCTGGGATCAACGTATCGAAGCACCGTTGGTAGTATGCATCTGCAATGTATGGGTCGAAATCTGTGGTCCGGCTAAGCTGACGTGCAGATAAAGCCAAGATTGCGTTCATCAAAGTGCTGTCCTTCTTCGCTCTCTGTACAACATGCACTGCAAAGTGGCACTCATTGTCGATCATGTCAAACTGGCAAGCATTAGCAGAGGGATTGATAGCTGATGTTCAAGACTCACGAACAACGCTACATTCTCGATGTAGTGCTGTAGCAACATGGCCTCCTGCTCATGTTCGAGCGGCCAGAGGATAGGCTCACCCGGTGCCTGCTGATAGACGAACGTACGAGGCTCATGTGGCTGTGACTTGTTGGATGGTATATGATGATCATACGGCGGGGAGATGCCAGGAGTATGAGACTGGGCCGGAGATTCAGAATTCAGCAGCGACAAGACTGTGAGTCCTTCCGTAGGCGTGATGACAGAAGTCGGCGGCGTACCTGTGTGGTTGCCGCCGTTTATAGAACAATGGGCTTGTGGTGAGAAGCCTTGCGCAGCAGGAGGACTATGAAATGGGTAGTGTGCTTCATCTGAGTACTGCGATCGAATCTCATTTGATTCATCCAAGAATTGTACTGCATGAAGATGTCAGTACTATGGACAGTTAGGTGGATGTTGACATCCGCACTGCGAGGAGGCATAGAAACCCAGGGCTGGCTCTCGCTGAAGGTTTCCTGGATGGACGACCGCCTGAATCGTCGTCCAGTTTCATAGACGCATTGCTTTTTGGCATGTTCGCATCGCCCGCATTTTGGCTGTGCACCGTCACCTGTCGTAGAATGCTTAGCCTTTGCTTGCTCGGGTGCCGGCTGGGATCTTACACCGGTAGTGACGCGTGCGACAACGATTGCTATCTAGGTCAGATAACAAGCATTACTTCCTATTACAATGCAGCATACCATGGCATTTGTGTCACCGTCCAAAAAGTTCATCTGGCGGCGAACGGTCGTTGTCGGGGCGAATTACCCGTCAGCGAGGGTGGGCGCCAGGTTTTGCAGCTGTGTGGTTCGCCTACAGAGGCTTGGAGGATCGCAATAAAACCGGACCCCGAGGTTCCGCATTGGGCAAAATTTCGCCGAAAATGCAGCTTCCCACCCAACCAAAAGGTGCGCTTTAGTCAGGATCTGTGTTAGTAACCACTCCGCAGCTGACCGAAAGCTCCTTAACATGGCTCTTTGCCCCGCTTCCCCACACTTCATCTATCCAGCGTGGGAACCGTTTTATCGAACATAGGAAGCATTCCCATTGATATCGTCACCATAATGGAGTGTAACACCACATCGTGCTGATATTTAACGATTATAAAAGCTGCCAGTCGCTGTTGGCAACGAACAACTCTCTTGCTATTCTCTTGACACCTTTTGTTTGTGCTCAAGGATTACTTCACACATCATGCCTCATGCCTTGTCACCAGAGCGAGACGTCCCGAGCTTTCAGGGAGAGAAGCTATACGTGAACGATGGTCTTCTCAAACCAGAGCAAGTCGGTGCTCTGAGGCAATCATCGCCAGACATGCCGCTAGAAGAGTTAAGACGCAGGTACAACGGGGATGGATATGTGTTCCTGAAAGGCTTGTTGCCAAAGGAGGATGTTCTCAAGGCCCGTGAAGAGTACTTCAGTATGTTGGCACCCAGCGGCGTCTTGAAGCCGGGGACACAACCCGTGGAGGGCATCTTCGACTTTAAGAAGAACCCTGCAGATTACCCCGGTATTGGAGCAGGCGCAGCTGGTGGTAATGGAAGACCTGGTGAGGAGACAGCCGACAAATTCGTCGACCTCGCTCTGCAAGCACACTATGCGGACTGGTACAAGGAGAAGTTCTGCAAGCATCCGGTTCTCAAAGACTTCATCGCTCGTATGACAGGCTGGGGCGATGAGAATACTCTGGGTGTCCGGCGAAGTCTGCTTCGGAACAACACACCAGGTAACAAGGCCATTGGCGTCCACTACGACCAAATCTTCTTGAGATACGGCGAGCCCACTAGTGTTACTGCATGGGTACCGATGGGCGATGTCAGCCTGACTGGCGGAGGTCTGATTTATCTGGAGAATGGTGAGTGTGTAAGATTTGTCAAGTTGCGCGACTGACGTTGTTTCTAGGGCATACTCTTGGGCAAGAAGTGGAAGCAGACTTCACTGCGAAGGCAAAGGCCAGTGGTCTCACTGACGAGGAGGCGAAGTATGCTTTCAACCAGAACATGCTGTCCACTGGTCTGCTGGCAGATGGGGCAAGGGAGTACTCTGAGACGTTCGACCGGAGGTGGTTGGTGACACCGTACGAAGCTGGGGATGTCGTGCTGCACACCCCTTTCGCTGTGAGTTTGCTCATACCCAACGCTGAGACGGTGACTGACAACACCCAGATTCATGCCTCGACGATGAATTATGATCCAAACAACGTGATCAGAGTCGGCACTGATCTGCGATTCGTGGACGCCAGTAAGCCATGGGACAAGGCAAGTGCTTCCTAGACTCGGCTGTTAATGACTGAAAGCTGACAGACACAGCGGTGGGATAAGGACTACAGCTTCAACGACGGTGTATAGATATGATGAGATCAGCGACAGGATCGAGGATACTTGTTCAGTTGCGCCTTCAAGCGAGCATCCCAGCCGTATACTCTCAGAAACAGATACGCACAAATATAGATCATGGGCAGAGCGTGCCAGTTGTTTTGATGCTCGAATCGAGAAAGTGATGCCTGTGATAAGCGGGGTCTCGCAGTCATGCCTTCCTCTGGTACTGAGTACCTTACTACCTTCTCATCACTTCAGCTGTCAAAGCGATCTTCTTCTCTCATCAATGTTGCAGAGCAGCACTAGGCTTGTGATCTCTACCTCTGCAGCTACCACGATCCGAACCGCTGCGCAAGACGGGATCTACGGTCCCTATGTTACGCCTCACCAATGTTGACAGCCTCCAGGAGACGTGGAGCAGCCAATGCAATGCGTCCGTATCTGTCGCGACACCACACTACCATGGATGTCGTTACCGTTGTCGGTGTTGTTGGACGAGCCGTCAGCTTATCGCGCCCGCGAGGTATAGGCGTTTGCGAAATACCTGCCGGACCCCGTGACCTAGGCAGAGACACCCACAACTTAACAACAACATGAATTTCCAGTCTGCAACCTGGCAGTTCTATGCAGCCTTACGCGCAGATTATACTACAAAAGAGCATATGTCTTTATAGTGTTGTAGAGGCTGGCGGCAGAGAGTGTAGGAAACCACCCCTTGATGAGGCAGCTAAAATATAGCGTCTTAACACATATACGCAAGCAGTACAAAATGTACGCGTAGGATTAGCTCAATATCTTAGGTCAGTGGGTCCGGCTGATATTTCGCAAACAACGCATAACATCAGGGCAGCGTTAGCATTGACCAATGCACGGCGGCCCCGTCTCCCCTCGCTTCCCTTAGCTGAAGGTCTCCATTCGTTCTCGACTCCGACGCCTCCACATTTCCTGTGGTCACACATAACTTACACCAGTGCACAGCTGATCGCATCCAGAAGCAGCTGTGAACGCCATGCGAATCCAGGCATGTCAGCTCTTCCGGAGCCGTGGTACAAAAACTACTGCCCAGGCTTCACGGCCAGAACCGCAGTGACATTTCCGGTCCAAACCGTGATTGCACATGCAATAAAGGACGGCCCTGTTCCAGCTCTGCCACGGCGTCGCTGCCCTTCCACTCAGACGACTCGGCCTGTCTTCCGCTACACCCTTCCGTTGTTTAGTTCATTTATCGACCACGGCGCGCAACAATGCTTTGATTTCCCCATGTCTCTTCTCAGCCCACCAACAGAGTAACCGTTGTCTTCGTGGCTTAGGTCGTATTCCCTCTGAATCACCCGCTGCCCCGTTGGCGCACAATGTGAAGGCGCTCCCGCCTCATCAGCCTCGCAAGCACGCCACTTACATACAGCGACTATCTACAAACAACAACGAAGAACTCAAGAAGCATGAGACATGGCTTCTCCGTTCACCCCGGCGGAGTTGGCAACTATGCACCCAAATGATTCGAGAGTAACCGAAATCTACTGGGTGTACAGCGTCCCAATTGCTGCCGCCATCCTTAGCACAGGGTTACGACTGTTTTCCAAGCACCTCGGCCGGAATGGCATTCACCTAGATGACTACCTTATCACTGTCGCGACAGTATGCATACCCACACAAATGACGTCTTCATGCTCTGACAGCGCCCGTTAGATATGTCTGATTGGACAATGCGCGAGTGGTTTGGGCTATGGTATGCCTCTGGTGCGCAAGACCAGACCATGAAGGTCGCTGACGCTTGTAGGTCCTCCACACGGTATGGGTAGGCATGTCATCTACGTCTCCGAGTACGACAAGATGATGGTACGAGCGGGCGACTTCGTTTTCAGTCACTTCTACGATCTTGCACTTGTATTCGTAAAGTTGGGCATCCTTGCCTTCTACTGGAGGGTCTTCGTCCACCCAATCTTCCGCAAGATTGTCCTCGCAGCCGCTGCCTTCATTATTGCTTGGGGAATTGGCATCACGGTCACGCTGTTTTTGGTTTGTCGCCCACTCAGAGCGTATTGGGATCGTACCGTGGACGGCACCTGCTTGACTATTGTCACCTTCACCTACTTCACCAACATCTCGAACTTGATTACCGACATATGGATCTTCTTGATGCCGGTACCCATGATATGGCAACTTCAGCTGCAGGCCAAGAAAAAGCTGCTTTTGAGTCTGATCTTCTGCATAGGTCTTGCGTAAGTCGCATCTTACTGTACGCTCATATCCAAGCTAAGAAAAGCTCTCTAGGACCTGCGTCGTTTCCTCTTTGCGTCTCACCGTCGTTCTCGGCCACGGCAGTCCCAATTTCACCTGGTACTACGTCCCCCTCGGCGCATACTCCGTCTTTGAACCCCTCGGCGGCATCCTCTGCACCAACCTCCCCATCATCTGGCACATGATGCGCAAGCGCAAAGCCAGCCTCCCTCACTGCAACTCCGCATCCAAAACCACATCCTCCGGCGGCCACACGCCCACCATTGGCTCATCGTCCCGCCGGAGCCGCCTCGCTATCGCACTCGGTCTCACGAGCCACGATCGAACGCAGAACGGCAGCAGAATGCAGACAAATGTGGATAATGCAGATACGGCGCAAGGCGACTGGGAACAGCTGGAAAGCATGGAACATATTGCGCAGCCGGATCCAAAGATTTGGGCTACGATTGAGGTTGAAGAAGATGGTCCTTCAGAGCCGCTGCCTCCGGGCATGAAGAGGACGGTTTGGAACGTGCGACGGTAGAGGAGGACCCCGTACACATTTATGATGTCACGACTTCCGCACATAAAAGATATCATGGAACACTTGGTCAGCCACATATTTTGGTAGCGAATCCCATTCACCTGGCGTTTCGGGAATTGAGAGCATGTCGTGGGCACAAAGTTTTGGCTGGGAAATAGGTATTGCTGGCATGCAAAGGTTATGATATCCAAAGTTTCATTTGCTTTCCATTTCTAATAGTACAATCTTACAAAAGTTACGCTCCTAAACCCCCAATCTCACAAGTTTCATGTTTGATAGCACCTCACGGAGCTGAACCACCCCTTTCCGCCAGCAACACACATGTCCTACCTATTATCAGACTAGCTTTCTCGTGCGCTTTCGTCCAAAAGCAAGTCTCACTAGTCAAATTATCGAGCTGAGTGGACGAACGTGCACGAAGAGCTGGGGCTGTATATCGCCTATCTTATGGCATGGGTGTGGGGTGGGTGTTGGCTCAACTGATATATCTCTGCATCTAGAAGCTGATGGTTGGATCAAGGCTGTGATAGATGGACTCGGGAATGTGGACGATGGGAAGTACCGGTAGAGGCACAAGTGTGAGTCCTGAGTGAGCTAGGATGCTGATCTCGCGGCAAGTAGTCGACTAAACATCGTACATTATCGATCTTGACTGCTACATAACATTCGGCTTCTGAACTACCCGCGGAAGAGTAGTGATTGATCTAATACGGCACATCCTTCGCAACGCTCTTCCAGAAATCACACCGCTTCCCCCGTCCACCCTCCCAATCCCTCGCATTCGCTAAGTTGATCTGGTTGCTAACACCCGGATCACTGTACACATTGTAGAATAGATCCGCAGTCGTCTGCACGAACGTCGCAACCCCGCCGGTAGCATTCAAGTTCAGCAGCATAGGCTTCTCCTCGTCCCAAGTCGGCCAGGCAATGTTCTGACTACTGTACCCACTTGCAACCGGCACTGTGCTGTTTGCGATGCCGCCTTTGGCATCTTCGATAGAGATTACTGGAGTGTTCTTAGTGATGAAGTTGCCCCAGATCTTGCGGAATGCGCGCTTGAAGCTCGCACCGGGAGTAGGTGTGCCGGACCATAGTGCTTGTAGATCGTAGCCGTGGTAGGAGGGTGGGACGCTGAACTGGTACTTCCAGGCCACGGGGAAGGCGGAGGCGGCCCAGTAGCTGTTGCACACGAAAGCGTACTCGGCGAAGACGTTGAAGACACGTTGTTGCTGACCGGTGCCAAAGGTGGACTGGTTGACGGCTGTAGGGACGGAGGTGCCGGCCGTCGCGAAAAGAGGAGCGGCAGGGTTGACACCCTGGCTATCGCCGGCGTAGGAGTATTGCTTCTCGATGGCGGTCTTCTCGGATTGGGTGAAATCAGGGAAGGTGGTGTCGATGTAGTTCCTGAAGTCCTGCAGAGTGCGAGTGGTTGGTGGACTGAGAGGAACGCCTTCGTTCGCCATGTTGCCGGATAAGACACGCACACCCTTCACAGCCCGGGCGGCAAGCTGCTGGCTGGGGCGTTGCTTGACGAATGATCCGTCAGTCACAGGCAGAAAAGCAAAAGTGCCGAAAGAGCCAGCCTCTGAGATCTTGGCACTGGCATTCTGAACAACGGCAGTGTCGGCACTGCGAAGACACTGGAGCTTGTCTTGGGAGTTTGAGCAACCAGCAGCCGCAACAAAGTCGTTGTAGGCTTTAGTTGGTTGATCATCATTATACTTGTACTGGAAAGGAATCCATGGGCTGGCAGTGATGACCTAGGCAACTGTCAGCAAAAGAATCAAGATCAATCTCACGAGCACATACGTTCTGGAACAGGTTGTCCTTCTGCTTGCCACCATACGCCATACTTTGGTACAAGACTGCTGCGCCACCGGCACTTTCGCCAGCAATCGTTACCCTGCTTGGATCGCCACCGAACCTCTTAGCATACTGCTGCACCCACTGCAAGGCAAAGTTCATGTCGAGCAAGCCAGCGTTGAGCGCGCCGCCTTTCTTGACATCCTCAGACGAGAGGAAGCCGAAGGCACCAAGACGGTACTGGATGATGACACTAATGAAACCATTGTCGTTCTGCTTCATGAACTCGGTAGGATCAAGACCTGTAGCACTGAACAGACCATAGCCTCCACCATCTGATCGTAATTAGCTTAACTCGAAACCATTTGTAACTAATACATACGGATCCAGAAGAACACAGGCAGGTTCTGGGCGTTGGCTGGCGCATACACATTCAAGAACAGGCAATCCTCGTTTCCAAGAGCCGAGGTGAATCCATAGGCGGCAGGTGTCTCTGACGAAACACCAGTCTGTGGACAGAACGGGGGATTACTGGTAGCTGCGATTGTCGAGGTCCTGTTCTTCGCCGGAGCTTGGGGAGCAGCGAACCTCAGTTTACCAAGCGGTGGTCCAGCGTAACGAATGCTGGTTGGGTCGTTAGTCTGCAACTCAATGGCTGAATCTTAAAGAAGACGAACCCCTTGAAAACATTGATGCTGTTGTTGCTATCGAAGCTTCCCTCGTAGACCGCATAGCCGAGATCGACAGTGGGTGCCTTCACAGCACGTAGAATTGGCTCCCCAGCTACGGTTGCTGCGAGCAGCGCGATTGTGCTTCCAATCAGCCTCATTTTCTCGCTTTGCCCAGCTCTTGACGCCCTTGTAAGAAACAAACGCTGGTTGCAGCAAACGTAATCTCAGATCCAAGGAGGTGCAGATGAGATGACCGGACCCGGGGCTGTGGGAGCGAACTGCACAATTTAATCTAGACGCGCTCTCCTATATGTGACAGGGTAGATCAACGGGCCGATGCTGTGCTGACCCAGCAAGAAGTGAAAGTGACGTTCACGACTAGTTGCCGAAGGGAGTTGATCGATTATATGATGCTGGCAAGGGCGCCAACCCACATGGCACTCGTCTGGACCTTCACAAGGCAGGAACGCCGCCGAAGTTGTCGATGTAGTTTCGCAATCATGAGTTAAGGGGAGCTTTAGTGAGTAAGCATGTTGTTGCTATGCGACCCACTGAGTATTCCCTGCCCAACGGGCTGCGGCATGCAGGGCCGCAGGCGCTGATTCGCAGGTTCGGCCGCGGTCTCCTCATCCGTCCCCTTCCCGTCACGCCGCCTTTTGTTCTCGCAGCTCGAGCTATTGAAACGAGCGTTTTTCGCGCTTTTGTGCCGTTTCTTGGGCATTGAATTGTTGTTTTCTTCGCGAGGAGAGCCGTATCTTCTGGTTCTTGCGTATGGCAAGGATTGTGGTATCGTCCCGTGAGGGTCGCACAGCGTCCTAACGTGTCATCGACACCTTACGTCGCTTAGACGCAGCTCTTCTCACCCGGAAGTCAGGGACTTTCAGGGCTCGTGTTCAAAGTGTGGTAGTTCATCTCCGGGTCAGCTCTCATGCACAGTCAGCTCAGCCTGTTCAGGCTAATGATTTCCACTGCAAATAACTGGACTGAAAGGTACCTCCAGATATGATACCTGCAGCCAAAATCATAGGTACATCGAGCTAAGATTCGCAGCCATGGTTGAATCGAAAATGCGCTTCCGGTGCATGAGATGATCCTAGCGATGCAGGCGCAGCGCTGGTCTTGCACAAGCTGCAGCCAAGGCGTGAGGAGAATTGCGGTGGTCAGCCGAACGGGCCATCAGCCGATAAACTCTGTTGAGCGGTGCATTGATGGACGTCCATGTGGTGTTCAGTTGAATATTCGAAGCGAGGATATAAAGTCGGGATGTTCTCACGCCACGGACGGTGGCAGGGAATCGTTGAGGAGCACCTTCTCAGACTCATCTGGTGATGCCTGAGAAGTCGCGAGTCAAAAAGCTACCTCCTCTATCTGCGTCCAGACAACCGGGAGCCAGACTTTATGTATCGCACTTGAACGTCAATCCAAACTCGATCCAGCCTTTCCTTATCCAGGCTCTCCTTGCATACAGGCTGGGATTTTTGGGAATAGCTAACTTAGGAACTGTGCCACAACGGGTAGTACCAACCAGAAAAAGCAAGTTGAGTCCCGCTGGAACAGCTGTCAGCATCACCACTGAGAACATGACAGTGATATGAGACATGCGTCGAGTTTTGTGGTATCAGCTCTTTCAGATGTCGAAAGGTGACATCAAAGGATGGGACATCCCGAGATGCACAGAATTCAGAGCGACTTCGACATTGTCAATTAGCCACATGTGTCAATGAATGTTCGGATTATGCTTATGGACCTTTACTCCACTAGTATTTAGCTTTTTGTAGCCTCCCGAGGTCACCTATGCAAAACCCAAGCGAGAGCGGACTGTCCTGAAGCCATCTTTAATAAAACATCCCCTTGGGGAACCTCTCTCATGATCAGTCCTCACGTAGGTCTTGATGGGGCCCCTCCTGCGCTGCCCACATGTTGAGCAAGATCAATAGGAAATGCTTGAAAGAGGCCGAGCCTATCTCGCAAACTTAACGATGTTCTTGAAGACCTCGAAGGTGACGTGGGCGTTTCCTGCATTCTGCCAAGCAGCGTAGCGCTTGACAAGGTCCACTTCAGACGTGAGGTCTTCTTCTGACAAGGGTACCTCCTGAGTGCCAGCAGTGGTGGAGATGCGAGCGAAGAACTCCAAGTTGTCAGCCTGAATTTCTGGAGAAAAGGAGACACGCTTCTTCTGCTTTGACGAAGCATATGACTTCTGGGTCTTTAGGGCCTGAGATGCAGGTATGTTCGTGGGTATTGTGAAAACGGTGCCTCTCGTGGTCTCGCTGATTGCAGCTTTGGTCTTCTGGTCGACGCTGCTCGGGATCGCTGTGGTACGGTGGTCACCGTTCGGGAGCAAATCACCATCATCCACCGCAATGTCAGTGTTGTTAGCAGCCGGTTGCTTTTGCCCACTCCCATTCAGAAGTACGTCGTCAGCAGGGTCCCAAGGTGTCGATGACTCCATAGCTGAGGCGACAGACTTCCTAGAGCTTCGGCGAGTAGGGGCTTTGGCAAGAGCTTCCGTCTGCGACGGTGCTTGATTAACTTCCACGCTTCCTCCTGCCTCTAGCTGAGCACGCTCCGCGAGTGTCTCAGATTTGCGAGGCCTCCCAAGCACTCCACCTCGCGATCCGCGAGCACGCTTTGTACCACCTCGCTGGATGTTCGACTCACTCTTGCGCTTCTTGTGTACAAGTCCCGGAGGAAGTCGATCAAGGTTTGATGGTACAGCCTCCGCCTCAGCGGCAAGAATGGCTGACACTGGGAAGTCTAAGAGCTAGTATCAGCAAATTCCAAATCTTCATGAGTCTGAGCTACGCAAGGCAAACATGAAGCAGTCAATGAAACCACGTACCTTCGAATGTAGTATCATTGATCTTCACATCCGTGGGAGGCAAGCTACTGCTCTGAATGTCCTCTCCGTTTCCGTCTGAGCTTGGCCCACTGGCAAGGTCTGATCTCGTTAGCACTGCTTGGTTAAAGACCATGTCAAAGAACATACCATGGATGGTCTTAGGTGCTTGTACGCCTTCGTCACTCAAAGAGGCCTCTTCTTCGCTTTCGCCTTCCAATGCAGCCCTAGTCCTCGCTGCGTATTATCAGCGTAATTTTCTACTAGGCGTGATACGCCGATACCGAAGGTAAAATGTAACGTACATTTCTTCACCCATTTGATGTTGAGCCCTTTCTTCGCAGCGGGTGAAGGCTTGCTCTTATTCACGTATCGCCCGTGAGGACCACGCATCTTGCCGGCTCCGGCATCTCGCCATGCGTCTACCGGTGGTGTGGTGCCGTTGGCAGTGCCATCGAGTGCGGAAGTGATTTCGTTCTCATTGCGAGCAGCAGATTCGGATACGCTGCTAGCTTTCGAAGCGGGGGAAAGGTGTGGAGCTGTTATAGTTAGCCAACGCACTGACAGTTGCGATGAGAGAAAGGAAAGGGTGTGCATTAAGCGACATGTCGGTAAGAATCAACACACTAAATGCAATACTTGTTGGCCTACTTAGAGATAAAGAAAAGCCTCGGAATAACAAACCTTGACGGTGAGCCCTTTGCTCTGGTTCTTGTTGGTCGGCTAAGGAAGGAGCAGCTGGCTGCGGCGACTTCTGCTCCTGCATCTGATATCCACTGAACTCATTTGTACCAAAAGATACTTGCAGTCTCGGGATCTGTGAAACGTAGTCTGGGGTTTGTTAGCTGACACGCGGTGGGTTTGCTGCGTGAATCCTACCACGTTGACTATCAAAACCGTTGCTCATCGGTGTGTCGCGAACCTCACTGTTAGTGTCTGAACCAGCAGTACCCATAGCAGCATCGCCGAGAATAGCGTTTTTGACAACCATGGATGACATCTTCTTCCAATTCTTATCGAAAAATGGCCACTTATCTTGCGCCTTCCCTGTTAGCTGTCGCACCCTTCGATATGCTTTGTCAAGATTGACAAAGCCTTCGCTATCGCGGATTGGACGACCCGTCTCGGCCAAAGGCTCTTGGAGGTAGTTCTTTTCTACCCACACAGCTAAAGCGACGTCTTCGCTCTTTTCGCTCTCGCCGAGGTACTTGTGGATGTCAATTAGAGTTTCCACGTCGATGAAGCCATCAATATGTTCTGGAAGCTTCATGAAGGGCAAATCTCCACGAGGTGGAACGTGTCCATTCGAAAGGTCGGATGCCATGTTGATGCGATCGCAGCGTTGACTTGGCCGCAATCTCGTGTGCGAACTTGATGTGGGGTCGGGAAAAAGCCAGCGGCTGTGCCAGGCTGGTCTTGGGTAGGTGAGGTAAGCTTGAGAAAATGAATTCAGAAGGTCTACTGGTCAACAAAGGCGCCGTGTTTCTGGTATTGAGTAAATGCAGTAGTCGCGGCTCTGTGGTTGATTTGGCAAATTGCAATCGGAAGCACCGCAAAGCTGTTATGCTGGTGCAGCGTTCAGGCCCCTCGGATGGAGGATGCGCTGGCGATCGTCAGAGAAAAGTTTGTCAGAACACTTTTAAGCGGCTGCGGAAGGTTGAAGCAGTGGTTGTCTGAAGTAATGGTGGGGGTTTTCGTCGAGGTTGAGTTATCGGTAATGGTGAAGCGCGTCCGTGGTGTCTTAAAATCCCCGTACCTTTCAGCACGGCTAGTCATGTGATTTTGTGCGTTCCCCACCAAAACACTGTCTACTGCTAGTCGCTGGCGTCTTTGAGTCTTGAAAATGCTATCGAGCGTTCTGCAAAAGTATTGCGAACACTTTCGCCCATTGTTCACACAGTCGCATCCATCTGGTGGTGCAGAATCAGAACGGTTCCTTCCCACCTCCTCATATGATGATTAGATCAGATCAGGAGCCGGCATGTCCACTGACGTTCATACTCACCATGGCTCGGTTTTCAAGGCATTCTACTAGCGAGACTGTATTCACGAAGTGCGCTGCCTGATCTTTCCACAATCAAGTTATCGTTCGTAACGTCTAAAAGCGTTTTGCAAGACAAACGAGATTCTGCAGAGTAAGGATAGTCGTCAGTATATAAAAGGACTCATCTACTTAATGTTGTTGGTATAGCTCAAATTGAGCGCTCGCTGACTGTCCTTTGCGTCCATTTTCTTACAACCTCAATTCATTGCAGTCAGGTGCGTAATTAGTCGTAGGGTGCTAGACCTCCCCTTGCGGACATGAAAGCGTGCAAACAATGCACCTATTTCCACGAGTTTCACCATTTTCTCCTCATGTCAGTGCCCAACTCGAGTTGTGAGACGCTACTGCAAATACTTACTTGTAGGTCAAGTAACAAGCTGTGTGTCTTCTTTCGTATTTGAAGGATTGGCGAACAATCCAGGGAAGACCTGAGGATTCAGGACTGACAAGCAGGTTATATGGTCTTGGTATCTTGCTCCCTACACCATGAGATAATGCTGCATAGGCTCCAGAGTCCGGCTGGCCAAGAGTCAAGCTCGTGAGAAAGGGGTCCAGGACTAACGTACACTTCTAAACCAATTGTCGTCGACAAATCGAGCGATGGAACAAAATTCTAAACCATAGACGGTCGGCTGGAAGAAGGATATCTTGGATGGCAGAAAGGGGAGGAAAAGAAGGAAAAGTGCGACAAGATGACGTATGGCCGATTAGCGCCGAACCAAAACAGCGTCTTAACTCGGGCTCATAGCTTTCGAATCCCACTTCACCATTCATCAAATTTTTTGGCATAGTCTTCTCTTAATGAAAAATAACTCGTAGCTGGATTACAGAATTAATTTGGTATAAGCATCCCATGGTTACTTGTCTACTCGCGGACTTGGCTAGGAGCGGAGGTCAGGTCAGACCAATACCAGTGGACGGTGCATTAGCAAAACATCTTCTAAAGGATCCCATTCTTAGCGTTCGGTTGCACGAGCTCGGGCTGAAAGGATAGGCTGGAGGTAGTCTGGCTTTTGGCACCTTGGAAGCACACCCACGCAGCAACACTGGAGCAATGAACAACCTTGAATGTTCCACACAAACTTATCTCTGGCATCCGGTATCACTATCTCTCTTGGAACGACATTATTCCAACGTTATATTACCAACCTTAGGTCTCCCATTGCGCAAAAGGTCGAGCACAAGAGTTAGACCCCGGCATTTACAAAGCCAAAAAAGCAAGAAAACGGACATTGAAAACCTCTGCGAAGGATACACTAACCTTTATTGTAGGTATGCATAAATTTCCGAGATATACAAGTACACGCTGGAAAACCCTACACTGTTAAAGCACCACCTTGGCGACCAGGACCATGCATCAACATTACCACGGAAGAGTTTATGCTTCGCAGACGATACCTACAGCTATTTGCGCACCGTATAATACTATCATAGCTACGATGGCTAACACAAGGTTTGTACTGGCTTTCAGTGGCAGGGCAGACACGTTGCCAACGACGGTACACGGAAGGACAAAGCTGACAAAGTCAAAAAGCATCAGCTCATCAGCACATAGCCTGTATTAGTAATATCTCCAAGTGGACCATGCCTTGCTTTATTTACGTTCAGGTACATGCGTGTCGACAGATCCTGGAGGGCCCCACTGACTTCAGACATGTCGAAGTTGCCCTGAGCAAGGTTCACGAAAGGGAGGCAAGGGGAGAGAAAGTCAAGGTTAAATAGTGGTTTCCTATCCTGAAGGCATTCAAGCTGCTGAAAGGTTAATTGTCTCCAGATCAGACTTAGAAACTCCAAGGCGAAAAGTTGAGGGCGTTGTTTATTGAATCAATGAGGAGTTGATGATGGTGAAGACCTCCTGGGTCAGCTTAAAATCCGTCACGCATTCCTTTTCAGCACCGTCTCGACCACCATCATAATCTCAAGCAACTCTTCGTCCATAAGAGGCTTGCCCACAACCTGAATATGCGCTGGCATTCCCTCAGCCGCTTCGGAATTGTCTGCATTACATCAGTCTTGCCTACCATCCTCAAAAGGCCAGGAAACTTACAAGCTGGCTCATACTTCACACTCTCCTTCAAAAATTCCGCATCCGCGTTCTTATCCGCCTTCCCATGCGGCAGTATTCCCGCAGGATAGTCTAACAAGTTCACCAAGGCTGTGTAGATTGGCAGTCCGTACGTGTCGTGTCCCGGCGCCACGGCCTGGTATCCTGGCATCAGGATGGCATCCAAACCCTCGCTGACGAAGAGGTTCTGGTACTTCTTCAGTACACTGGCGCGCTGCACGTTCATGTCCCATAGCGTGTCTAAGCTCGGTTTCCAGGAGGAGAGCTCCGGCCAGCCAGAAATCTTCAGGCTCGGGATGGGATCCTCGCCTGAGGCTCTCAAGTGTTGGAAGGGTGTACCGGAGGGGTCGAGCATGAAGTACTTCCACGCCAGTTCGACATCGGCGTACATATCGCCAATCTTCTCGTCCAACAGCACGATATTATGTCCCGCAGCTTTCAGACTCATAGCTGCGGAATGCAGCGCACGCGCAATTGGCGGATGCAAAGGTCTACTCGGCGTACTGCGGATCAACCCAAACCTCAACTTCTTCTCCCGAAGCCCGGCATCTGGCGTCCGCCAGGGAATGTTCAGCGCCATGGGATCTAGGTTCCAGGGCTGAGAGGAAACAATTGTGCGAAGGAAGAGTTCGTAGTCCCGAATCGATCTTCCGCAAGGCCCGATGACCGGGAGTATCTGCCCTGGACTCCCCAACCGTCCTGGCGGCACACCGCCCGCAAACGGTACACGCGACGCGCTCGGCTTGATCGAACTGATCCCACAACAAAGCGCTGGGATGCGGTTTGATCCCGCAATATCAGTCGCGACACCCAAGACACTGCCATTCATAGCAATCAGCGATGCTTCACCCCCCGTGCTTCCTCCCGCAGTCAAAGTGAGGTTGTGCGGGTTCAATGTGCGGCCGAAGATGTTGTTATGACTGTCTGCCGTCATCATAGTCTGCGGGATATTCGTCTTGACATAGAAAACAGCGCCAGCTTCAAACAGGATCTGCACTACAGCAGAATTGGTTGTCGTGGGCGGATTGGTGATGAAGGAAACGTAACCAATCGTGCTCTGCACACCTTTCACGTTGAACGAGTCTTTGAGCGAGATGGGCAGGCCATGGAGCGGTCCTACTGGGCGTCCTTCTTTCTTGAGGAATTCGTCACACTCGTTCGCTCTGGCTAAGGCCTGGTCGATCATGATTTCCGTCAGGCAGTTAGTGGTTTGATGGGCGATGGCTGCGCGCTTGCAGAACGCTGTTGTGACTTCGATACTGCTCAGCTCACCTTTCACCATTAATGCAACGAGGTCGGTGGCGTCGTGGGTTTCCGTAATTTCTAGTTCTTTCTGCGTCAGGATGCCGCAGGTTCGCGGGACATCGAGGACGGAAATAGGGTTCGTTTCAGTGTATTGCGAGGCCTGTTCGATGGGGAGAAGCCAGTCCTTCGGGATCTTGTTGAATGTTGAGACCCGTTTTGAGAGGGCGAGTCGTTTCCAGTCTGCTACCTTGACTGGGAGTTCTGAGTTCGACATCTTATGGTGTTGATCTGGGTTGATAGTCCGGTGTGGGTTCAGGTGTCTACGTGAAGTTGAGGGGCGGTCCAGAGAAAATTGAGGGTCAAGCTATGATACACTGATCAAAGTCGTGATGTGTAGTAAGATATATGGGCTTAAGTCCGGATATTGTATAGTTCGCCACCGTACGTGGAGTGGTGTGGGGAGCTCATGTGGAGAGCCGACGTTACTCGGAACGAAATCCGTGTACCGACATGGAGGGGTACGTCCACCCTTCCCAATAAATTGACAAGCACAACCTGCAATTGCTGGATTTGGATCAAGCTCGTAGTTAGCAAGCTTTTATCATTCCCAGTATCATGGGATGTCACTGCAGAACGCGCAGGTGCCTGTTGCACTTTCGGGAAAATTGGTGTTAGGTTCAAGTAAACAGCCTCACAATATCTACTCCTAAGCATGGCCCAGTGAGGTATGTCCATCCAGCCCTCTAGGTCTTTCTGGAACGCCCTGGAGTCCCCTAGCGACTTATGAACGGCCTCGCATCGAACTGGGCAAACGAACAAAGACCCTGATTCCTAGTCTAGTTGCCTGGTTTCTCACATCTACGGGAGGCCACTTGAATACTTCACACCTTCTCATCAGCAACTCTCCGGATCCGCACCACAGTCTCTTTAGGCTTCGACAGGAACAGCGAATGCCCAGTATCTAACCTGACAACATCCACGCCATATCACGGCGGATACTCTCCTCCAGCCTCGTCATGCAAACTGATACCCTCTTCTATCATGAACGCACACATGTATCTACACTTCACTACTCCGCCTCTCAGACCCTTCTCTTTCCTATGTTCCTTACTGTAGCCTACGAGAGCGCTACCGGCTATCATCCCGCCCCAGCTATGACTTGACGATAACATCATTGCCATCTGCGATGGCATAGTCAACGATTGAGCGTGCAGCGGCAACACCTTAAGCAAGATCTATAGGTGAGGTTCACAATGGTGGAACGCCGACTGCTGGGAGTTGAGCGTGCACCACGTACAGATGATCTTGAAGGATGGCAGTGATTTTAGCAAAGTAGGTGGGTGAATGCCAGGTACCATGTAGGAGAATGATCTGAGGTTTTGAGGTCGCCATGGCAAGCTGTGAGCGCTGAGTGATCAGTATGGTTGGAGCAGGATGTGGGTGGGTTTGTATCTGATGCCAATCCGTGCTTTATAAGTAAACGACATTAATAAAGCTGTCAGCGCGAAAAAGAAAGACATGATGTTGATTGGTCAATTATCAGCTTGCCGAAGCGATGATGCCTACCGGATCCTGACCATGCCTCCATTGTTGGTCGAAAGCCAAGAGTCTGGTCGATCTGGTCAACGATCGTGCTGAGATTGCTATCCACCATTGTCTTAGTTTGTCAGTAGCGCGGTAAGATGAGGCTGCACGCGCCGCCTGCCTCCAAATTTGAAAAACGCTTGTTGCGAAATGCGAAATTGGGTATATTATCCGTCCAACCTTAGCTCTAGCCATTACCAAGGTGCATTCTGGTGCCGGCGTTACTTGCAATATTGGATGCAGCGCGTCGGCCAAGCTGTGTGGTGTCCGTTGCGTGTAGGTGTCTAGAAGAATCTCCACCAGACAAAGACGATGACAATGAATGCAAGGCCTCCAATAGGACCGTACTGTATCGTGTCAGCGCTTGTCGTTCCACCGTATTCCAAGCTCGTTACTCACCTGCTTCAACAGCAGCTCCCAATTGGCTCGTACTGCCGCTTTCTTGTATTTTCTGCTGTCTTCTCGTAGCCTGCTTGATATGTCTCCCATGCGCTCTAAGCTGTCTCCTCTGTATAGTAGATCTTCGATGTTTTTAGTCATGACCTTCGTCACGTCCTTGAGCTCGTCATTGAGCTTGTCCAAGTTCTGTGTCGCCCGCGAATCCTGGTATGTCTTCTTTGTGCGCTGGATGAACGTGTCAAACTCGACGAATGCGTACGGCCGGCATGATGGCGAGAGGTACTGCTGTGGCTGGTAGATGGTAGTGAACTCTTGCGAGAGATCAGAGAGGTATGTGAAGGCGAGCTTGCGGGGGTAAGAGCGGTCGCATATGCAGAGAAAGCAGAGGTCGCCGCTGATGAGGTAGCTAGTATAGACTTTCAGCGAGTGCAATTTTATGAAGGAGGCTCGAAAACATACTGGTATGTGTAGGAGCCGTTTTCGATACTGGCTTGCGGTTCTGAGTTGCGATTTAATCGGCGCTGGACGAGCTTGACCTTTCCCTTGACTTCATTGAATTCGGCGTCCTCTTGGCCATCGTCGACCGAGGCAGTCAGGATCAGACCTGTGACTCGTCAACACTCAAACAATGACGTCTCTCCGGAGATGCATACCATCAAGTCGTGAGATGATTGTGTGCTTGATCATTATCGCGGTGCAAGCGACAGAATTCCTGAAAGTAATACAGGCGACTCTCACGTGCAGAATAACTCGAATATCTGCCTAGAGATAGCGAGGTGGTGGTATTGAGGCTACGTGTCGCGGTTCAAGTTGGCCATTTCGTCCAAGGGTGACGATGCGGAAAGAACGCGGAGGTCCGAACACGGGCCACCAACACACTACCACCACCTCGACCTCACCTGCAGCAAGAATCTTTACGCCCTGTTGCAATTTGCTTGATAATAATAAGATCACAGAAAAGCTTCATTGTAGCGCTGCGCATGCGCAAGAAGCTGTGTTTGACCAGAAGACAACGTGACTTGGCGCGTCAACAATCCCAACGGCATGCCTGCTCGACCTTTCCACCTTCTACAACTCGTGACTTCTCCGGTACCCCTTACAAGTACGCGGTAGCGCGCCAACTTCACTGCGTTCGTTCAGCGCCCATTTCAACTCGGAGTTTTAAACCTTCAGTCTGGTTGTCACTGTCCCAGCGCACGATCACAATTACCGTGTATCAGCTGTAGTCTGCTCAGTTCTCACCGTACTGATTCCTGAAGGCGAGCCTTAGAATTAGAGGTGTGGGGCTCGAACACCTAAATCAAGTTCGCCATGTCTCAACCTCCACGGTATGTACGCACCCTTCACCTCAATATTCGTCTGCCCGGCTGAGCATACACCCACTTCTCACGTGTCAGTCGCTACCTCAACATTTCTTTTCTCTTACCTTGCTCTTCAATGTGGGATTTCTAGCCAGTGCTTGAAGGCACAGTCCACTATGAAGCCTTGCGTTTGTTCAGCCCGTTGTTATGACTGTTTCGATTAACAAAGACAGGGCGACAAACGGCACAGGCTCTGCTGCCGGCGATAGTCATTCGCACTACACCCTGGTCTCACACACGAAGACGAAGACACCTCTTCAGCAAACGGATATCTCAACTCTCTCTACATCCCGGAAGAAGACGACCATGGATCAAGCAACTCCAAATCTCTCTCCATTCTCTTCTGTACCTGACAGTCCGCGCCTATCAGCTAAAGATGGCATTTCGCATTTCCCTGTCCAGTCGTCGTCCACATCTCGTGGACAGCCTGGCCCAGAAACCAACGACGACAATCTGCCTGTGTCAAGAGCAACTTTACCTGGCATATCTCCTGCAGCTACGCTCGAAACTACCGAAGACCGTGCGACGAAACGACCATTCAAACGAACTCGAGCAGAGGAGGATGATCATGAAGGTTCCTCACCAGTACCCAAAAAGCCGACCAGAGAGGCAGAGAGGAAGGCGGTCAAGACAGCCCCTCGTAACACCGAAGCACCAAACGAGACTACTGTAGACGACCACGTCCATACTTTAGCCGAGGATGGCGTGTCTTCTGCAGATAAGCTTACTAAGCCAGAGAAGTCAGTCAAGAAGTCGAAGATAAGATCAAAGACTGGACCGAAGAAACCGGCTGCTACTTCGAAACTGGGGCGTGCCTGCGACACCTGCAAGAGACGCAAGGTAAGTCCTGAATAGCCTGCAGTCGCAATCCGCTTAGCTTACCCTTTGAAAGGTGAAATGTAAACATCGTCTTGTCGAGGAAGGGACTGGTGATGAAGACTATCCACCGAAGAAGCCGAGCCTAAAGGGAGGTATGGATGAGGCAAAGAAAAAAACGAACCCCACGCAAATCGATGAGGAGGATGGGTTAGCGGACACGGGAGCATCGGAACCAAAGCAGGCAGTAACCCAAGTGGGTGGTACGGACCACCTCGATGTGCCGATTGAACAAGAGTCGACCAAGAAATCCAAAGCAAAGAAGAAGGATGTGCCAAAGAAAGCTCGAGCTCCACCAGAACGTACCAGCACACGCAACCGCAAAGCGCCCGAACGGTTCGAAGTCGTTGAAGAGAAGCCGCCAGCCAAAGCATCCCCAGGAAAGAAAGGTGCTAGCAAAGTCTTTGACCCAGTCTACATCACTACAAACTCGACCGGTCGCCTGGGTAAAGCCGACATGTATCACATGCTGCTTGAAGACGAGGCATGGACAAATCTGTCAGCCGAGCAGCAGGCTACGCTTGTCTCTATGCTTCCAGATACCGCAGAGACCCAGCAGCTTCTAGCCAAGATCAAGGCAGGCGAGACGGAGGACACTCGACCGCAGATTTTCAAGGCGAACGTCTGCTTCCGCACCGAGGTTGCGAAGTTCCAGGCGGACCTGACGAACGGACATCTGGCGAAGACGTGGCAAGCAGTTGCGGAACAGGCCGTCATCGAGCGCGCAGCGGGCGAGTACGATGCTTGGAAGGCTGAGGAGGCGGAGCTGTGGTGGGGCCAGAAGAGCAAGTAATGATTTAGTCAACATCTAAGCAGTCCAGACGGAGTAGGAAGCATTGTGTAAGGGCATCGAGCTCTGGTGCTATTAAAGCTGTGAAGAGAACCACATGATAAGTAGACTATTGCTTGAATTCACAGAAGCAACAGTCCGATGTGAAAGGACCGATAGGGCACCTTCCAGCTATCAAGCAAACATATCTCATCACATGTTTCACATCACACACCTTCCAGCACCCCATGGATCTACCACCCCTGCCTATAAGACACTCATGGCAGAGTCACATAGGCTACTAACTGACAGTTATTCCACGACAAACATGCCACCAGATACACGCACCCAGAACCACACCGAGTACCTCCAATCCGGCCTCATTCCCGTCGCCCCCACCAGCATCGTAAACACATGCAGTATCTGCCACGAATTCTACTCCTCGCCTGTCCTTCTCCCAGGATGCGGACACATCTTCTGCCGTACCTGCATAACAGCATGGTTCGCCACCGGGGCGAACACATGCCCCATGGACCGCAAAGTTCTATTCCTCCCTTCGCCTACTGACACTGACGAGGAGGACATGACAGATCTCTACGGCATGTCTGCTCTAGCTTCGAGACGTTTGAATACGGCGACGACGGTGAGGGCAAGACGAGCGGTTGAGAACCTCTTCATAGACGGCCAAATCGTCGCTACCAACGCCGTCCTAACACGTCGCGGCTGCCAAGTCGTAATCCATGACCTATGGTACCACACCGCTCGACTCTTACAATCTCTCGAAGGCTTCTGTGACCGAGAGATCGACCCTTTGGATTTGGATATCGAGCTTTTGAGAAGCTGTACCCAAGGAGCGGTTCCAAGGGGCGTAAGGTGCTCAGAGGAGTGCTGGGTCGTGCTGTATGGATGTGTGAGGCAGATGTTGGTGTGGCATCATCAGGGAGGCTGGCACAATGGATGTGATGGAGAGAGTTGGCTGCAGGTGGAATATTTGGAGGTTTTTGTTGATAGGTTGCATGAGGTTTGTGGTGGTGTGTGGCGGTAGGTGAAGATGCTCTTGCTATCGGCGCCTGGCTTGACTGCCTCCCGGCAGGCTTTTCTGAGCAGCAACTGCCTCTGTAAGCTTATTTTAGTCATCAAGCGTTGTTGAAAGAGGTGAAATCGAGATCTGTTTTGTTTACATCGATGTCGTAGCTGCCTTTTGCGGTCACTGCTTGTCATACCAAGACCTATGTTTACAGCTTCGTCGTGCTCACCTCTGTCATTTTCTCTCCAGCCTCACCCACTTTGACAATTTCAAAGTCTTTAATTCGTTCAATTCATCAGCAATGCCGTCCGCGATCGCTATCGTCTTGCACATGGGTGCACACAAGTTCCTTCGCCGTCTGAAGATGGGTTTGGCCCTTCTCTACATTCTCGTTGCTCCTCTCCTCTTCGCCGCCCAAGCGATTGTCCCAGCCTATTTCCCCAATTGTTTAGCATAAATTTGCTGTGGCTTCTGCAAATGTATCGCCTATTACAACAATTTCAGAACGGAATTGGCGGCCCCTCTCAGAACCTTCTGGCCCCAAGATGATTCTATGATTGGGAAATAGCTTGTTGGACCGATTCTCGCTGGAATCACGGAGCTCAGAACAACATCCATTTCTTCATGGGACCTTTTTGGTCATAGTTGCTGTCTTGACCTACTTACCCACCAAAGACGCATGTCGTCTCAAAGAGTTCATGATGAGACCACTTGAAGCCAACCAGGCCATTTCCTCTTCCTCTCTCTCGACACGATTCCTCTTCGGACATATCTTCTTTTTCCTCTCTCCGCCGGTGCCGCGAACAGGTCAGGTCGACCTCATTCGAAGATCCTTTGGAGTCGATCTCGACTTCCTCACGCTGCCGTGTCGTCGCCCGCTCTCTCGATACTCTCCCTTTGTCATCCACTCTGTCTTCTGGATCCCTCCCGGCTGCGACGAGACATGTCCGATCGACAAATACTAGTCGACTATCCCACCCCGTCACTTCGGTGCGGTGTTTAATCCCTCCGGGGTAGGGTGTGGGCCCTCATTAAGGATAGTGTCTTGTGTACTTCCTTAAGGAAGGTTGCATTGTTTTCACTAATGCTGTGTGCATTGTAACCCAACATAGCACCTTCTCATCGAGTCCAACACCATCCTCATGATCAGGAAGGAGGTTGACGACATTCTGGCCCTGCAATTTCATCGAAGCTATCTGCCTTGTAGCCAACATAGTACCTCATCATCCGCCCCAACACCATCCTCCCATTCAGCCAGGAGGTCTACAGTGGTTTGGTACTGCATAATCTCACGGATACATGCCAGCCAAACAAAATTCAGGGTTCATATGCGTGCCATGGTACCACTCTCCAACCCACAACCCCTCAAATATTGAAAACCAGACATAGTATCCAGCTACCATCGAGTAACCTTTGAATTCCTTCCTACGCATCTCGCACCCCGATTCCCTTCATCCAGCACCTCGAAAATGCATTTCATTAAAACCACTCCCATCTACTGCCATGTTCGCCTTCGCGCTCACCGCCGCCACACCAAGCCTAGCATCGCCTGTGCCTATCCCACCTGTACCTGACCAAGATCTCAAAGTCAGCATTGAGCAGATGTCGAAATTTGACTGTGTTATACGCTGTCTCCCTCCTACCCTCTCACCTTTACGACATGCTTCATGAATCATGATACTGATGTCGTTTTCTAGGGATCGTGCCTCTATTAGCATACACATGAATATGATTTGCAGAGCAAGAGCCGCCAGCAATTCTGCTTCACGGATGCGTTCCGTGCAGATATTTGAATAACACGGTCGTGCCTTGTATGCTTGAGCAGTGCCCCAGGGAGCAAATGCCGGAGATTGAGCAAAGTATGTTCTATGAGTGGTTGTGGTTGCGGAGTGAGAGAATGTGTGCTAACGTAAACTAGATAGCCGTGACTGGCTGCAAAGCTTCTGTGGGTATGGGGGCTGGCATCCGTGAAGAGCTGTGTGCATCTTCATAGTGTTGAATGGAACATGGCCGCTTCTGGCAACACGGGTCGATTTGAGATGTTCAACAGAATTAGGGCTCACGGTTCTTAATATTTGCATATTGGGTTGGTGTCGACGCTACCTCCAGGGCCCCATATGGAATGTTCCATGAAACGGGATTGAGATTTGCAATTCTCCCATTCGGGCTTTCGGGCTCGGCAGTCTGAGGACCTTCTGGGTCTTGTTTGGGACCTCCATTTCCTGAGTTTAGGGATCTCGCGGGTTTACGATTGTGAGACTTGTCACGATTTCCCTAGAATTGAGATGTACAATCTCCACATTTTGGATACGGGGTTGATGTCTCGTCTGCCTCCTGGGTACTATCGACACGAACCAAGGCGAAGGTTTAATATTGGGTATCATAATGGTCAAACGCAAAAAGTGAATACATGAACATATTCCTGGACTTGCTCACAATGCAGGACCAGCCGGCGTTGTGGGACTAGCGAGTCCCTTGCTCTTCCTTCTCTTTCTCTTCTCCTCTTTTGGCAGGCCAACCACGCTGCCTTTCCTACTTGGTCCTTCCAGAGCTAGAGGTGTTGCAATGCCTTTAGGTGTTGCCACGGCTGAGGGAGCCACGCTGGTAGGCTGAGTGTCGGTCTTCGTGATAGGCTGGGTAGATTGCGAGGCCTGACTGGCCTGCTCCTGAGCTTTGTTCCGTGCATCGACGTGGCTCTTCGAGTTTGTGAAGACGAAGGCGCCAGGCTCGCCAAGCAGGGGGTTCTCGTCCATGTACTCGTCTCCATAGGCATGTGTCAGGTTCAGGGAGCGCATGAAGAAGGCGTCTGAGAATTGGGTGGTGGATGCGGCAGAGTCGATGGCGGCTGTGGCGTCTTTGGTTTGTGATTGCGAGGTGGACGCATCAGGGTCTGTGGGTGCGAGCGTAGGGCTGCCAATGCGACTGGCAGCCGCGTCAGCCTTTGCAGGCTCATATGAGGGTGGGAGGTATGTGTGACCGGTTGCTGGTGACCAGTGCGACATGTTCTTGGATAGCTCGGCCATCTGCTGCATTCTTGTCGATACCGTCAGTAGACGCGCCTGGACAACATCCAGCAGGCTCGGCGCCATGAGCAGTCTTGTGCCTTGCGTGTAGTAGTTCCCCTCGTTCACTGTCTCCGGGTTCCCAGTTTCTCTGTTCTCGACCTTGCGCTGCCGTTGTATGAGCCATGGCTGTCCTTCGGCCTTCGGCTCGCCTGCGACGATGAACTGTAGCCCAGAGTTGTATTTCCGCAGCTCAGCCTCATACGTGGGGCGGTCGTTTAGTAGTTGCATGCCATTGGGGTGGCCTTGTGCAGTCGAGTATACGGCGCTGTTGTTGCTCTCTCCGTCGAAGAAGGGCGAGTTCATGAGGTAGAAGATGGCATTGTTGTCGCTGTCGAGATGCGCTAGCGGCATCTGTGGGTCGACATATTCCTGCTCGTCGAGGGGCGGTATTACGGCCGGCATCTTAACGTGTGTTCGTGATTGTGTCGTGTTGGAGAGAGAGATGTCTTCACGTCGTGGGGAAAGAGCTCAGCGGTCCAAGCTCCACCGCGGCAGGGACCTCCGTCATCTCGCCGCAACTTTCCCTTTCTGGTTTATTCACTCACCTACACCACACCACACTCCACCATGGATCTTCTGCAAACAGTGCGCAAAGAAGGCAGCCGGTATGTCGCACTCAAGCGAGGGAAACATGTCAGTGCTAATACTATCGTAGCGGCGGCCGTGCCGAGTTCAAGTGGGAAGATGTCAAGAACGACGCGCAGCGCGAGAATTACCTGGGTCACTCGCTCATGGCGCCAGTTGGGCGTTGGCAGCAGAACCGTGATCTTACCTGGTACGCGAAAGGTGACGCCGAGTCCAAAGAAGCTGAGGCCGCACGCCTCAAGGAGGAGAAGCGGAAGCTGAAAGAGGCCGAGGAAGACGCTATGCTTGCAGCCATGGGCCTGCCAGTGCCAGAACGGAACAACGCCAACTTGACACCACTGGGCGAGAGAGCGCATGAGGCGGATGTCAAAGATGCGCTAGAGGAGAAGGCAAAGGTCGGCGAAGATGAGGACAGGGCCAAAAGAAAGGACAAGAAGGACCGGTCGCAGCGACACAGAGACGATGGCGATCGTGACAGGCGGAGAAGGCATCGCTCAAGGAGTCGCTCGCAGGACCGAGATCGCCGTCACAGACACCGAGACCGCTCGAGGTCCCGCGATAGGCGAAGAGATGTCGACCGAGAGCGTGACAGGCGAAGGCGCCGTTCACGAAGCCGCGAACACAGGCGACGTGAAGACCGTGCCGAGCCCCGAAGAGAACGCAACCCAGATGGCGAACGATCACGATCACGATCGCACTCGAGGAACCGTCGCCGCCGGCGTGATTCGAGGAGCAGATCACCATACAAGGCTGAGAAAAGACGAGACTAGGTGCGCCTGTGGTCGCATTGTATCTCTGATTTCATCAAGTTCTTGGACTAATACAACTACTCACCTCTGGATCTTCGATTTGGATTGTCAGGCATGACTTTGGAGGTCTTCTCCAACTTTATCCCAGTAGGCCCGCTTCAACAATTGGACTCTCCTCATTAGTGACTGCCAGAGCTATGGCGATCTCAATCCTTCTCAAGTCTATGCAACAATCAACTTCACAACGCCTTGCCGACTCTGGGCCGCCTAAAGAGGTAGTAACAACTCAGAACAGCCTTCATGGAAGCAGTCAAGCCATCTCTCGACCGTAAGCGCACCTTGATAACTACCCACAAAGGCTCCATATCGCTCTTGAAGAGTGCCATCCACCAAAACCACAGAAGCTTGGAACCATCCGCGGCTCTTTGTTCGGCATCAGCATATAGCCTGTTGTACAATTGCAGAAGGTTACAGAGGCAGTTGCTGCTCAAGAAAGCCTGCCAGGAGGCGGCGGTGAGGTCATGAACTATGGCAAGAGCATCTTCACTTTTGCAGATGAGGGCGACTGAGAAGCCGCGCAAACGAGCACCTGGGCCTGAATTTCTTTTCGTCATTAGGTACTGACTGCTCTGGTACTTCCTTGTGCAACGACTTTGAGACCAGAGTACGAATCACAGCTCGAGAGCAACAAATAAGATTGCCATCGAAGCCGCTACAAGCTGCCCAAGCCCGATGAATAGGCTCCAGTCTCCATGTGCAATACCAAAGATGACTATGATCATCCAGATCAGAGCGAGTGCAACCAGAAATCGCAACAAACTGGCCCGCAATCGTTTGGTCTGCCATCCTAGTATGATCCTTATCGCCGGTAGCTTATCTGTTCGGTTGACTTTCTTCAGTCGAGACCTCCAGAACACCAGCGACGAACATTAGATAGCGATATGTGAGCTTACATATTATCAAGTACAAAGCTTTCCTGTGCCAGACCCTCCAGAACAGAGCGTGTTCCGTCCTTGGTATAGCCAATAGCAGACCAGGGATTCTGCACATGCTTCTGAAGTAGGGAAAATCGAGAAGGGAGTCTTTCCGTGTTTGAGCCTGTTGGATTTGGAACTCGATGCAAGGGCCGGTGTAGTATTCCATGCAGCTTCGGCAGGCTTGACCGTGGTAGTCGGTTGGTAGCCAGCATGGGTCCTCGTCATCGCTTGAGGCAATTACGTTATTGGCTTGCTAGCGAATCTTGTCGCTGCTGAGAGGGTAGATGTTGATGGGTATGCGGTTGGTTGCGTTCGAAGTTTCGATCAACTAACCTATACTTCCCGAACATCTACACTATAAAAGAGTACCCATCTCTTCCACTTGCCCAAGTGTACGTAGCAAGTCTCTCTTAGCTTGGAGTAAAATCATGGTGTCACTTTCGTGCCTCTTCAGTAGGCTTCATAGGTATGAAATAGCGTTTCCACACACCAGTTCTTGAGCTTCGCCTAGAGAAAGCGACTTCGCGCCCGTCCTGGGGACGATAACACGGTATTCGAATTTGCGAACGGCTCTTCACCCTTTCTTGGGAGAGCAAGGTAGCAATGCTGGCCCGCTCGACGTGAAGAGGGGCCGTCAGCCTTGCGCAGGAAGCCGTTGTTTTCCAAGTTGAGCTGACAGTGTACGCCCATCCGTCCCACTTCCTGGGATGGGACGCGTGTTGAGACTGGCAATGCATCCTGCTTGACCAGATCGATGGTACGGCATTCCCTTGTCACCACTGGCTCTTGGTGCTGTCCTCTCAGTCCTTGCCCCCTTGTGATTGGGCTTCCAAGCTCTAAACGCCAGATCACCCTCGCGCTCAAGACTATCCAAAGCAATTGAAGGACATGGTAGTAGGTGCATAGGTGTCGCGTGCTACAAGAACAAGTTGGGGACTGTGGATGTATTCCAGGGTGCAGACTTGAGTGGATTTCAGGTCAGCCTGATGGAATCGATGCTCGTGTCTCTGCCTAAGCATTGCCACTGGCCCAATTCTGCAGCCTCTTCGAAAACGCTTGCATTCGGCACTTAGCTGGCGCATGGCTGGCAGGTCGAGAGTAAACACCTGAAGTATATAGATCTTCCGCTATTCGAAAGGCGAAGGATAAACAATCAGCATCAGAAATCGAGTCCCGGAGGTCTTCACGGACATGTACCGGCTTTTTCTGTTGGAAAGAGCACACTGGGACGGTTACGAAAGAAAAGTAAACATACTGGGATCCTGATATGCGCCGCCGTCAGGCTGCGATGAAGTTCATCAACGTATTTTCATTACATCCACCCCATGTTCACAGACATCTACTTGCTACTATCTTCCACCACGCCATCGCTCTATAAACCGATTGTAGGCGCAGCCTTGTTACTAGCGCCCAGCAAACCCATCGTAAGTATATCATGTCAAGGCATACCATTAACACACTATATCGGCCGTGAACCCTTCTTTTATCTTTTCGTGCAATACCCGATGCTCATGTGAAAGGTTTTTTTCCGCGCAATACACCGAATCGCGCGAGATGATATCTGACAGAACCGCAAGAAGTATGGTATATGAACAGTAAAACATGCCGGCCCACCCAGTACAAATGCATGTAGCAATGAAAGTGAAGAGTAGCGGTGCGCCTTATGAGAAGTCGTGTGAGATCGTTCAAGATGTCGATTCCTCGATCTTCACGCCCTCAGTGACGGAGGGCATGGTCTTCGAGGTCGATGTTGCAGAATGTACAGGTTCGTCGATGGTTGACGCGGAGGTGGAGGGGAGTGTGCTGCTCCGGGGTGACTGTGCCGAGCTCGAAAGGCTCGGTGTGGGTGGTATATCGTCACGAGTTTCTGTGGGAGAGTCGGTGCGATTAAATCGGTCCATCTTCCTTTCGACCTGCAAAGAAATCAGTACAGTCGTCAGTGGTCACAAGGGATGAGTTCTTTACCGAGATAATCTGCTTCCCAGAGATGATCTTCTTCGCCTTCTCCAATTCAGGCTTGAGTGCTTCGACGAAGATGTCGTAGTCGGGGCGGGTAAGAGTCTCGAGCATCTTCTGAATCACGTAATTGCCAAACCCATCCTTCAGAAGGCTCAATAGATTGTTCTCGCCACGCTCGTTCTTCGTGATGACAGTCGATACGAGTTCACGACGTTCTGCTTCCGATCCGCAAACCAAGGAGCGCTCGACAACGTTGCTAGCGAACTTGTGTTTACTGAACATGAGAAATTGGTTCTTGATCAGTGTGATCATCTTTGCCCGATCTTCAGGCAAACCGTGCTCGATGACGTGCTGCACAACGTAGTTGCCGTAAGAGTCGGTGATGAGCTTGGGGCCAGCCGCGTGCAGTTCAGTGAGGATGAATCGGCGCTGAGGCTCTGGAATCTTCTCAACCAACCGCTGGATGACGCGGCAGCCATAAGAGTTGGTCGAAAGATTGTCAATCTGGCCTCTGAAGGAGTCAACAATTGGCTGGATGTACTCGATCGGGACTCGCTCGACAACTCTTTGGATGACGTGGTTGCCGTTCTGGTCCTTCACGGTCTTCAGTACGTCTTTTTCCAATTCCTTGGCCATGGCAGCTTGCTGGTCTACAAGCACGTGCTCGAGTGCCTTCTGCACAACTCGGCAGGCGTACATCTGGTTTGACAGCGCAAACACATGACCTTTCATCTTTCCAGCCAAGACGCGTTTTTGGATCTGATCACCATGCTCGAAGAACTTCTGGATCACATAGTTGCCAAAGACGTCTTGCATTAGCTGCAATGCGTTCTTCTCGAGTTCCCGGAAAATGTGGTCCTTCACCTCGCTGTTGGCGGTCTCTAGCTTTTGCTGGATGAAGCGGGATCCATGCTGGTCTCCAGCGAACTCCACTACGTTCTCGTAGATGTCGGTCAGCTCCCAGCGCTTGTTCTGCTTGCTCTCTTTCTTGAACGAGTCTAGTACAAGGCTCATGGCACCAATGTTGTCTGCGGCTTGCTGCATCCGCGGGCCTCGGGGCGCTTCGAGGACAGGCATCATAGGCGCCATCTGGACCATAGTCATGTGCGGTGGCAGCGCAGTCATGGGCATACCGTTCGGCATCGCATACTGATAGGCTTGGGGGTTGCGTAATTGGTTCATCGGCAGCATCTGCTGGTACTGTTGGTAGTATTGAGGTGGTGCGACATTGCGTCGTTCTTGCTGGATCTGGTAGCCCGCCAGCTTGTTCTGAACAAGCGCGATGTTGTTCGGGTGGTTGAGTCCCTGATCGCCACGATAAGTGGGGTTGAGGTAGTCGTGCACGGGAGGTGTGTGGGCGTGTGAGTAGAATGGGCTTTGTCGAACTGCGGTGTTGCCGTTCGGTGCGCTTCGAGTATCGTAGTTGACCGATCGGAATAGCGCATTAGGATCGCTCACCTGGCCGTTGGTGAAGCTGTCAGGTGTGTAGGTTCCAGAGCTGCGGAAGGCCTGAGCTTCAGGCTGGACAGGCATCTGTACGTCCTGGTAGGAATCGCGAGGGTCGTTCAGTGCTTGACCTGCAGGTGTGAACGCTGGCGTGAAAGCGTTGATGCTGAAGGAGGATCTGTGCGCTCCAAGGCGGGGTTCTTGCTCCTGCTCGTGCTTCATCTGAGCTTGAGCAAGCTGTAGTGACTCACTGTGAATAGAGCCATTGCGCTCCTGGAAGGGACGAGGGTTGGCGTGAGACAAGGAAGAGGTCTGACGTGCTCCTGACTGGGAGAATCGAGCAAATGAGTCAGCGTAAGGATTGTAATGACTACCTTCGGCACCATGTCTCGAGGGTGGTAGACTGCCACTGCACGATTGTGCACCACTGGTGGTGCCGTAGTGATCAGAGCCTGTCACACTCCGTCTATCATCGATGGGCGAGTGGACAGCTGCGTCCGGCCACGGCGAAACGGAGTTATCAGGTCCTTGCGGGCTAGCGAGCTCAGCCTGGCCAAAACCGAAGTTGGAAAATCCTTTGCTTAGTGAATCGACGTTGCGCGAGGTGAAGTTGGTCGAAGTAGGGTCGAGTAGTGGCTTGAGAGCCCTTACGCCTTGCCCCTGGTTTACCGACGTAGTTCGCGAGACAGAGAAGAGCGAGGATGGGTTTTCGCCGAATTGTGGTGCATTTTGGTTCTGTGCAACGGAGCGCTTCCGCGCGGGTGATACGCCAGAGCTCCTAATGTGGGAACTGTCTCCCCAAACCTGGGAAGGACGACTCTGCCTCCACTCAGACGCAGGAGGGGAAACGAGCGAGCCGGAGCCTGTCCTGCCCTCGGCGATATCGGCAGTCACACCAAGGAGGGCATTGCTGTCTGTGGGTGCGTTAGAACCTTGCCCTTAAACTCTGGCCAAATCGATTGACGTTGTGCATACCTCTGGGTCGCGAGCCGTCTCGAGGTGTCGAGCCAAAGCCAGACCCGACTGGCTTCGAGTTCCAAATGCTGTTGCCCCATGTGTAGGCCGAGCGATCGTTATCTGTGTTGTTGAGTGAGGCGCCACCTGCAAAATCGCGGTTTCTCGCCTGCAACGAGCCTGTTAGCCTTGTGTGCGTGCAACTATAGTTCTGGCCCATACGTACACTACCTGCCATGGTGGCCATGTTACAACCAAGAACTGTGGACGCGGAGTGCGGTGACGGCGGTCGGCGACGTTGCGCGGTAGGCGGTGATTAGACGGCGAGGTGAACTACTTGGGTGCACAGCAGCGCGGGGGCGGCTGATGTATGGTGTTGGCGGTGGTAAGCTGGACTGGACTCAGGCATCAGCACTGCTTGCGGCAGTTCGACGGTGATAGGCACACGACTCACCGGCACAGTGCAGTGTATGCAGCGAGGGTAAGAAGACGATATACGAAGGTGTGTACAGTGGACGGGACGGGCAGCGAAGGGAGGTGGCGCCGTCCTGTGTGTCCGTGGGCAAGGGAGTGCGGGTAGATATGTGCAGGTCCGCTCACGCCCTTGGGTTTGTGTAAAGTGGGAAGTTGCGTTAATGGCTGTGCATGCTAGACTCGAAGCGGTGATACTGCGCGCCAGGCGACGAACGCATCAGGATTCTGTCGACACAAAGATACGCCAGCGGGGATGCAACGCAAGGGCGACGAGCTCGAGAATCGCGGAATGCGAGCCGTGGGGTCGTTTTATATGTACTCGGGCGGTGTGCACAATAGCAGGCGGGCGAGAGAGGAATAATGCTGGGACACCCGGCGGGAGCTCGTGGAAGACTGGCGACCGGCTGCACGCGTCCGCAGAGTGGAGTGCGAGGTGTCGACGTTTGCCTGTGCAGAGAGGGGACTGCAGCGCCTCGTGAACGAATGTCGCAAAGGCCGAGAGGCGAGGAGGATCGGCAACTACTACTGGCGTCCGCTGGGGAAGGGACGCTAGTGTCGCAGCCTAAGAGCTTCAACTAGGCAGTCCTCACGGCCAACGTAGAATAGTCTACCGCTGCAACGTTGACTGCAGGTGAACTGCCCTTCAATTGATGAGTAGGGCAGACGTCGCAGGGCGCACACGATCGCTTTTCTGCGGCCGTCCTCGGTAGGCGTTGCGCGGCGCTCGCGTGTGCAAAGGACGAGTCAGGGATTAATGCGGCTGCGCAATCCGGGCGATCAATCTGATGTGGCAGAGAGAGACAAAATGAGATGAGACAAGACGTCGGCCCTGATATGGAGAGGAGCAGCGCAGGATTATGTACGGCCTGAGGCGTGTTTCACGACCGCCCTGCCGCCATGCCGAACCTCTTTACACCTCGTCTGGGCCCCAGTCGTCTGTGCCCAAGCTCTGCTAGCTCTGCCTTTGCTCGTCGAGCTGCACGGATGCTTGCCTGCGACGCCAACCAACGGGCATTCACCAGGTGTGCGGACAGCTCTCAGTTGAGCGTGGCTGCGTCTCTGGAGCCACCAGGCTTGCCTAGTCCAGCCATGGAACGCCTTCAACTAAGCCCTCTCCACTGTCGATCACAAGTCGAACTGCTGTTCACATCTTGAAGAGTACGTCACACGATGGCGAATGCACCTATCGAGAAGAGCTGTCATTGCGCGTCACATGGGTCACCATGAGCAGCCTGGCTCCTGCAATTACGAATCTGCTTGCAGCGTCGAGATACATACCATACGAGGCTGCAACTCGGCTCTCGCGCATCCACAGGAGCGCCGCTTCCCCGCCTTGTGTTCACATATGTGCTGCGCTGGCGCCCTTGTAAGCACAGCAAGTTGCTGCCTCCAATCGAGCTGTCTCTTCACTAGGTGATCGAGGGACAAGCTACCTCGTCTATACACGAACCTCTACTTCCTTCCATTCTCCGGTCTTCGTGAAGACACAATTTGCAGCTTCACCGCTCTTTGCGGCTGCTTGATCAAGATGCTGTGGTGGTACAGCCAGCGAGTGCATGCAGAGTGCAGCCGTAGGCACGTGAGCTCTCTTGGCCTCACAGTCGATGTGTGGAGCCCACAAGAGGTAGAACAGCCTCGGGCGTCCAGCTGTCACATATCTTGACAACCGGCTTGGCTGTTGTGAGAACGAAGGTACCAAACGTTCCAACGTCTCAGGGCAAGGCCAAGCAGTGCAGACGTTTGACAGCCTTCGGGGATCAAAGCCTTGCAGTGAACAGTGGGACGCCCAAGTGGCGCGCATACCTGCATCCGCGGAGCTTTTGCATCTCCAAAGCATCCTGGCAGCCAAAGGCAGCTGTCAGGATTCGTCGGGTCAGACATTGAGGAGCGTTGTTTGTTTGACGACATGCCTCGAGCCTTACAATCGGCTGGCACGTGGCATTTCCTGCTCCCTTCAAGTTTTGACAATGGCAAGCGGGGATTCCACGTCCACCACATTCCTGGTTGCCGCCTCAACACGAATCGCTGGGCCATTGTTCAGCATCATCCTGACAGATCCCACACCCACGCGCGCCGTCCGTCTCAGCTATCACTGTCATTTCCCCGCGATCTCAACCGTCACAGCTGAGACAAACGCGGAGTGTATCGTCAGGCAAAAGCTAAAGACAGACGTCGAGTGCCGATGCTTCGCAGAACTCAAAAGGCAGCGAAAGGCAGCGAAAGGCAGCTGGGTGTTTTGTTGTTGCGCGACCATTGTTGATCGTCGACGTTCAGGGCAATCCTCCGGACAGCTAATCTTGGAACACTACTCAGGTACACATCCGGCCTTACCCCTTGCACTTGTCCTAACCTGGGCATCTTGAAGGCCGACCTTCGCTGGCCGACTGCAACTCCACAACTCGTTTCTATACAGAAGAAGGTCATGCGCCAGGTATCGTATACTTCATTGGATATCCCCGTTGCGCAACTGTTGAACAGCCCCAGCGCGCGTCGACATCCAGGAACGGGACGACTGGCCAGACTCTGCCGTCATTAATTACGACCTTCCCTTAGCGCGGCGCTTCCAGGGTCCTTTCAGTTAGTGTAACGCGTTGCGCCCCACTATTATCTGTGTTGACGGTGAACAGCCTTGTCTGCCCTGCGCCAAACAAAACTAAAGCCCGCCTTTCGCTCTCAACCTTCGACCTCCTTGCTCCTCTCACGGTCCTGCCCACTGACACCAACCTTCCCTTGCGGTACTGCATCACTCTTTCTGCAGTATTTGCGTTCATTCATTCGACCTTGTGTCTCTCGTTCTCTATCTTTATCTCCGGTGACGACAGCGCTTCCTTAGGTGAGTTTCGGCCCTCCCCAGTTTCGGCTGGAGAAAGTCTGCCAAGCAGCACACTAAATACCCACACAAGCGATTAGCTTTGCGGAGGTATACGAGCAATGCTAACATGGAGACAGCGAATACGATCCATAATCACTATTCACTGCAATCGCATCATCTGGAACGCCATCTGAACGCCATAACGACCACACTGTCACCACCGACTACCCAACATGATGACTATTAAGAATCTTACCGCACGCTCCGAGGATGGAGACGGTTCCAACAACATGACTATTGCGCTCCTGACTACACTGGCTATCCTCGTCGTTCTCGCTCTGGTCCTCCTGAGCGCACTCGTCTACCTCCGCAACATCCGCCGCGCAAGGAAACAAGCCGAGCAAGACGCACAACTGCCCCTCTACGAGAAGCGACAGTCAGGCCGCCGACTCACTATCACTACTATGCCCTACGGCAAGGGCCGCGAGTCTGTTGTCGTCTACTCAGAGAAGCAAGACCTAATGAACAGCGCCGCAAGCTCGCCCACCAGCCCGGTACCCGAGATCCGCATCACATTCCCCGACGAGGTCGATGAGTCTGGCAAGCGCCAATGCGGTCGGGTTGTCGTAGTTCGTGTCGGCGAGCACAGCGTTGGGCTAGAGCCTGTTAACGACGACCTGCCCCCTTATCAGCGCGACGCATCAGACCGCTTCGACTCGCTGGACCTCGACCGCATTGGAGGACTGAAAGAGAAGGACGACAAGTACTACGCCTAAGCTCTGCATCATTACTGTCAACGCCCGACCGGACTGCAGCAATGGATTCGGGACCCCGGGCTACATTGAGCCACTTGGCTACGACTTATTTTGATGACGGCAAAAGGCGCTGATTGTCAGTTTCTAGCCTATGCCACGCCCGTCTGGAAGGCAAGGCATGGCTTTGAGCCACTTGTAAATTTCTTCGAGTTGACTGGCCCCTGTATACCCTTCATGTCTGGCTGTCGCTCTGCTGAGGTTATGTCCTCGTACATAACTGTTATTTCTAATGTATGATATGCCACTCTCTCGAGCGTCTGTAGTTGTGCAGCAAGAGAGCAAATACAAATCTTGACAAGAACGATCAATATGTGCAGCAGCGTTTTGCGGAAAGTGTAGCGTGATGTGACGTCGTGACTTCCAAGACATCGTCAACTGCCATCGTGAACCAGAACCATACTGAGACTCGCGTTGCGCCTCGTGCAAGCCATGTTCAGCCCTTACCGCAGACGGAGCACCTCGATGGATCCGCAAGCCGCATGAATGTCGGACGTCTCGGCGAAATTTGTCTCCACCACAACCAAAACATCACAGCTCACCTCCGCCCGCAGCGCTCAGCACGACATTCCTCATCTATGGGTTCTTCCGCTCCTTAATACCCCTTTCCTAGCGCCACTTCGATTCCTGGGCTCCTGAGCTCCTTGACACTACCATGGAGAACGGGGAGATCTTCACGTCTCTCGAAGAGATCACCGCTGAAGCAAAGGCTAAGGCGGAGAAGCAGCGCGCTGAGGAAGCGCAATTGGGTGGCCCGAAGCCGACTGTCACAGATGTGAGGACTGCGAAGAAGGCTGGAGAGGTGCACTTCAAGGCGCAACATGGCATTGTGGTTGCTTTCTTCAGTTTCATCCTGTATGTCTGGCACCCAACCCATAAGCAATTGTACAAAGCTAACCACCACCAGCGTCCTTCACATTCTTGGCATATACCTGTTCACGAGCGGTTTTCTCCTTACTCGCTTAGTCCTTCCACATAGATCTGAATGCGCCGTCCCTCCGATCGAGCTTACAAAAGGTTACGTAGCGGGCGATGCGGGGAAAGGGTGCTGGCATCCCAAGACATACGACAAGGCCATTGTGGTTATCGTAGACGCGCTGCGTTACGACTTCACGGTACCATTCGAGGCTCAGTTTGAACCCGTAAATCTCGAGAAGCAGGCCGAGCGTGCCCAAGCGGCCTCCTCTGAGAAGAACGTTGCGCCTCGCCATTTCCATAATGCCATTCCCGTACTCTACGAGACTGCCAAGCAATCGCCGAAGAACGCGTTCCTCCTGCCTTTCATTGCGGATCCACCGACAACGACACTGCAGCGATTGAAGGGACTGACCACCGGAACGTTGCCTACGTTTGTTGACGCTGGAAGCAACTTCGCGGGCACTGCGATTGACGAGGACAACCTGGTTGCACAATTGAAGGACGCTGGTAAGAGGGTAGTGCATTTGGGCGACGACACATGGCACGCGCTGTTCCCTGGATACTTCGAGCCGAACCTCACCCACGCATACGATTCGTTCAACGTTTGGGACCTACACACAGTTGACAACGGCGTTACAGAGCACATGTTCCCCCTTTTGAAGGCTGAGAACTCGACGAAATGGGACGTCATCTTCGGACACTATCTGGGCGTGGACCATGCGGGACATCGTTACGGACCGGACCACCCTGCCATGGCGGCGAAGTTGAATGAAATGGACGCCGTGTTTCGACGCATGATCGAGGAGATCGATGATGACACCCTACTTGTAGTGATGGGCGATCACGGCATGGATGCCAAGGGAGATCACGGTGGGGAATCAGACGACGAGATCCAGGCTGCGCTGTGGATGTACTCCAAGAGGGGGGACTTTGGCCGCATCGATCCTTCCTTTGTACTCCCACCTGCACACGCGAAGGACAGACCCGTTGCGCAGATTGATCTCGTACCCACTCTTTCATTGCTCCTAGGCCTACCCATTCCGTTCAACAACCTCGGAAAACCGATCGACGAGGCTTTCGTTAGTGCCAAGGGCGTCGGTTTTGAGAATTTGGCGACTGTCAATCGTCTAGCAAGCGCCCAGATCCATCGCTACCAGGGCGAGTATGCCAAGGTTCGTGGCCTAGATGAAAGCACTTTCTCCAGCTCCCTTTCGTTGTGGCCTGCTGCGAATGAAGCTTGGACTTCAGTCTTCCAGCGGATGTCCTTCGGTGGAAGTACAGCCAAGGGAGAACAGATGAAGGCATCCTACAAAGCTTTTGCTGCTTACCAGCAGGAGAACCTGCGCATCTGCCGCTCGCTTTGGGTACGGTTTGACGTGCCTAGGATGATCAACGGTGTACTGATCCTGGCTTTCAGTGTACTCCTCATTGCACTGTATGCTCGAGGTTTGATCGGAGATCGCGCTGAGATCACACCTGTCTTCTTCACTAGGGGTCTTTTGGGCACTGTGCTTGGTGCCGTGCTCGGTCTTGTTGTGTCACTTGTGCTGCCAGACACGCCGAAAGAGCATATTGTGGCCTTCGCGGCAGCTATGACTGGCATTATTGGCGTGCTATCCGCCTTCTTCTCGTTCCGCAACCGTCTTGGATCTCCATTGCCCAACAACATTTGGGGCTACACGAGTTTCATCTTCACTGTCTCCCTGTCGGCAGGTTTCGCAGCCAACTCGTTTACTATCTGGGAAGACGAGATCCTCTTGCATTTCCTCACTACGTTTGGTGTCCTTGCCGTTATCTCTTCGTTCCGACAAAAGAGTATGTCTGATCGCACCCTTGGTGTGTACCATTCGATTCTCTTCACTGTTCTGCTGCGCGTTGCAAGCTTCTCAAGACTCTGTCGAGAGGAGCAGATGCCTTACTGCAAGTCAACTTACTACGCATCTGCTCTCTCCACCACCTCTGCACCGTGGCAGCTCATCATCCCGGCCGTCGCTGCGCTCCTCGTCCCCACCTTCGTTAAGAGCTATTACGAGGGAACTAAGAGCTACCAAAACATGGCAGTCATGTGGATCGGCATCGTCCTACGCTTCGGCCTAATGCTCTCCGCCGCATACTGGGCCCTCGACGCCGCCGACGATGCCGACTGGTACCCAGCTTTCTCCAGCATCATCAAAATCACCAAGCAAGCGCTCGCCCAAGGCGTCCTCATCCTGGCCTTCGGCATCGGCTACGCCCTCTACAACTGGTCCAAGCCGCTCCTCAACATCGAAATGGCCAACCAAGGCACAGACAAAGAACAAGTCATCATCCACGGCTACGCAAACGTCCACGGCAGCCGCTACGCCCTCCTCATCACCATCTGGTACCTCGCCGTCGCGCTGCTGCAGAAGCCAATGGGTGCAGGCGCCATCGGCATCCTTGTCTGGCAACTCTTCTCCCTCTTCGAGATTATCGACACGAACAACCTGCGCCAATCATCCATTGGCCCCGTCGTCCTCGGTCTCCTAGGCTCATTCCACTACTTCAAGACCGGCCACCAAGGTAGCTTATCAAGCATCCAATGGGAGTCCGCATTTATCCCGCTGAAATCCGTCCGCTACCCTTGGACACCCATCGTCGTCATCCTGAACACGTTTGGAGCGCAAATTCTGTGCGCTGTCGCGGTGCCTGCGCTTGTGCTGTGGAAGGCGCAGCCTAAGCAGCGGCGCTTGCTTAGTACGGTGGCTAAGGCGATTGCTACGCATATCTTGTTTTATGCTGTGATCAATCTGGCGACAACGATGTGGGCGGGCCATCTGAGGAGACACCTCATGCTTTACCGCATTTTTAGCCCGAGATTCATGCTTGGGGCTACGGTGCTGCTTGTTGTTGATGTTGTGGCGATTTTTGTGGGGTTGTGGGGTGCGCGCATGAGTATTCTGAGTGTTGCGGAGGTATTTGGGTTTGCTTAAGAGGTGGACTGAGGGGATCAGGATTGTTGTATAATAATCATGGGGGTGTACGGCATTGCATGCGTCTGTCGACGCCGGGTTTCCTTATCGTTATAGCATCAAGAGACTCGTCTTGCGAGCGTCATTAGATCTCATTGCCATCAAGCGTGTTCATGTTTTCCATCATCTCTGTATTCTTCTCATTTCTGTTCTCATTCTTGTCTGGCAGTCACCTCCGCTCTCCCACCGCCCGATCTTCGTGTTACGCCATCGCTCACAGTGAGGTGAGGTTAAGGCAGCTCCCTCGCACCTGCCGCTCGCGGTAGCTACAAATATCTCCCTGCGGTGAGCTTACTTCTCTCTTCCACCACACTCGACAAAAACACGCCAACCGTGGCCAATTGAGATACGGTGCAATTACGGCCTCTGGCCCACATTACGACTGCATTTTTCACGGGCGGAGAGCGCCCCTCTACAGTTTACGACATTATATTGTTTCTGTTTGCGATTGCGATCTCTCGTGACGAACTTTGTCTGGAGGAGGCTGCCACAATGTTGGGTCAGACTTAGCAGTCTGTCCGCGACGGCGAGGAGACGTATTCTGGCACGAAAGCATATGCAGGTGGGAGACACACCTCTACGCGCTCGTGTACTTTGTCGATACTGACCAAGACTAGACTCTGACGACTTTCCAACGACAACGAACCATGCGTGGCAATCGTTCATCATACTCTTCCCTCTCCTTCATCAAAGATTCAGCTTCGTTTGAAAGAATGGCCAAGGCGAGTTGATTGATGACTCGAGCAACGCCATCCCAGTTGCAGGGTCTCAAGGGCCGGTTCAGCTTGGAAAATAGTTTTGAATACCCACTTGGCTATCTACTCAACACGGGCGTTGCTGTTTCTGAAACCAACGGTTCCAACCTCGATATATACATCGCCTTTCTCTGGCTCATCCCCAACTCCGCTTTTCGCTAGCTTACCGCGAGCGGCCACGTAAATTCTCCGTCTTTAGAGCTGGATGTCGATCCCATCTTGACTTTGCTTGCTCGTCAATTGATGATGCAACCAATGGTCACCCAGCTCGGAGCCAGTCCTAGGGCGGCTACAACAAGCCAGGCTCGCTTCAGGTCGCGAAGAGAGGCAGGGATACTACTCAACTCCACACCATGTAAACATACAGCACGTCCTCCACCACCAAAATATTTTCCAAATCGCACCCTGGAGCCCTTCAGCCCACCCAGCGAGAGTGAGAGGATGACGACGCGCATCTACTTTGGGTAGGTGCCATTGTAGGCAGTCTGGCGCGCCGTCTTGCGGGTACCAGGCGTCTTTGCAACGCTGCCCTTCTTCACCTTCTGCGCCTTGGGCGTCTCTGGCAACTTCGGCTGAGCCGCAAGAGCACGCACAGGCGAAGGGGTCTTGGACTTGCGCCCCGGCGAGGGCTGCTGCTCAGGCGAACCCTTGCCGCTCGAGACGGAAGCGGCGATGTCATGCAGTGGAGAGCTGCGTGCGCGCTTCGGCGAGGGGTAGCCGTTTGGTGTGCCATCAAGCGAAGGAGAGAGCGATTTGCGCTTCTTGGAAGGTGGGGAGGGAGGGAACTGCTCCTGGTCGTGCGAGAGCGAGCACTCGTTAATGTGCTGGGTACCTCCAGCCTCGCCGGCAGGCTCAAGACTCTCGACATTTTGTGTAGGGTTGGTGGCTACAAATGGTGAAGTAGGCACCGATGGAGAGCTTGGGGTAACTGTGGTGGTTACAAGTGCAGCAGGAGGGTCGTCTGGAGTCTCATTCTCGGAGTCGGAGCAAGTCACGACTGGTCCAGTGGACCAGTACGCGAACGGGAGGGTGTTTTCAGACTCAATTGGTGTGTCCTCGATAGCTTGGACAGACTCAACGTTGGGAGGAGAACCCGCAATTGGGGATAGCGGGGTTCCGGAGCACTTCACACCGTGAAGCTTGCGGACTACAGTCGTAGAATGCGATGGGAGAGGCTGGCGCTTCATGAAACGCGGTGTGTCGATGGGACGACCATTTGACGGAGCAGCCTTGGTCTTAGCCATTGCCTCTGCGATCCAGCTGGGCGCAGTGTAGTCATGCTCATCTCCATCGGATGAGGAGGAGGAATCAGATGTGTAGAGGTCTTTGTTAGTGTAGTCAAGTCCGAAGCTCCCGAGCTGAGGTGGGTGTGGAGGCTTCACGTGCTGCTTGTCCTTCAGAGACTTCATGGGCCGTTTGCCCTTCGCCTTAGCGGACAGTCTGGGCGCTTCGGTGACGGCGAGAGTGACAAGCTCGTTACGAACAGTGATGGTGTCGTCCTCGCAGCCCGACTCGTAGCCGTCATCCTCCTTGGGCAGCGCTGGTGTGGGTGTAGACGCATGTCCGACAAGGATGTTCGACTCGGGTGGATGCGCGGCGGAGCGTTGAGCGAAAGAACAAGGCGTCGCAAAGAGATGCTGCGGTCCGTGTAGTAGAGGCGAGCTGACTTTGTCGACGTCCATCACAACGCGGTACCGCTCAAGCTCAAAGCGAAGCTGCCTCTGTGAGGTGAGCAAGTCTCGGTTGACGTGGTCGGCATCCTGCATAGGGGAGTCGCTGCGGGGGACTTCTGTGCCGAAGGAGATACGTGCCTTGATCGCAGAGGTGAGTCTAGGCTTCGGAGTACGTTCATCGTCGATGTTGGGCTGGTCAGGTTCAGGAAGGAAGCCACGCAGAGACTGAGAGTACGGAGATTGAGAGTACGGAGATTGAGAATACGGAGACTGAGAGTAAGCAGCAGTGAGGTGCGGTCCTTTGCGGTCCTTCGCCGTATCGTGCTTGTTCTCCCGAAAGCGCTTGTGTGAATGCTCTCCACCCGTGTAGCCTTCACACGTGCGCTTGAGCTCCTTGATCACCTCGTCTGCCTCGTTCTTGGTAAGATGCTTATCAACCATACGCATCACCTCAGGCTCCATCTGCTTCAGCAGCTCTTGGGGGTCTTGCAGCAGTGCCTCGAAGTCCGGGCGGTGCTGGAAGAAATGAATAATGTGGTAGATCGCGAGCTGGCCTTTGGCGCGGTCACATTTGTTGCGGTTGAGGTAGGCGTAGAGAGCAGATGCACCCGTCATGCCGGTCAGAATGCCAGCAAAAAAAGCACCGTAGTACGACTGTGAAGTGGGGAGCTGCGCTTGACTAAAGAGGAATTGTGTGACAGCATTGGCCATCGCAGACAGAGAAGACACGGGGCGTGAAGCAGAGGCTCGCCACTCGTGAACGGAGTTCACTGTGGAAGCTGTTGCAGCGGATGGCGCCATCGTAGCTATGGGGGCAGTATTAGTGGCTGGTCTCGCTAAGGACAGAGAAGTCATGATACCTTGAGAGAACAGTATTGATGCCGTGGCCATGAAGTTGTTATTTGCAGCCGTTTCTGTTGTGTGTTGTGGTTGAGTGCGCGGTTATCGAAAAGAGTTGTGGTGAAGGTCGGTGGCGGGCGTGGGACGTAAATATACACCGGGTGTCGGAATGGTGAAAGCAGATTATCTTGTTACCACTACAAGCCTTATGATTTTGATGCGGTAGTGCTTGGTCGTACCAGGCGTTGGCTTGTGTTGTGAGGCAGATGTAGACAGTTGTCGTGGTGGTAAAGACCGCGAATTTTCGACGGGAAGGTGGACTGTAATCAAACACCAGAGCTCGGAAAAGCGAATGATGGCAATGTATTATTATCGCTGTTATATAGATGGTGTAGGTGCAAAGTGCTTCCGCGGAGGAAGTGTTATGGGTGAGTTGCAGACTTGTGCGGTTGCTGACAGTAGTCGTTGTGGTGGAGACAGTAAGGAGCGGCGGTGGATGTCACATGTAAACAAACGAGACGGGAAGAAGGCAAGTGAAAGAAAGGTCACGCTGTGGTTCTGGTGGTTTTGGTGGCGTTGGTGTGCCAATGCAGCGCGAGTGTTGGGACGGTGAACTGTCTTCCTTCACCTGGAAACGACTTGGCGATGCATCACCGGGAGACTACGCGAAAGAGAACTGATGGCTCAAATGTTACCTGTGTAGATATTCCAAGCTTAACTTGAATGGAACAGACCTACGAGAGGCGCAATGCTTCAAAAGGACAGGTTTGAGCTAAGGTTGATTGCCGACTTGCCCTTTTGGTATCCTGCGGAGCGTTGAGCTCCTGCCCAAGCAACATGGAATTTTGATCGGCAAAAGGTTCACATTGCCCGTTGTTGAAGACATAATGCAAGTGGGCAAACTGGCTGTTACATCTATGCATGCGTTCAGGTGAGCTAAAAGCTTCTCGAAAAGAGAATCGATTTACCATTTCGAGATATGATCGGACAGGCGGAAGCCCCTCATCATCATGAATCGCTTTCCACTACAGTTGCGAAACTTCTCTGGTTACTCAAAATGCTCGCTCATCACATCCCCTTCATCCGTCCCTGCCCATACTGCCCCATCCCAATATCTTCCCTCCCGTACCTTCGATTAAATTCCCCTACGCTTCCACCCATCCCGTATCGGCCGCCATGCATCTGCCCACTCCTATCATTCTGCAGCGCGTTGCCATATATATACTGCGAATCGACCGTCCGGTTATTCCACGGCTTGCCCTTATACTTCTGAGCGAGGAATTTTGCGAGCAGGGTACCAATGACGAGCCAGAACACCGCGAGCGCGAGTACGAAGGGTATGAAGAGACCCATAGTAGAGTGACGTAGGTTAGCAGCGTGTGTGGTGTTCCGATGAGGACGAGTATGTGCTCAAAAGTAAAGTTCAAATTGTATCTGATTTGGTAGATTGCGGCAGTGGCTGTGCTTTACTGACAGATAAGACCGAGGAGAAGAGGATGTAGCAGCAGGGAAGCAAAGGAAGAGAAAGAGAATGGAGTGAGGTTCGGCGGAGGAGCGGAGGTCATCGACTAAGCGCTGTCTGGGGAAGTTCCGAGGTTTGTGGGGTAGCTCCAATGAGTGACGTGCAGGAGTGCCGCTCCATGGCGTCCGATTGGCTCTGACACACATGCATGGAGAGACAGCTATTCTCGTGGTGATAGCACAGATGCGAAGGGCAGGGTGAACTTGAAAGATGTTCGAGGGTGTATCATTTTCCATTAAACTGAAAGACCAACGTTGGGCAAAGGGTATACGCACAGCTATGCAGGCTCTGAAGGGCACTGGAGAAAGAAAGACAAAGACGCGATGTCGTTAGGAAGCAGAGCCGGCCCCTCGACTCTCTTCCTCAGCTTGCTTCGTCCTCTTCGCCCTCTCTTCCGCCGCCTTCGCGAGAATCTCCCTCCTGGTCAGACTTCCCGTTGCCACGCTCCCACCAGCACTGCTAATCAACGTCGCACTGCCCCCAGAGCTTCCCCCATTGCCGCCACCCAGCACAAACTCACCCCCAATCCACCCACCATGATCACACATATTCATCTCCTCCTCACTCGGTTCGTAGTATTCTTGATTCCCAACGCTATGACCGCCGCTTCGCCAGTCATCCCTCTCGACCTCTCTTTCGATTTGTTTACACAGATTCCAGAAGTTACGATCATGTGGGCCCCACACGTTATGCGCGAGCTCGTGACACAGCGTTTTGCGAATCGTTTTGTAATCGCGATACCCATCGTACGCATCGGTTCTCAGACGCAGTTCAATAACCTCGCCTTGATTGCGGTTCAAGCCTAGTGTGCGACTCTCGTGTGTAGTGTGCATAGCAGGATCCATCTCGGTAAGCAGCGGGACGCTGAACTTGTGTGTCCGCATTGCGGCCTTGATGCCTGCATCGTCGCGCAGGCGCTCGAGGAAGGCTAACGAGCGCGATGGGTTGGGGAGGTAGGGGAGCGGGCGTAGTGTCTGAAACGTGTATCGCGCTTCTTCTTGTATACGTTTATAATCGCGACTTCGCACAGGTGTGGCGGCTTTTATAGGGCCGGGGCGTCGCGGTGCCGAGGCGGCAGAGATGGTGGCGTTCAGAGCGGAGACTTCAGCAGTAGTGCTGCCCATGAGAGTGATTTTCGTAGTATTGAAATCGCTGAGGGGTATTGTTGGATTCTTAAACGGCGGCTTTTGAAGGCCCAACTTGCCGCCCATGAGGAGCTTTTGGTTCGATAGCGGTATGGAAAGGTCCTCGGCTATCTTGTCTGCGAGATCTGATATTGTGGCATCTTGGGGGAAGGACAACGTGATCGATGTGCCGTGGTGTGACAGTGTGACTTGTATCTCGTCGGCGCTCTCATTATCGTGAGGCGTTGCCGAAGCCATGCTGACGTATGTAGGTTCGAGTAAGAAGCGGAGGCTTAAGATGGCTGCTGTGCTGTGGGTAAGTAGCGGTGATAGTAGGTGATCAAGATATGAAGCTTCGCAGCTGATTACTGACGATTAGTCGTGGCGCTTGGTCTGTCGTGACGTTCGCGAGGCTTCCATGTCAACGCCACGGAGATTTGTCATCCTAAACTCCGACGATGCTACGAACCTCCAATGAGCAACATCTGTCCTGTGAAGTCCTCCTGTCAGTATACGGCTGCCAAATTGTTCTGTACACATCGCAGAAAGAATGTGTTTGGGAAAAGGCAGTCGCTGGGTGGAATGGGAGAGGAAAGAGCCGCTAGCGCTGCTCCACTAGAGAAGTTGACCAACAAAGCTACGCTATGTGACGCGCAACTGGATTCATCAGGGCCGATCTTACTGACATCCAGAGTGAGGAATGGTATTGCATCTCGTTCTCTGAACCTTGCTCACATGACCACTAACGCCGCACCATTTTCTCATCAGTCAGAACACCCAATAGTAACAAGCACCCAGAACACTCCCAACACCGACAACTGTAACCTCGTGTCGTGCTAGCATCGTATACCACCCTCTCCACATTTATGGGCACCTAAAATCCGCTCAACCCTTCCTCCGCAATCAACACAAGGCTAACGTTCCAGCGGCGTGAGCAACACTTCAAGAACATCTCATCTCACATGGACCGCAATCGTAGTAACAAGCTCATTCGATTCGATTCGCTTGCCTCGTACAAGTAGACTGCTATACGCATTGACCCTCGTTAAAATCCTTCAAATAACCGACAAACTGCGAAGCTTTTCCCTTCCGCTTCACTCCAAACGCCATTGCTTACAACGCCTCGCGGCGGATACCTTCCGTTCACATGCAAATACCATTGGATATCGTAGCAGCGGGAGCTACACTAAACCACACCCTCCATACCCATTGGCACCTGAAACCCCTGCAACCCCTCCCCCGCACTCGTTAACCTGGCACAAAGCTGCAAGAAAACCACCGTCTCCGTGGCGGCCAGATAATTTAGGGTATCCAGCAAAATCTTAAGATGCCGAGTAAAGCTATCCTCGTACTTGGTGAGCATATCGAACATCTTATCCAGGCGCTGCGGATCAAAGACAACGTGTCGGTGATTTGAGTTTGAGGAGGGGGGTTGCGAGGCGATGGCATCGTTGACGGTTTGCACGAGGTCCGGGTCCGAGGTGACGAGGTAGCGGGAGAGGGAGTATGTGAAGGTGGCGAACATGTTGCAGGTGGACATTATTTTGTTATTGATCTGCCCCGTGTTAGTTGTCGTTTTATAGAGAAAGGGATGGGGGGGGGGGGGGAAACGTACCTTCAGGAGCTTGCTGTTGGTGAGCATACACTCCTTCAAACAAGTAGCGAGGAAATCAACATGATCCTGCATCAGTTCGTCCACCGTCCTCTTTACGCCCTCGCCAGTCATCTCCTCACTGGCTTTCCCTTCTTCTCTGAGCCGGGACATGAGGGATACCCAGTTCGGTTCGATGACCTCCGCAGTGCAGTAGTATGTGAGCTGTTGCACGAACACCATCATACGTGCCCGCAGCGTCCAGGCTTTGCGTTTCCACTGCTCGATTCGTGGGTTCTTCGACTGGTGTTTCCACATTGAGTTCTTGCCTTGCTCGCCCCAGCACTTGCCGAGATCGGTCTCGAGATGCTTGAGGCTGAGCAGGAAGCGGAAGAGGAGTTGGTAGCGTGTGAGTGTGACACGGCTGACTACCAGTGAGAGCGGGAAGGGCATGTTGTAATCAAAGACCAGCGCTTGGTACCCTGTGATGTCTTTGTCGTTTGTGATATTGTCTGTGTTGGCGGGGGTATAGTTCGATATCGATGTTGCGGCTTCTTGGTCGAGACCTTGGACATTGACGATCTTCATCAACCAGTTGGTAAGGCCCACATCGTTAATTTGAACCTTGATGTCTTCTTTGTACGGGTCTTCGACGGCGACAGAGCCGGCATGGCGGGTAGCGAGATCCAGGAGCGATTGCAGCTTGCCAACATTGACATGCTTTGCTGGTTTCTTGAGCTCCAGCTCGCCCATTTCGAGGAAGTAGGTGAAGAAGTCGGATCGGTCGAGGAAAAAGTAGTGCTTGAGCGAGCGTAGTCGCGCAGGCAATTGATGTGTGGTAAGAAGGAGGTTTAGGAGGGAAGAGTTTGCGGAAGCATATGCAGAGTTGACGTTGTCCAGGAATTGGGGGTCATCGAAGGTCGTCGGCGCATCCTCAACGCGTCTGCTGACATCGACGCCACCGCATTCACGTACGACGTTGAGGTACTTGCCGGCCAGAAGCACTTTATCTTTGACTGCTTCTAGTTGCGGTGGCACGAGCGCATCTCGGACGGTATACCGCTTTTCCCAGTACTCGTCTGTGTAGTCCTGGTCTAGCCGCTCGCGTTTGATACTCCGCTGCTCCTTGACCAGGAACTCGGAATGTGGATCCTTGATACCTCCATGATGTAGCCACTCGTTCAGCATAGCCATATACGGTCTGCTAGCCTCGCGCAGAAGAGTTGTGAGCAACGTTCGAGCCGCAGGGTCGCCGGACATGGACGATAGCCGCTTGGTGATCAGACCGAGCACACTTCCGCCCTTGCACATCTTCTTGACCGTGGCGCCCCCTTCGCGCAGTGACTCCAGGATGTTCTCGAAATCGTTGGTATCGTCGTCGGTCTCCTCGTCCTTCTCGTCTTCGAGTATCCAGTTCGCTTTGAGCAGCTCGATACCGGTCGTGTAGAGCTGGAAGAGCATATGGCTAGTCTGCTTCGTATGCAAGTTCAAAACATGCAGCGTGAACGAGTCGTTCGTCAGTGACTGATGCTCCAGCTGGGCAATCAGCGCAAGGTAGTCCTTCAGCAGTCGCCGTATCGCAGCGCACAGCGCGTGGTTCACGGCGCCATACTGGTCCCTGCTGAGCACCTCGACGCATGTCTCGACCGCAATGTAGTGTGTCGCTGTCCGCAGCATAGCCTTGGCGAGGTCCTTCAGGCTGGGGTCCAAGCCGGGCAGTATCTTGAACTGCGGACCCAGCAGCCGCTCTTTCTCCTCGTGGGGGTTGTATGCATCGCTGAACCGGATGTACTGTCCCTCGAAGCCCATGAACACGAACAGCAGGTCCTCGATCACGGCTTTCTCCTGAGCGTCCAACGACAGCTGGGCAAGCGGCGTAGGCTGGAGGGTGGGCGGTGCAGTCGATGCAAGCGGAGGGATTGATATGCGCGTCGCCAGCGGAGCGCTCGTGTGCGCTACCAGCGATGCCCGAGGGTCCCATGGCGGCTGTGGCTGTTCGGGGGACTGTCTCGACGTTGCGCTCCTCGACGGTCTCTCCACATCGCGCGCCGCTTTCTCCGCGCGGCTTCGAGCATTGGCGCGGCTCTCAGTCGACTGCTTCAGCGGGCTCCGTGTCCGCCGTGTCTCTGTCTCCCTCTCGCGCACCTCGCGCTTCTCCGTGCGCCGCTCCCTCAGCTCGGCCGCTGTGCCCATGGCACTGGATCTGGTGCTCCGGTGCGAGGTCCTGGCAGATTCGCGCCGCTCGTCCCCCTCGCCGGTCCCTGTCCCTGTCCCCGTCCCTGATGCGACGCGGGGTCGCGCGGTGGATGTGAAGTTCGCATTGGCTGAGCGGCGCTCGGCGGTCGACAGCGGCTTCATCATCGCGGGGTTACGGGAGGACATGGTGGGGAAAGCCGGTCCATAGAGGTGGCCCGGTGTGTTTGCGCGCAAGGACCGTCTTTGTTTGTTGTTGCGCCGTCTTTTGTTTGTTGTTGCGGCTGCGTCTCGTAACCCCGTCAAAGGTTGGGAGGAACAACGCGTCGAGGGGCTCGCTAAAGCGGGGCCTATGATGCAGACACGCCCAATGCAACGGCGTGGAAGCTGACCGCAAAGCATTACATCGACTGGCCACCGAGTCATGTAGACGGTCATGTAGACGGTCATGTAGACGGTCATGTACACGATCATGTATTAAAAGGTCAGATTGAACTCGCTGCTACACAGAACGCTCTATGGCTTCGTCACTGATCATCTCTCGTCCCAGACCAAACATGTCGTGCGTGTATATATACACAAAAGATCATTGCATCCGTATACACATTCCATCATCGTGACACACTTCATGCCGCCACCTGAGATCTCATTAGCATCTAAGCTCCAACAACCGATTCGGTCCTGCGCACAGCATCTACCTTCTCTTCGTACGTCTCAAACACGCGAGTACCGTCGAGCGTGCTCTTCTCAAACACATCAACCTTGGTGCTCGCAAACTTGCGCGCAGAGATGCGCTTCTCAAACAGCAGGTCCAGCTCTGCGAAACTGCGGTCCTTGGGCTCCGGCAGCCGGAAGAACGTGTACACGATGCTGAGGAAGCAAGATCCCGCCCAGAAGAAGCCGGCGTAGTTGCCCCAGTTCCACTCGCCGGGGTTCAGCATGTACGGTGTTAGGACGGAGGTGATTATGCCGATGATGTTGTAGAGGTTGCGGCCCAGGACCACGGTCTTGATCTGCAGACGGCGCGTGGACAGCTCGGCGACGAGTGAGTAACAGACTGTCCCGACGGTGAGCTGGTAGAACATTGCCCACACGATCATCATTGCCCCAGTCGCCATAGCGCCTTGTTCGCGGTGAGCGGCTGGGACGAGGCCGAGGAAGCCCATGACGAAGAGCATGGTGCAGAGACCGCAGAGACCGTAGAGATAGAGAGATCGTCGTCCAACGCCGCACTTCATTAGGAACCAGGCGCCGAAGACACCAGCCATGTTGATGCCGTATTGGCCCATGGCGAAGTCGTACGACGTGGACGGGTCGAGACCAGCTTGCTGCAGAAAGTACGATGAGTATCCGGAGAAGGCATTACCACTCAAGTTCTGGATAGCCCAAGCCATACAGACAATCTCTGTGCGGCGCAAGTCGACGCCCTTGAAGCAGTCGATGTAGCTAACGCCCTTGGTGATCTTCTCTTCCAGAGCAGTGGTGTGGACCATCATGGCAACAGTCTCCTCAGCATCAAAATCGGTCTCGCGATCCAAGCTGGTGAGACGGAGGAGGGACCTCTTCGCGTCTTCAAGGCGACCCTTGCGGACGAGCCACCAAGGCGACTCAGGAGCAAGGAAGACACCGATGATAAGCGGCACAGGCCACATCCACTGCAGAGCGTAGGGAATGCGGTAGGACCACTCGTCTTCGCGATTGACCATGGAGCGGATCACACCGATACCGATGACTTGACCAAGACCCCAGCAGAAGTTGACATATGTGGTCACTGGAATCGTTAGCCACGACACGAAGAGAAGGCAACGAACTTGACTTACAGTATCCGCGCAGCGCAACAGGACACACCTCACTCGCGTAGGTGATGGTAAGCGTCTGAAACACACCCCAAGGAATACCACACAGAATCTCCGCAACCAGCAGATGCACCACCGTCTGCGCCGTGAAGAAGATTGTGGTAAAGCAGATGAGCAGGAACAAACACCCCATGACGGTGTATCTGTACCCAATCGCCTCACTAATCCATCCATTGAGAAACAGACCAATGATTTCACCCACAATAACACCATTGCTCAACCCCGCCTGCCACGGCGCAGGAATCTCCCACGTGCCGTCGGGAAGCTGCTCGCCGTACTTGCGCTTGAACTGCGGAAATGCGAAAAAGTTGTTAAGCAAGCAGACGTCATAGCCTTCCATGACGATACATGTACTGATCAGCACCGACCAGCCGATCGCTTTTGGGTAGAGCTTGATGCCCTGCCACAGGGTCATCGTATGCTCTTTCTCCGTCGCAAGACGCGCATCGTTGATGACCTTGTCAGCAGCATTCTTATGATGCTGCTCATGATCCTCATACAGCGGTTGCGGGTGCACCGCCGCGGAGGGCTGAATATCCTTCTCTTCCGCCATATTGGGTATGGGACTCGCCCCTCACAACAACGTCGTCGGATGTCGTACCGAGTGCGACCGGTAACCGAGGTGTTGGGAACGGGAGTGTGTGGATCCCTGGATGCGCTTCACTGATGGGCGCTGTCAAAGAACGCAGAAATCTGGGGAAGGGTGTCACCTAGGCATGGGTGGTTGTAAAGGTTGCGGCGCTCTTCAACTTAAACAATTTTCAGTGGAGAACGGTTGCATTTGAGCGAGCGTTCGGCCAGGATCAAAAGGTCGCGTGCAAGCTGAGGAGCTAAATCTCCTGCGGCCTCAGCACGGTTTGATTGGTAGAAAAGGTGGAGCTTCTGCCGAACAGAGTTAGTTGACGTCTGTCTGGCCAGTTAAATCAACCGAGGATAAGGACCGGAAGACCTAGGCTGGCCCTGGTGCGCTTAGGTGCATGTGACTCTTGGAAGTCGGCAGATGGAAGAGATCTCTGCCATGAGGTCGATCTCTGGGGTAAGCATTGCGATTGGGATTCGGCGTTTGATGATTCGCTCTAAGATGATGCAAAGCATGGTTAGTTGCGTGCTTCTCCGCGTTTTAAGCGCATGGCGCCCGCTAGAAATCTGGGGGAAGGAGGAGCCGCTGGCGGGTGATGGCGAAGCTGCCTCGATGCGGCTCTGAGGGCAAAAAGCCCCGATGTTAGCGTGCGGGCAAACGCCTCCAACGGGCCTTGGAAGTAATTTCCGCCGATGGCAGCGGCGTTTCTTGTATATAGGCAATGCCGAACCTCATAAAAGCGATAGAAGCGTGAATTGAATGTACTTGAGGCGCTCAACAATCGGGTAAGAGAAAACAGCAACGTTCAGCTGACCACACTGATCAAAAGCCGGGCTCAGTGATCTCACGGATAGGCTCAATCGTCCATCTCTGAGTCGGACGCCCATTGTTCTTCTGATTCATCTCGACTTTTGGACCGCCCTCCATCGTGTCGAGGTACTGAAACTGCTCGGTCCAGGCGTTCTGAGCATAATGGTCAGCAGTCGCAGAGCGATTCCTGTAAGTCCTCCTTACCTGAAGATGCCATGTTCCATCCCGAGGATTATCCCACAGTAGAACAGTCCAGTATTGTGCCTTGGCGGAAGGATTTGCAGATTGCAGGATAGGTGTTTTCTTGTCATTTTTCACGCCAAGTTGGCGATCTGGACCGAGAAACATCGTGCGGAGGCAGTAGCTCCCATCATTGTTTGCCTTCAGTTGCCAGTATTGACCAGAGAACTTCCCAATAGCCGCCATCTGAAGTAGGCCCTCGCTGTTGCTACCGTTGTCATTGACAACATCAAGACAATGGGTTGATGGCTGATATGTGTTCTTCAAGCGGTACCACATCCTGGGGTTGAACTTGTCCGTTGGGAGTTGGTCGCTCTTCTTCACAGTGATGTCAAAGGTCATGGTTTGGGACGAGACGGGTATGTTCGTAACGGAAACATATGTATCGGCCCCTCCATAAGATTTGCTGTTCGGGTTAGACAACGAGTTGAACTTACGATTGTCCGTGAACCCTGGGTAGGCATCGCCATCGTCGCCTCTGCCGAAGTTCTGTTTCAACTGATCAAGGCCATCAGCTTGCATGAGCTTTAGTAGAGGGTGATTCTCATCTGCGTTGGATCCGACCCGGTCATCAACATGCCAGATGAGTAGGCCTTTTCCAGGAAGAAAGCTGTCACCCCCGGTAGTCTGCCGGTTCTCGATGAGGAAATATTCCTGGCTGTTTGCATCCCCATTCGTCCAGAGGCGATGTACCTTGTGCCCATCCTTGACGTCTCGAAGCGTGACTCGACGGTTATCGGTCTCCACTATGGTTTCAACCCAGTCTTGGTTTGATTTGCACCCTATAGTGTGTTAGATTTGCGTATTTGGATGTGCAAATTCGAAGACTTACATGCAGAAGGGTGCACAGGCCGGTCGCCCCCACCACCCCAACTACCAGAGCTCATTAGACACCAGCTCCCAATACCTGCTGAGGAGGAATCGATGTCATACAGGTCTGGCCAGCCAAAGACTAGGACCTATCAATAAGAGAACGTATATTCTACAATATTGGGACTTACCCAGGTGTCCGATCTCATGTGCACACACGCCGCACTTAGCATCTGCAGGTACCGTCAGGAAACCGTAGACGTTGATTCTAGGTTTGTCTATCTGTATCGTCAGTGGCACATCGACTGTCGGCAGATAGTATTGGAACCTTCTTCTGGTATTGGGGCATGCACTTCACGCTCCCGGGGCAAGACCCATTTGACACTCCAGATGTCGCTCCCGAGTCCTGTCTCCTCTGCAGCTCGTCCTGCATGAACAACTATAAAAGCATCGACCTAGATCCAGTCAGTGGCACATAGCACATCTTAGGATGACAGTTCGCACGTAGGTGTTACCGTCGTTGTCGTACGGCCTGAAATTAGTCTTGGCTTGCACAGCAGCATCGAGTGCTTCATCAGCCATCGTTTGGGAATTCGGACCCGGCCATCCCCTTCCAGACTCTACATGGAGTTAGCACACATTTATAAGACGCAGCGAGCTCTGAGATCTACCATTGTTGGCGTAGTATGCCATTTTCTCTTTCAACGTGAACGGTCCAATGACTTTGCCAGTCAATGATATGGCATTGTTCGATGCCTCCGAGTAGAACTCCGTAACAGAGCCGGTGGGAACTTTCCCAGTAGAGAACCAAAGATTCTCAGTACGCTCGATAACATCGAAAGGGCACTTCACGTCTTGAAACTCGACCACAACAACGATAACACTGGAAATGTTCAGTTCTGTGTTACTGCTCAATACCAAAGGGCTTACTTGATCGCATTCCGCAGCGGCTTTCGTTCGAGTGCTGCTGCAGCCATCTTTTTGACAGATGCAGCTGGCGAGAAGTGTGATTTGGGGAAGATTGTGCCATCGTTGAGGCCGAGGAGTCCAGGTTGTCGAGGAAGAGCGGGTTTGGTTCTCTCTAAAATGCCCGCATCAGCTGGACCTTGTGATTGTAACAATCTGGTACGCGCAAGAAGGGCAGGATGAGGAGATACAAAACATGGTACTTCGCACTGTGCATGAGACATGCTGTACAGTCTTCGATTAATAGAGTTGTTTGAGAAGTTAACGGCTATAAGGCCAGAGGAATTGGTAGATGGATAGAAATGCCATAGTCGACGGCCTCCACGATGGCCATATGTAGTCCTGCAACTACAAAGCTGAATACAGCATCAGGTACACGCACACCGCAGTCGAGCTGAAAACTTGGCGGCCGTATCGATCGAGTGAAGGAAGGAGGCTGGCCATTGTACTTAGCAGGTTCGAAGCCACGCTGACGAGGTCTCAAGTCGGAGTGATTGCTGACAGCCACAATAGACGAAGACGCGTAGTCAGCCGCCAAGAGTAGAGCCCTGTACTACCGTCTACCAAATCCCATGCCGTGTTAGTGGTGGATGCTGTTGTAGTCGGCCAATGAGGAGCTATGAGATTGAGACAGCGCAGCCGAACATCAGCTACCTCAACGAAAAGGATGAGATTCTGCCTATCGAAAAGGCGGAGACCACATAGATCATTCGATCATAACCCTTAGGCAGCAGTCGGCGTGGGACATTTTGCAGGTCCTCCACCTTCGTAGCCAAATGTGTGCTGCATCGAGCGCCTCGTCGCTTAACGACCATCGAGATTTGTCGAAGATGATGTTAAATCAAGCGCTCATTCAAGGTTTCGAAGTCCAGTACTAGATAGAATAGATCAACTTGAGAGGAATCGGACCAATCGCGTGAGTCTTCGACCCACCGTTCGCTCACAGCCCATCGAGCTGACAGTTGCTCACATTGTCAGCATATGCAGCTTCAAACCTCGGAACGAGTACGCGCAGGTTCGAGCTCAGATGACAAAGCCTTCAGCACAGGACAGGATATATGAGACGAGCTGAGTAGCTTATGGCTGAATTGGCAGGATGTCAAATGCAGATGCAATACGAAAAGGTTGCGAAGTGGTGTTGTGGTGGAGCTGCGACGCAGCTGCGAGAGTTGGATGGCAGGAAAGCCCGTGCGAGAACGGCTGTTCTCTCCTTCCTTCCTGCTCCCCAGCCAAGCTTCGTTCAAACACCAACGAGACAACACAAGCAAGACAAGCACGCGCGAAGCTTACTGAGTGTCAATAGCTCGAGTCTGATCAATGCTTGTTGTAAATTACTGGCATCGCAATGAGCATTCATGGCCATCTCAAGCCAGTTGTTAGCACGGCGATCCACAGAGTTGACCACGCTCCTTCGCGATCCTGCGCAAAGCCATCGACAAGCCTTCTGTCAAAGCTGAAACTACACAGCGCGATGCAAAGAAACCATTACGTTCCTTTAGTTGCATCTTTTGTCAGCTCCTCAGGCTTCAATTGAAAGTGTGCTGAGAAGCATGAGTTTTGTGGTGACCAGCATCGCGTTTCAGAGCCGTCCTCACAAACCTAGACTGTACCGTGTATCCCTTAGGTCCGGAAAGACTGCGATCCATACGTCGCCGCGACAGGATTTTCTGCCCAGAATTACTATAACATTGCTGATTACCTCTAGGCTATTGATCACCAAAATAATCTAATTCCACCTTGTGCTGGTCACTCGCTAATTGTACTGTCTACTTCTTTTCTACCAAGACTTCTTTCACGAAACGTATTTTTCATCAACTTAACTATAATCTCAACAAGATGTACTCCTCCACTGCCATCAGCGTTGGCTTGTTCGCCGCCACGATCCTTGCCCACGGCAACATCACGAGCCCTCCAGCTCGTCTTCCCGGCCCAGCCATGGCGAAGGTCTGTGGTCAAGCCGCTGTTTCAGCCGTCAATGCCGACGGCACCGGCCCGCTCGAGAACATTCCCAGCAACGGCTCACCGCAATGCAACATCGGTCTTTGCAAGGGTGCGCAATTCGCCGACAATCAGAAGAACGTCCAGCAATACGCGCCCGGAGAGCAAGTCAACTTCGCCGCCGTCCTCCCCATTCCTCATGAGGGACCTTGCAACATCTCCATCATTGACACCGCGACAAACACCATGGTAGAGACGCTGCTGGTGTTCGATTCGTACGCAGATGAGAACTTGGCGCAGCTGCCGCTGAACAACACACAGTTCAGTGTCATTATGCCGCAGGGTCTGCCCGCCGGACAATGCACACAACCAGGAGAGTGCACGATGCAGTGGTTCTGGTTCGGTACCAACGCGCAGCAAACATACGAGAACTGCGTCGACTTCGTAATGACGGCGTAGTTGGCTGTTGCTCTTAAGTCGCAAATCTTGGCGAGGTGGTGTCTGTGTGGGACGAAGATTGGTCAGTGCGATGAGCGCTTGTTGCATAGAGCTTACCTGGTCGTAATGTCTGAGTCCAGTAAATAGTTTGCATACAATACCCATAGAAGTTGTTGTGTTTCCTATGAATTTAATATCATCTGTACATACCAATGTTCTGCAAATCATGCCTGGTTGTGCACCAGTTTCTTTTATCATAGGTGAGCCTAGCAATTTCTGCGAGCACACGCACTGTACAGTTGATTGTACGAAGGTTGTAAAAGCTTATCATAACGTAGCCTACTAGACCTAGATGCATCTTGGATCGACTCGAGCTGGCGGCCCCTGTGATCGAAGATAGTGCCGAAGGGAAAGCCATCGCTGAAGGGTTTGCAGGTGAGAAAATCTCGTTATCCATCGAGGAGAATGTTGTCCAAGCTCTGCAGCAGGCCTAGAGCACATCTAAGGGAGGTCGAGATGGAGTTTGATGGTCTGTAGAGTTGGGAGCCTTTCGCCAAATCGACAGAAAGGTCTGAATCGTCGCTTGAAAGCGAGGGAGCAGGGTGCTCACGCATTCAGTTGAGTGATATAGGTCGACCGCCACATGCGCCGGTGCGCTATATATCCATACCTCAGCATACGTTGACTTGGACAAACGGCGTGAAGTATGCAAGTCCGACCTCGCTGTTGCAGCTTCTCATTACTTGGCGATCATTGCAAGCCAGATGTACATTCGCAACGTGAGGCGGTGATGTGTGTTCGGTAGGATGTGCTGACAACACTATCATCGCGTAAACCAATCAATTGATCAACACTATCGCAATTGAATTGAATCGTTCGAATCGATCCAAGATATTGACGAGCAGAAATAAAACGCCATCAAGGACTGCTGTACGGTATCGACGACGCTAAGAGCCGCCTTCCGTTGCTTATTTCTCGATGCTCCGATGCTCATCTCTCTTAACCGGAAGTGTAGGGTCCGTGGGTATCGGAGGGATCTGAGGCTCCACGAGTGGTGGGGTGTAATTTGCCGGCAATTGTGGTTCACGAGCATTTCCATTGATCGAGAAGCCGCGCACCGGGGAGCCTGCCGTTTCTAGTCAACACATTGAGTCGGTCTGAATTGTCAATGGATCCATCGAGGCGGACCGTGGCTCCGTCCACTTGGGACAAGCACCATGCAATTGCGACAATAGATGTTATGGAGCTTGGAATAATGCCTAGTGGGAGTATCTCTCAAAGGCGAGTCGAAAGTTCGACCTCTTGAGGTATCCGACCTTGCCTCTAGCGTCGGAAAAACGCTTCAGAACAAACAACACTTTATCGAAGGTCCGAAAATGTCAGAAACGTCGTGGAGGCGCGCGCTGTCTTCGACCCACTATCTGGGGGCTGGTGAAACAGGCCAGGTACGAAGCTTCTAAGCGAGGCACTGCCGCTGGAGAGACGTCAGCAATGCGGGCCTTTTGAAACAGATAGATGAAGGTTCGATTAGGACTTCATGCACTTCTACGAGTTCAATGAAGATTCGATTGACTTGACACTGGGAAATGACGTGGCGCGTATACTTCGTTCATCGTGTCAGCGAGCCTCGGTTAGCTCAGCGCTAGCGCTTCCCTTTCACTTCTCCACATCTGGCCTGTCCTCGTCCTTCCTCATCGCCTCATCAAACTACAGATCAGTTCAAGCCTGCGAATAAACAGCACAGAGACGTCTATATGCAATTCCGGTCTTTTGGCATACGAGGTCGTGTAAGAATACCCCTTGTGTTGGATTGTGTTCTTCGTGCAACGCAATGCTGCCTCCTCTCATCCAAGACAGGTGTTTCGATTTTAATGGATGCCTGCGTCGATCAGGAACTGCCGACCGTGTCTGCTGTGTTTTGTCGCCCGTCCCATCGCCAGGTACCTGAAACAAGCATCGGAAAGGAATCGATACTCCCCTGAACGCTTGTTGCAATCAAGCTTTTGACGACGGCCTTCATTCCCGCTCCTAGCAGTACCCGGTCGCTTTGACAGCTGTACAGGGCTAGTGTTTACCCACAATGTTTCGAGGAAGCCAGCTGCTGGATATAAAGGTGACTTTGTACGCTCCAGTACCTTTTCCTCATCACACTCATTCAGTCATTTCGACAGTTCATTCTTTTCACATTCATTCACCCTTCATCGATTGAAGCGGATAACATTCTCTTACAACTTCGTTGATTTCGAAGCTTACTCTTGAACGCCGTTCTATCCAACCAAAAAACTTTCAATCCCCAACTCATCAACAATGCCTTCCAAGATTCAGGTTGCTGCTATCCTCGGCGCTGTCGCCGCTTCCGTCAACGCCCACGGTCACCTTTCGGACATTAAGGTCGATGGCACCGACTACACTGCCTACGACCCCTCGTTCCAGTACCAGAACCCCGCGCCTGAGGTCATCGAGTGGTCCTGCCCTGAGTGCCTTGACAACGGCTACGTTGACCCCTCCATGTACACCGATGTGACCAAGATTGCTTGCCACAAGGACGCCACTGCTGGTGCTAAGGTCGCCAAGGTCGCTGCTGGAGGAACCGTTGACATCCAGTGGAACACCTGGCCCGAGTCCCACGTCGGCCCCATCATTGACTACATGGCCAAGGTCGACGACGCCACCTCTGCTAAGGCCGCTGACTTGAGCTTCTTCAAGATCGACGAGGCTGGTTACGAGGATGGCCAGTGGGCTGCCACCAAGCTCATCAGCAACAACCTTACCTGGTCCGTCACCGTCCCGAGCTCCATTGCTCCGGGTCAGTACGTTCTCCGTCACGAAATCATTGCCCTCCACTCGGCTGGTCAAGAGAACGGTGCCCAGAACTACCCCAAGTGTGAGTTTCAACCCATGGTCTTAAAGCATATTGTACACAATCTAACGCGTTTCAGGTATCAACTTGGAGGTTACTGGCTCCGGTACTGAGAATCCCACCGGTGTGACCGCCGACAAGTTCTACACCCCCACCGACCCCGGTATTGAGGTCAATGTCTACTCCGGCGACCTTTCCGGCTACCAGATTCCCGGCCCCGCTCTCTTCAGCGGTGCCAGTTCCGGCTCCAGCAACACCTCTGCTGCCGCCCCTGCCAGCTCTGCCGCTGCCGCCACCTCGGCCGCCCCTGTTGCCACTTCCTCCGTCGCCGTCCAGAACAATGCTGTCAGCACCCCCGTTGCCTCTGCCACCGCTACCGCCGTTGCCTCATCAGTCGCCTCGGCTGCCCCTGTTTCCACCAGCAGCTCGAGCTCGGACTCGTCCCTTCCGGAGACTTTCACTCTTGAGACTTTCATCTCGTGGTTGGAGAAGGCTGCTGGCTCTTCCAGCTCGAAGGCTCGCCGCCACGCCCGCGCTTTCCGCGGTTAGATCAGTAGTGTGTTGAGAGACACGCTCTAGTCTGCCGGAAGTGATATGCATCATGTTGGTGGAAGATTGGAAATAGAAAGCGTTCTTCAGTTCTTGTACCTAGCCTTTACTATAGTCGATATGGCTCGCGCTATTTGCCCCTCTTACTATTTCTGCGTACATACTCTGAAGTGACTTATCCATCTGTCTCAAGCTCAATGTCGAATCTTTGTCAGAATCATCTATGAATAAGGTCTGTCCCTACGTGCCGAGACGCACAGTGTAAAGAGACACATCTTCTTTCGGGTGCCCAGATTGTACCCACCATGCCTATAAATCAACAAGCCCAGCGTGCATCCATTCTGCAACTCTTGCTCTTTGAGTGCATCAGCCTCTGACGCCGAGAAGCGTTGTTGACCATGCAGTCGCTCGTTCTGTCAGTGCCGTCCATCGACTCTCCTCTGATACCCCCTCGTTTGTTTGCGACAACTGACATTTGCAGAGAGCTCGGTGGGCTGGAAAGAAAGCTAAGATGGCAAAGAGCAAGACTGCACACTTAATAGGTCGACTGAAAGTAGGAAGTGTGCATCCCGGCGGTTTCTCTGCGCGGATGGCAAGATCGTCAAAACGCGTTTCCCCTAACTGTGCTCGCTCCCGTCGCGTATTGTAGAGCCAGGCGAGACGCTACAGCGACAAGCTTCGTAGATCTGCTCTATCCGCTGGCACTTCACCCACATGTGCACTCCTTTAACATGGCTTTACAAGGCAAACACTACCTCAGCGCAGACGGTGAGGCGAGACAGCGCAGGATGGTGGGCGCTTGATGTAGTCAGCAGCACCTTCAGCCCCGTTGCATGCACTGCCTCGCCAGGCTGCCTTCTCTGCCCTGTCGCAACTATATCATTCTAATCTCATTACCACAAAAGACGCCCGCGACTCTAATTACCCGGGGCCAGATACCAGGCTGCAAGCACCATGCGGCTTCTCCATTTTGACGCGCCTCTCCATCTTAACACGCCGGGCAAACTGATCTTGACAGACTTTCGCGGCAAGCCGATCCCGCCCTATGCTATCTTATCGCACCGATGGAGCGACTCCGAGACCCTCATTGAAGATATATCAAATGGAAAGTACAAAGAAAGAGAAGAAGGCAACCGAAAGCTCAGGTTCTGCGCCAAGCAGGCGGCTAAGGACGGATTGCAGTACTTCTGGATCGACACATGCTGCATCGACAGATGGGACAACAACGAGCGCTCGAAAGCGATCAACTCGATGTTCCAGTGGTACCAGAACGCGGCCCGATGCTACGTTTTCTTGTCAGACGTCGCAGTGTCTTCTGCGACAGACGCGTCCCAGCGCAGCTGCTGGGAGCCATCCTTTCGGGGAAGCGATTGGTTCAAACGAGGATGGACGTTACAAGAGCTAGTCGCGCCAGTGACGGTCGAGTTTTTCTCGCGTGAAGGACATCGCCTAGGCGACAAGGCGTCACTCGATCAACTACTACACAACATCACCGACATCCCGCTCGCCGCGCTGCGCAACTGTCCTTTAGACCAGTTCAGCACATCTGAGCGAAGGCGATGGGTAGGGAATCGCAGGACGACCGAGGAAGAAGACATCGTGTACTGCCTGCTTGGACTTCTTGGCGTCTTTATGCCTACGACGTATAGAGAAGGAAAGGAGAGTGCACAAGGGAGACTGCAGACTGAGATAGAGGCAGCCAGCAATGCACCTTCAATCATCCCATTCTCACAAAATGAGTCTTTTGTGGGTCGCGAAGCACAGCTTGCCGAACTTGAGGCAAAGCTCTTCAGCAACAATCAGACCACCACCACGCTAGCAATAGTTGGGCCAGGCGGTACGGGCAAGTCGCAGCTTGCACTTGAGGTTGCACACAGGACAAGACTGAACAACAAGAACTGCTCGGTCTTTTGGATGGACGCAAGCGACATGGACAGCCTCTACCGGTCGTATGCAACCGTTGCGCAGAAGCTCCGTGTTTCTGGCTGCGACGATGACCAGGCAGACATGAAGCAGGTCTTCAAACGCTGTGTGGCAGCAATGAGTGCGCGACAGTGTTTGCTAATCTACGACAACGTAGAGGGCACCACATCACGGCCTAGCGGCTCGTCTACGACGCGAGCTGCAGACCTGGCCGACTTTCTGCCGCACTCTAAGCTATGTTCTGTCATCTTCACAACAACAGAGAGCAACACAGCTGAGGCACTTGCTCCACAGAACGTCACAGCGTTGCATAAGCTGACGCCAGACACGGCGCTGAGGATGCTACAGAACCGCTTGACAACGCCGCTTTCGAACGCTGAGCAGCAGGAAGCCATGCACCTGCTAAGAGAGCTATCGTATCTGCCTTTAGCAGTCGTGCAAGCAGCAGCGTGCATGAACGCCAGTAGTATGACAGTGCAGCAGTACCAAGCACAGCTGGACCAGCACAAAGAAGCATCTCTCACGTACACCAACGGCTCGTCGAAAGGCGAGCAGCAGGAGTCTGGTCTGAGAAAGACTGTAGCTGCTGCATTATCTCTTTCCATGGCCCAAGTCCGCCAGAGCAATGCGGTCGCTGCAGACTATCTCTTTGTTGCTGCATGCGTAGATCGAAAGGACATCTCGCTTGATCTTCTGGAGGCAGCTTCGCCACAGGCACGTGAAGATGCCGTTAGGGTACTTGACAAATATGCGCTCGTCACTCGGCGACCTGCTGAGTGTGCACTTGATGTTCATCGACTAGTTTATCAAGCTCTGCGCGACCGGCTGCAAGTGCAGGGACAGCTTATGCAGTGGACTCAACGCACTATTAAACAGTTACTTCAAGTGTTTCCAAACGATGATCATAGTAACAGAAGCAAGTGGAGACGACTGCTTCCACATGCCCAGCATGCTCTGTCGCATAGTCTGGCGGATAGCAATGACGAAGAGAGATTGGATCTTGCATCGAAGTGTGCTGGGACCCTTTATAGTGACGGACGGTATCAAGAGGCTGAAGAGCTAGACGTGGAAGTAATGCAGACGAGGAGGAGAGTGCTTGGCGAGGAGCATCCTGAGACGCTGACTAGCATGGCCAACCTGGCGTCGACGTACAGGAATCAAGGGCGATGGAAGGAGGCTGAAGAGCTAGGGGTACAAGTGATGCAGACAATGAAGAGAGTACTTGGCGAGGAGCATCCTTCTACGCTGAGCAGCATGGCCCACCTGGCGTCGACGTACAGGAACCAAGGGCAATGGAAGGAGGCTGAAGAGCTAGAGGTGCAAGTAATAGAGACAAGGAAGAGAATGCTTGGCGACGAGCATCCTGAGACGCTGAGCAGCATGGCCTACCTGGCGTCGACGTACAGGAATCAAGGGCGACGGAAGGAGGCTGAAGAGCTAGGGGTGCAAGTGATGCAGACGAGGAAGAGAGTACTTGGCGAGGAGCATCCTTCTACGCTGAGCAGCATGGCCCACCTGGCGTCGACGTACAGGAACCAAGGGCGATGGAAGGAGGCTGAAGAGCTAGGGGTACAAGCGATGCAGACGAGGAAGAGAGT